GCGATAAGCCTACGGGCCATGGTAGACTTCATTGCAGCATCGCTTGGACTCCACACAGGAAGACTATCGTTGGTCTGGGGGTTGGAAGCCTGAGACTTTGCTGGAGACACCGCTCTTGTGGATTGTGCTGCTGGAGGCATGGTTGTCGTAGGGGTCGATCCTAAGATAGGCCTCGTAACGGAAGGGGATCCAGAAACAACTGCGTTCGAATTGTATACAGGACGACCCAAGGCCTTGGCTGGAATGGTGGGTGCCCTAGCGGTTCTTACACTCTCAAGAAAGTTGGACCTCGGGTTATGAATGGAAATATCCACATTATGGGTATACTGGGCACGGCAGTCTGTAGAGGTCTTGCCAATATAATACCATAAGGTTTCCGGCTTTGTCAGGTCAACTATACAGGAATCCGGATTAAATGGGGGTTGCTCGCAAATGAAATCCTCCCAGCGGTAGCTGGAGGAAGTATCACCAAATATCATTCCATGAGATGGCATGGATGAATTCGAATCGTTCCTCGAATCGGGCTTTCGAGAAAGGTGGGCAGGAAGAGGCAGGATATTTGGGGGTAGTGGGGGAAAATTAGTCTTTTTGACTATTAAGGTCCATCGGTAGGGAAGCTCAATCACGTCACTGGAATGGAATGAACAAAATAAGGTGGTTAGTGAATGGCAAGAAATGATAAACTGGAAAAATACTTACCCTCGTGGAAGCACTTTCAGCATTAGCGAGCGCTCCAATGGGCGGTTTTCCAACACCACGGCTCCGTTAATCTCCTTATCAGCTTGGAATTGCATCAGGTCTCCTGGCTTCAACTTGATTGCTGTCTCCAGAACCTTGGAGTCCATATCAAGCGTCTGTGATGGGAGAGAGCCAAATCTCTTCTGCCGATGGTATTTGCATTTCAAGTCGATAGCTGGAACTGAATACTCTTGACCATCATCCGCAACAACCGAAGTTTCGCCAAATTCCACCTGGACACCTGCAAGCAATGCACATGTAGGATGGTATGACCTAGCACACTTCCCATACATACACTGGAAGCAAGCACCTTTTACCTCGCGACAGAACAAGCATTTTAGGCCCATTCTTGCTTTTGGAATCTTGTCAATATCGCAGACAATCTCACGTCCGAGGTCATCCTTAAGGATAGAGGTCTCCTCAATAAACAAGGCGCATCGTCTATGTGCTTGTGATTGACCACCTTCGATGGGCAACAGCTCTTCGTAGTCCATACTATTTGGGCATAGTACACATGGCGGCTTCTTTGGCGAAATCTAAATGCAACTTGGCACGCTTGGATTTAGGCTCAATACCATCAACTTTCCGTTTTCTAGGTCTTGTGGATTTTTCCGGAACGCTTCGAGGAGGAGTGAGAAGGTCAGAGGCACCTTCATACTGTTCACTTCTAGTCTCATCGTAGTACTCCGGAGTAGTTTCACCCCGTAATTTCCGTTCAATCTCCTCGACGTCGATCCAAACAGTATCCGTTTCGCAGTGGCATTTCTTGGCGATACGGGCATAGTCGAGCCAACTTTCCGTAGCAAAATTGACTGACTCTGCACAGTTGTACCCCAAGTTGAATCCGGAGTGGTATCCATACGGGAACGTGATAACGAACTCGCCTTCATAGTGCACTAGTTTATTCGCGGTAATGCCATACTGAGACTTGAGGACGGTAGGGGAAATAAGGTAGGTCTTATGTCGTAAGAACTGGCTGCAGTTTTTCGAGTCTGTTGGCCAAATGCCTGTTGGGTAGTTAAAATTAGTCAGTATTTCATGTTGCACATCTGCGTGTTTATCAAGCATCTAAACTTACTCCGCATCGCTGCCTCGAAACGTGGAAGGTCTTCCTGTGAGATGCTGTACCACTGTTTAGGAGCGCCAAAGTGGATGTAGTTAATGCTGTAGAGGTCAACATCTTCAAGATGCCAAGCGAAAGTGGCCTTCCACATGCCAAGGTATACATAGGCGGTGTTGACACCAGGGACTTTTTGGCCGAGAACATCCAGAAGATTTGGCAGGTTGGCAACATTCCATGAAGTCACGGCATCATCAAACAAGGAACCTGGCATATCAGCACCATACATGGGGTTGTTATACATAAGAGATTTCCAATAAGCGGTTTCGAGTTCTTCACACCTTTCAGCGGTGAACTCTTCGTTACTGGAGAGACGATAGTCAAAATCGATGAAAGCTTCTTCATCAATATAGTCATCTTGCTCATCTCGGTTATTTTTCCGTCGAGCAGAGACAGACTTTGGTTGTCTGCCTTTTGGCTTTGGGGCAGGCAATGGCTCTCCATCACTTAGTTCCTCGGATTTGGCTTTGACTGGCTTTGACACTGGGGACACCGGAGTAGGAGGGCTTTCAGGTTTGGATCCTTGACCATCATCCTGGCGTTCGGGCAATTCCTCACTGGCTTTACGCTTACTTGAAGTTGTTTTGCGTTTCTGAGATTCACCTTTGTTACCGTGACTTCTGACTGTAACCCGGGCCTTCCCTTGGGTCCAACGTCTTTCTCCTCGTCTAGCTGGAGGTTGATGACTGATCTCTTCAGACAACGCTTTCCACTGTGGAAGATTGTATGACCGCTGTTTCTCAATGTTTGCCTGAGTAAAGGTTCCGTGAGACCCTGTAAACTCCTGGACGATAGGATTCTTGATGCGGATGGTCTTGACAGCCTCGTCTAGGGCGGGAAGCGAGTCCGTCCTATTTAGTTGTCAAGAGTCAGCGTGACAAGTCTTCAACACTAATACAACGACTCGTGGTTCCAGATCGACTTGCAAAGCCAATAATATGTGTCATTGAAGCCTGCAGTACTCACCACTCCTTTGGAGGAACCACTTTCACAATTCCCGACTTCATGCCATATTTATCAATACAGCGAATGAAGGCTCGAAAGTCTCGGAACTGGTCCATGGTCTGGAGAAAAAAGGATTCAGAATTAGTGTCTCGTGAAGTAATAAAACAAAAGGTCAAGATACGATAGCTATGGTATGCAAACGAACCGGCTTGAAGACCGGCACTCTCCCACCCTCATAATAATGATCTGGTTGAATATCTTCTAGAATAGGAGAGGTACCGTCATCCTCGATGGAAGGACGAGGAGAAGCCGAGCAAGAATTGATCCCATGGAGGTGCATCTTCTCTCCGTCGGCGCTGGCAGGTGGGGTCATCGATGCAGCAGTGTTGCCGCCTGGAACACTGTGTTGTTCTGCCATGACTGGTAGATCGAGCTATACGAACATGTGTCGCACCCTCTTCTCTCCACTAAATAGTTATCTGTGTATTTCGTCTCTCACTTGCCGAACGTTTCTCCCCTATGCCTTTTTTGGTCTCCTTCCCTCTTGTTAGCCTTAACACTGCCGTGTTGAGCAGGCGATTGACGATCGTCTGGTGGGTAGGCGCCAACGTATGATGAGAACAAGGGAGAGATCGATTCCCGCCTCCCCAAGGAAGGTCTTGTAGGTGACAAGGAGAGGCAAGAAAAGAAGTTTGACGAACGGCGGAGGATCCGATATTAAGTATGTATGCTGGTGGCAGCGAAGAAGGCGTGTAGTGTAGTAAATATGGTTGGGCAGAAGAAAACAACCAGGATTGATTAGCGGGTTACTTCCGGGTGTTAGGGAGTCGCTTAGTACGTATCGTGAGCGTAAGGGAAGAAGAAAAATAGGGGGGGAAAAAAAAAAAAAGAAAAAAGAAAAGAACTCGAGACAGCCGGGAGAGAGAGAGTGGTATGACTAGTCGAACGAGGCTTTCTTTCCTGCAGGGACGTTGATATCAGACAGCACGGCGATGAGGGAGCAGTAAAGACACCATTGGAAGGACAACAGCTCTTGTGAAGTCCGCACGGCCAACGCGGCGCTCTTTGGGGTGCTCGAGGAAGAAATCGAAGGTTCGAATGATAGATCGGTCGTGCTGGTTCCGACAAGCCCCTTGTGAATATGCGGTTTTTGGTGCTAAGTAGTTTATTGTCGCAGGGCCCTGGAAGTACCCTTTTTCCGTCGTGCCCCTGCCCGGTCTGGCAGCAACCAAACCAGAAGCAGCAAGCAGCAGCACCGGCACAGCGCCCGTCTCGACTCTGGGTCTCTGGTGCTCCTTCAAGCCGCAATTCGAGGCTTTTCGCTCCCGGCGACGCAGACGCTGAAAGGTGAAGGTGAAGTTGAAGTCGAAAAAAGTCGAAAAAGTTGTCGAGCAGTCGAAGTTTTGCAAGTCGACGTCGAAAAATACCGAATCAGGCAATTGGCTGAGAGTAGGCGGCGCTAGTCCCTACTCGGCAAGTATCAACTACGCTAGTCTTATCTGGGCGAAAGAAGTGGCCGCTTTAGCAGTGACGTAATAGATGTCATGTGATGGTTCTCTTTTTGCTGATTAGATAAGGAGAGAAGTTTAATTTGGATATCAGATATAGTCACAAAAAGGGGGAAACGACCAAGAAGAGCAGGCCAGGCGAGAGCGGAGGACGAGGAGGAGAAAGGACAACGCATCAGAGCCACACCTGGTGGTCAGATGGCATGCAGGAAAAGAGGGCACCCAGAGGGTGACGGAAGAGCAAAAAAAAGGGCCCCTCATTTCTTACAGTTTATATCGCGGGGAAACAGACAGAAGCATATGCAGCATTCTGTGGCAGTTGACCACTCATGATTTAAAGCATTTACCCGCCATCTCCTTGGTTTATTTCCACCTGCCCTGTCAAATTGCTTAGTATTCGCTGAATTTCAGGCTCTTTCCCACCAGGCGTCGGGGGGAGGAGGCCTTGCTGTCTTCTCTTTCGCCCGTTCTCACTGCCTTCAGTGCATGCAGGAGCATTCCTGCATCAAAGAACCCGTCTAGACGCTCAGAGTTAGTCATCGAATACTACAAGTTAAAAAAAAAAAAGAAGACGATAAGAGGGGAAAAAAAAAAAAAAAGAAAAAGAAAAAGAGAGTGAGGAAAAAGAAAGGAAGGAGAGAGAGGAACTGCACATACAGCCGCCCATCCCATCGTCGTCACCACTCTCGATACCATCCATGTCACCCAGGGATTCCGTTCTGATCACTCGTCCCTTTCGCTCGGACTTTGTTCCAGTCTGTTTGTGGGCGGAGTCAGAGACAGCCGCCTTGCCCCTGGCCCTTGACTGGTTTGTGGCTCGCAGCAGTTTGCGAATCTCGACTAGATATGAATCAAGCGTATCCATAAACCTGCTAGTCTGTCGATGCTTAGAGGATGCGCAGATAGATATCGTGTCATCCTTTAAGATATACCCAATTCCAAATCCATCACCAGAAGTCGGTCCAAATCCAAAGTGACGCAGCGCGGGATTCCCACAGTTTGACGTCGAGAGGATGGTGTTGCTAATTCTATCCCATCCTGGATCGCTAAACAGCGCTGGTGTGGTAGGCGTCTGGCGGTTGCGAGAACCACGCGTGCTGCTCTGCGCTCCCTCCGCAATATCAGCCTCCGCAGACGATTCGCCGTCCGAAACTAACACTGCAGCGCCTTCACCGAGGGATCTCTGCCACAGGCAGTAGAGTGCGTAAAGGTGTCGGTCCTGGCCCAGTCCCTTTGAACATGTCCTTGTAGTATCTACATGCTTCTCGCATGCCCGCTTGAGGGCCCTCACCTTCTCTGCCGCAGGATTATCGCCCCAGAACGTCTTGACGAACTCTGTTGACTCAGCAGAGACAGTACGTATCGCTTCTGTTCTCCCATGCAGGAAGAACTTCGTCATCGCAGGCTCATACGTCGTTTCGATACGCCCGTATAAACCATAATATGCTGCCTGGAACGCCATTTGCACAAACGCATCCGGAGAAAAACCCATGCTGGTTATAAAATTCTTCCCATACCCTGTGAAATCCAGGGTCTCAAATTCATGTTGACGTAATAAGTCTGCTAGATGAGATTCTGCAAACCGTAACGCCGTGCTCAGCTCTGGTCCCATGTCCCATTCGAGCTTGTGAGGCGTTGTGCTAGCGTCATCAAGCCTGTCAGTTGTGTCGCGTTTGCATGGCGGAGGACTGCTTGACGCCCACAAACTCGGTGCCTGGCCATTGATGGTCCTGGCAAACCGAAGAATTGTATCCGTGTAGACATCACTGGCAAAACGAAGAACCGTATGCCCATCCACACCAGTATGTTCGAAATTGATTCCTGCGCTCCCGTTCTTGCAAACAATGATCTGAAGCTTGTCGTACCATCTGTTCGTGCATGTTCCAATCTGCACCCCTCGAACAATTTTGCTTGTGCCGCACAGCATGTTCCCGCAAAGTTCTGCCACGTTGGATGGTTCAGTAGAATCAAGGCAGAGCACAAATAATGCGGTGTCGACAATATTCAGGCACTCTGCATTGTTTGAATTGCCATCTTGGGTCAAAATGTCCCTCAGCTTAGACCAAACTTTCCTACTCTCAGTACTCAGGACACCCACGGCCCCCTTGGCTGCCTCCTGGGTCGGTGTCTGTTCGGCGTCGTCACTAATCACTCTGAGGTTCATCGAAATATCTTTCTCGCTCATCAAGTGGTTGTTGTCCTCGTCCAAAACATCAAACCAGTAGAACTGACCCCGACATAGCACCACAAGATGTCTTGATGCGGAGTCTTGACCGATTACACAGCCCTTGGGCGTAGGTACCCGTGCTGTCCCAAATAGCCGCGAGTACTGGAACATGCAAAGCGGCTTGCCGCGTACCGTGTCAGGTGCAAGCTCCTCCTTACGCACTGCACGGACAAATGACAAGGCAGAGACAACAAGGGAGGCAGCTCTCGTTACTTGGTTGTTCCTTGCTGGTGTTGGGTCATCTGCCAGTAGGAAAAAGGGGTTGAGGTTGAGTACAACAGCTAACCAACGGTTTTAGTTACCATGTCTTTTCGTTCTAAGGGATCTGATAGAAAGGTTCTCCTCACGGTTGTCAAAATTCAAGTATGAATCATACCCTGGCCACGATCCATGGTCAGCTCAACACATACTTCTCTTGGTGCTATGTCTTACAGAATTGTTCTATGTAGCTGGACTTGGAAGTAGCATATTTCTTCAGCTTTTCCTGAAGCCCAGGCCCCTCAGCTTCCATGAATTCTTTCACAGCAACCCTTGTGGCCTCGTGTTCCTTTGTGCTCTGTAGCGGAGCTAAAGCCTCGAGGTACTTTGAACAGGTCGACTCAAGGTCCGGTATAGGTAATTTTGGCAGTGAGTTCTGGTTGGCAAAGGTAATACCTTTACTTTCGACTGTCTCATCTTCTTTGCCAATCCCTCTATTAAATGTTGCCATATTCTCGCCCTTAGTTGCCATGGACCTAATTGTGGGCGACAGTTTAGGTATAGTGGATGTCGAGCACCTCGTTCTATCGTCAACGTCAGGAGGGTCTCGAAGGTGCTTTATGTGGCTAAGAACCTGGAATGCCATGAATAAGCACTGTACTAAATTTATAAAAATCATAGAAAAAAAAAAAGTACAACGCGGGTGAATATCAGGTGAAACGAGCGGGGGCTAGAGCAGAGATAGAGAGAAGTTGTAGGGCACTGCGGTAGAAATAGTGATGATCATAGAGATAGTATAGCAGCATCTGTGACACGGAGAGAGGGGGGGAGTAGGGACTGTTGGATATATCAGCCTTCACATGGAGATGGCAGCTGTATCAAATGAAGCCACAAGCATTTGCCAGAGGGTATCCACCACATGGCGTTAAAGTAGGGGATATATAGCTGGCATAGCAGCCTTGTCCACGGGAAAGGAGTTCGCAGCCAAACCCCGCGGCTGCCAACCACGAGATGACATCACGGGTTTTCTTCCTTGGGGGCTTGGTGGCTTTGGCCGTCCATGTGAGCAGAAGGCAGAGGCTATAGAAGGGACGGCCGCGTGTGTTCGGAATGTGTGAGGGAAAGTTGGTAGAGTATGCTGGATGGTTGGACGAACATTTAGCTAGGGCAGAGAACTACAGGCCATCAACGACCCGGCTTGTTTGTGAGAGTAGGCAGTGGTGAGAGAGAACCCACGGGGTAGTAAACTGGTTACCGTTTATTTGCCTGACCAGCCACACTCACATTGGTAGTTAAGATAGTTATGCGGAATAGTGATAAAGATGGCTATCGTATCCAGATGTCCCGGCGTTGACTGTGGTCGGAAAAGAAGTAGAAGACCATAGATGCAGCTCCGTGAGTATCTATATATAACTAGCATCTCCGTCTCGGGTGGATGTGCCGAGGGGACGGGTTGGCTAGTCAACTTGGCGGCGAGCTTGGTAGCGACCCATGGAGGTAACTTTCAAATCACGGCGAGTCATTTTGGATACAAACAAGCGTCTCCAGGCCTCCTCTTCAGCCCTCGGCGTCGGCCGGTGTAACTTGGCACGTAACTACATGTTCCGGCGTTAGGTTGCACTCGATCTCGATGATGAACTGTTTCTTTCAACGAAGATACATAATCCCCTATAGCTAGTTACCAGGTCTTCTTTTAGAAACCCCTCTTCAGCGAGATAATATATCTGAATGATTATCACAGTCTATTCAGTAGTTAACTATTCAGTTTAGTTGTATTTATTCATAACTTCTGTCGCCGCCTGAGCTCTACTCTTTCTCTTTCTTTCATCAGCTTCTCCGCAAATTCCGGCTTTGCAGGAGTGGCAACCTTATGATGCTCTGCTGTTGCATACACAATCTTCCCGTCCACGGACTCTATAACTCCCCGAAGCATGGCCATTGTTCTTCCATGCTGAAGAGTAGTGCATTTAATCCGGATGGTAGTTCCTGTGATAAGCCCTTTCGTTAAACATCATGCTCCATACACTCATGTTTACTCGTGTCTGGGAAAGGGGGTTTATATCATTCATCATGACAAGACATACCAGTAGGTATCCCCTTGAGATAGGACAGGTTTAGAGATCGTGAGACGCCTTGCAGGAAACTAGTTATATGATATTAAAATGTGGTCAAATGGCGAAAAATAGGAAGAGAAAGACGCACTACCAATACCCAGGCTTAGATACTGGATTCATTGATATGGCAGTGCACATGTCTTTCATTCGATGGCTATCAGCAACTTTTTCATTCCAGGAGTTCTATAATAAGAGCAGGTAGGATATTAACATACCGAATACTACAGCACACGCACCTCCATGCATAACACCTATGTATTTGAACCCGGGGTGTCATTATAATTCTTATTGCAAATTCTCGGTAAAACAGAGACTTTAATACCATTTAAATTTGACCAGTATTCAGTTACATCCATCTCCCATGTTGCACCCCCTGAGGGCTCAGCATCAATGAGGCGGATATCCTCAAAAAACCGTCTATCATAACCCTGTAAGGGATGGGAGAAGCGTCAGCGGCTAGCTACTCCTCTTCTATTCCACTTCGTAAGGGTTCAACGAAGATATGTTACAGCGTACCTGGTAGTTTTTCTCTTTCGTTATTTCCCCATAACTACGGAGAGAATGTTAGAATGTACGGTGTACAATACTCATTCATTGGGGCAAGGGGCAGCTTAGGCAGCTTACACCTTAAGGAAAGTTTCAATAGACTCCCTTGCTCTTTGTTTTGCTTCAGTTTCCGCCATTTTTGGATCACATAAAAGAAAGAAAAGATGGTTTATGTATGGGAACCAGCAAGAATCGAGAGAAGACCTTGCGGTTTAGGTATATGAAAGACTTGCCTGCCTGCTGGAAGGCTGGGAAGAAGGTTCTTGCTGCGGCTGAATATCGGCCGAGGCTAACTATGGAACCAACCGATAATACGTTTCAAAGCCTTTGACACCCACACATCAATGCTAGTTCGTTTCGGCGTTACGGAGTATTTCGTAGTTGATAGGGGACATTTTTATAAGTTTGAATGGCAAGTTTGGTGCTCTGAAGTGGCCGGAATTTGGACGTGGATACATAATTCCATACGCAAATGCATCCAACACAATGGGCCATTCTACAATAGACCAAGAGGTACAGAACAAATTACTTAAGGTTCGCTTTCTGTAGCCATAGCCAGTGAAATGAGTTCTATAAGTTTACTCCGTATCATTTGGCTGTTCGAGCTTCCACTTCTCCGCCCGGTGATGCTCTTCGGTGTTGGGGAGCGTAGGCAAAAAGGGGGTCACCTTGAGGCTAGTCCCGAACAGGACAGGAACGGATCAATTTAACACCGGCGCAAGTACTGTTATGACTAAGCCGCTGATTAGGTAACCTCAATCATTCTCAGGGGCCAAAGTTTTATGCAAAAAAAGGTTCTCTGCAGAGCCAACAAAGATATAAACAAGCAGCTTTGGAAACAGGCAAGCAATGAAATGATTAAGGTGGCAGCAAGTCAGCCATTGACATCAATATCTAACTCTGTTTCTGGATCATGGCTGTCAATCCGTCGGCTCTGGGAACACAAAGTCCAAAATTCAAGAAAGCCACCCGCCTCGTGTGTTGGATCGTACCTATCCGGGACGCCCCGAAGAACCAACGCCTTTAAGCAGACAGTGTTGTCTCTACAGAACAGAGTACGGAGTACTCCGTACAGAGCTCAAAACGAGGCTCGTGAGGCATCTCGTCACATATCGACAGTCTTTATTTCCCTTTTTATTACCGACTGGCTTGTATTTCTTTTGCAACCGACCAAGTCAAAGTCAATACGGAGTAATGCCGCGTGTTCATGGATTCGAGTCCTTAGGCGGACAAGATATTAGGATCTCCAACTCCTAGGCTGGATTCATATCACCTTAGTGATAATAAGATGGCCCCTTGGTACGGAATATCTTCTTGTCTCTTGTGGTTTACCAACGCTAGCTCGGAAGTGTCTCACTCCCACGCCACAACGAGTAAAGCGTGCGACAGGAACTAGGGGTGCAGCAACATAAACCTAGCTAAGTGCTAATGCAAAGGCGCTATTGAGGCTATTGATAGCTTAGTGGCGAATATCCCAATTGGCATTCAGAAAACACCCGCAAGCGGGGAGTTAAACTCACAAGATAATCCCCTTAAACTGGGTGAAAGAAACACCCAAGTCGCTCGGCCAACCCAAAATGTGGAGTGAAAGAGCTATACTTTCACTCTTGCGCATCACACTCTTCGAAGCTTCCCCGGTGGAGAATGTTGAAGTGTCTGCTTATTTCAACCCTCACGATTGGCTTTCCCGATTTACAGGCATGTCTATCAGGCAACAGAGAGCGCAATAATATTCTGACTTCAATTGTTCTAGCCCTGATCATACTCCGTACGGGCGCGGGAATTAGAGTGGTGGGACGTTATCCTGTGCACGCCAGTAGAACGGCTCCTACTGCGTACAATCGCAGGCTAAGGACAAAAAAGCTGATATTACTTGCAGAGATAGAAAGCAGGCTTGAAATCGCCTGGTACCACACCTTATCACCACGGCTCTCCTAGAAGTTTCTTATGCGAAGGGAAAAGTGTATTCCGTACGGAGTATGCATAACAAGTTATACACGAAAGGCTCGTTCAAGCACCTGGACAAGAATTATGGGAGATACGCTTGAAATATGGCTCGGTTCTAGTTTTACTACTCCGTCAAGATATCGGTGAGAATAACTTGTGGAACTGCCGAGCACATTCATCTAGATGCAGGTACTCAGTACTCCTGATGGAGTACCCCAAGCATCATCCAGGGATCAAGGCGGGAGAACATCATACCCCTTTGACACTCCACGCCTATCGAACCCCTTTAAACAACACCTCTGTGGTGATTGCCAATGTTGCCCGAGGTAACAATTCTCCAATTAAAAAGCTGGTGCGTCCGTGGACCCAATAACCTTCACCCCCTTTTGCCCCACAAAACTCAATTCTTCCATAGATCACAGATCGACAAAGCCACAATTTTCTTTTGACCTCAACCGCTCTCGAGACGACAAATGACATCGGAACAGAGACATCCCACAAAATGTGATGAACGAGAGCTACAGAGCTCGAGTGATGCTGATGGAAACGTGGTTTGAACAGGGTGTTCTGCAGCCTACATACATTTTATTACGGTATACTCCGTACACGAGGGTACAAGATCATGTTCGGGTTGGCAGCCTGATTTCCAAACTATGGGATCAAAGAGCCCCCTCAATCAAGACGTCTCGGACTATTGATGTCAAAGTGACAAGGGAGTGGAGCAGGTGGTGGGATCTTGCAGGCATGACCACCAATTCCGAGAGTTTGTTTTGTGCCAATGCGGATCCGGCATACAACGAATAACACAAGGCAGCAGATATTCCTTTTAGCTGGGTTTCACTAGAAGGTGCGCCCCCCAAAAGGAGACACGAGATTGTACCTGGATCTGCAATGACGGGTGAGAGAAAAGGGTGACATCTCGGAAGAGGGCTGTACTCGGGAGTACAGAAAGCATAAAAGGACGGCAAATCCCTTCTGGAGGGCTCTTCTCTCTCTTTTCTCATCCAGCAACCAACTTGAGACAAGTCACTCATTCATTCTCTTCATTTCTTCCAGTCTCTTCAGTCATTCCCCTTGCTGGTTCTCATTCCTTCATTTCTTCGAAACCACATTTCTTCGAAACCACATTCCTTCGAACAAACTTCATAATGCGTCTCTCCATCGTTTTCTCGGCCGTCATGGCCAGCTCTGCCATGGCCGCTCCCACCATTGTCGGAGGAGTTGGTAACAACGTACCAGCCACGAGGGGTGCTGTTGGAACCGTCGACAACGTTGCCCCAGGTGTTGCAAGCCGCGATGTCGTCAATGGAATTGCTGGCGGTGCTGTCGGTGCTGTCCACGGCGTCGCTAGCGGGGCTGCCGGACTCAAGACCGGAAGCATTGTGAAGCGTGACCTTGTTAACAACGCTGCTGGTGGTGCTGTTGGTGTTGCTGGCGGCGCTGTCAACCAAGCTGCCGGCGATGTTGTTCACGGTGCTACTAACAGTAAGCGTGATGTCGTCAACCACGCTGCCGGCGGAGCCCTTCATGTCGCTGGCAATGCTGTTAATGGAGCAGCTGGCAACACAGTTGACGGTGCTACTGCTTTCAAGCGTGATGTTGTTGGTCAGGCCGCTAACGATGCCACTGGAATTACCAACGGTGCTGTCACGAACACCGCTGGTAAAACAGCCGGTCAGGTTGTTGGCAACGTTAAGAGAGATACTCTTCCTAACTTGAACGGAGTTACTGGTGTTGTTGGTACTGCCAAGAACCTCGTTGGTGGTGCCACCGGAAACGTCGCTGGAGGAATTGTTAAGCGTGTGGAGGGTGTTAACAACATGGTTTCTGGTGTTACTGATAGAACCGTGGGCGGAGCTGGCAGCATCGTCGGCGCAAACGTTGTCGGACAGACATCGACTGGTGCTACCAACACAGTCGGCGGAATCATGGACATCACCAAGGGTGTCACCCAGCACCAGAAGCGTGAACTTCCTGCAGTTGGAGGAGTCACTGGCGCTGTCAAGGGAGTCACTGGAAACCTTCTAGGCGGTGCTACCGGCCCTATTGCCGGTATCGCTGGCCGCCGAGTCTAACCTTCAATGATGAAGCTGCCGGCATGACGAATTTCTGTTGAATATCCGTACGTACTCTGGATTCCCCTTCTTACACTGGATGTAAGAAGTTACTAACTACCAGTTCAGTTCTCCAGGTGATTTGTCAATGGCCACCAAGGATTTCCAGGTAGCCCGGACCGTTGGAGGAGTCTGCGCTCGGAGCCCGTGCTGAAAATAGACGAGGACGGCATGATATTTTGATGTTTTGTTTATACCTTTTTCGAAGAGCCCTCTGGATTTTTGTTCTTTTTATCAGCCTCAGGGGTTCAGCTCATTACTCGCTTATTAATTTCATTTTATCAATGATACGACTCATCTATTGTATGTTTAACATTCTTGTATTTGTTTTTTGGTCGTCGGGATCGTTTTTGGACATACAAAAAATGCTTCTTGGTGTACATTTATCTGGAAGTAGCAAAGACGCTGTGTTTGTATTCATATTAATTAGATCTCAATTCAATTTCATGACTTGTAATTATTTACTCTACTGGTATACGCAAGGGACCTTCAAGTGTTTTATTGTTATTATCTTTCTTGTAGAAAGAGTTGGGCGATTGCCCGACAGACCGTGGTTTCGAATTGCACAGCCAGGGATTCGTTAAAATACCAGGGAGTTACATTTCGTTTCAATTGCGAGGGTGCTGGCATCAGAAGGTCTAATCGTCCCTCCCGGGGCGTCGCTCTGGACCGTATAATAATGCGGAGGGCAGTATGGACAGGGAACTTAGCAGATCTCAACTGTGGTAAGCCCCTGTACTTGCCGAGACTCAAAGGGTGCAAGAAGAAGAAACCATGAGAATGATTCGAGAATGAGTAGCCATATGGAGTACCTGTATCTTGCCCCGCCACGTGGAAAGTGCAAAGTGACATATTAATACGAAGGAAGCAGTCGTATTTGCTATATTGAAAAATATTGGAAGTTTGGGGTTGCTGAGTATGTCTGGACATCATGGCTGTTTACTACCAGGCCCGAGCAAAGCAGTCTCGGCAGGATGTTTGAGAGCCCCATGTCCCATGAACACACCGACACCAGCTTGCACAGCTATTCATAGCGCTCTGTCACAACCATACCGGCGCCTGTGAGTTAGCGGGCGGGAGCATGCTTGGTGGCTCAGGGGTTTGCTGGCCTGCGCCCTGATACAGACGGTGCATGCATTCTCCCTTGATAGCAGCTTTTCACGAGATACTGGGTTTGACTGTGCGACAGTGACAGCCTCAGTTACCACATCTCCTCAACACACACTGCTCTCCGGCTCCTCTGTCCTCTCCGTCGGCTTCATCGTCTTCATCGTCTCCGTCGTCTTCTTCTCCCTTTCCCGAACTCAACATAACTCTGTAGGTTACATAAGCAGAAGTAAACACTGGTAACAACGTTACAGTACTATTACCATAATTGGCACTGAGTTCCTGCAGTATTTTGTGCGTAACTGGGGGTTTGCGTCGCCTTTAAGGCTGGAAACGTTACAATACCTTACCAGACCCTGATCTTCACTTTGGGCCCAAAAAGGACAAATTAACGACCAACATCAACATCCAACTTCATCAGAAGAAAAAGGTCGAGCCTGTCCGAGATCAAGCAGAAAGGGACCTTCAAGTGAGCAGAAGAAGAGGCAAGCAAGCAACGATGATGGGTTGCTAGGCAGCTCCGTCTCCCCACAGCTCTCTTTCGCCCTCTCATCCTTCATGGTAGGCCCCTTCAGCCTTGTTTCTAGGGGGGGGGTGCAGCTTGCATATTCACCATCCAACTAACGCAGAACGGGGTACGAACAGAAATCGCTCAACTTACGTGTTCGTTGTAAGTGTTGCTGCTGCTGCGACCTCAGTCCTGATCCGCCACTCGTTATCGCCTGCTGGTCCTATACGAGCGGAGACATATGGAACATTATTGTCGTCTATGTATTATCACCGCCCGCGTATAAGTAGACCAGCAGCAACGCTCTTCGGCCTCCATACCAAGTATATATACGCTGTCAAAGGAGAAGCAGGTGAGTTTCTCGATTGGTGGTTTTCTTTTCTTTTCTTTTTACCCCCTCCCTTGTGTTTCTTTTCTTTTTGCTCACCCTTTCAGGAGATAATTGGTGTGTTTCGCATCTTCTTGGTTCGCTGTGTTATTTTTTTTTATTTTTTATTTTTTCGCTTCGAGTCCATCCAAGACAGCTCGTATCCCTCCTCGTTGCCATCCCTCTCTCACCAGCTGCCCCTTGCCGCTTGTCTTTCCTGTCTGTTGTTAGTTATATTGTGGCTGAACAGGCCGTTGTTTGTCTCCATATTATTTTCAGCACCGCTGCGACCCTTCTCTGTTGACCAGAACGGGTGGCTGCTACTGTATATTTCAAGCAACTCCGAACAAACAATCTACGGAGCACCACGGGTCATTTTGCGGACCTGCTGACTTTGGCCGCTGAGGAGCAGCTAGGAAGCACAACGCTGAAATAGCCATACACATGGTCCCTGAACCTCACACTGATACGTCCGCCCATACTCTGTACAGACAGACATCGACGTGGCCCTGCGGCCTTGCCCCCGTTCCCCGTCCCTGACATCGCATATTGATCGCCCTCCCCGCTCGTCGCCCTCCTTGCACGAATACCGGAGCATCCTTTCCTTTTACTTTTGAATACACATACGCAGTCTGAATGGGGGCCGTTTAAGAACCAACGGCTGCCTCTCATTCGATAGAATATCGGTCTATATTTGGGGCAACACCTTCGTAGCGGTTTTGCGATTATAGCTGAAACAAGTCGCTACCCGGATAATTCTCACTACCAAGGGTGATCAAAAGCTCGGACATCCTGCTTTACTTCTCAGATGCTTCACATCACAACCTCGATAGATCCGCCTTCTTCGCTCGCTTTTTGCCAGATCGGATCATCCCCCTTTTTCTTAACTCGACACTTGTCCTGAACGTACAGTTGGAATACAGTTGGGGTTATTGTCAAAGATGGATATGGATGCTTCAGCCTCGACTGAGTCGCCTGACGACCAAGATGACTTTCCCATCCACTGCAAAGGATGCGGCGAGGTATGGTATTGCTCATGGGCTCCCCCTCCATTTTCACTATATCATGTTTTGATTTTTGCTAAAATATCTTTTTCTAGATTCTCGAGGAAGGAAAAGCCTTTGAACTCGGTATGTGAATTTTGATCCCCTTTGTGCTTCAAGCGACCAACCTCAGCTAACCATCTATTAGCCGGAAACCGATGGCATATTGACTGCTTCCGATGCCATACTTGCGGCGCTTACCTTGACTCCGACGTAAATCTCCTCATGGTCGGCGATGGTTCTCTCGTGTGCCGAAACTGTGCTTATAGCTGCAGCTCTTGCGGTTCCAAGATTGACGACGTTGCCATTGTAACCGGTGAACAAGCTTTTTGCGCTGGTTGCTTCAAATGTCGCAATTGCAAGAAAAAGATCGAGAATCTCCGTTACGCGCGGACCTCACAGGGTATATTCTGTATGGATTGCCATGAATCGTTAATGTCGAGAAGGAGGAAACGGACTGCCCGAAATGCTGCGCAACGGCAAAAGCCCCCGGCTCCCAGCATGCATCTAGACAAATCACTTCCATCACTTCCCGCTTCTATGGTAGCGCCTGAAAATAATCCACCCCCACCGTCCTCTTCCGATATATACTCCGATTCAACAACAGAACATCTTCCTCAGTCTAGACAAGAAGATGACCGGGCAGCTAAATCATACTCTTCACACCAAGGTATGTTTGAAGTAACTCGTGGCGAAAGCTTTGATGTTGGGTTTGGCTAAAATGTACATTTTTTTGCTAGATAATAACCAACTCCTCCCCTCGAGTACGTATAATAGCAACCGTCAATCGGTAGCTACCCACAGGTCAGATGGCTCCGGCGGTGGTGAAGAGTTCCTTATACCTGTTGCTTTTGACCCTACTCCTTCCGAGCATGCGTCCCCACACTTGGGTTCTCCGCACTCATCCATGACCCTGAACGATGGACAAAAGGATTATTTTGGCCGGGCACCCTCCAATGCACTGGGAATTTCAGCAGATGGGCCACCCGTGTTATCGCCGACGCATATTGCATATCAGGATAAGCGCCAAATGAACCCCAACCCACAGCAGTGGATTCAGGCAACTGTTACTCCCCCTCAATCTCAAACTACAAATAATGCTATCCAAAGAACTGGCTCGCACAGTGCTCGAACTAGCATGAACATAGACAGCTCTAGGATATCGCAAGAGGGTTCAAGAGGCAAGGATCAAGCCACTTTGGGTGGCAGCGCCCACCTCACACCAGGTGAAAGGTCATCTAATCGCCATTCAGTCCCAGGAAAGGATACCATTATCTCTCAATCATCCAGTTTCAACCCAAGGAAAAAGGTATTAAATGAGCAATCCAACCCCGGAACAGTTTCTTCCTCAAATCAGCTGCAGTACCCACCCAAGAGAGGGGACTCTCTAGAGAGCAAGCTACATCATAATATCCAAAGGAAAGAAATACCACAGCCTTCACAGGACCATGCGGAGAAGCCGGAGGGTACCGTTAGGTCCTCAACTAGTTCTGACTATGCATCGGTAGCTTCGAAAGCCGTTGAAACTACGCCGCCAAGCCACTTCAATACCACCACCGGTGGTGCGGGTGCTGTATCACCGTCCCATACGAGGTCTGCATCTGGAGGAGCGAGCGGAAATGTTTTACCCCCGGACTCTCAGCGTCAAAATCCATCTGGTTCTTCTCCCGGCCTTCTACGTTATAGTGCTGTTGGAGACTTCTCTCTAGATGAAGATATGGCACGAATTCTTGGGGATGACCCGCAAGCTCAAGACTCATTCCTACGTAAGGTGTCGAATTCTGTTCGACACGGTAGAAGCTTCAGTGACAAAGGCTCACGGTTATCCCGAGATAGCAAATGGCCTGCTAAAACTCCCCTCGAGGCAGGCAACTCTGGGAATGATATTAGTAGCCCAACTTCTAGTGGACTTGACCCCAAAGATGAACTAACGTGGCTCAAGAGCGAATTGAAACGGGAACGCCAGAAGGTTATTGAAAAGGATCAGAAGATTTTGGAATTAGAGACCTCGCTTAATGCTACTGTAAATATTAAGCAGGTCAATACAGAGCTACGGGAGAAGAGATCTACCGTGATCTTCTTAGATGCTCAAAAAGAGATCATCCTCCGGGAGCTGGAGGTATGGAAGGAACACATCGCAGCTGAGAAGAAAAATAATAAGCCGCTTGACCTGGGGAAGATGAGCAATTCGGTTCTTCGAGACCTGGCGGAATCTCTGGAGAATTTGAAAAATACTTTTGCCCCGCAGATCGAAGAATTGATTCAGAAACGCAATGATTTGGTCGAAGAATTATCTAATTTAGGGAAGATGAAAGACAAGAGTTTCCAGGAATTCGAACAATTGTCTCTGAAGAATGCGCAGTTGGCAGAATTAAACAACCAGCTGGTGCACCAAATTCAGGAATTATACAAGGCGAACTCCAATACATCTGGTGGTAGCGTTCGACAACCTCCTCCAAATGGCTTAGGAATATATTCCCACCAAAAAGACAAACCAAGTACCTCATTAGAAGCACGTTCTACCCCATATGAAGCGGTAGGCTCCAGCTCTAGCGTTACAGTGCCGGAAGAAGCCGAGCCGGCCACAGTCATTCAAGGCCCCCATGTTGTGAATATTCGCAAAGGACAACCCAAGAAATTCACCTGGAAAAAGGGTCAGAACGTTGCAAAGGGAGTTACCAAGGGCCTTAAGGGGGCATTTTTATATCAACGAGAGGGCCAACTTAACGAGAACTCTTCGTTTGTTTCCACCTCTCAACAAGAAAATAACGGTTCCACAATGCCACGCTCACAAACACAGGACCCATCCAGGCAAGGGTTTGGATTCTTTGGGAGCAATCAGAAGACCAAGCCCACTCCATGGAAGGGACAGTCCAACGGAAGTTCACCCGGTTTGGATACTCCAACGAGTAAGCTCATTTTGCGATCTATTTCTTACTGTCTGCTTTGTTTAGTAGAGCTAACATTTGCTAGATCTCTTTGGTGGCGAGCTGGAACAGCGCTTGGAAATTGAGAAAGCTGTCATACCTAGTATTGTCACTCGTTGTATCGAGGAAGTTGAACTTCGGGGTAGGGATGCTTCGATCTACCAACTATTAAAATATTTGCTAATCTGGGCTCTGCAGGAATGGACGTTGAAGGAATCTATCGTAAATCTGGAGGGAGTTCCCAAGTCCAGGCTATCCGCGAAGGTTTCGAGCGTTCTCGCGACTACGATATATCGGATCCTGACCTCGATATTAATGCCATTACCTCCACCCTTAAACAGTATTTCCGAATGCTCCCGACTCCGCTCGTTACATACCCTGTGTATGATATCCTTATCGAAGCAACAAATGTGACGCCCGTCTCAGCGAGAATTGAGATAATCCAACAGGCCCTTCAGGAACTTCCTCGCGTGCATAGGGATGTTTTAGAATTCCTCGTTTTTCACTTGAAGCGTGTTGTTGATCGCGAGAAGGAAAATCTTATGACTAGTCTCAACATTGCTGTCGTTTTTGCACCTACCATCTTGCGCCCCGAGAGCTTAAGTCGTGAAATGACTGATGTCCAGAAGAAGAATGAAACGATTCAGTTCATGGTAGAGAACTGCCAGGACATATTCATGGGCATCGAAGAGTGAAATGTTGCTAACACCGCAACTAGGCTAGAATTGCGGACACAGCCAAGGTCAAGCTACAACCTCTGCTAACAGCCCTTTTCCTATTTCTCTTGATGGATAAAACAATTTCAGGAAGAAAATTTGGAGGGGCTACTTTTGCATTATGCCTTCCTATTGCCTGACATAATTTATCTTTCCTCATTTCGCAACTCCTTCCCGATCCTCTCCAAACTTCTGGCTTGGCTGCTAATTTGACAATGGCTACAGCGTCTTACTGTCTCTTCCTCCGCTCTACACCGATTACATGTGGCACGCCATTTTTCTATTTCGCTTCTTCAATTTCGCAAATGGGAAAACAAAAGGGGGAAGAAGTACTGGAATTGAAACACAACTTCGGAAATCATAGAAACTTTCTGCTGGCCCAGATTGGAGTATGATTTTATTTCCCTTTTCTTGCGTCCTCTATTTATCCCCCTCTTAATGCCTTTTGCAGCTACGATGATTTTGCCACTCTTGCTTTTGTTCTTGTGTCATTCCTTTTTTCCTTTCTTTTCTTTTCTTTTTCTTTCTTTCTTTTTTTTTTTTTTTTTTTTTGACTTGTTGAGAGCTACCCCCTTTTTGCGCGTACTACTTGTTTATGGTTTTGTCCAAATACCCTTCAACTCTTCGACTTATTGCTACTTATCTAGTAGCTAGCAAATTAATAGCAAGCAAGAATGATTACGATAGTAGATTAATTATGTCTAGTAGTAAAAATGGAGCAACAATCAACTAGCATGGATATGCAGATGACTTGCTAGGGTCCGTCATTCGTGTGGAAATTGAATGCTAGAGTATTATTGATCTATAAGTAAGCTTAAAACGTTTCATCTACACCAGAGCGGCGAATAATACTTGGGCTATTGTTAGGGTCATCATAAATATCGCCCAGATCATCAGTCAGCTCGCTCGCCCCAGCAGTGTAGAGTAAATCCGAAACGATTCGCTTCGAGGCTTCCTTTGCTGTATCGTTGGTAATGTATGTGAGTATCATGTTATAACCAAGGGGAAGCCGAAAGTTGAAGTGAACATACCTGGAGTTTTCATTAGTCGACTTTGCGGCACGTGGAACTGCATGGTCTTTGGTGGGCTAAAGTCAACGAGCGCCGAGTCATCTTCATCATCATCATCCGCATATCTGCCTTTCTTAAAGTCCTCATCACTGTCCCACTGGTTTGGATCTCCTTTGAATTTATTTGAAGGTGTGGCTAGAATACTAACTCCAGGAGTTCTGGTCTCGCTGTGGTTGCGTTTAGCCGCGCTGCGTCGAATCATAGGTGAGTCGAACAACTCTGTGTGTAGTTTAGGCGCTTCTAGCTCAGGGCTTGAAAGAGGAGAATCATCCAGCTTATACCGGGAAGTAGATGGAGTAGCGACGTTAAATTTATTGTTCCCTTTAGCGGTAGTAAGCCTTCGTGTGTTTGTCAGTGGGGTTGCCTGAACACGATACGTTTTATCCAGAACCCGGTGCATGAGAGGGTCGGCCCTATCCCCCTTTAGAGCCGTAGATAGGTTAAGTTTCGATGTAGGATTGAACGCGGTAGATGAGGAAGTATTAGGTGTAGCAATTTCGTTATATCCAAGCTGGTTTTCTTTCCCGGGGGTCCTGGGTCCTGCGCCGCAGAGCTGGAGGGGTGATTCAATAGCGGGTAGATTATCTTCACGTTGGTCAAAGGTTGAGGAGTATTCCATACGTGGGGAGGTAGTATCATCATCGGGTATGGCACGAGATGATATGCCCCTGGCACGCGGAGTGCTGTGTGAAGGGGATAATGAAAGTGTCGAAAGGTCAGGGTCATCTTCATCCTTAACCTTCTGGTTTATTGATATATGCTCCGAAGAAGGTGAAGCATAGGATTCGGACTCTTCTTGGTAAGTTGAGTCATCTGTAGCGGTCGCGTTGGTACTAACAGTAGCGTCCTGTTCATTATCAATTGGCGGTTGCTCCTCGTAGCCAGACAACGAAACGTTGGCGCTTGCTTCAAAGAACTGCTTCCAGAACTAATATCGTTTGTCAGATGAATGCGTTTAAGCGTACATATTGCAGTTTATTGCGATTCTACCTTGGAAGTTTCCCAAACGTCCTTTGAGTTCTCCGCGTATTGTTCAACGATTGGTATGATGCTAGAGGTAACGATCCGGTGGGCTTTATTAAAATTGGAATCGATTTCTGCGTTTCAATAGACACCACACATTAGCCAGCGGTAACGATACATCGAACCCAAAGACCACTTACCTTGTAATGTCAGAGTGATGGACTGTTCAAGTTTCTCCAGCTCCTCTGTAAGAGTGAGACTGCGCTGTACTGCTGGTGGATGGGACATGCTGCCGGAGAGAGACCGTCTAGCCGGCTGGTTGTTTTGCTCGTTTGACCGGCTATCGCGCGTTCAAGTACAAAAAAGCGTTGTTGATGTCTAAATTAATATAAATTTAAAATTTAATATTAAATTAAATTAGCTAATATAGCTAATTTTATTAATTTATTATATAGTTTAATCGAAAATTAATAATATTATATTAAATAAATAAAAATAGAAAATAATAAATTAATTATAATCAATTTAAAGGGGAAAAAAAAACTAACTTCGTTTCGACTTAAAGGTTGGTTTAATAATATATAGTATTACTTCTCGACCTCGAAAGGCTGGCTACACCTTTCAAAAACACTCTCGACAGTTTCCTCGTAAGTGAATGTAAACAGGCCACTCCACTCAAGATAATAAGCTTCCATAGAAGGGTTCTTCAGAATCATTGCAAATTCACCGCACGACTCGTGTGCAGAAGAATTCCGAGCGATGATATACTAGTAGATATATTAGTATATAATAATCTAGTTTATATATAGATAGAGGTATAATACCTTCTTAATATTTCTGATCGTCTTCCAGTACCTGGTCGGGATATTTGATTTTTGTAAGTCTTTATTAGTAAGCGCTGCCGCTCGTTGAATTAATCTTGTGGTTGACATCTCGTGGGTATCAGTTGGGAGTGTCTTCGAACTCGTTGGCGTATCTTTTTGGGTTATTTTTCTCACGATCTCGATAAGCATATTTCCGATGCAGAGGTTTGCTCTTTGGTGTAGTTGACTTTCCATATCCTTTTCTAAGATAGTTACTTTTTCAAGGTACGTGTTATTCATCTCCAGAGTTGCTTGATGTTGGTTTTTTAACAGCTGATTCATCTCCCTCAGCTCTGCGTTTTGCTGTTGTAAGACCTAATAGTATATATTATTATTTATTATTTGGATAAAGAAGAAAAGATTCATATACTTACTTCCATTTTGTTACTGATGGTCTTTAGCACTGGGGACAGAGGGACTACCACAGGGATACTCTGCCGAGTGCATTCAGTACTCTTCTCGTCCTCTTCCACAGATGATAGCAGTCGTATTCGCTTCCCATCAAGTTGGTCGATCTGGAGCTTCCTCTTCAAGCCTCCTATAGCGTGGTCACTCGTTATAAAATCAGATGGCGACATGCTTTTGTGGCTCTCTGAGGGAGGGGTTAGCTCAATAGTTATAAATGGTGCCATATTGACGGTGTCGATGGATTCAAGGACGGAGTCGATGGGTTCAAGACAACTTACGATGTATGTAGGCTTGCGTATGGAGAGGAAGGGTTAGTTGTTTGTGCCGTGTGGAGAGTAAGGAAGAATGGTTATGTCACTCGCTTATAGCAGGCGTGGAGTGAGTCACGAGTCACGTGAGCACCAAAGTACAGCAAGGACGTGTTTATGGAGAGCATCAGTCTGCGCTCAAGATTTATATATTACCATAACTATATTATTGATTGCTTACTGGCATTCTCGTTGGGCTTTCATTCATATTGCCACATAACTTTCTCATTCTTAGTAGAAAGTGGTCTCGTGGCTAAAAAATGTCGGGCTTGGTATATATAAACCCCAAACCAGACGTTAAACGTATAAGTAAGCAAATGGGATCGCCCCCGCCTATGTAAAAAAGCCCCTAATGGAAGCTACGGCTCCAACTTGTGTATTGAACCATGGGTGAAGCGCTGCTTATATCGGCTTAGTGGCAGCAGGAGCAGAACTGGGCACGCGACCACATAAAGCATCACCGTGGACAGCGTAGGAAGATGAAACACATGCAGCAGACTTCATTCTCTCTCTTTAACGAACCTATTGTTATTTGTTGCCTGTGAATTACATGTATAAGGCATCCTACCCGAAGTGATTATCAGTTGAAACAGTCAAGTCAATATCCCATATTGTTATTCCTTCAAACAGCTCCAACATCAATTTGGACCACGCCACCCAGCCGTCCCGTAACAAATGCCTCTAGGAAATGCCAAAACGTGACAGTGTAGGTATACGTGTGCCGAGTGACGATGAAAGTCTTAAGGTCGCTTTTGTTTCCAGTGTCGTTAATTATAAGCCATGCCATCATGGCTGTTTCACAAGCCACATCGAGACCCGTGAAAGAGACGCTTGGTAAATACTTCGATGAACCTGGGACGGATGACACCCTTCGCCATTATGATAGCAGGTTTTTTAAGGGGGTTGTAGAGCCTGCAGATCGAGTGGAGAGCTTGACGGATATGATTCGAGCATATCTGCAATTTTTCCAGGAGAACAGTTTGGAGACCTGGATAGCCCACGGCACACTTCTAGGTTGGTGGTGGAATGGAAAGGTAAGATCTTCATTTGATGCTAGGATATCTCAGAGCGGGTTGTTGAAAGTAGGAACTAACCCAGGTGATCGCGCATAGATACTTCCATGGGACTGGGACTTAGATACACAGGTCAGCTCTAATACACTCATATATCTCGGAAAATACCTGAATCAAACGGTCTATAATTACACTGGTAGCAAGCCAGGCAGCAGGAGGAAACGTCAGTATCTGCTAGATGTCAACCCGGCTTCACAAGACCGACACCGTGGAGACGGCCAGAATGTCATCGATGCTCGATGGACTGATATTTCCAATGGTATCTACACTGATATCACAGGAATCAGTGAGCTTAACTATGATACCGAGCCGGGAGTGCTCAGCGACAAAAATTTCCACCAGTACCGAGAAGCCGACATTTATCCTTTGCGCCAAAGCATTTGCGAAGGGGTACCTGCAAGCATTCCATTTAATTATATCGGTATTCTGGCAGCAGAATACGGCAATGCTTCTCTCTGGAGAATCACATACGAGAAGTAAGTTGGTGCCTTCAACTATTCACAAGTTGGTATCCGACAGCCAGGGGCTAATCTACCAGTAACAGTCATTCGTGGAATGGTGAATTGCGGGAATGGGTTCCATTTCTGTCTTAGGCCAACCGAGGAGTCATCCAATAACGGTGTTGAACAATAAGTTGTGTGGAAAGGATGCCTCTAAGCCAACTGACTGGGCTGTCGATAACACATTGAACTAGGGATATATCATGGTACAGCTTGCTGCCGGTGGTATTCTGATCATGGTTGATAGTTAAACCTCACAGTCCCGAGGAGTGACAGTTATTGGTTTTATCAGGATCGGGTCTAATGTTCTGCACACTATGGAGGCCATCGTTATCCAGTATGCGTGCATTTCACTTTGGATGATGTTCCTTGAATCCTTTTTCGGCTCCTTTCTTTTGACTTATATGAATAAGGTTCAGCGCTGAGCCTCGGCAACATTAAGTCCGCCTTAAAGCCGGTAACTGATTACTAAGCCAGACACCCAGCAGAAGAACAGCCAGCTTTCGACATCTTTCCAAATACAAAGCCAACAAGGTTGCGAATCATTAGCATAAATAGCTGATACGTCGGCTTCGAGACAGAAGCTATATGCAAAGTGCAGAGTTATTATAAGACTTTTGGCTAGCTAATTCACAATGGACGCCAACGAAATGCAGACCATCTCAGACGAGCAAGGCAACATCAATATCACAGTTCATCATCAAGGCAACGCTCACTCTATATCACTGCCATACGGTTCGACACTTCAAGATCTTTCGGAGGAGCTTTCAGAGAAACTGTCCATTCCATTGCATAACCAAAAGTTACTTATTTCACCCAAACCGGGCCTGCAGAAACCTCCGTTTCCGCCAACGCCGTTATCCTCCCTCCCTCTAGATTCCCCTCGAGCAAAGATAACCCTTCTGGGTAGTACCAGCGGTGAAATAGAGTCTCTAAAGAGACCTCTGTCGTCGTCTCCGGCCCGAAAATCAATAATAAAACCTGCAAAACCATCCGCACGCCCGACACATTCATCTTCCTCCCAATATACATTCCATAAGCTACTTCCACTACCCTACCTACCCAATCCTGAACGAAGCCTTAATTTCCTCGCTCGTCTACGAGATGACCCCGGTATTCGCAAGGCGATGACTCGCCATCGATTCTCGATTCCTTTACTTACTGAAATGGATCCCGCACAGCATACGACGATGTCGTCTCGTACCCTCGGCCTGAACCGAAATAAAGGGGAGGTTATCGAACTTCGACTTCGAACAGATGCATATGATGGATATAGGGATTATAGGACCATACGAAAGACATTATGTCACGAACTTGCACATTGCGAGTTTAGTGAACATAATCGGGACTTTTGGGACTTGACAGGACAGATTGAAAAAGAAGTCGAAAGAGCCGACTACTGGGGAAATAAAGGCCGAAGTGTTAGTGATGAGGAGTTCTATAATCCTGTTGACTGGGAAGATATGAATGCCCAAGGGGTTGTAGACCACGGCGGTTGGACCGGAGGTGAGTATGTTCTTGGTGGCTTACCTGGAGAGTCAAGTGAGACTCGGCCAGCGAACTCTCAGAAAGGCCTGAGTAGGCGAGAGATTCTGGCCAACGCTGCCGAGGCTCGAATGGCAAAGGTGAAGCCACAGGAGCATTCTGAAGATAATCCCAGCAGTAAGGATGAACGGGATCCCTGATGAATATATATGACACTGATATCATTGGAACATAATTCATGAATTCTATATACCCAAGGAGCAAGGCTAGCCATCCATTATATTTAATGAAAAGAAGATAAACGATTTACTGTTCATTAACAAACAGACCAGCCATTCCCTGTCCAGTTCCAATGCACATACTGGTAACTAGGATCTTTGCGTTTTGTCTCTTTGCCTCGTTCATGATGGTGCAGACCTGTCTTGTGCCTGTGCAGCCAAGTGGGTGGCCGAGGGCAATGGCACCTCCACATGGGTTAACCTTAGCGTGGTCAAGTCCGAGAGTGTTAATACAGTAGACAGCCATGGAAGCAAAGGCCTCGTTGATCTCAAAAATATCGACATCCTCCTTGCGAAGGTTGAACTTTGAAAGGAGTTTGGGAATTGCAATAGACGGGCCAATTCCCATGATGCGTGGTGGGACGCCAGCAACGGTAGCGCCGACAAATTTGCCGATAATAGGCTGGCCGAGTTCTTCGGCCTTTGAGCGCTTCATGAGAAGGACGGCAGCGGCTACTAGAGTATTAGTATTGCAAAATTTCTTCAAGTATAAATTAAAGAAGTTGGCAACTACTCACCTCCATCAGTAATTTGACTGGCATTTCCACCGGTGGTTCTGTCACCAAACTGAGGGAAAGCCGGACGAATCTTGCTCAATGCCTCAAAGGTAGTACCGTATCTTGGGCCTTCATCTTTCGTTACAGTGATCTGCTTAACTTCTCCAGACTTAGGATCCTTTACCTTTGTGGTAATCGGAATAATCTCGTTGACAAAGTGTCCAGCCTTCTGTGCCACTTCAGCACGACGGAAAGACTCAACCGCATATCGGTCCTGAGCCTCACGGGAAATGTTAAAGTCAGCACCGACGTTCTCAGATGTCTGACCCATAGGCTGAGAGCAGTCAGCCGCATCCTGGTTGGCGAGCACTTCTGACGCAAATGGAGCGGGCTTTCCAGTGGGGCCTTTGGTCATGGACTCGGCGCCAACGGCAATACCAATCTCAATGGATCCGTTGGATATTTGATTGGCGACATCTTGGATAGAGTAAAGACCGGAGGAGCAGAATCGGCTGACGGCCGAGGCGCCGGATGTATAGGGAATTCCGGCAGCGAGAGAGGCAGCACGGATGATGCTAGATGCGCGCTCGTTGTTCGACTATCAAATCACAGTTAGCTACCAAATATGTGAGACAGCAGCGAATCAAGGCAGGCTTCCTTACGCATCCCATGACAACGTCCTCAATGATACTTGGATCAAGCTTGGAGCGAGAGACAACTTCCTTTAAAAGAGAGTACACAATATAATCGAGCTCGGTATCCTTGAAGCTTCCCTTGAAACCTCGAGCCATGGGGGTTCGTGCCGCAAGAGTAATGACGATATCATCGGGATTCTTCTGGGTACTGCACAGACTACATTAGCAACGTTCAAGCTCAAATGTCCATATTCCATCTGCACAGGCGTATGATGGCTTGGGGCGTGGGCGTACATCTTCTGGACAGCACTGCTTCCACCAGTAGCAGGCTTGAGCTGCGCTAGAACAGCGTTTAGTCTTGCGGTAGCCATTTCGATAGACGGGTCTTATATAAGCTGTAAAAAGAGAAAGAAATGTACGCTTGTTTTCAAGAGATGACGAGAGAAGGAAGAAATAAATAAAATAAGAAAAATGGAGGGGACCTCGGAGCTATAAATGCAGCTAATACGAGCCGAAACTAGTTGAAAGCCAGGGATGCTGCGGAGCGCCGTCACCTAGAAGCCGCAGAACCAGGTTTGTAAATCAGCAATATCACTGAGAGAGGACGCGGTTTGTCAATCTTTCAGAGAAAGTGGATGAAGCGAATGCGGGCCTTGTGCGGCGGTATCTTGATATTTATAGCACGCGAGGACTTGCGGCTTCGTTATAAGAAGGGCGGAGGTTGCTTTTAGGGTTGCCGCGAAAGAGCCGAGGCAATTGCCTGTTTCGGTCACGTCTCTAAACGCCGAGATAAGGCCGACCGACCCAAGCAGAAGCAAGAGGGGAATTGGAAAGCATCTACGAAAGCTGCTTGTACGATGAAATTCTAGTAAATTCATTCTGTATTCCTCTATCCGTGTAATTAAAAACGATTTTTAACACTTTTAACCCTTCTGTTTGTGGTCATTATACCTGCCAACCAGGCGATAAATGGGCAAGAGGACAGACGACCTTGGTATGAGAAAAAAAAAAAAAAAAAAAGGAAGACAAAACAGCAAGGAAAGCAGAGCAGAAGAGAACAAAGGCCATTGCATTGTAAACATATGAAACATGGGAATGGTAGAGGTGTATGGCATGGGGAATCGGTAGGACGTGTAAGTAGTGCAAACACCAGCCTCCAAGATGTCGTGAATGCTAAAGAAAAGAGGAAAAGTCATTTCATAAACATTTTTTTTTCTCATATGCGTGCACGTGTGCGCGTGCAGTTTACTCGACTTCCTCCATCTTGGAGTCGCCGTTCGCATCAGTATTGTCCACGGTGTCGCCCTTTATTTCGACGTGCTTCTTGGGGGCAGCTGCTTGTCTTTCGGCCTCGAGCTTGTCGAGATAGCGTTGCACAATTGGACCAGAAAGGAAGCGGATATCATCCATCTTGGACATGTAGACTGCCTTAGTGGTGTCTTCACCCTCCTCATAGAGCCAATCCTTAGAAACTTTTATTAGTACCAATATTCTATAGGCCATAGGTTTAGAGGGCCGACATACCTCGGTGCTGGTGAGTTTGGCCCTGAGCTTCTCTTTCTCCTCCTCGCTTGCGTGCTCAGCGTAGACACCGTCAATCTTATCTCTGAGTTCATAAATGAACGATTCAAGTTCATTCTTCTTGTCTTCGGTATCGGCAACGAGCTTGTCCTCCATAAACATGGCATTTTCTTTTTCGGCCAACTTCTCGCGAGTAGTAGGATCAAGCGAGGTAGATCCAACAACAACGGGGAGGTCTCCCTTGCGGAGCTGCTTCTTAACCTTGCGCATCTTCGGTTTGGCTTCGGCTTCGCCGTTGGCATCGTCTGTATCCATGGTCTGTTTCCACAGTTTTCTTATGTTAGAAAACACGCTCTTTGTCGTAAAGATTACCGGAAAAAGGGATATGAGTTAGCGGCATGGGGCAACGCCGGCATAATGGATGTACTTACCTCGCCTTCTTTCTTCTCCTCAGGAATTGGTTCCTCAACTTCAACATCCTCCACGTAGTATCCGGATTCAATGTTCAGGATTCCGTGCAAATTCAGTCTAGCCTTGAGCTTGCAGATCATGAAATCGGAGTTGGCATCAGCGGTGACACCCTTGACGGAGAAGCGTCCAATCCAGGGGTTGGTCTTGCCAGGGAGCATGTCTGGTTTGGAGTAGCGGGCTTCCAAGTCAAATGGCTGCTTTCGGTAGAACGTAAGGATTTTAGTGGAAGGCATGATGTTGCCCTTGTTGAAGACGGTCAGGGAGGTGGCCTCATCTGGGATATCGGGAGATTGTTCCCAGGTGAATTCGATAGGGTAATTGATGACGTCGTGAACGGAGAAGTCACGGACACGGAAAACGGGCGATAAGATAGCACAGCTGAAGGCACAGCCACGAGCAACGGCCTCATCCTGGTTTAGGGTGAAGGAGAGTTGCTTGCCGAAGAACTTACTGATGGCCTCCTTGATAGAGGGGACACGGGTACATCCACCGACCATCTCAATGCTATCAATCTCCTCTGGCTTAAGGCCAGCCTCGGCGAGAGCCTGTTCAAGAGGGACAGTGATACGGTCAAGAAGTGGCTTGATCATCTCTTCGAGTTCCTCACGCTTGACCATGGCACGGACATCGACATCGTTCATAATGGACTCAATGCTGATGGGTGCCTGGGCGTTGGCAGAGAGGATCTTCTTTAGCTTCTCAGCAGCTGCAAAGGTTCGAGTCATGGCCTTGGGGTTGGTCTTGATGTCAATCTTGAACTTCTCTTTGAACTCCTTAGCAAGGTGGTCGACAAGGGCCTTGTCTAGAGCTCTGCCGCCAAAGTGACGGTCCCAGGCAGTTCCTTTGACGTTAAGCTCTCCCTTCTTGAACTCAACGATGGCACAGGAGTAGTTGCAATGGCCAATATCAACAAAGGCAACACGCCGGGGGGTCTCGCCTTCAGCTGGAAGATCCAACTTCGTGATACCGTAACCAAGTGCAATGGCGGTGGTGTCGTTGATAAGGCGGAGCATATTGAGACCGGCAATCGCGGATGCATCAATAAGTGCACGACGCTGAGCATCCGTGAACCAGGGTGGAACACTGACGACTACATCAGAAACGGGCAGCTTCAGCTCGGCAGAAGCGGTGGATTTGATTTTGGTGAGGTACATGGCAACAAGCTGGGTAGCAGAAAACTGCTCCTTCTTGCCCATATAACTAACCTCAGCACCGGCTTCGCCATTGACATCTACCAGCTTCGCAGAGCAGAATTCCTGCTCCAGCTGGACATCCGGGTCGGAGAATTGTCGTCCAACGAGAAGCTTCAGGGAGCCAACGGTATTCTTCAGGTTGGAGATCTCCTGTGTCTTGGCTGGTTCACCGATGTATCTGCTCTTGGGGCCGAACCCGACGAGGGACGGTGTAGATCGGTTGGAAACTTCATTTGTGACCTAAAGGGTTTGGCAAAACACAGCGAGCCTTTGGTCAGTGAGAGATGAACTGAGGGCTCTGGGAGGAGGTTGAACATACAATATCAATACCCTTATTCCGGGCAACACCAATCTTAGTGCTGAGGGCACCAAAGTCGATACCAACGACACTCATGATGGCGAAATATGCGTCTTAAATTCGGGTACTTTAGTTATCTATAATAACAAAATAGTTAGCTAAACGGTATCCAACCTGCGTTTATAAAGCACATAACATGAAAGTATAAGGCAAATAGGATAGAAAGGCAGATATCAATAGATGAATAAAGATCAGTTCAGGGTGGTCAAAGTTGGTAGTGAAGCAACGCCACTCTCAGACATCGCAAGAAGGCCTTAGGAGAGAGCAATGGCATTCTTTCTTCACATTCAGGTCTCTTTCTTTTGCTCTTGATCCCCCAGTATCTAGGCCAGGAGATTGACAAGGGATGCGGGAGAGGTAGGCGGTTAGTTATAATAATCATTGTGGGATACCGCTGTGCATCCCTCCCTCCCTCTCACTTTGGACCATGCAAGTTGAAGCCATAGCGGAGGATTATACTTGCGTTCCCCCTTCCCAACGCCTCCTAGGGACCAACCTAGGCTTGCAGTAGACAGGCCGGAGAGAGATGTTGACTGCCGAAGCATCCCATAGAGAGCGCTATCAAAATTGAGAGATAGCTATGGAGGGGCAATCAAAAAAAAAACATATGGCGGGCGGTGGACAAACATCAAGAAAAGAGCAGATCCCACTTACATTCGTTTCTTCTGATCTCTTTCTCTCCGGTCGAATAAGTAAACGAGTCCAGCGGTCTGTGACGGACACTCGGGGAGGTCGACGCTCTCTAGGACAAGGGCGAGGCGTTGCGTTGTTGCTGCTTGGGGGGATCTCCTTTTATGGTCGCAGAGAAGCAAAAAGGCGGTTTTTTTTATTTTATTTAATTTTATCTTTTTTTCCTGTTTTTCTTTTTTGTTCTTCTTTTTCTTTTCTTTACATTTTTTTGCTGGCACTTTAGGCTTGGCATCACGTGATCGAAGGTTCTGGCTTTTGCTGGAAGCGAAAGGACGAAGAGCGAACTGATAGAGAGAGTATCTGGTAGTAGTTGTTGACGGAGCTGGTTGGTTTACAGCGGGCAAGGGACAGGTATATATTTGTAAGTCTACTTTTATCCAAGCTAGCGGACCAAGAGTCGGACAGAAGAGGGAGAAAGAGAAGAAGGAAGAGAATTAAGGTGAAAAAGCATGAGACGAAAGAAGACATATAATAACTAAACATCCCGTAACTAAACATCCCGTCTGCTGGCGTATTAATCTGGTTTCTGTCATTTTTTGGTGGTGTCGCCTGGCGGAGGCTTGATTAGACGCCTTCGGTCCCGGCCCCTTTTCTCCTCTGACGTCCCTTCTTCATCAGTCTCTAGTGCCAGGCTCTCACAGAGAAGGCTGGACGAGTCGCGGCCTCGTCCCTCGAGGATAGGGCCGTCTGAGTACCGCCTGGTGAGTGGGCTTCTTGCTGTACGGGCTCGGCAGGGCCGCTCGGGGCCAGCGAAGGGTGAGTTCCCTGGTGCGCCGTCTGTGGCAGGGAACTCGTAGGACACGCTCCTTAGACTCGATGGGGAGCTCGGCTGGCTTGAGAAATGTCCCATCTCGAACTCGCTCATGGAAGCGTCACCGATGCCCAGAGCTGCGCTTCGCCGGGCTATCTCTATCTTCTTGTGGTCCTCTAGCCCCACGAAGACGCTTCTCCGGTCCTGGGCAATGAGATACTCTACGCCACATGGCCAGCCTATAGACGTTGCCCTTGAGCCTGCAGTAAAGGCAGAATCCAAGGAAAGCCGGGACTCTAATCCCGCACCGTGGGTGAAGTGTGTAGGGAGAGTAAGGCCTGACGCGTTGGTATTCTGATAACATCCATTTGGGCCTAAGGTAGGGGCGGCAAACCGGCCCTCGGCACCCTCGGGAGGCTGCACTGGAACTGGGTCTTTGCCTTCAGCCGCAGGGGGGAACGTATTCAGGTCTACATTAAGCTCATCTCCAGCAGCCTCAGCCATGTCGGCTGCCTCTGTCGGCGATGTGTTGTCGTCAGCAGCTGCTGCATCTGCTCGTGGACCACCCCATGTTCGCTGACCGGCTGTGAATATACCATTAACCATGTAGAGCCAGTTGAAAAACGGGTTTAAAAGGAACATTATCGGGTATAACCAAGCCTTGAAACGACGAAGCTTCAATCCAAAATAAAGCATAAGCAAATAATTCAATCCAAGAGACACTGCAATGAACCCAACAGGGAGATTTTGAATCTTGTTAGATGTGGTAATTACCGAGATCACCATTATAAAGAAGAGCAAAGCCGTGGTTCTGATCGTGTTCTGCATGAACCGCACAATGCATAGCAGTGGATATCGATACCATAGCCTTGCATCGGTAAGCATGCAAACTTCGTTGGTAATAAAGCCCAAGAACCAACGTCTTCGCTGTTTCAACAAACTTCTGAAAGTTTGAACCGCTTCCGTTTTGCAAAATGCGCTGGTACACATTTGGATCTGGTACCTGTGCCTAGCTCCAATCATGAATAGATGCGTGAGCCAGCGGTCCTCTCCCAAATGGCACTTGCCAAAGTCGAATAGATCGGCACACTGCTCGGCTTTATCTGCAAAGTAGTACTTTGCCATCTTCCGGAAGGCAGAGAAACGAAGGATAGTGAGAGCTCCGGGGAGACAGGTAACAGCACCACAGCCAGACTCTACAGATCGCTCAAATAGTTGTCCATGTATATATTCCATGTCCTGCAACAGTGTGATCAGTGTGGTCTTTTTTGTTGTTGATGTGATCACACCCGTCATCGCCAGCATGTTGCGTTTGCTTCCAGGTTTGAGTTCCATGTCATACATAAAATTCTGCAGGCACACGCGGTCGAGGATACAATCCGAGTCAATAAATAGGACGAATAGATTGTCGTTTTGTAACAGGTATTTGGCGTAGACCTTGTCAATTAGTCTGAAGGTTTGTTTCTGGCAGTGGCGCTTTCCTCCATGTTTGAATCGAGAGAGCGTGACTCTGGCGCCCTTATACGACACATCTATGCTGGTTGGGTATTTCTTTAGTCCAATTGGGATACCAAGAAATCCCGCAACAGCGAGGTACGATTCATCCACCTCATCGCCGTCGTATGAAAGAAACACATGTATGCATTGAGGGGGGTAGTCGCAGTCGACAACGGAATTCACAGCTTTGAGGAGAACCTCGGGATCCTCTTTGTATACCGGCATGACAACCACGGTTTTGGGCGCTGTCTTATCGTCGAGAACTTCTTTGATGCGTTTGGTCCTGCCAAGTGAGTTCGTAACCAGCCTGTAGACACAGAACAGCCACGGCACAATGAGCAGGACGGCGAAAGTCCAAAAGGCAAACCATTGTAGAAACGATACCAGCTCACGCGGGAAGTATTGTGTTATCGTAGGTGGCAGCGGAAGTGTGACGACCATGACCGGAAGGAAAATACCTCTAATTCACCATTATTAGCTCTGACAGCTTGTTGGGGTCCACCAGGCTGAAATAACTAACCTGAGCGCAGTGAACAATATCATCATAACGATGGCGAGAATTTTCACACTGAAATGTTCTGCCTTCACGAAGACTTTGTACAGGCAATATAGGAAAGCCGCAAGCCATAGAAACCATTCCAGGAAGGCCGCAAGCATGACAGGCCCGATGATTGCCACGTAAATAATCTAGATAATAAGCAAACTGTGTTAGTCTCTACAACCATCTCTCCCCCTGAAACCATGGGTAAAACGGGTAACATACATCCTGGACAGGCCATTCTGTCAACAGCTCCTCCGAAGATACCATCGCGTCGTCGATGAAACTACGATCCTCCTGCTGTTACTTTCAACAAGCCTTGTGGATAGGATTGCCAGGCGGGTATATAACCTCGCTGTCTCGCTTTCGAGACCCAAGAGATGGTGCGTGGGTTGACTTCCACCGGTGGTTGTGACAGCCCTGCCCTCTCAGATTATACAATCCCACCTGCAAGAGGCAAGAAGATTTGGTGAAGGATCTCACCTTATGGCCAGTAACTAAGCTGCAGGGGAGGGAGCGCCTTGGTACCCCTTGTCACTTTGTATGGTTCGTGAGAGGGAGGGAGAGAGTGTGTGTGTATGCGTGAGTGTGATGGTGTAGTTCTTCGGGTGAAGTTGCGAAATCCTTGGGTGAAGAAGTTGTTCAGCGGGTGATGTCCCTTTTTGGTATCAACAACGACAACCCTTAAAAAAAGGCCGCTGTAACCATCGCGGTCAATCCCAGAGCAAGTAGAACAGAAACGAAAATAAAGAGGACTGCTGAGAGCTGATTAACTAGAAATACTAGTCACCCTTTGCGTCTCGACCCCCGGCGCCCAGCGTGGTAGATTACTAGTTATTCCAGCTACTAGCACAAAGAACACAGCCAGCTCGAGGAATATCCACCGCTCCGGACCAGCAGTCCGAGTTAAATAACTGGTATCAAAGGGGAGAAAGCGCGGGTCTTGCTGCTAGGGTTGTAACCTTTTAAAAAAGAAAAAGACGCCCAGAGGCAAAGGACATGATAAGTATGGTCCTTGGGCAATCGCTATGGAGCCGTTCCATTTCACTTTCCGCTGGCCAGCGCGGCGTTCCGAAGCTGCAAAGAGACAAAATGAAGTGGAATTCTAGCCAGGGACTTTTTCTCTTCTTCCAGTTGGACATGCCAGACCTCGCTGTCGATTGCATTGCAGCCATACCCAGGCGTTTGCACAGCCAGGGGCCTCCCCGTGAGCCTTGACCAACCTACACACATTGCCAGCAAATCAAGGAACAACAGGGGAAAAGACTAAGGATATTTTTCCCCTGCAATTTGGATTGGGGAGGGGGAGGGGGTCGAGGACGGCTTGCAAGTAGTTGCCACTGAAATCCGGTAACGCAGAGTCGCAGGACATGTCTCAGATCGAGCATTCAGACAAGCGGCGTTAGCGAGTATTCCACGTTGTGCTTTGCTGTCTGTCAGATCCGCTCCGGCCAGCCGGCCACAAAGCCCAATCAACAGCTATGGCCATGTTGCAGTGCATGGCGGACGATCGATGCATGATTCTGACTCCGGTCGAAAGGTTTCTTTGCCAATAATAAAAAATAATAATAATATGCCAGCCCAGCCCAATCATCTTCGCCATCTCGATATTTGCGCCTCAGGAAAATACATGACTTTCTTTTCACATCTCCAGCTCCTTTTTTTTTCACGTAGCTAACTAGCTAGCTCACTTGCAAGCAAGTAGAATAATCTTTATCGATAGTGGAAGTGGAGGGAAAAATACATATCTGTCATGTACTGTAATATCCGGAAGCATCATGAGCCCTCCGCGGTGAAAAGCTCGTATTGACATTACATCACCAAGAAAAAAAACATGTGTGCCTTTTTTTATTTTTTTTAATTCTTTTTCGGAGCTTCAAGCGCGAAGCTTTTGCTCTCTATCGGACAAGACAACTAACTGCTGGAGGAGGCACTGACCATTCACCTCGACTAGAAGAGAGAAGCATCTCGCCTAGGGCATCTGTCCTTATCCTGATTTACTCCTGCATCCGTGTGAGTATCGAGAGCCCCCGCATGGATGGCGGCAGAGACTTGATATCGGGTTTATTCGCCATTTGAGGCTCAAAGAGCTAACTACTACTAGACCAGTGCCAGGCCGATTTCCAGCGAAGAATTAGAATGGCGGAAGAGCAGAAAGTAGCTGCGGCCGTGGATGCGACCGCCGATAATGCCGCCGCAGAGCAGGATGTGAAGGAAGTCCTGGCTGAGCTCAAATCTGACGAAGCCAGCAAGCAGGACAGCGCGGATGCTGAAAAGGCCGAAGAAGAAAAGATCGTTGCGGCTGCTAAGAGGCTAGGCGAAGAAGCTCTGTCAAATGAGACTGCAAAAGAAGCGTCAGAGACACAAAAGGGGCGTGGCAGCGGCCGTGGCCGTGGCCGTGGAGGAGTGCGCATCAACTACCGTGACAATATCAAATCGGATCCATCCTCCCTGGAGGAGACAGATGATCCTGTTGAGATCAGAAAGCAGGTGAGTGTGGCCGCCTCTGGCTTTTCCATGTTGTATGCAAGTTGGACTTTACTCACCCTTTGACAGGTTGAATTCTACTTCTCTGACTCCAACCTACCAATGGACAAGTTCCTCCTCTCCAAAGTTGGCGGTAGCGAGAACAGGCCAGTTGAGCTCGCTCTTCTTCATTCGTTCAAGCGAATGCGCCGTTTCCAGCCTTTCAGCGCTATTGTTGAAGCCCTCAAGAGCTCAGAGCTCGTCGAACTGGTAGATGACGACAAAGCTGTGCGCCGCAAGGTCCCTCTTCCAGACACCATCAAGGAGACAGCCGATTCATCAGCCGTCAAAATATTCGAGGATAAAGCCATGCATCGCAGCATATACGCCAAGGGATTCGGTCCAGAGGAACCCAGTACCCAGTTTGACATTGAAGCCTTCTTTACTCCCTATGGCCCCACCAACGCTGTTCGTCTTAGACGTGCCATGGATAAGACATTCAAGGGTAGCGTCTTTGTCGAGTTTGAGACTGAAGACCTGCAAAAGGCATTTCTGGCAGTTGAACCAAAGCCGAAGTGGAAGGGCACCACAGAATTACTTATCAAGAGCAAGAAGCAGTACTGTGACGAGAAGATCAAGGAGATAGAAGCTGGTCGTCTGAAGCCTAGTGACCGGTCTAGTGGACGAGGTGGTCGAGGAGGCCGCGGAGGCCGTGGAGGTCGTGGTGGACGGGGCGGTCGAGGTGGCCGTGGTAATGGTCGGGATCGTAGTGACCGAAACAACGGTGCCCAAGTAAAAGAAGAAGCCCAGGCAAAACGCCCTGAACCAGAGAAAGATAGCCGGTATGTTCTTGCAAGTTCGCAATTAGTGGGTTACAGCCCGCATAGGCACAATTCTAACTTGGCTTTTGATATAGCGCTGTTCCTGTCATCCAGGTATCCAGTAACAAGGCTGAATCTCAACAAAATGGAGGCGCCAATGGCCAAAAACGCAGCCGTGAAGAAGACTCTGGGCCCAAGGCTGATGGCAATACTGAGGAGAGACCAGCTAAGAAGGTTGATGCTAAAGATAGTTAAGCGCTCTCTATCCACTCTCGCCATTCTCTTCACACCAAGCCTCGATCATGCAATATCGAAGATATCAGTATATCTGAGAATAATCTTCAAAGTCTACTTTCCTGCACCTCGTTGCCATGACCTTATCCCTTCCATATTGGCAGGTCTGATCTATTCGCATTCTACCTTAATTTCATTATACCGGCGTGATGGGGCTAACCTGATATTCGAGATGAAAAAAAAAAAAAAAAAAAAAAGCATTACAAAAGAATTATCCGGGTTGGATTTGGCATTTCGCTTTCCTACAACGATGTATTTGTTTGTCCTCTTATCATGTATCTATATGACTAGGCCTAGTGGCATACAAATGGTACGTCTGTTATCAATTACTTGATTCTTACTTGCTGATTTAGACGAGCAGTTGTGACTTCGAATGCTCTCGGGAACCAGGTAGACAACGGCGCTCTATCGTCGTTAAACAGTATGCTGGTGAGTGCTTTTGCACATAAAAAGCACATTACCATGCCTGCAGAGTACGTTAGTGAGGAATCGATAACAAATAGCAACGGGGACAGAAGAACTGAACATTACCGTGCCCTTGAAATGAAGCTGAGATATACAGCCCGGGCTCTTCCGGAATGTCTCCTACCCACGGGAGCCCATCAATGCTATATCCCATGATGCCAGCCCACTCCTGTCGTACTCTGCCTTCAGCGCTGTCCTGGCCCCAATTGTCGCCAAAAAACATCTCTGTGCAGCTAGCCAAATATCCACTGATCTCCGGTGCAAGAGTGGTATCATCCGTTGCCCCGTACTCATACAGGCCTCGGCCCCTACCTTTGGTGAAACCTCCCCCTATCACGATATCGCCCGGAGACCTGGGCTCTTGGGAATAAGGAATCATATAGTCAAATCCACTAGCATATACAAAGGAATATGTATGTGCAAGCCCGTCCTTGGGCATGCTCACTCCGGGTCGTTGTGCAGTGACCTGTCCTTTCAACGGTACGATTCTTCCTTGTAGCGGAGGGTATAAGGCAGCAGTGTATCCGTTGGTCGCCATAACGACCTTAGAAGCCAGTATTTGGCCTCGGGGAGTCAAGATGCTCCAGTGTGGTTTATTATTACTTCCGCCTGGACTTGAAGTGATTCTGGTAACAGGAGTCCCGGTCTGCAGATTTGCACCCTTTGCCAGCGACAGCTTCAGCACTCCAATAACAAATTTGTATGCATTGATACTTCCAGCTTCATAAGTAATAGCACCGACGGCTCCTTTACACAGGTACTTCTCCTCTGCGTCTTTGCCGCTCCATAGGGTATATTTGCTGGCTGGGTCATCATCTCCCATGGCTTTTCGCATCGCATCGATGGTCTGCATCGACTCATCCCAGGCCTTTTGATCATAAACGATATCCACCGTCTCGAGTTCACGGCTGTCGCAAGGAATACTGTGTTCCCTGGCAAACGCGTGAACTTGCTTGATGGTATCATACTCCAGCCTCGCGATCTTGACTGCTTCATCTATGCCAACAGCAGCTGCGTGCGTAGCAAATGTGGTATATGAAGCTGCCTTTGTATGGCCGCCTAAGTATTCTCAGGGGTTAGCAGAGCTTTATCAAATAATTATACCGGCGTTATGTACCATTCCGTCCACTTGCTCCGCTGCATGCTTGCCTGGCTTCAAGAATGACCACTTTTGTGTGCGGTGACCGCGTGAGAATGTTGTATGCAATACATGCACCGCTAATACCAGAGCCGATGATAGCAATATCTGCATCCTGGGGCAGTTCAGTTGTCGAACGGAGGTCAGCAATCCCAGCTGGCGGATCTTGCCAGTACGAGGTAGTTGGCTTCTCCCGTGGGAGTGTCACCGGTATCAAGGCTCTCTCTTCCATGGCTGCTCGAAGAGTCATGGGTATAGACTCTGGAAGTACATCCGTCGATAACTACTCTGAGAACTTGGTGGATATAAATCTGCGAATTAAACTAGAGTTACCCCAGATTCAATCCTTCGATACGAGTTGACCAATTCAACCCAGCAGATATACAACCGCAAGTCTCTCCACTAAATGGCTGGATCAATAACTAGTTAACTACCTAGTTACCCTTAACTACTTCTCGTACCGACTAACGATGGAATGAGTCCACCATGACTCGAGAACAGTCACTTAAAGCTTTTCGGCCAAAGCAACCAATTTCTGTCTCTCCGATGCCTATCCTCCCGGCCTATCCGCATGGACTTCCCGGGTCAAGGCTAGTGTGATGGAGCATGGCAAAGCCGAGGGTGTGAAATATCCGTTGTCCCAGTAAGGGAGATTCCCTGACGATGGCAGGGGGGAACATTGCAACTATGAAGATCAACAACATGGCTGTCATACAAGTATCAGGGCGATTCTACATGCTCTAGTCCTCGATCACTGTGCATGAACATGCGGTCACTGTGACCTCTATGCTGTGGACGACGAATCTATAGCCTCCAAAGCCATATTCGCGCAGCATAAAGTTTCGAATAGTTGAAGGGATCAGCATGGTTCCTGGAACTGTCCAGATAGTTAACCGTGTGTGAGTACCAGCCCCCTCTATAGCCATGTCAGCCATGTCTTTTATTGTCAGATACTAGGAGTGTTTGATGCTAACTCAACAACATGAAGGACAGTGAAAGGAACATTGGATGTGAAGCACCAGGAAGGGGGGAAAATGATATCATCCTGGTACCCCAGCCAACAAATGACCCAAGTGACCCTTTAAACTGGAACAAACTGCGCAAAGAATACCATTTCTGGCTGCTCTGGATATGGGGATTCATTGCAACAGTCTCTGTTAACTGGGTCGGCCCAGTTTGGGTGAGACTATTGCCTTGAGGTTCAACAAGACACTACAGAGCGGCCTATGCTAACGGCAGTATAACAGACACAACTTACAATCAATTTGAACACTACATTCAGCCTTCTGAATGTTTCATCGGCTCTCGGTTATTTATTTCTCGGCATAGGCTGCGTTTTGCTTCAACCGAATGCCATGAAGATTGGTCGGCGTCCAGTATATATTTTTGGTACCCTGCTTAATGTCATTGGCTTTATCGTGGGGGGTATTCAGGACACCGTTGAGCAATTTTTTGGAGTTAGTGTTTTGACAGGCTTGGGAGCAGCTCTAGTTGATTCTCTCGTGCAAATTTCTACTACAGATATCTTTTTCGCACACCAGAAGGGAACTAGGCTGAGCTTACTTGTCTTCACTCTGTACGCAGGATCGTACCTGGGACCAGCTGCAGCGGGTTACATTGCTAAATCACAGGGATAGCGTTGGTGTTTTTGGTATCTCACCCTCTTCTTTGGCTCTCTCATGGTCATCCAACTATTCACCATGGAAGAATCGGGCTTTCGAAGGCCACTGTCAAAAAACGAGTTTCTAAGCTCGCAGGAAAGACCAATATACCTCGGAAGAGACGTCTACAACCCTCGAATCAAAGGGAAAAGAAGCAACGGAGTCTGTTGAACCAGCGCAAGACCCCGTTCCGCCTGCACCCAACTCCTATTGGAAACATATGGGTCTATTCAATATAGCTCATGCCGACTCTAGACCATTGTGGCTGGTGACTTTAAACCCCTTTACCCTAATCACATATCTGCCGTACTATGGGGAGGGTTTGTTTACGGAGTCCAATTAATGTGGCTCTCCTTGATAACCGTCACCCAGTCGAATTTGTTTAGTGCACCGCCCTAGAACTTTAGTATATCCAATGTCGGGAATATCAACTTCGCAGCCTTCATCGGTGGTATTCTCGGTATGATGTGGGGTGGCTTTGTCTCCGACTGGTGTATTCTATACTTCTCCCGTCGAAACAAAGGCATACTTGAACCAAAGTTTCGTCTATGGACTATGGTCATACCCGCTATTGTTAACACTGCCGGACTCTTGATGCAGGGACTTGGAGCTCTCAGTGGTGTCATGTGGATTATGCCTGCCGGCTTTGGAATGGTATTCATCGCATTTGGCATTGGAAGTGGTGCTGCTATTGCTATTACATACGCGATTGACTGCTATCCTAAGATGGCTTCGGAGGCATTGGTATTTATGCTCTTCCTAAGGAGTTTTATTGGAAGTGGCTTTACATTTGCTATCCAGTAAGTTGTTTTCTGATTTGATTTATGATTAAAAATGGTACTAACTTCGCTTTTCCAACTAGACCGTGGTTGCAGCACGATGGTCTCCAGAATACAACCATAATAATGTCCCTTATATGCTTTGTTTCGAACATATCATTCCTACTCTTTACGTGGAAGGGAAAAGCCTTTCGCGAGTGGACAGCCGTGAGATATCTCGAGGCCCAAGAGAAACAATTGCGAGTATAACAAATTCGTTGCTCGAATAATACAATATTTATTTTGAGCTAATCTCCCTTTTATTATTTTCATTGAACTATTTTATCCATAGACTATATATGGGTGGCTGTCCTGGTTAGGCCTCTCAGTCCCTGTGGTAGGATTTCAAACTCCGCTGAATTGTACATTGGGTCAAACATTGTCTTGACGGACGATCGGCCTTGGCCCTCATGAGTATCCCTACTCCCAAAATCATAGCTACTGTTCTGTTCCGGATTTCCTGAAGTCCATGGAGAAAATACAACTACCATCTGCCGCAGTCGTCCTCGATACTGCGAAGCAGGTACAAACATATAGTCACTCCAAGATTCATCTTCCAGGATAGCAAAGCTTTCCTGAGATGATTTTAAGGGTTGCGTAGAGTCATGCTCTGCAGCCTTCTGAACTTCAGTTTCTTGACCCTTATCAGAAGGATCTGGATCGTTTTGATCGTTGCACTTGACCGCACTCTTTCCATCCGGATGTTCAATTGAATCGTCTTGATTTATACAGTGCATATCGACGTTAGAATTTTGGACCGCCGGAATCGGTGGATAACTACCTGCAGGTTGAAATGAGCTTGTTGATTTCAGAACAATTCGACACCCGATCTGATTCGTCCATATAAGCCCTAACGCAGGCACTTTAAACCCTTTAGATATTCCAAGTGGTCCACCACCCGGGTATGAGTGAGGGGTTTGTGCCCAGCCGGTAAAAAATTGCTGTTGATAATCAAGGCTGAGAAGCAAATTAAACCCCGGGATATTGCACCTATCCTCTTCTTGCTCGCAAGTGTCTAGATTGACTTGAGGTAAATTGGCCGAGCGACCCCGAGGTGAATGATTTTCGACTGATTTTGATTGCTGGTAGGGTTGAGATGCTGGGACGAAAGATGGAACGGCACTGGGAGAAGATGCCTCTAGAGGACTCCCCGAATACTCACGGGATTCCTCTGGAAAGGGATCGTGGAGTGAACTTTCAAAACCATCCGATATCTGATTAGCCACAACTACCGCAATATTGTGCGTCACGGCCAAGGTACGGAGAAAGTGACCCAGTTTCTTCAGTTGACCGGATCGCTCAAGGAGCCCAGATACACGCTCAGTAGAGCTTTCAGCACGGTAATTCGCCGTTATAGAATCAATTATGATAATTCCAATGTTATAGCGTAAAATCGCTACTGGTATTTGGTAATTAATAATGTGTTCCTGGCTCTCGAGGTCGACGGTAGTAACTGAGTAAATATTATCCAATGATGGGCGAGGGGTCTCCGGATGAAGAGCCTGGAGAGTCCGGTGCTCATTTATGAGTTGGCTCAACCTATTTGTAGCGAGATCCGACTCCGTTGACATATACAACGCATTTTTGGATAGGCCGTGGGGTGCTGGTAGCTGGACTGAGAGAAGCAGGTGGAGCAGAAACTGAGTCTTGCCAGCACCACTATGGGTGTATAAACGTTAGTTTCATAGCCATGACGAGTCATAATAAAACAAGCTCCCTCGAATTAAGAACTGTCGCATGGGTTCAACTTACCTTTCTCCAGTCACTTCAGTCAGATATCCAGTTGATATGCCTCCAGACAAAGCAGAATCCAGTATTGGATCTAGAGTACTGATTTGTCCTGTCACGGGTGGATGAAGCACCTTGGACATGCTATTTCTGGCTACTGAGCTGCGGTCTGTCTCATCCCTAGCACTGCGGTCGCCGTTGCCTCCTGGCTTCAGCAGGTATGTCTTGTTGTTATCTCCATCCTTTCGTGACCCATTTCTCAGCCCAAGATCCTGGTGGAGAGCATTAAGAACATGTGCGGTAAAGTTTCGAATATCCGTGACTGGTGCGCGACAAGCCTTTGCAATTTCGAGAGTATCAAGAACTAGCAGTTCCTTGAGCGTAATGCCAGCCCGTTCTAGTAGCGGTAGTAGGTGTGTGTATGCCTTGGTTGAGAGGTCAGGCAGCGTTAGGGATAGGTCCATTAGCGGGTTCGAGGGGTGCGCGGAGGGCGATGAGGGCAAGCAGCTATCCGCCGGAGGCTTGCATCATTCACGTACGCGTCGTCTTTGCGGCGGTATAAAGTATTATTATCATCTGGATGTGAAGCTATGACTTGTTAGACAATTGGTCAATGATGCAGCAATCATTTGTAATCTTTTTGAGGTTCAAATTTAAACTCTTCTTTACCCGGCTTGGCGGCCACCTTGGTCTATAAAATCATTGCTGATGCCTGGATGCCGGATGAACCGGGAGTTTTCCATCAACTAATCTATATTAAAGGGCACGGTACGAGACAAATTGAAACAACATTATTTGAACAATCTGAGGATCCTCAAAGGGCTTGCGTCACTCTATCGCTCGCTGGATTAAGATGGCTAACATTGGCATATCAACTCCCCAACGCCTGACTTGATTTCACACAATGAAAAGAATCTTGAAACATAGAAGTCATGATAAGTGACAAAGATAAAGGAGAAGACCACATGCGTTGGCTTTCTTTTCAGACAGGCAAGCACTTGCAATGACAAAATATATGTCATATTAGGTAAGTAAGCCTCCTTCATGCACTGTGAGATGGCCGGCCTTTTTTACGGTTTCCCGTCATATTCTCCCTTTGCCATCTGGATTTTATTTGTTTTACTTCGGTTCATATGTTGATTATAGAGTTTCGGCCGTTGAAGTTTTGCGGGCTGGTATCATTCAGTTGCTCACTGGCTTGAGAGAAGCAGGCTTGAGGCCGATGTTGTTACGGTTTCTGAAGAAGAGGACGCCCTTGCCTTCACCCTTGGCTGTCTCGCATGGCTCAACCCACTGACAGGTTCGGAAAGAGGTCCACATGGCTCGGAGGAATCCAAGACTGCCGTCCTTGGTGTCTGCGCGGTAGTGACGGCCCATGACCTTCTTAATGGCTTCGGTGGCCTCATCGGCGTTGTAGAAGGGGATGGTACTGACATAGTGGTGAAGAACGTGGGTTTCGATGATACCGTGGAGAAGCTGACGGCCGATAAAGCCAAATTCACGGTCGATGGTTGCGGCGGCTCCTCGAGTGAAGTTCCACGACTCGGGCTGGTAGTGGGGAAGAGTTGGGTCGGTGTGCTGCAGGAAAGTGATGGCAACTGGTGATCAGGCATGTTAGCAAATTGACAAAGCCAAAGGGGGTACAGGGAAGCAGGAATATCTGAACATACCAAGCCAGTGGTTAACCCAGAGGTATGGGACGAAGTACCAGACAAACATGTTGAACCATCCGAACTTGCTTCCAAGAGTGTACAGGATGGATCCGACGATCAACAGGCCGAGATCACTGAGCAAGATCAGCTTGGCGTCCTTGGACTCGTACAATGGGCTGTTGGGGTTGAAATGATTGACACCGCCGAAGAAACCGTTACTCTTGCCCTTTCCACGTCCCTCGCTCTGGCGTTCGTGGAAGTTATGGCCGGTAACGTTGGTGAAAAGGTACATGGGCCATCCAAAAAGCTGCTGGAGAACCATGTCGATAATGGAATGGATGGGAGTCTCCTCAGTGAGTTCATCGAGCTCATGGACCAAGCGGCCAATGCGTGAAGCATATGCCTCTCTGGTCTTGGGGACAAAGACCATGTCACGTTGCATGTTTCCGGTAGCCTTGTGGTGTTTTCCGTGAGAGATCTTCCAGGAGAAGTATGGTACGAGCAAAGAGGAGTGCAAGACCCAGCCAACGGTGTCATTGAAGAACTTGGAGGTCGAGAAGGCCTGATGGCCGCACTCGTGAGCCAGGACCCAGATACCGGTTCCAAACAGACCCTGGATGAAAGTGTACAGCCCCCAGAGGACGAAGCGAACTGGGGTCGAGGGGACAGTCTCGGGAGTGACATAGTTGTGGAAGATGTAGAAGGTGGTAGCAAGACAGGCAATGTCTCTCAGGACATACTGCATGCCGCGGAAGCCATCACGCTTGTAGCAGTGGGCTGGAATGGCATTACGAATCTGCTGGATGGTGAAGTCTGGCAGCTGGAACTCGTTGCCATAAGTGTCGACCAACTTGCCGACTTCGGAGTCCTGCTGGTCTTCAGATTCAGAGGAGAGAGACGTATCAGATGCAGACATATGCTGGGGAGTGTCCAGAGGCGAGGCTGTGGCAGAGCTGGCGGAAGAAGAGGCCGCCGTCTGTCTGCGAGTGGCAGCTCCAGCAGGAAGAGCGGTAGAGGCCATCTTATCAGCGAAACGTGGGGTTTCAACCCGCGGTCAGGAGGTGAGAGAAAGGAAGCGAGTCTTCGCGTTCTGCAACAAGACAGCTAAACTAGCTACTCCTTTGAAGGAGCACTCTGTCTTCTCACTATAGACTGGTTTGTTAGCATCTGCTACTGTCTCCTCCATTTCCATGTCTTCCAGCCATGTCTTCCAGCCCCCTTCTGGCCACCCGCAAAAGAGCAGCCGTGAAAGAAAGAATGATGACAAGAGCCCTCCTACTAAATGATTGCACTTACAGGGAGACAGGCCGTTACTGTGAGTGATAACGGTGAAGTTGCGCGTAAAGAAGCCACCCAATGTGTGGGAAGTGAAGCTGGTGTCTTTGATATCTTTCTTTCTCTTATTTATTTCTTCTCCTTCTTTTTCCTCTTATCAAAAAAAAAAAAAAAAAAAAAAAAAAGTCGTCAGGGAAAAAAAACTCTAAATGGGTTCGCGTATTTTTGGTATTCGGGTATTGATACGACGCATACCAGGCGAACTTCTCGATCGTCGCAGGGAAGGCAAAAAGAGTGGACTGTGTGGCCTTGTGCGACGGACAAGCAGGATACTTCGGCTCATGCATCGCCCAGGAGAATGTCGCTTGATCATTGCCAGCAGGTCGGCCTTTTATTTCTATCTATCTCCATCCTCTATATAGACCACCCTGAGAGACGTCGACTAGCAGCGTAATAATGGACTGTAACAGGCGATACAGGCACGGATGTTTAATTCGACAACAAGCAAACCTTGTTTCTACCACTAGAAAACTCTTTTTCAACGTTGCCCTTTTTTTTTTTTTTACTAATTCTTCTTCCCTAGTATTGTCCGCCTTGCTACGTCCACAGGTTCTCTCCAGCCGCAGTACCGCAGACGAGCAGAAGCCATCGCAGCCAGAGCCAGCGCCTTCTCTTGCCTTTGCCCGCCCGACTCGCCGTCTCGCCTCCGCCACGCCTTTTTCCTTCTTTTTCTTCTTCTTTCCCGCCGTCGAAGTAGCCTTTTTCTGCCCCCTTCACCGCCTTCCCGCTCCGCTAAAGTTAAGGTACAGGCACCTGCTTAGTCACAAAATTTTGCGATAAGATAGAGTATTGATATTACCATCTTATAGTACATTTCTGCTGATACATGTACGGAAACTTGGTATCGCCATGTAAACACTAAAAAACAAGACGCCAGCTCGAGCGCTGATTGGCTGCTGCCCGTTTTGTTGGGATCTGTACTGCAAATACAGCCGCGTGTTTCATTCAACAAAAAGCAGTGGCCCGACCAGCACCGAGCGCGGTTCCCAGGATTATGCGCATCAGGCAGCGAGCAGGGAGAGGGCAGAGCGCCAATGGGCGTCTGGCGATTGCACATCTCGCGGGCCAGCTCGTGCATGTGGTTCCGAGGCTGATATGGAATGAGAAGTGGCATGACTGATGGGTATCCGTGGTGTGGGCTTGCAAGAGCACGTAGGGGAGGGCATCGAGAAAAGGGGGAATCAGGCAACGGCGGCGTCGGTCTTGCGCTCAGCGTCGTGCCAACTTCCTGCAGCGGCGTCGCCAAACCCATCCAGGTTGATGGTCGTCATCTGGAGGTCGGCGCTGACCAGGACCGTCTCGCCATGACTGCGGTAGTCCAGCTCGCTCGAGATGAGCCTGCGCGGGCGAGGTGCAAAGCTACTGTCGGACTGTAGTAGATGTTCGCCTCCCGTAGGCGACGACAAGCGGTGATGCTGCTGCTGCTGCTCGCCTGGCCCGGTTGCAAAGGACTTGATATCGACCGATGGGAGAAGTAGATGGCCAGCTCGCTGAGGTAGAAGCAACAGCCGGAACCGTTTCTCCTCGCCCTCTGCACAGGTAAAGTTTCCACGTCTTCGGCCACCAATAACCCACACGTCCGGGCTGGCTATAATTTCATATGTAAACTCGAGGGATGACTGGGGCTCCCGTTCGGCCACCTCACACCAGCGTCTTGTATGCCGGATTATCAGCTCTGCAGGTATCATGTCATCGACGCCCACATGGGTCTGCCCGGGAGAAATATCTTTCAGCACTAGCCTTGCGGTATGGACGACCTGCACATCCGGAATATCAACAGGGATGGTAATATGCCGAACAGCATTCACCGGTCGGTCGTTTGGTAGAGGTATAGTCTTGTTCATCTATTTATACCAGGAGGTTCAGAGGGCCGAATTAGCCTGCGGATCATTGACTACACACCATAGGGGCAAGAACCAATGGGAACTTACATTATGCCACTCTCTGAGCCACTGCACCAGCTGTGTCTGCGTATCACCATCCATGCTCTCAACGGCCTCTCTCCACTGCATACGTTCGTAACTATACACCTCTATTTCTCTCGTCAGGCCAATCGTTTCTAACGTATGAGCCGTCCAGATAGCACTAAAAGCCGTTTGCAAGAACGGAACCAGGAGCTGCTTCATTCCTGCAAAGGGACTTGCTTCGACATCCTTCGTAAACCGATCTTCTAGAACCGACAGGCATTCTTCGTTCAGACAGGCAAACTCTATTGAGAGGCTCAACGGTTGAGTGGAACCTGAGCCTTTTTCGGGTTGGAAATCGTCTCGGAGCCTGATTTTGTACAACAATGATGCCGGCTGTTTCGGGAACACATCCATTATTTCACCCTCCTGTACACTCGTTTGTACATCATATTTGCCAGAGCTCTTCATTTCGCAGCTAAACACGCGAATAGGTATCAGCATTCCAGGACTGATGCTGAACCTGGAAAAAAGCTGCTCATCCTGGAATAAATCCTGGACATTCACACTGACAGGTAAAGTTGATACAACGGAGGATGAGCCGATGTAGACAAATTGCCCCATGGGTGTCTCATATTCAACTTCCACTGAAACTGAGAGTGATGTCTGGGTTCCTTCCATGCTGTACGGCACTCGAAGCGTAGCAGTGGAGGCTCGGGCGAAGGAAGTGAAACATATTCTGCCTCCCTTTATCTCCTCACACAGAGTAAGAGGCCCGTCGATGAGTGAGCTTTCTGAAATGATGAGACGTAGCCCGGCAGTTGCTGGCCGCAACCGTAAACAGCCGGTCGAAATATTGTTCCAGCCAGAACTCAACTCGATATCCAGGCTTCGATGCCCAATCAAGTTGATAGCTCTCGACTGAGAAACTTTTCCGATAAACGCGTTGACAGCGGGGAAACAGACCACATATGGGCGTTCTGCCTCGGAAGTAAGCGACTTGCTTGACGTGTCTTGAAGTATATGAGATGCAGCCACTTGATTGTCATAATCATGTGTGAACGTAATATTCCCTGCTCGCATCTCAATCCGGTCAACATAGTACTTTCCATGTACTGTTGTCTACAGTTGTAAAAAACAATAGAGATTAGCATTATACAATATTGTAGAATATCAAATCTTACCGAGGAGTCAAGCAAGATTTTTGTCCACTTCGACTTTACCACAGTCGAGTCGGGATTTTCCAACCACAGCTCGTTGTTTGGTATTTCTAACGCATTAACGAGGCGCATCTTAACATTGTCAATTTTTATCTTTTCCCCAAGAGCGTATCTCAATGACAGCTGTGCCTGGAACCCGTCTCTATCCTGGAAGTGAGAAATGCCGGGTTGGACTTGGATATCTCTGAAAAAATCTTTAATAAGAACCGGAAACGTTTTGGAAAGCGACTGAGAGACTGCAAATAGATCCTCAACGTATCCTTCAACCTTGCAACCTATGCTAGATTGCAATATCAAAGAAGGTTGAATGGTCGAGGAATATATCCCGAGTAGTCTCAGAAGAGCATGAACGAACTCATCTTTGCGGTCCAGCTGCTTTAGGCACTGACTGTATAGCTCTACCATTGTGCCTTCTAACGTCTCCCAACCATTGCTGCGGTAAAAATTGGAGAGCTGGTGAAAGTATGATGCTGCTAAGGCATAGTCACCCGTTTCATACTTCAGCAGTGCAATATCAGCCATCATTATTTCCGCAGACTTGAATCGGTTCGCTGCAACATTATGACGGAATATTTGGTCTGTAATCTGTTCATAAAGGCAGTTAAAGTTCTTTTCTGACTCCATTGATAGAGCCAGACAAGGCGTTTCTACACCCGCTGACGTTGATACCACTGGGGGTCGTCTTTTGTCTATGGGCTCGTCATTCAACGAAACCTCAGTGAAGCCGTTCTTTCCATTGAGCAGCAATGGCATACTATGCCATCTATTTCCCCATCCTCTCCTCCGGCCAAGTGCTCCCAACTGGCATCTAGCGAGGTGATACAAATCAGCCTGGGCCGCGGCTAACTCTATACCGCCGGCTTTTTGCGGTGCGGACATGATGGACCCCAATGGGTTTAAGGCTAAAACGGAATTAGGTCTTGAAGTAGAGGACATCAATGAACTGGTCCGTTTAAGAACTTCTGGCCTTGCTCCCGTGGCGAAGCTGGTAAGAACAGTTGCATCAACTAGGTCCTTGCTCGTCCTTAGGGAAACTTTGGGAATCTCAAGGCTCTTAGTAGACGTTTGAATAAGGACTTGGGAAACGGCTGCGTAGGCCCAGGATGAAACGATATTTGTGATAATGTTCTCCTTCCTGGAGGGATCCGGAGCTTGTTTTAACTGAGCCAGTCCAGTTTCGACATCTTTCCGCAACGTTCGGCAAGCAAGGGTAATAAACTCGCTAGCTCTCTCACAGATCTCGGCGAGAAGTGTCAAGTTATGCTTCTCCGCACTTTTTTGGGAGCTACTTTGACGATTTGATGGGGGTGACCGCGCAGCTTTGAGGAGGAGTAGTAGCTGCCTCGAAAAGATATAGACACGAAAATCAAAGACAGATATGTTATTTGCAAGAATCATATCTCTGTATGGTTTCTGTTGGGGCTGAAGTGGAAAAATATCTTGATCCAGTGCAATGGGGTTTGAGAAAAGCTCATCACGGTCACCATCATTGTCGTCCTCATCTTCATCCTCATCCTCTGATGAACTGGATCCTTCTTCCTTTTCCGACGACTCTGCAGCCAGAGCAGCCTCAGCTTTTGATTTGAGGTCTTTGCTGTAATTTAGAAATGTGCCTCCGTGCTGGTCTCCCGTGCCCGAGATTTGATCTCGCAGTGCCGAATCCAGTCCGACAGCAAGCTCATCATATCCTATAAGAGCATCCTCGAAAAGCCCAACATTTTCAAGGCCAAGAGAAAGACCCTCTTTTAGTATAAAGAAAGTGCAGAAGTTCCAGCCCGGCAGGCTTCTCTGTGAGTCCTTCTCACGGATATCAGCCTCATATTGACCCACGCGCAAATCAAAAGATGTGAGAATAAAATATTTCAGCTTCGCGACAAGCTCATCCAATTGCGCCGTTAATTCAGGCTGTTTCTTATCCGCATCCGCTTTTGGAATCCTCAGCTGCGCAACACGGTCAACTGCGGTTTTTGAGGATCCGTTGAAATCGGCCTTTACTTTCTCAAGGACCGAAGTCGAGCCTCTCCCAGGCCATTTTGATGGTGTGGCCTTCTCTGTCACTTCAGGGCTAGGTGCAGTCGATGGTATGACGTGAAGAATTAACCATTCGAACGCATCGTGGTTATCAGGTCCAGTTGGCGCAGCGGATGTCCTAGTTTTTATCCATTCTCGTAACGTCTTTCTAGAGGTCGTCTTATACGTCTCGTTATCATCACATCGTAACAAATATATCTTTAAATATGGTGTCTGTAATAGTCCAGGTATCTGGTGTCTTCTCTGCGATACCGCTCCGCTTGCGCCATCGCTGAGTCGCTTCTGGTCATCTGCTACCGTGTGGGCGGGTTTGAAATCGATTTGCAGGGAGTCAATCGAGCGGACTGGCCGAGTCGAAGACTTCCAGTGGAGGTTTCGGAGGGGAAGGACTTGGGATAGGAGCGGCTTGACTTGAGGAAACAGGCCGAATGGGTCGGTATACTCGACTGCAAGGATAAGGAGTAAGTTATCAGGCTTCCGCATAGAGCTTCAGTACTATTGCATACCGGTTACATTATTCGAATTTAAGTGAGGGGTGGCGTCCATGACGACCAGAGCTTCACCAGTAACAGGAGTAGCATATTATTCTGCACTCATCAAGCGTCCAGCTCAGCGTTGTGAGGGCGGCTTTGGGCGTTTTGCGCTGGCGAGGTCAAGTTTAGCCAAACGGTGGATAGAGGGCCATGTCTTGGCGTTGCTTTTAACTCAACCTCCAGCCTTTTTTTGCAAACTACCTAAGGGAAATTCAGGGATTCAACATTCATCATGATAAGATGTCAATATTCTATTAAAAATGTACTCTGTAGCTACCCTAACAAATGTGAGACTTCAGAAGAAGAAAACTAGCGGGAAAATAACCGCCCCAATTTCCACAAGGAACAAATGTACAATCGGAGACTGGAGTCTGTCTCAACTCGCAGACCCCTGACAGCAAAACAAAACCCAGGTCGCCCTCCTGAAATACAAACACATGAAGTCAAGCGCTCAAACGAAATAAACGGCAAAAGAACAAAGGCACGCTACAGAGTGATTCTGCACTAAGTAGCTAGAAGATTCCGGTTTGGGACCGGCGGGTTGACATGAGACATTACGAGCTCATATCCGTAAGAAACAGCTTGCCAGATATCAGGAATGAGGTTTTTCAGCATCGCCGCAACAATAATTATCAGGAGAGGAATCTAAAAAGACAGAGATTAGTTATGTTACGAGGAGGAATCTAAAGCAATGTTTTAAATAACTTACCCAAATAACAAAGAGATTACGGTCACTGCGGAATCTCTTCATCTTTTGTGCGTGTGCCTTTCTGAGCTGATCCTGGTGTACTTTCGAGATATTCCTGTCGCCTATAGTCATGTCACCAAATTCCTCCTTAGAGGACGAAGCATGAGAACGTGATGAGGCTTCTGCTTCCGCAAAGTGTTGGTCTGCCGCGGCATCTAGAGCAGCTTCGACCATGGAAGACTTCTTGTCAGCGTAGCCAGAGTCGGTTTCATGAGGGTATAGCTCCTCGTAAGCCGGTGGTGAGGAGTTGCCAGTTAACCTGCCCCAGCCGTCCTTCATAATATTCGTAGACCAGGCCGATGTTGGCCTGTGTGGAACAAGGGAGCTGATACGTTGGATCATTGGGTGAGTTTGGTAGTCTGGAAGAGTTGGAATCTGGGGGAGGGTCGGTATCTGAGGGAGCGTAGGCATTTGAGGTAGTGTAGGCAATGCCGGGAGGTTTGGTAGATTAGGAAGGTTAGGAAGGTTGGGGAATGCTCGGTTGACGTTTTGTTGGAACTGGTGAATTTGAGCTGCCAGCTGGTCTCGCCAAGCAACCAATGCCACGGGGGGTGACGGGTTGCGTGCCATGCCAGCGACAACATCAGCCTCGGGAGAAGCGAGGGTAGATGATTGAGAAACGCTAGTTTTCCGAGGAATGGAGAAATATTGTTTCTTCTCCTTGCGGGATTCTGATTTGGTGCGTTTAGGCTGTGCATACAGTAACTCTGGCACATCTGACGTTCGTCCACTGTCTGAATCATCGGTGGAATCTTCTTCAGTGTCAGGTGCATCGCTGGAGGACGTTGGCTCCCAGAATCCGTCGAGAGAAGCAGAGCTTGGTCTGCGGCGCAAGGGGGAAGTTGATCCCACGCTTCTTGAGCGGTAGTGATTGGTAGAAGCAATTACAGCACGGTGTGTTTCCAGAGTGGTTGCAAGGTCAGCAGGAGTGAAGCCGCGCAGATTAGGCGCTGTGATATTGGCACCGGCAAGCCGAAGGCGATGGACAATATGCGTATGTCCACTGAGAGCGGCCAAATGAAGCGGGGTGTTATGATTCTTGTCCTGGACATCAGGGTTAGCTCCTCGGGCAAGCAAGCCCGCCACGAACCTAGTCAACCCTAATGAAGCAGCAAGGTGGAGGAGAGTCTGTCCAGATGGTGAGCGAGAGTTATATTTTGTAGAGCCGGGATTGCCATCCAAGTCCATGAACTCAAGATACACCAGCATCTTTGCGTCGGTGTCCGTGATGTTCGCGCTTTGGTTGTTGCCCGGAGCTTGTCTTTGCTGGCCTCCAGAACCGCCATCAGCCTGGAAATTATTTTGAAGATTCCACAAACTATTTCCGTTGCCCCCCATGATTTGCTGTGCAGTTTGATAGGCATCAGCAGGGTTACTAAGCTTCTGACCCAGTATCCCAAGCGCAATCCTATACATTTGCAGCTCGCGGTCATCCACATAACGGAAGAAGATTTGTGGTTTCGGGATTATGGGCTGTCCTGGCTGCTGCTGTCCCAATCGAGGATGCTCATGCTTAAAGACAACTGGGACTGTGCCCGGCTTCACCGAAGGCGGAGTAAGACAGTTCAGACATTTCTCACCCCAGAAAGTAGTAGTGGTAGCTAAGGTATCACCGAAAACAACCTCCATACCTGGGTAGAAGCCACTACCGAGGAGAGTCACCTCACTTCCACCGGTAGTTGAGCCCTCTGCTGGGACAAGTTTATGAATCATTGAGGGTACTCGTGGCGGAGGAAGTCCCGTCGGCACGTTCCAAGAATGGTTTTGAGTATCTGTACTGGATAATCCTGCAACTTGGTCCTGAGACCTAGTGCGAGGGGAACCGGGGCGGCTTGGGTGAGTGGAATTCGGTGCAGATACCAAGGACGATTGTCCCATGTTGTCTATTGGGTTAGCGGTCTCGAGTGGACTAAAGAACATCCCATCATTATTGTTTGGTGTGGGCGGCCCATTGATGAATTGTGGGTTGAGCATCGCAGGTGTGACATAGGCCTTATCTGAGTTTCCATTGGCAGATGAAAGACTTGAAGGCAAGGGAGAGTTGCTAGCAGATGGGGACGTTCTCTGGGTCTCGATTCGTGACATGGTCAATCCCGAAGGAACTTTCCCAGATCCGCTCTGCTTCCGTCGCTTCGCCAGAGGCCCAGTACCGTCAGAAGGAGAGGCTTGGCGAGAGAGGTTCCGGGGGGTAGTGATAGGAGCAGTTGCAGTTGTATTATTATTATTCTGAGACTGATTCGAGGAAACGGGGGTTAATGGGTATTGTCGATTTCGGAGTGCTTGCAGATCGTTGGCGGAAGGAGACATTTTATAGGGCACCGAATGCACGAAAGGCTTCGACAGATCAATCCCGGGGTTCCCAGGGAACATTGCCGCAGGTGGGAACTGGGGGTCCGTTACTGTAGAACTGGGAGCTGCGGCATAGTTTGCTGGCGCATGTGTCTTATGGTCATCGGTGATCATGATGGAATTGGTAATTGCTTGAGCAATTGGGTTGTCCAAGTAGTCAAAGATGGTAAAAAGGACCCTAAGTCTCCATTTAGTATGTTGCGATATAATAAGACAAAAACAAGGCTGTTATGCAATAACTTACTGGAAGCCCACTTTCTCGTTCTGATGTCTGCAATAGCACGCAATTCTCATTGGCAACTCTACTTGCATTGCACCAAGGGGCGCAATGGGCAGAGAAGGATCACAGTTTGTCGAGTTAGGGGTTCTAGGAGGATCTGTCCAGTCCTTGATCTCTGTGGTGTTGAACACAATAACCCGTTTATCCTCGTCTCTCTGGAACAATTCGTCTTCTTCCGGCTTCCGCTGTTTTTTCCGCGACGCACGCTTTCTCTCTCTTTGGATGCAGCCAGCACAGATTTTGACTTCCGCCCCTCCCAGTGGAAGGTCTTCGTCGCCCTGGCTTTCCTCCGAGTCCTTGGCAGACTTTGAACTGACATCTTCACCCCGGGCTTTTGCAAAGGCTCTCTCCCGCTTTTTCTTGTCCTGAATGGCACTTGTGCATAGTACACTGGCGCGGAGTTCTAGGATATCTGGAGACCGTTTGATATCAGGCTTGGCGAGGAACTTTGGCTTGGAGATGGCGTGGCTTGGAAGACGCAGTTTCTTAACTCCAGGCGGCATCGGGTAGAGAGTTAACTTGATGGGGATTTGCGTTTCGACGCGAGACTTGAGCGAAGTGGGATGGACAATCAGGCGGGGGCGAATATAGTTCTCCATGCTGATGTTTGGGTGGAACACAGCTGGATTGCGGTCATTCAGAGGAAAAACCACCCCGGGAGTGTACTTTAGCGATTCGAAGGCCTGGCGCGGTGACCTGAACGTAGAGGTCGGAGATAATGTCGCTGAAAGCGGCGAGCCGCTGTTCATACCGATCCCACCAAAAGCGTCTTTTAGAGCTGACTGCGAGCCTCGACTATCCCAAAGCCCCTGTCCGGTGTAAAGCGGTGTAGAGTCACCAGGACTTTGGAACACAAACGGGTTTACGACAGCTGACTGCTACAGAGAAGAGTTAGTATCTTTGTTGGAGGAAATAATGATATCTTCGGCGATACATGTAAATAAATTGATGGAATGGGAGAGTACTGACTTGTTGCGATGAGCCTGCATCACTGGAGGATCCGGTAAAGGTGGAGGAAGAAGGTGTGCGGAACGATTGTTTGAAAACGGTTGGTTTGCTCTTTTCGGTATTGAGCTCCATCTTGAGTGGACTGGGACTGCTGGCAGCGCTATCAAAGTCAAAGGCTGAGGCCATCGCTTTGTTGCTCGACTCAACATCATGCTCCATGGAGTCATCCCTGGCCAAAAGGCCGCCGCTCTCCTGACCAAGAAAGGCACTTTCGTCGCCCAGGGAGAGCTGATCTGCGTTTGGCCAGCCAGGAATATATCGTTCAGTTGCGGTGCTGTCTGGACTGAAGAGTCCGGAGTGGTTGGAGGCCAGCGAGGCATTCCGCAGATGGCCAGTAGGCGAATCCATCGAGGAACTGTGGCTAGAATCTTCTGGAGAGTCTGATCGAGTGTCCGACGGGGTTGAGCCCGCTGGTGGAACGTCATTCTGAGACTTGTTTGGCATTTCGGAAGGGGACAAGCACGACATGGCGTCGGAAAGCTGGGGAGCACTGGACGGCCGGAAGAACATGTCTTCAAAGTCCCGGCTGAGGCTGGGAGTCGAGGCATTGAGCACCGAAGGGTCGAAGCACAGAGTGTCTCTGTCGTCCATGATATTGTCCATATCTCCGTCCATGATGATGGGCTCCATCTCTCCGACCCTTGGCTGGATCGATCGCGACCAGACTTCCGTTTAAAAGAGAAGAAAAAGAGAGAGAGAGAGAAACGGTACTTTTGACTCAAAAGGCAAAATAAACAAGCGATGGGAGTACTCCGTACACCCTTTTTCTCGTCGCGTATGCTCTCTCCCTGGAACAGAACAGTTGTGGGAGGTCGACTCTGTCGTCTCGTCTCGTCTCGCCTCAGGGGGCGCTGCTCTCACGACAATGCGGGTGCCTGGAACTAGCTGGCCGAGCACGCTGAGCAAACGGGGGATGCGCCTGTTAACACGGGCCGGGTCAGGCAGCTCGGACGGGCAGCGGGTGGACGAGAGGCCCCCTCGGTGGGAGCAGGCAGGAGACAGGCGACGGGGAGAGGCTTTCAGAGGCACAGGCAGCGTCGGTCGGGAAGGTCTCGTGCGGACGAAGGTCGAAATCCAGGGATGGCCGTCGACTTTTCAGCGTCCACGCCTTTTGTGTCGGTGAGGTTCGTCTTTCCCCAGCCCGCAGCGAGCGGCAAGCCACAACGTCAGCTTGGCGCGCTTCTCGCCAGCCAAAACCCTCCCAGCGCAGACCGAGACTGAGAGCGCACACGGCGAGGATTCAGCAGCAGTGGGATCCCTTGCAACAGCCGACTCTGCGCCGTTCGAGCTGCTCGTTGAAGCGTCGCCTTCGGACGGGATTTTCCTTCTCGTTTGTTGTTTCTTTCTTTGCTTGCGTTTCTTTTCAACGACAAAAAAAAAAAAAAGAGCAAAAAGACGAAACGCTGGCTGGTGAAGGCGCTAAGCCTGTTTGGGACATGCCGCAGGAGCGACTTTTTGGGTCTTTTTGTTAGGGATCAAAGACGAACAGACAAGATGATAGGCAGCGAGGTGGAGATGACGGGGATGGAGTTATATCTGGAGGCCGGCGACCTGGCTAGCTACTTAGAAGCGTGTGGTGCGAAGCTACAGCGAGCAGCCTTCGAGGGAATAGCGGCTTCGGCCCGGCTGAGGGAGAGGGGCCTTCCTGGGGACTCAAGACAGATACCTTCATATTAAACCAGGAGCAGCCAGACGATGGCGATGGTGAAGACGACGGCCGGGTGCAGCTACGTTTAGGGAGGAGGGAGGATGGCCCAGTTTCCCTGGCTCCCTCTGCTCAGCCTGATCAACGGGGGTTGCTTCGTTATACCCCCTATTACATTCCCTCTATACCGCGTGTCTTATGGGCTCCCTGGATAAATAGAGAAACAGAGACAGCCACTCAGCATTGCCTGGCCCATGGAGCTACCTACGGGTCCTAAGAATAGGCGTTCGAGCGTTGTCTAGGCTGGCCAGCCTGCTCAGCTACCGGAGGTCGGTGCTGGTATTCCCCCGGACGCCTACGGAGCCTACCGATGGAATAATAATAAGTTACCTGCCTGCATCTAAAGTCTGGCAGGACGTCTGCAGACTGTGCATGTGTCTGCATTATTGTCTGCATTGTCTACAACAATGGCGAGCGTGCGTGGGAACCGTTCAAATAACGGGCAGCAAACAACACCAATATACCGATTTCAATATAGAAAAGCGATATCTACACCTCGGATGCCACACAGGGTTCTCTTCTGCTCCTTCATGTCTCCCTTCCTCTGATCAGGAGCCGGGACCAGACACGAATAGATGAACGAGATGTAAAACAGTCCGACGCTACGGAGTACAGTTTTGTTTAGTTAGTTGCTAGCCTGCGATTGGAGGATCATTCGCTTGTCACCTAGCACGCTGTTTACGGGGTGATAGTCGACGGTCCTTCAGCTCAAAAAGATGACGGTCATCGTCGTTATTTCTTGGTTATTATTGAATATTATTTACTCTTGTCTTACCCGTGGGACAAGGCGATCTATTAATAAATTTTACACGTGGTTACATGGGTCCTGCAGGGCTCGGGTTTGGCTCTATCCCTGTCGCTTCTTCACATGTGGAGGACGGGTATGCCCCATATACTTGATGATTATATGTCATTTTACTCAAAGCATATAACTTATGGATATGGGGTAAGAAAATTATATGAACTTATACCTGGAGAAGGTCTACTAGAAATGCTCTCTATCCCTCGACTCAGGACGATTTTTTGACGCAGAAATCAAGGAGATGCCTGTATGAATACTCAGAGTATTGATATTAGGTAGTATATAGGTAGAAACCCGCACAGTCATGACCAATGCTTCTGTCCATACCGAACAAGCTCAGTCATAAGTTTGCCGCCAGCAGATACATCGTGGTAAGGGTCAGACAAGTTTGCCATGAAGCAGCCGCCTGGCTGCTCACTGCAGCTTCGCTCACCACCACTGCAGATACCAACGATCGTAGGATGGCCATCGATGTACTCCCACATGGGGCCCCCAGACCACCCGGCAGACGCAAACACCTTAGACTCGAGCTCGACACCAATCTCTCCATGAGGATCAACGCCGTCCAAGGTTAAGTTAGTGACCAGCATCTGCGTCATGCCCTTGAACGGCTCTGTCGGGTATCCAGAGCTCAACCACGGCCCCTTGACATACGCCTGCGTATCCTTCCACCAGGCAGTCCCCATCCATCCCACTCGTTCGCCCAGAGGCTCACACAACCTGCATATCACATAGTCTAAACCCGTAACATTGAGCGTGTTCTTTACCCCGCGGCACTGCGAGACATACGAGCTTCCAAAAGGCTCCGCTTGTTTCCTCCCATGCCCAAATCCAGGCACAAACCGCATCCACCTTCTGACTCCATAGTTCCACGGGAAACAGTGGCTTGCAGTGAGGAGCAGGTTCTTTCCAACAAGAGTTCCCGTACACCATCCGCCTTTGTCCCCCCTGAAACGCCGAAAGAATATCCTCCCTATCGTCGACCATGGATACCCTATCGTGGCAGTGACCCGGAACTGGTCGAACGGTGACCCTTCTATGGACACTGGGGCGATATCAGTGCCGTAACTCCTGATATCAAAGTGGTAGGGCGTGGTGGTGTTGCTTTCGTTGCTCACGTTGGGGTTGAAGCCCGGTGTGCTGCCATATTCGCCCTTCTCTTGAGTCCCTTCAAACTCCCACGTTGCATCGCTTGGGTTCAGATTCCAATTTTCATCCACCGTCAGTCCCTCCGCCTGGAGGTCTGGAAATGCCTTTCCACAGAGCCCTCTGCCTTTAGGCTCCAGAGGAATCACCGCTGTAACGAGGGAGTCTCGGAGCAAGAATAATGTAACGAGTGGCCATATAAAGTGCATGGTAATGAAATAGAAGAAGGTCGAAAGAAGTGAGTGTACACATGGGATGGGAAAGCTATTCTGCCGTACCTCTTGCGCTGTTCTCCTCGGTATGGCATATAACTATACGATCTATAGGACCTGACATGGACAAGGACACAAACAACGCCTGCTTGCTTTGGTCTGGATAGTCAACGGAAGTTCAGCAAACGCAGGAATGGCTGGATGCTGCCTTCCTTAGCCCAAGAGATATACGTGTAGTGAAATGTAAGGGGAGGGGCCTTCTCTCTTTCCCTCATAGCTTGATATCCAGCCCCCACGACAGGCAGAGGAAGTATTAGCGGCTTCAAGGCGGCTGCCAGTCTCATTCTTGGGTATAAAATCAACGTCATCTATGGTGACAGTCGGGTATCTGCTATATCTCAGGCATCAGAGGTGATTTGGACATGTCAGGTTCAACATCTCGAAGCTGCCAAAAGGTCATCAGTATATTGTATATCAATATATCGCCAGTTGCCAATTCTTCAGTTCAAGCACCTTGATTAACCCCTTGACCCAGAGTTTTTGTTGACTGGGTCTACCAAAAAGTGTCGCGTGTCTACATATAACGGCCAATAGCATCTTGGATATCAGTGTCGAATTCCACTCTGGCCTGTAAAAACGTAAAAACGGTCACCTAGAAGTTGACTGCAGGATGAACTACCCATTCTACCGCTCAGGTATAGTCATTAATTGTGTTTCCACTGTCTAGGTAGGTAAATGGAAGATTGATAGACAGCTTGGTTCTAAACTTATCTTCCCTAGCAAAACTCGAATCAAAGCCTTATGGCAGATGCTAAGTGCAGGTTCCTAGGAAGATTAAGGGGATGGCCTTGACATCGCTGTCATTACCAGGGTAGATTCGCCCATCTCTTGCTCTATAACTAACTAATGGCTAGATGTTGTATGGTAGCTTGGCTCGCCGGCTAGTTTAGTGTGCCTAAAAGCTTGAGCTTGAAGTTACTCATATTTATTTATTTCAAATTGAACCAACCCCGCAGGCAGCCTCAGTAACAACATCTTCATTTCATTTTTGGAGGCCTATTCTTTTTCTTGCATTCTTACTTACTGTTTTAATGCTTTCTTTACCTACTATATCGCTATATTACCGAGTTCAAGCGTAGCTGTCAAAAATGTTCAAGAAAAAGCCATCGGTTCGACCCCCCACACACCTATCTATGACCCATCAAGGCAGCAGTGCTAACATATTCATGGCAGATCAAACCACTTGCACCTCTTCGTTCCTCTGATCGGAGGAAGATTGCAAACAAGATCATCCAGGAATACGGCATCTCAGTCCCAGAGGCACCAGCAGCTCAGCCTGAAGCTGACGAGACATCAGCCCAGCCCGCCACAACCGCCTCTAGCCTCTCATCTATTCGAAACTCGCTTCTGCCAGAGAACACTCTAGCAGGACGCTTTTCGACCACTGTGGGACCAGACTTACAACTTGTTCATGGTACTTTATACGTTGGAACGCACCCAGACGGTGAAGAACGAGTATTATGGATCAGGCTTGAGCAAGGACCAGGAACAGATGGAAGGATATACCCTACAGTATATTCACTATGGCGCAACCCAGGGCTGGTTCCCTTGCTGTGTACAACAGGCCATGTTATGGAGAAGCTCTACAACGGCGCAGATCTTATGACCCCAGGTCTTACAAACGGTCCCCCATTCCCAGCAGGAGCCGTGAAAGGATCCGTGGTTGCTGTCTCGAGTTTGGATAAGCCTAGCGTTCCCACATTCGTAGGTGTATGTGAGATTGATGTTGCTGGCCTAACACAGGTACAAGGCGCAAAGGGACATGCTGTCAGGGGGATACAGTGGGAGGGTGATGAGATATGGGGCTGGGGTTCGACAGGAAAGTCTGGTCAGCCATCGCCAGATCACCTGGATGGTTGGATTCGCGAAACCGAAGTGGCGGAAGAGAAACTCCAGGACCTAGATCTAGGCGATGATGAAGATTTAGATGGAGTCGCGGATGGAGGTGTTCCTATTAACCGACCTCTAGAGGAAGAACAAAGGGTAGGGGAGGAGGCGGAAGAAGAAGAAAAAGGTGGAGAAGAAGAACTTCCGCCTCCAACCACAAAAGGTAAGAGTTACTATTACTTTCTCAACGACGGATTCTAACAAGGCAAACGATACTAGAAATCGATGATGTCTTCGAAAAAGCATTCATATATGCGCTCTACCAGCACAAGAAAGATCACCCCGGAGACCAGAACCATGGCCTGTCATTCCCCATCCAGCCATCGTTCTTGATATCCAACCTGATCACTCCGTTCTTACCAATATTTTCGCCAAACCAGGCACAATATTACCAGATCAAGAAGACATCCTGGAAGAACGTTAAGAAGTTTGTCAAGCATCTCGATAAGATAAAGTTACTCAAGTCAAAGGACAGAGGAGGGGAAACAATAGTCATGGATGTTGATTTTGATGACATCCTTGTCGACCAGTTTGTCCCTTACCGGCTGCCCAAGAAGACAAGCTCAGGGGGCGCAAAGCCAAAGGCTGCCTCTGAAAATACCTCAGGAAGCGTGTCATCCGATCAGGTCAACGTTAAGACACTCTACCGCCCAAGCAGCAAGCTGGTACCTGATCTATTTCCCCCCTTATCCAACACCGATGTGAACAACTACTACTCAGCCTCCGATGTCTCCAAACGCCTGAACGATTACATTTCCTCCCAAGATCCACCTATTATCTCTCCCTCTAACCCCCGGATTCTCACGCTCAATGCCTTCATCAGCAACAAAATTATCCCTTCCAACGATGTCGTGACTCTTTCACGCGGGACTATCCCACGAGATACTCTGCTGAAAAGGCTACTCGAGGACCCTTCACTATGTGCACCTTTCCATGCAATTCTTAAACCCAATCAGACACTCTCGGATGTGAAACCCAAGCCGGGTGCCCTCCCGAAGACAACTATAACCATTGAACGCCGCACGGGATCCAAGTTGGGTACCAAATTAGCTGGCCTAGATAGATTCGGCATATCACCCCAGCTACTAGCAGATGAGCTATCGAAGAAGTGTGCGAGTAGTACCAGTGTTAGCCAGGCAGTTGGTGGCGCCAAGGGGGAAATGGAAGTCTTCCTTCAGGGTGACCACCGAGGGGTAGTAGAGAAACTCCTTGTTAGCAAGGGCCTCAAGTCCCAGTGGATAAGCATTGTGGACAAGTCCAAGAAAAAATGAAATGAACCTCCTAGTGTTGACTACTTTGAGCGGAAGTTTTGAGACTACTACCACAAGGCTATTTTGGATATTCTTGGAAATGGGTAGGAGGTCAAATAGTAACGGTTTATGAAAAATCTAGATTGTTACGGAGTACTTCCTTAAAAATGGACATCTAGCTCCCCTAGCCTTTAAAAGTTCTAAATCCTCAACCTATCAATAACAGAATAAGGGGTATGCTCAATAACAAGGTAGCTGCCGAGAGAATGACGTTGTTTTAAGTAGTTGGCCGGAGATCTAGATTGAAGCAAACAAAGCAAACACAAGAGACCACACCACGAAAGTTGCGGCTTTCCACAAGAAATTATTCCAGAGCATCGCTGCATCTCACTACTCTGCGTTTGAAATACGGAAACACCTCTCTCGAACGGTTGTTTCCTCTTTTACTAGCCATACACGACTGTTCGCTGGCTTCATTATATCGACACAAGTATAGCGGGCGAATTACAACCTCGAGAAACCAGGCGCTGGGCCATCGTTGATGATGGCATCACTACTTCTTTCCGTGCTTGCGATTCAGACAATCACCTATTTAATCAATACAATTGGCGCTAGCACTATTGATAGCCTGGTACTTATATTCTTTCATCCATCACTATGTTCTTCAGCTAACCTCTCTGTACTAGCTATGGCTTCTGTATATCAAACTCCCGAACCAAGCGTCGCAAACGGCTCGAGAACAACGGCAAGCGAAGCTCGAAGTAATTCAACTTAAACGGGAGATGGGCGCTACCAGCTCCCAAGACGAGTTTGCGAAGTGGGCGAAGCTACGGAGAAGGCACGATAAAGCTATGGAGGAATATGATGTTAAGAGTACGCATCCATCTTCACAAGAACTAGCAATCTGGGCTATAACAATACTAGGAGGTGTTTCGGTAACTGACGTATTTATCTACCATATAGACAAAAAGCTGAACGCGATGAAAGCTTCATTTGACTGGACGATCAAGACTGTCCGATGGGCTTCTACCACCGGTATTACCATAATTCTTCAGTTCTGGTTTTCCAGATCACCTATATATGACCTGCCTCGGGGGTGGTTTCCATGGCAGGTGGAATGGATCTTATCATTCCCCCGCGCTCCCTTGGGAACGGTAAGCATACAGGTATGGGGAGGGGCCTGTGGGACTGTTATCGCCCTGATAGGAGGCGCTGTTGCGGCTGTTGTACCGGCTCTGAAAGGCAGTAAGCAATCCAAGGGACCGGCAGTGGCACAGAGGACAGGAACTCCAAGAGGGAGTAGGGAACAGACACCCACAAGGAAGATGCAATAGCAGGTGAAACGAAGAGAGAAGCGTCTACTAATGTTATTAATGTGTAAAACCCCATGCTACGATACTCATGATAACTGTTAATTTCAAATCTCAAGAACATTGTTGATCGGCTTATAAACAAGAGTAAGAATTGGGGATGGACTGGGATGGGTAGGGGGATGTTCATCAGATAGGTTTTAAAATCTTGATCTTCAACAGCCATTATATGGCCTCTGTGCTTGACTCTATGATTTGTATATCATCACTTGAACATGTATGAAGTAAAGAATCTGGCCCTTTCGAGGGGGCTTCTGCAATTGAATCTCTCCACGAACACAGCAACTATCCGAAGCACGGAAGGCTGAGTGAGCAGAGACACAATTACCGCTTTCCATAAGCTACAGGTTCGGTGGTAGGGAAGAAAAAAAGGGTGAACTCCTCGCCTCAAGAATAAGCCCCATCGAGTTACTCACCCAGTCCTGAGGATTCAGAAACAGGCAAGCAATCGCATAGCTATAGGATCTCGACGAATGGCAACCTTCTTAACCAGAGTCCCTCGACCGACTCCCATTGTTTCCCCAAGAAACCTCCTCGACGCAACCCCCGAATCAGCTGCAACTTCACTCCAATGCCAAAACGTGAGACTCGTATCGTCATCCCAGAGATGTCCTAGCACTGGAAAAAGAGACTGTGAATAGGGAGAAAGCTGAAGAGTGCAGACGGTTCAACAAGGGTCGGAGCCAGTGCGTAGGTGGGTAAGAGGGCGTAAGCTGCTATGAAGTGCTTCTATGGCAGCGCGTTTCCGCAGTGCCTGGCACGAAGCCAGGGCGTCCGGGGACTTTCTCCCAAAGCAAGGTATTGGTACGAGCATCGAAATGCCCAGTTCGTAAGCTTTGAATGCGATTCTTTGAGCGAGGAGTTACAGAAGAAAAAAAAAAAATAAGAAAGCAGAAAAAAGTCGCTTAGATTTAAGTGGTGAGGCTTAGTTAGCCAGAGACTGTGTTTTTATCCTTTACACGTGATTATAATACCATGACTAATCAATATTTTCCCCTATTTGGAGTTTTTAATACAAGAAGCCATATAAATACCATATGTTACACAGCCTTAAAGTGAGTCGGCCAATGGTATTTTGAGAAATGAGTAATGTCTGGTAACTCATGTAATCAGATGTTGCCGTTATATGAAGCTCCACGACTCCAGGTTTCCTTCACTGATCGAACAAATATATGGAACGTTGACGGCTCGTAGCCAGTTAAGAACTCCTAGTCTCAAATTATGGCACCGAAGCAATCGCTAACAGGAAAGCTTTCCGGTGGGAAAAACAAGAGGGTTCGTTTCAAATCACCTTTGGCGCAGTTGAGACCTCAAAACTTACATCTATCAACCCAGTCGCTCAATGTACCAATAGCCGCCTTCACAATGGCCGTTTTACTTACAGGATACTGTTACCGAAGTATCCGATCCGCACGCGATAATGCTAAACGTACTTCTATATATACATCTTCCGGCAGAGGCAATGGGCTATAGTGACGTGCAGGGTTCTGATATCCAATTATATATAAAAAAGAAAGGGACGGAGGTTCTTTCATATGAAAAATGCGCAGGGTGCAAGATACAGGCTTATCAGCTCTGTCCAATTCGTTCCAGGGTCATTATGCAAGAGAACTGGGATAGTTGGAGTAACGATACTCTATCGATTTGGTCTATTGCCAACGAGATGCGACGCTGTCCCCACCAACCGATGTTATATCAGTCTATACTTGAAAATGGACTTTAAACCGGATATCGGCAATTTTCGGATAACTTTGAGCCAGCTATTTGCCTTTTGTCTCTGCTGGGTTTGCCTCTATACCACCAACTGACTCGAGGAGAGCGCAATAACGTTGGGTTTATCCGGTAGACTCGAAGCAGCGAAAGAAGTTGACTCGAGCTACTGCATCAAGCAAGGCGGCTATTCTGGTTTACCAAAAATGACTTCTGTCTTGAGTGGCGATAGAGCTTTATTCTCTTCTAAACATGTACATGCGACAAACATGATAGTACCCAAACCTATCAAAGCACGTGTATAGCACTATCACACGCTGGAAGACTGACGTACAAGTTCTGTATGCTTAATATTTGACTGAATCAACAAGACAAATAGCCAACCCATAAAAACAGAGACAGACAGACAGCTCGCATCCTAACCTTTGTTTCTCCCATCACCACACAAACATAGGCTGAAATTAAAAACATGTACATAAAACCCATTCCTAGTAGAAAAGACGCCTGACACGCCATATTCTTGCTTTGCTAGACACAAGTAAATTCATCCCTTGGAAATTAGATAGTGGGTTAACAGGGAATAGAGACAGGAGAAAAGAAGTGGAGGTGGGCGAGAGAAGAGTTAGATTATTTTTGATTGGGTATATTTATTGCGTCAGGGGAAAGAATCCCACTTCTGTAGCAAATCTGGTATCATAAAATAGAGGGAAAGAAAACGTTAAGCAAAAATTTTCTAGTGAATATGTGTCATGTATGTGCATATCAGGCACTATTCACAGGGTACCACAGGCTTCTAGTGGCTGTTATGGTTGAGGACAATGGTACATTGGCAGGAGTTGCCAGGCGTTAAATCATAGATGCTGATTTTCCACTGATGAGGCTAGTATTAATTCTCCCTCATGCTGACCCCAGTGTATTATGTTGCGTAGGTATTCGTACGTCAACATGGTGGTCATGGCAGAAGGGACAGCTCGGAAAAGGTTTGTACCTATACCGGCATAAAACGCTCTCCAGCCTTCTTCTTTCAGTATTGTTTGGAACGTTCGAATAACTCCACGATAGCGAGGACGATTAGGCATTCCATCTGAAGATGCAGCTCCAACACCAGTGGCGCTACGGTATGTCTCTTCCGAAACACGGAATGAAATCCCTTCTGGTGACGGGGCGGGACTAATTCTCTGTTGCGTCTGTAGTCTGGTGCGCAGTACTTCATGCGGGTATGTAGCTGTGCTCGCGCAGATTTTGCTAAGGAAAGTGGCAGCACCAATGCCGACCCAGTGCGGATTACCTGCATCTGGGTGCTCACCCATCATGAACCCTGTGAATGCGAGTTTGAAATACTCATAGAGAGGAAATTGAATGGCGACGTGGGAGAGGCCAAGGAGGGCAGGCGTGAGACCGGAATAAAACGCCCGTATGCCTTCGCTTGCATACATCTTGCGTGCAGCGTCCAGGGTATTCTTATAGTACCATGGAGCGTGGAATCCGTCATTGGACGGCCGTATGCTCTGGGACATGAGTCGAGTTTTTATGACCCATATAGGGTTTGTTGCAATTGTTGAGCAAGCTCCAGCAGTTAATGATGCATATGTTCGAGCAAGCCACCAGTTTTCTACATAGAGGGTACTATATTAGTAGATTGATTCTATAAGATGTTCCAGGCGAGAGCTTAATACCTGTTCGGGAATAGAAGTAGTCCCTAGCCCTGTCGTATATGGTCAAGTAGACAGCCCACGTAGGAAGGTAGCCCAGAAGCATTGGTCCTAGGCCCTTGTACAGCCCACGCAGACCCTCATCCCGCCAGATAGTCCTTCCAGTCCCTATCATGCCTTTATACAGGGCCTCTGTCTGCACCAGTTTCCCATTTCGTCGCAAGAAGCCTCCCTGGGCCTGTAATTTGGTTTTGATAACATCCAGCGGACAAGTGATGATTCCAGAAGCGACACCTGCTCCGGCTCCACAAAACGGTGTCACATAGCTCTGAGGAATGCGGGTTGAATAGACTTGCAACCGTGCAAGTAAGGATGAGTTTGGGGGAGGCTGAGCTCCCGGGTGAAGTTGAGGTATAGTCGACGTCTGTGAGTCTGCATTTGAGTGTTGTTGATGATGGTGATGCTGTTGCTGCTGCTGCTGCTGCTGTGTTGATGAATGAGTGGTAAATGTCTCCGCCGGTTTGGTACGGTCCAGAGACATCCTTGCCGGCTTTGATGGAGCAAAGGTCTCACTTAGCAGGATAATCGATATCGCTGCATGAGTGCGGAGGCGGGAATAAAGACGGTGGTAGCAAAACGGAGAGCAGTAGGGCCTATGCAAAATGAGGGATATGTTGAACTATATGTATCTCGGTATATCGGTTCGTCTCTCGGGCCTCGAGGGTACTTCTCCGCCTGTATCGTCTTTTGGAGCGTTGGAGACAGAAAGAAGTGGCCGTTGATAAAGCCTACACAGCTCCAAGCTGGAGCAGGTGGAGGCTAACAGACAACTCCAGGCATGGGCGGGGGGTAAAGGATAGGCAAAGCTGGCAAAGGTTGACGGAAGATATCTTAAATTCCGCCGATAGACAGGGAGGCTTCTTCCAAGGCGTAGTGCGTGGATAACTATAGCAGGCGTCCAGCCGTATCAAATAGGCCGTAATTAAGGTAAGAGACAAGCTTATCCTGTAGATCAAGCAGCACTGTCTCCTGGATCGTACTTTGTGCGTAAAACTGTCCCGTGGAGTAAGAAGAAATAGGTCGAATAGAGGCCCTGGTTCATGCCATCCGCGGCCCAGAATATGTAAGTGAAGTTACTTTTTTGGTGGTTGAAATCACGAGATCCGACGACGCCGAACTGGTCCGAGCGTTACATTTTTGCACACTGCCAGCAAACCTCAGCAACATCACCAACCCAGTGATTGGCCGACCAGGACGACCGCAACAACCGCCAGCCAGCCAGCCAGCCGTGAGAAATCGCCGCATAGCACACCGAGAACAGGGTGAAGAGCGTCTCGAGACAGTTTGAAGAGTCAAGGAGCCGAAGATATTATCCGAATCCGAACCGGCGCGATGGCTTTGACGTCGATGATTACCCGGGTCTTCGAGAAACCCTGGGTCACCAAGGCGATGACGCCGATTGCCAACTGGTACTGCAATGCCGCAGGATACAGGAAGTTGGGCCTAAGGTGCGTTATATTAGCCATTGATGTGGATAGGGGGTAGATATGGGATAAATGGGGCGAGACAGCTACCATTGCCAGTGTTTGGAACTGGCGGAAGAAAGGAAAGGCTGTGATGGCAATGGCAGATATATAAAGAGAAGATGAGAGAGAGAGAGAGAGAGAGAGAGAGAGAGAGGTGGAGGAGGTAAAGAAAGAAAGAGAGATGCTAACTTGTGGCATTGACTGTGGACAGATATGATGATTTGATTCCAGAGGACAATGACACTGTTCAGTTGGCGTTGAAGAGACTTCCTCCCAAGGAAGCCTATGACCGCATGTACCGCATCCGCCGAGCCGTCCAGGTAAGTGCCTGCTCAGACACCACTTCTCTCTCCTATCTATATCTACTCTTTGTCTAGATGAGGCCTGCAGACTAACAAGTGACTCTAGTGCTCTGTGGAACACCAGCTTCTGCCGGAGAAGGACCATACCAAGCCAGAAGATGTATGTCTGTATATATATTGTTTATTTTTTTTCCCCCCCCCTTCAGCCAAAGAAACATGGACTGACTGTTTGTTATAGGATATCCGATACCTCTCCCCCATTATCGAGGCCATCAAGCGTGAGAACGCCGAGCGTGTCGAACTCGACTCCCTCATCATCAAGCGATAAATTCCCGTCTGACCAGCCAGTTCATCCCGCCAGCCCGTCAATGTCAATGATACCATGAACAGGAGGGATGATATGAGATGAGAGAGACTTGGCTCAGTAAAAAAGAAAGGGTCCCAGATCAGAGAACACAACTCACCAATATCAATGTTTAAATATTACACTCCTGTCGACTCTCTTGACCTTCATTTTCCTTGTGTTTCCGCTTTTTTGATAAACATGTACAGATAGTTAGATACGAGGAAGTCAATTGCATTGTACATCTCGTGCAGCCAGTAGTAGTAATGTCGGAGGTATATCAAGAGTCTATGATATAAACGGTAAGATACAGTGAGTGTGGGGTAGAATTGAGGCATCACGCCTGCATGACGGCAACATCTACGTTCTCCCACCTCCACATGTACCACATGAAGAGACTTCTATAGGGTGAGAAGGGCGCTGCTATCTCTATCATGTCCTTTTCAGACATGTACTTGAACTTACCTCCGCCCTTTGCCTTGAGCTTGCTTACATCCCGTCCTGCAAAGGCCGCCATACCACGTCTACCAATTAGTACCTCTACAAGCATTTGACACTCTAGGAGAGGAATGGAAAGAAAGACAAGAGAAAAAAAAAAAAAAAAAAGAAAAAAAGAAAAAGAAAAAAAAAAAGAAAAAAACTCACTGGACACCGAGATCCCCCGTCGAAAAGACGTCCATCCGCTTGAGGCCAAAGAGCAGGAACATCTCAACCGACCACTTCCCCAGTCCCCGCACGGCAATCAGCTTGTCCAACACCTCCTCGTCACTGGCCGTCAGCAGCATACGAGCAGACAGCTCGCCCGAGGCAAACTTGTCAGCCAGGCCATGAATGTACTCTGCCTTGCGCTGGGAGAGACCGGCGGTTCGGAGGGTAGGGATGTCCATGGAAACCACCTGCTGGGGAGAGGGGAACGGGACCGGCTTGTAACGTAGTCCAGCGTCACCAACTTCATCCTCGCCGTCTCCATCCGCTTCAACTTGGGTATCTGTGGTGGTGGTGGTGGTGGCACTGAATAAAGAGATGAATTTGCTCTTTATCGACTTTGCAGCTGCCCCGGAGACCTGCTGGCCTATGATGCCGCTGACGAGGGCCTGGAACGGGTCAATCTCGACTGCGAGGTCTGCTGGTCTGAAGGGGGCGTCGGGGAACTTGTTGATGACCGGCTTGAGCCTGGGGTCGACTGAGAGCAGATGTGCAATTGCTCCTGCCAGGAGGTTCTCTACCGTGGTTGTAGGAGTGGTAGTGGTGGCAGATGGGTATGCTGTGATGTGTGAGCCGCGCGGGGTGAGGAGGGGAGCTGCTGTGCGATGGGGGTCGACGGGCCGGGCAAGGCTGCTGGCTGGAGTTGGAGTTGCTGGAGGAGGCAGAGACGGCGGCGGAGGAGGTGTTGATGCCACCACCGAGACGACCGTCTTCGTCTTCTTCTCAGCCTTGGACTTGGTGATGCCTCTCGGCTTCTTCTCTGTCTTCGTCTTCTCTATCTTTGTCGTCGTCACCTCTTCCGCCTTCTTCAACGCTGCCGCAGCACTGACTCTGGCTGACCGTCGGGGAGCCATGGGGGCCAACAGACGCGGTATCCAGCACTTCACCAGCATCCAACGTCGCAACAGCGCTCATCTATCTGTCACCACCAACGTCTGTCTCTGTCTGTCTGTCCTGCAAGGTTAGTCACTGTCTCGTCAGGATTATTATTAGTTAATACGAAGGGCGGTCTTTACGAAGCTAGGTAGGTCGAGTACTGGTACGTACCAAAGTACCTTGGACTTCTGACTCTGGTTCACCCCCCCGTTGCACTGCTTTTTCCAAGATACTTACTTATCCTATATGGCATCGGCTGACTCAACCAACCAAGCTTCGCCGCGTTTCTTTTTTCCCCCGACTCGACCAAGCAGAGGAAAAAGCTTGCCATTGCATGTGCTCTGCTTGCTTGCTTGCTTCAGGGGCCAAGGGCAAGGTCACAGCCAAGGTCAGGATCCAAGGCAGCCGCCCCAAGGACTAGGAGGGGACATTTAACTAGTTATTTGAAAGAGGAAAAAAAAAAAAGCAAAGAACGGGTCCTCCTTGCCGCGGTGGCCAAAAACGAAAGGGTGTTCATCCTGACCCTCACCTATAAAACGACGAAACGACGGCAACTTCTTAAGTGTTGATATTTTGCAGAGTTCGAAGAAGGGTCAAGCCACTCTCCAATTCACCCGCGATCGACAAGCCTCTGCCCCTTGGCCCGCCCTGGCCTGACATCACCAGTCGCCCATCTCACGGGCCGGAGATTCCCCCTTGCAGGACCGCGCAGCCTCGGCGAGCCCATCATCTTCTCTTTCTGATGATAGCCAGCGCAAACTTGTACTTAAAGGCGCTCTACTTATGACGAGGAACCCCCAGAATCCACTTTAAACCTGGCCTGAGGGAGACTCCCGTGGCAAATTTACATCGGGTCTAACCTAAGTAGTAAGCTGTTGGCCATGCCTGAATTGACCCAACTCCAATCCAACACTTAGAGCGCAGCATCAGTCACAGTAACAGCATCAGTCACAGTAACAGCAGCATCAGCATCAGCAACAGCAAGAGTGAGTCCTCTATAACTGCACAGCCATCAGCCAGCAAATGTATTCTTCCTGTCTTATGTCATCCTGGATCATCGCTTACCTAAGCCTGTCTCAGGTTCGACCCCCTGGAAAGTCAAAAGAAAATAAAAGTCAAAAAAAGTCTCTTTTTTTTTCTTTTTCCTTCCTTTTCCTCCCCTTTTTTTTTTTTATTATTCTTATTTTTTTATTCTTATTTTGCTTCCCGCTCAGTCTTTGCTCGTCTCGCTTCCTCTCGCTTTCTTCCTCTCTCTCTCTTTCTCGCTCTCTCTCTTTCTTACCTGCTTCTTTCTCTTCCTTCATCTCACTTGTTCAAGCCCGGTTCGCTAGGCCGCTCCCTGGTTTGCTGGGTCCACCCTCGCTTTCGTCGTTGCTTTTCTTTTCTTCCCTCGTCGTCGCGTCCCTTGAAAAAGTTGGCTCGCCTTCGTCTTCGCTCTTCCTTCGCTCGCTTCTATCCTCCATCCTTCTCGTCCACCAGCAAGAAGCTCACCAGGTCTCAGCAAGCTCCAGGTAAGCCGTTGTCTCTCTCTCTCTATCTCGCCAATTCGTTTCTGTGCCATTGTTGCTGTTGTCGTCGAGCAGAAGACCGGACGGCGGAGAGAGACAGGAACACAGTCCCTCCCTGCTGGCTGTGTGACGCCTGTGGCACCCCTTTTTCTTAAAACCCTTTCCTCTTCTCCCTTGAAACGCCCTCACTTCTTTCCCTTCGAAACGAATTCCCACAACAAACAAACAAGGGCTTTAAAAGAAGGTCTCGGGCGGGCCCTCTCTCTCTGTGCATTACACGAAGCCTCTCCCTCTCAGTCTTCTGTTGGCCTCCCGTTCTGCTCTGCTATCGACTCTTCTGCGCACCGTCTTATCAGGTCAAGATTGCTGACTCGACCGCGTCCAGCTCACGTCCTGACAAACCCACGAGATGGCCATCACCAAGTACCTCGTCTCGGCCCTGGCCGTTGCCGGTCTGGCTTTTGCCAAAGGTGAGTGCAAACGACGCGTTGGCACCCTTGATACACCGAATGTGATGATGATGATGATGATGATGGGGAGACGATTGGGTGGATTAGATGGCTGACCCGATATCTGATTAAACAACAGACTGCTCGGGAGACCTCACCATTGAGAACCAGCAGGATGTCTCTACACTGAGCAGCTGCGATAAGTGGGAAGGAGACATCACCATCAGCGAGGTTGTCAAGTCTTCCATCGTGCTCAATGGTGTCAAGCAGATTACCGGCTCTCTCATGGCCAAGAACTCTAGCATCACTGAGCTTTCTGCTCCCACCCTGAACAGCGTTGGTGACTCCCTCAGCCTCAGCACCTGCACGGCCCTGAGATCCCTTGATATGGGTTCTTTGACCAAGGTCAAGACCCTCAAGTTGGAAGCTCTGCCAAAGCTCCAGGCCCTCGGATTCACCCGTACTGTTTCCCAGGCTACCTCTATCCTCATCACCAACACCGATCTCACCTCCCTCCAAGGTCTCGACCTTGAGACTGTCACCGACTTTATGGTCACCAACAATCCTCACTTGATGGAAATCAACGTCAACAAAATGACCAACATTACTGGCTACCTGAACTTCGCTGCCAACCACAAGCATCTTTCCGTCAAATTCCCCAACCTCGCGGGTGCTCACAACATGACATTCCGCAACGTCAGTGATGCCTCGTTGCCCTCCCTTCACAAGATGGATGGTCTCCTCGGCTTCTACTCCAACTTCTTCATGAACATCAGTGCTCCCAACCTCACTCTCACCGGTGACCTTGTCTTCACTAGTAACTCCGCGGTCATGAACATCTCCATGCCAAAACTCGAGACCGTCAAGGGTGGCTTGCAGCTCGCCAACAACTCTGCCCTCGAGGACATTGAAGGTTTTCCCTCCCTCAAGCTCATCACTGGTGCCCTCGACATTACCGGAAAGTTCAAGACGTATGTTTCTCTTTTTTTTTTTTTTTTTTTCCCTCTGTTTCTTCAATCTGCCCGTTGCTAACACATAATATAGGGTCAAATTGCCTGCTCTCAAGGAAGTCCGTGGCGATGCCAACCTCCAGAGTACCGAGTCTTTCGGCTGCGAGCCATGGCAGAAACTCAAGGACTCCGATGTCATCCGCGGCAAGCTCACCTGTCGCGAGAGACAAGAGAAGCCCAAGACCGGTGACGACCACACTGGTGGTGACGATGAGGGCCACAAGGGTGCTGCTGTTGCTTTCGCCAAGGCTCCTGCTGCCGCTCTCCTCATCGCTTTCGTCGGTGCTCTCCAATTCTTCTTGTAAACTAAAGCATGTTCCACACAAACACTTATCCCCCCCACCAAATACCAAAGTACATGATGGCGTTGTCCCCCTTTTGTCCGCTCCCTCTTGTACCGTTCGTCTTCCTTTCTAACGATACTGTTTCTACCCTCCTTTTTTTACCTCTTGTGGCATTCAATTAAATTGTATCTCTTCCCCCCCTTATGTCCGCTTTAATGGTTTATTAGTCGAAGTCGAACGGTAGTAATTCAGCATTTCTTACTCTTACCTCTTGTTCCTTGGTCCGCTGTCTCTAGTCTCAGTATACGTACGTAAGAGTCTTCGTCTCAGTAGTCTCTGTCTGCACTTTATAGTTCCTCCCCCTTTTTCGTCCGTCTCCGATACAAGCATACTGCTTATCTAATACGAGGCCACGTGACCCCTTACGCAAGTCGCTTTCCTTTCATCTCGCTCGTCCAGAAGAAAATGTCGCCCCTATGCAGTATCACCCTCGCCCTCGCTTCTCTCTCTCGTCTTCCTCCTCGTCCACGGCGTCCATTGTGCTTCTCTCCTCCTCCTCTGCGTCCATCCTCTGATACTCGTCATCCGCCCTCCGCTGTTTGGGCGGCTCGAGGTTAGCCGTTTCGAGATACCATCCGTTTTCTAAGACATCGATCTGGCTGACACGTCTAGAACCCGGCAGATATCAACTCTTCTTCCACGACCCGGAGAAAGGAAAAAAAAAAAAAAAAGGGAAGATAAAATAATAACACAACGGAAAAGACAAGGCGCTCAAGAGGAATTCACTATATCGGTCGACGTGGAGGCGCGCTGACATCGTCTCGGGGCCCATCGTCACTTCACTCGTTTGTTCTACTGCCGGACGCATAGACTAATTCGCCGCCTCCGTCTCCAGAAGGGAGCTCGAGTACGACCAACCGAAGTCCCACTAGAGGTACACGCAGCCAGAACCAAGTCAAAAACGTAGACGAGACCGGTGAATAAAAGGCTCTTCTTACATACAGACGCCTCCAAGATGCTTCTCCCCAAGGGCGGCGTGACATGGAAATCGGCAAAGGCCCACCTGCCACCATGGAAGGCGGTGCTCATGCTTATTTCAAAACTCCGGTTTATCATCTCCATTGCCGCTGCGGGGCTGGTTGTACTGCTCTGGGGCGGCGTTAGTCGGTCCACGGCGGAGATGCAGAGGTTCATCCTATATCCCTTACCCGCTTCTATATATATATATGTGTGTGTGTCCGTTCTGACAGCAACACCGATAGATATTACTGCTTCGGCCCATCAAAACCTCCAAACCACATGTCCGCCAACGAAATGGTAGACTGGCACTCCCATCTCCAAACCCCCGTCATCTTCAACCACCACGAACCATACGAAGTAAACAACACCTCCATCCAAAACATCAACCTGAACCTCGTCAAAGCTACCCCAAAAGCGGCCGCAATGGAAGAACGTGTCCTGATTCTCACGCCGCTACGCAATGCCGCTAGACACCTGGATAAATACTTTGACTTGCTCTCTATGCTCACCTATCCACACCATCTGATCGATATAGCCTTCTTGGTCAGTGATAGCAATGACGAGACGCTAGCTGATCTGGCTGCGAACCTGAACCGCGTGCAGTCGATGCCAGACAACATTCCATTCCGCAGTGCGATGGTTGTAGAGAAGGACTTCGGCGCCACTTTGGATATGGATGTCAATGCGAAGCATGGATACGAAGCCCAGGCTCCCAGACGGAAGATGATGGGTAAAGCGAGGAATTTCTTGCTGGCCACGGCATTGAAGCCCGAGCATTCTTGGGTCTACTGGAGAGATGTCGATATTGCCGATAGTCCGCCCAAGATCATTGAGGACTTTGTCGCGCATAACAAGGATATCCTTGTTCCAAGTACGTTTTACTCCTCCCTATTTTGGCTGTGGTGGATACGTGTTTACTAACCATGTTATAGATGTATGGTTTCATCGATATGTCGACGGCCATGATATCGAAGGAAGATGTAAGTCGTCTACCCGTACTCCTCAACGTTGGCCCTCTTCAATGCTAATTACTCTTCACTAGTTGACTACAACTCCTGGGTAGAATCAGACAAGGCCCGAAAGCTAGCTGCGACCTTGGACAAAGATACCATCATCGTCGAAGGATACCGAGAATTCGACACCGGACGCCGCCACATGGCTAGAGAAGGTGACTGGAGGAAAAACAAGGACGAGGAACTCGAATTGGATGGAATTGGCGGTGTCAACATCGTCGTCAAAGCTGATGTTCACCGGGCAGGTTCGTTCTCTACACCCATCTCTCTAACTTAACTTAATGCAAATATTTGTCTAACGCCACCATCGCAGGCATCAACTTCCCCTCATACGCCTTTGAGAACCAAGCTGAAACCGAAGGGTTCGCTAAGATGGCCAAGCGGGCTGGATACCAAGTCGTCGGTCTACCGAACTACGTCGTCTGGCATCACGATACTGAAGAAAAGCCTGGGAACGTCTAATCCAAAACAAAAACTCCCCTCCCTCTCATCCTCCGCCACGCACTATTTCCTCTCAACACATTAATGACATCCCCGGTGCCACAACGTGGCTCCTACTCCCATGACAATTCTTCACTTGCATACTGCGACAAATACCAAAAGCCACGTTTTAATCGCATACGTACACCCCTTCTAAGCGGCCAGCTCACGCAAAGAACCGCTCTTCCACTTCCCACTTCTTATCTATAGACTAACACCTGTCCACTTACCCTGCCTTACCATACCTTCGGTCAATGATTTCGCTATGTCTTTGCTCATGTTTGGTTGCTTTGATTTCCTTTCTTTTCGCTCTGTATTATCTTCTATTTCATCTCGTTTTCTCTTCCCGTTCAGGTCTCTTTTCTCTTGGACCGAAAGAAACATGCTGTCTAAGCTAAGCGTACCAGATACTCGGACCTACCAACTTCAATGTCAACACTGCGTCCGGGTCCTGCGGCCGTATTGCTTTGCCCGTACATTTGTCTGAGGTTCAACCAACCAACTATATCCCGTTCCCGTGCAGGAAACCAACCCCCCGTTTCTTTTTGTTTTTTTTTTTTTTTTTTTCAATATTCATTTCTCTACCAACCACTCTTAATCACCCGTCTGATTGTTAGTATTCCTTTCTTCCTTTCTTCCCTTGACTGATTGTCCGTTTGATTGTTCCAGTTTCAGCTTCACTACTTAACTTTTTGGGCTAGGCGTTTCCTTCTCCTCTTCCTCTCCTCCGCCTTATATCTCTAATATCCACTTTGAAAAACGGGGGGTCACGCACCTCTTCTCTTCGGCTTTTGCTTTCCTGTCTGTTGACAGATTACTTCTTTTCTTTTCTTTTTTTGTTCCCTTTTCTCTCATCCTTTTTTTGATGATGAATGTGTGTGTTGAAGTAGTGGTTAGTTGGTTGAAGTAGGGGGGTATGTAGGGCGGGAGTTAGGTCGTGGTGTGAGATTTACCTACTTCAATGCATCCCAGGTGTTTTTCTCTTCTTCTAGTCTTTCTCGATGTAGATGATCAAGGTCATAGGGGATAGATAGCGGAAGCAGCTTCTGTCAATATATCAATAATACCTACCTAGGCTCACGAAATGGATGATACATGGGGTACCACGCCTAGCAAGGCCAATTACTGAATATCAACAGGACAGAAGAAAATGTAATAATATACAACCTCTATTCTCCGGCTCAATCGTGCAAAAAGGCAAGCATCTAAACGCCAGGTATATATGTACGTGTAGTGCCGTATACATGGCACCATCTATGACAAGTAGATCAAAAGTGACGTGTCTTGAAAGAAAGAAAAGGTGTAGATCCTAGCCATTCGCAACTCGAATCAATCAGTGATTCGTTAAACCGAGTCGGTTACGTAACGATAGCCAATGTTCGTAGATCTCCAGCTTTATCTCAACGCGAATATAACTAACCCATGCCTGCAGGAAGCGGAGGAAGTTTGGTGGCCAGAATATGCTTCCTTGCTGGGAAATGAGTTCCATTTCTTGCGAGAAGACAGCGCAAGTAGCATATTTGGCTAGGATGAGAAACGTTCGTACGGGCCCGTGGCGAGTATGTAGATTCTCGTCAAGATTGCGAGCTAGAAGGATTACCCGTTAGTTCCGTCAAAAACATGTATGTGTAGATAGTTCAAACTGGACTTACTAAGGTCGTTTGTTTTTAGGATCAAAAGCATGATTCGGGGAACTTTGCCTAGCAGACTGACTAATTCCTGTAACATGCCGTCTCCCAAAGCCGTGGTGATGGATTCTTTCTCCTCCGATGATCGAGAGGATGCAACTTGGTTCTGTGCAAGGACCGTATAATCTCTCCCGGTAATAGCGCTTGCAAACAGAGGGAACTCTTCGTCCGTTACACCGGCAACTTCATAAGCGTACTTTCGCATCTCCTTTTCATCTGCGTTGATCACAGCAAGCCAGAGTTTGGCGTAGTTGATACGCATTTCCTTGGGAATGGTTCGGTATAGGCCGTGGTCATATAGGACGATATCGAAATTAGGTCCACGCTTCCGTGTGTTGTTTTTGCATATTGCAATGTTTCCTCCATGAGGATCACAGTGCAAAGGCGCGCCGTCACCAAAGATCATTTCGTTGAATATGTGAGCTAGTGAAGCTGATACCTCATCACGGTCAATGTTATTGGAGTCAAGAAACTCTAGATCATCAGGCCGATGGCCTGATATGAACTCCATTACTAGAAGGCGTTTCTTTGCCCAAATAACTACGATCAAAACAATGTCAGCAGACATGACACTTTGGAACACAATTCAGAAGGCCTCTTACCTTTCGGGATAATGAGTGGTGCATTGGTCCTTTTGCTGAAATATTCACGAGCCACTCTTGCGTTCTCAGCCTCCATTTGGAAATCCAGTTCCTGGGGTAATGAGAAATCCATCTCCCTGGCCAGCCATTCGAGATCATATTCAGGAAACACTCGCTTCAGTGACGAGAAAGTGAAGCGTGTAAGGCTCAGGTCCAAGGGAGCCCACTCTTGGAGGGTAGGATGCTGCACCTTGACAGCAACTTTCTGGCCTGTTTCTCGCAGAACAGCTACATGTACCTGCGCCAAAGACGCGGCTCCAATGGGCATTGGATCAAAACTGGAGAAGATTTCGTCTATCGTGTGGCCTGTGTCCCTAAGGAACATTTCCTGAACTGACTCAAAGGAGGAGACAGGGCATTGGTCCTGCAGAGGAATGAAAGTTGTGGTCCATTCTAGCGGTAGTAAGTAGCCCAAGCTACTTAGATGCTGGCCTAGCTTGATGAATATCGAGCCGTTCTTTTCGAGGACCTTTAGCGTCCGATCGGCGCATCTCTGATGACAGGCGTTTAACAGTGTAGTCCTTTCTTCCTCCGTTCTCGTCTCTTTATTCAGTGTCACCCGGTAGCTATTTTGGACGGTTAGCAACATGTACCCCTTAATAAACTGTTGGTTTATGACTCAACTCGTTGATGCAAACTAGCAAGGCTGCAACAACTCTTCCCGTCCGTTCTGCTGCTCGGTATGCATGCTTGACATCATCGTAGAAGAAGAGCAAGGTTCCTCCAAGCGTGCCAGTGGCAGCTGCCAGTACGAACCCCTTTCTCGATCGCTTCCTCCCGTTCACCCTGGAAGCTTCCTCCTGCGCGCCACCGGTTTTCTGTCCATATCGCGGACTCATGCCATGGTATAGCCGTGTATTATCCAGAATCAGACCCCCAGCACTTCTGTTATTATCCCACCGAACGCATTGCTGGCATGACCAGGCTTGTATGACCGATGGCGGGAACCTTCCGAGGGTCGGCTTCGGAGTCAAGAATCGAGTCGCGATCCGGGCAGGCATGGTAGGCCAGATCACAGAGCCGCAGACTGTCTATCTGTACACCAGGTCCTAAATTGACCATCTCCCATTGCGGCTCAGCGCGGCGTCGAATTGGATGTCTGGAAGACGAGGCCTGATGCGACGAGGTCATCGTCCTTTGAAGTTTTTCGGTCTCGGTAGCTTTTGACTTTTTTCCTTCCCTCCTTATCGATAAGAGTTTTGCCTCTTCGCGCGGTTATTTGAAATTGTTAGCTAACAAAAGGACCGCTGAAAATCATACGACGGCAGAGCCAGGGAACGTACGATGCGTCTCTTGCATGGGGGCGCCGTTAGACGAAGCCGGAGTAGATGGGCACATGGGCTGCTGGACGGCGACAGCGTCTATTTGCCTGTGAATGGGAGGGTGGCCAGCTGCTTGTTCCTGGATGTGGCGGGATCTCGACCCCTGAGCCAGTCCTGCGCCGGATGCCAGATAAAAGGTAGACTGCCTTTAGCTTCGAAAGAAGATGTAGTGAAGTAGTGAAGCAGAAGAGAGTAAATATCATATAACGTAAAAGAAGAAGTACCCTGGCATGTCCTGGGAAAGATAATCCGTCGTCTTGACCTTGTCTCTTGTAATATCAGCCCTGATCTGCCTGCTGCGCCTGCAAAAAGCAGTGAGTGTCTTCTGCAGCGCGGTCGTCCATCTCTCTCTCTCTCTCTCTCTCTCTCTTCTTACACCATCGCTGCAGTTCTTCCACCATGGGCCAGGAAATCATCGTCTAATCGATATACCGACCACAGAAGCACCCTACAGCCTAGAAGACACACCTTACGATGGCTGTTACTGAAACTGCTGCTGGGCGCACGGCGTCGAGGGTGCAGCCTGGCGCTGCTCCTCCTCCTGACAGCTCAATCGAAGACCATTTCTTCTGGACATACACCGAAGAACCACATAGAACACGGCGCCAGGCTATCATCAAAGCCCATCCAGAGGTATGTTAGTCCCGTTCCGCTGCTCATCAAATGGGCTGATTTCGAAATGCTGTTGCGTTGTGAGGGCTGCGCGCTGACCGATGGACTTGGACAAATGCAAACAGGTGCTGAAGCTCTGCGGCCACGAACCTCTCACCAAATACCTCGTCTTCGCCGTTGTCTCGCTCCAGATCGCATGTGCATACTTCCTACGCAATACCTCCATGCTGTCATGGCAGTTCTTTGTTACTGCGTACGTCGTGGGTGCTACTGCAAACCAAAATCTGTTCCTCGCCATACACGAAATCTCACACAACCTCGCCTTCAAATTGCCTCTGGCTAACCGACTTCTGGCCATTGTGGCCAATTTGCCCATTGGAATACCATACTCTGCTTCATTTCGAGTCAGTACACTCCGCTATGCCCATATATGATTACCAACGGGAGCGCAATGCTAACACTGCCATAGCCATATCATCTGACCCACCACAAGTCCCTTGGTGTGGCCGGTCTGGACGCTGACCTTCCAACGGCCCTCGAAGCATTCTTTCTTGATTCCTTACTTGGCAAAACGTTTTTCTGCACCTGTCAAATCCTCTTCTACGCCATCAGGCCCATGTTCATCTATACCCCCAAGTTCACCTATATCCATCTCATCAACATCATTGTGCAAATCTTATTTGATATTGCGCTATGTAGATTCACCAACTCCCTCCAACCGTTCTACTACCTTATCCTAAGCTCTTTCCTGGCCGGCTCATTGCACCCATGTGCTGGCCACTTCATTGCTGAACATTATTTCTTCTCTCGCATCAAGACCGGGGGAACTGAATCTCTGCTCGCCCTCAGACAACAAAAGGAACAGCAGTCCATGAGTATCAAACCCGTTGATCCTTCTATCCCACCGCCCGAAACATACTCCTATTATGGTACCTTGAATATCCTGACATATAACGTCGGTCTTCATAACGAGCACCATGACTTCCCAGCTGTTCCATGGTCACGACTTCCCAAACTACACGAGATTGCAAAGGAGTATTATGAAACTCTTCCCTGTCATCGTAGCTGGGTCTGGGTGATCTGGATGTTTATCCTGGACAAGGATGTTGGCATGTGGTGTCGTGTTAAACGTGCCGAGGGGGGCAGGATTGTTGGTGGTGATAAGAAAGCTTCCAAAGTTGACAGTGGATGGACCGAAAACGAGATTCAGAACTGATTTTGGCCTTTAGTACTTTGAAACTATTGGATATTGGCTTTTCTTCATACGCTTAGATATTCGATCCTGTTAGAGATGGTCCTTTTTTTTGTTTTCCCAACTCGTAATCACACCGTATACCAATATCGCACAATTAATGAAAGAGAAATATCAGTCAAAAGCATGCATCGCATCATAGATGGATTGGTAACTATCTGTATGTAACCGTTTTTGTCTTCGGTCTTTTTGTCTTCTGTAGTTGATTCTTTATAACTCTATTTTCGGCCGTCGAGTTGCAGGTAGACCACATAAAAAGCTGTAAAGCTGTGTAGTATCTCTCCTGCACTAGCTGTCATCATGCGTCAAGTGTAATGTAGACAAGTAAATGTGATAAAAAAACCTGGTGAGCCAAAGAAAGGCGAAAAGGGGATCCAAAAACAGGGGAAGGGGGGAAAGGGAGCGAACCCAAAGACACAACAGAAAAGAAGACGCCAAACCAGCCTGTCCTTTGCATCCCGTTAATTCTTCTGTGTCAGGCAGGGGGAAACGCTGGTTAAGAGACCCGATTCTCGAACTCAATGAAACAAGAGAATGCAGCAAAAACCAAGGTAGCAGAAAAAGTGCACCAAGAATACCCCCCCGTTTTGTAAGTCAAAAAAATGTAAGAAAGTAAGAAAATCGGAAAGCCGAATATTCCGTAAGAAAAGTAACAATGAAGAGAGGGATAAAAACAGGAAGTAATAAAGCAAATGTCACAATTGCATCTTTCATCATTTCATTCCATTATTCTTCCGTGGTTTGTTGGCCATTGTCATGACTCGCCGTCCCCGTCATGGCCCATCATATCTGTTTCCATCTTGCCGTCAGGAGTCTCGCCTATGCTAGGTAGACCAGGGTCTGCTATCGGCTCTTCCCTCATACACGCGTTCTCTAGGATATTGGTCCATTTTCCGCTCGAGCCAGCGTGAATATGCTTCAAGTGCTGTCTAAGATGGTCGGCTCGCCAGAACTTTTTGGACTGATTGCATTCTCCAAACTTATGAACAGATGTTAGATGTTCGATTCGAACATCCCACTGCGGGGCTGGTAGGTTGGGGAACTCCATGCCGCAGAAACCACATGTGTCATGAGTTGAAGTCGTAGAGCCAGAAGCCTGACCGTTGGAAGATGAAGATGAAGGATGAAAGGCCGATTCATAGCCTGCGAGGGATCCACAGGACCAGGAATGGTGACGGATGTGAAGAGAGGCGCGGTGCCGCTCTGCTTCATTTTTGTTCTTGAAGCGCTTGTGACAGTAGTTGCAATTATATTGCTTTTCCATCTCATGGGCTCTACAAGGGGAAATGCATGCAGTATTAGCCTTGAAATCTATATCGAAGAAACGGGGGAAAAAAAGCAAATATCTCCTCGGAATCTTGGGCGTTAGAAAAAAGAAACAAAGAAAGTTCGTACCTGAGTTCCTCAAGACTATCTAGCTTCTTTGGCTTTGTATGACAGCAGTCACATATATATGACCGGCCGACACGCTGGGGGTTTTTCGATGAGTTTGGACATGTGTGAGATCCTTTTCGGCCTGAGCCGGCCGAAACCGAGTTCTTCTTCATATCGACAGCTGATGTAGGCGATGGTTCAGGGTACTGTGCTGGTCGAGGCATACTCAATATTGGCGCAGATGTAGACTGCTTTTGGGCAGGACTGCTCATAAAGCCTCCCCTATCATAGTGATCCACATCAGTAGGCGAAATTCCACCTGGAGACGGCCGATCGTAAGAAGACATGCTACTAGCCCCGACTGAAAGGCCAGTTGAGGAGGCGTATGATCCGGTTCGCATGCTTGCCGATGAAATGGACGATATCGAGCCATGGTTAGACTGGTATCGAGCTCCACCTGGCGATGTGCAGATTCCATTGTTAAAAGGAAACCCTGACATACGCCTATCACTACTGCTTGTGCTAAGCGCTGCATCCTCGTTTCGGGCCACTTGTGGCGGAGAAGAGGCCCTTCGCTTCATTCCATGGTTTGATAGAGGAGATATACCTTCGGCATAAGATGGCATCCGTTCACCTAGGCTTCGTTGACGAGTGGTTTTTGAATGCATGCTGCTCGAATGTGCCTCATCCATCGACATTTCGGTGTCTAGGTCAGGAAAGAAAGACCGGTCATGGCTCCTTCTTCCAGAATGTAAAGGCAAGCTATGCGCAACCTCACCATATCTAACTGGGCCGCTGCTAATCCCCCCGGCATATTTTTCTCGTGCCTGGCTGAACTGGTCCACCTCCATGGGCGACGGGCCGCTGCTGCTCCCCTCACGTTGGTTTCTGAATGCAATGTAATCCAAGAATCCGCTCCCTCCGGTGCCTGGGGATATGCCTGCCGAGGGAGGGCCGCTGCCCCATCGCATATCCTGTGGGCTAAGAGTCTCGTCCGTGAGTGTGAGAGCAGAAAAGCTCGTCTGCACTCTGGTAGGGTCTCTCGGTGTTGTGGTAAGGCCTAGTACTGCGTTCCTCGGCGGAGACGTTGGACCACCAATTTTTGACAAGAGATTCCGGTCGTAAGCGTTGATGGAATGCTCAACACTCTTCTCTGATAGCGGTTTTTGTCTATCCCTGAGCTGTTAGTTTATTTATGCATGGCTTCGTTGTAAGAACATATCATGAATCACCTTGTGCTAGGCAAAATCCTGGTATCGAGTGTGTGAGAGAGCGATCCAGTCTGGGAAAGGGACCTGCTTGGCCGTGTCAGAGGGCTCGTAGGGGAAAAGGCATTCCCATCACCATATGAACCTATCAAAGGTGCCGATCGTGGACCTAGAGCAGTCTCCTGCTCTGACATAGAAGCTGATCCAGGTCGCCTGGCATCGACAACTCTTTGTTCATCCGCATCCAGGCGAAAGGCTTCGTCCCGTCTGCGCAATGGTGGTCTAGCGTGGCCTCCTCCAAAGAGGCTTGAGCCAGGATTGATTGGTGGCAGCATGGTGCCTGCAGCAGTATCTCGACTGGTAGAGGTATCTCTAGAGTCCATTTCCGTACCTGCTGGTCCAGCTGCTGCGCCTGATACTCCTGGTCCGCCTGGATGAAAGGTATTCCCCCATCTCCAGCCTGAGTCGTGTCCGTTGGCAAGTTCTTCTATAAACCGTGGCGGTGGGAGAGGCGGCGGGGCGATTGTTTCTTGCGACCTGGGGATGGCCATTGGTCCATAGGAGGGTGAGGGAGGCGTAGAGTCTGAGTAAGAGGGCTGGGCCTGCTGTCCCCCGGTGCTGGAGCTGATGCACGAACCAGAGCTGGGACTGTTTCTGGTGCTGCTGTAGCGGTGGCGAGCAGGAATCTGTTCTGCAGCAGAATCGGAGATGAGTATCGAAGGCGTAGAGGTCAAGCGCATGTCCATTCTTTCAACCCATGCGTACGGCCAACGACGTCTTGACTGACGCGCATCCAAAGGTCAGCCCAGACAGTTGAGATAAAAGAGAAAGGCGAAAAAAACGGGGATATCTCAGGTACGCTGAAGTTTAGCTGTTAAGGACGCCTATGCTTATTAGCCGGTGGCCATGTGAGAGAAGAGAATGTCGAAGGCCGAATGGTGGCGGCGGTGGCAAGTCAGATACGAGCTCTATATCTACCACGGTGCAACGAGAGAGCGATGCGGACCAGGCAGCGGTTGAGTAAAAGAGCCTGTCTGTCCGTCTATTTGTCCCTGTATATAGGTATATGGAGGAGGTGGAGGTGGAGGAGGAGCAGGAGGAGACAGCAAGACGGCCAGCTCGAGCGCAAGTCCCAAGCCAAAGGGCGAGAGTTGAAGGAGGAGAAATATGGGCGAAAAGGAACTTTTGATGGATCCCTTGGAAAAAGAAAAGAAAGACGGCCAAAACGCTAATCGTAGGGCTGAAATTACGATACTTCTACATGTGCATAACTAATTATATTGTCCTCCGCCCGCGAGGCCGCAACGCAGACAATATATATAGATGTGCAGAGGTGAAAAAATTTAGAGGAGGAAGAGCAATGTCGTTGAAAGAAGGTAAAAAAGTAGCTTAAAGATAAAAATAGAAAATAGCAAAAAGGGAAGGCACGGAAATAAAATACCGAGAAGGGGAGGCAGAAAAAAGGCGGTGTATCATGGTATTGTAAAGATGATACGTCTGTCTCGGCTTGCTGTATGGTAATACCAGTATGTTACGTGTAAGCTATAGCTTATTAATAAAAGATTAGTCAGTATTCTTTGTCTCCATTTGCTCTTTTCTTATACACCGGCATATAACTCCGTACCAAGGCTCTTTAGCTCTCTCAACTTCTTCTCTGCTTGGGTAAATGATAGACTCGCTCCGAATGACGAGCTCGATTTGCCGTGCTGCAGTGAGACACCGGGTGGCCACTCGACAAAAGCTTGCCACAGTGCCTACATGTGTTTCTTGCAAGGAGACGGAGGCACGATCCGTTGATTGAGTTTATATATATGTATTTCAGACTTTCCAACCGTCAACGGTAACTTTGCTCCTTGACCAACGTTGCTAGCAGTCCAAATTCAATCTCATCCCCCGTTCCATGGAACCATTTTCAGGGCTTTCAAAGCAGACCAACTATCTATATCACATAATAATAGCACGGACTACTTACTACCTATGCCAAAAACACCCACAAGTAAAATAGTTCGGCTAACTCTATTGTTAAACTAGTTATTGGTTCACGTGACTTTTATGTAAGGAAAAAAGGGCAAAAATTCCGGCAATCCCACAAGGAAGAAGGCAGAAGCCGAAGCAGCAGTAAGGGGGAACGATAATAGCGTCAATCAAGGAAGAAGATGAGCAAAGCTGACGGACTGGCAGGGTACGCTCTATGCTTGGTGGGCAGCTGCAGGCGACGTTGATGTACCCCAGTTAATGGGTTCTTCCCTGTAGCGGGCCGCCATTAAGTCTGCGACTTTCCACGTTAGCATCACCAAGCGCTGCAGCTTCTTGCTAGCTAGTTATCTTCTCAACTGTCTATCATCTTCCTCCCCGTTGCTAGACAGAGAGACCGACCCTCCGCGGACTTGCTCCTGCAGCTGCCGTAACAGAGAGCCACATCACGCCCACGGAAGTGTAAAAAAAAAAAAAAAAAAGAGAGAAAAAGAAAAGCAGAGAATATACGTATATCAAGTAGTTATCCACTGCCTTTTTTTTTCTTTTCTAGAAAATGCAGGACAAGGTCTCGATCAGGCCCTAGCGGAGCTTTTCTTGACATTCTAGTAAGTAATTTATCTTTCTTGCCCGTTCGTTCCACCGCACCAAGGCGCAGAAACAGCGACAAACAGCACAGCACAGCAGTGCAGCACCGCATTGCCTCCCGTACACCACCCAGCAGTGTGTGGGCCGAGCTGGGTAGCCGACGCTGGGCGAGAAGACGACGTACCCCACCTCTTGCTCCCTCTCTCAACCTCGCAGCTGAAGAAAGGCGTAACAGCGGAGACCTGGGTTGGACATGATTCCATACACGATCTGTATAACCTGTACGGGGTACAGCTATCACAGTGTAATAATGATGTATAGATGTATCAAGAATAGCCCATGACACTGTCCAATCTTTGCAGACGCAAGCCTTTCCCTTACGAGTAAGGCGTGAGCTGTAGACCGAGGGCCCTGTATTTTATATGCAGTTTCGTCGACTAGCTGTGAGCTGTATCTCTGCGCATGGAGTATGGAGTTTCCCGCCGGGAGGCAGAAGTGCATTGAGGCGCAGTCTTCCAGGGATCTTCTCCCCACCACTACCGCCGCCAGTGACAGCAATTCACATCGCAAGTAACGCACTGAAGCTTGCTTGCTAAGAAGATCGGTCCAGTACCCTGGCGTTCTCTTCTTCCCTTGCCTGCAGTGGAACGATCCTACTTGGCGGGGCTTTCAGGATCAAACTAATGCACTGTTAGCAGATAAATTCAGTTACCTGGTTACAGACAAGATTGTACGTGTATACTTCCCTTCGCGAAGGGGAAGTTTTTCGTCCTTCTGCTCGTTGTCCTGGCCCTGATTCCCGGCTCCCTTGTCTATCCTTCTTCTTCCTTCCCTCCCCGCATGTCCTCAGAATATAACAGGATTCGCTAGATGAGCTGGCCCGTCTCACACCATACACAACCCGTCTCTGCAGAGCGAGGAGGGCAGCCAGAAACCTAGTTACGATCGTGTGATACGTTTAATCATATAGGGCTGAATTCGAGAATGCTGTCTCTCCCCTCTTTGACCCTCATCTCACTCTTCATCCAAGGATGTGTGTTTCGTCATGGCTGGCTGTGCTGGTATTCGTAGGAAAGCAAAATGGAATCGTGCCAGGGCCACAAGCCGTCCCATGTAGTTATCAGGCATACCAACCAAAACCAAAGGGCCGGTACGATTTGCCTGGCAGGGACCTGCGGACGGTAGATAGGCGGATAGTCTGGTTGAAAATCATTTGCCATGCCCTCCCATGCGACCAACTGCATAAATACAAGTCCACCTATTATTATTATTATTATTATTATTATTACACAGTTGATGTGGGAGTGAGAGAGGATATGCTAGCGATGCCCTGGGCCCTTGCCCTCTCCCTGCGAGGACTGGTCAATTTGGTTTGGCATCGCGGCACGCCTGGAAGCTGAACCCATACAGCAGCAGCAGCAGTATTTTAGTATTGTGTATAGAAAACTCTCTGTATCGTAAGTAACAGCTTAACAAATATGGATACACTGGAGAATAGCCAGTCGTTAGCAGCGAGCCTAATCTTCAGGGAGTCGTGACGTTACCGAGCAGCAGAGCGTCCCCTCCAACCAAGCGCCATCTCTCTCAGCTGCAGACTCTGGCATCGGGCTCACCGAACTCCCTACTCCGTACTCCGTACTCATCCTTCATCCTCTTCTCTCCGCGGCGCCATCAGGAGCACCGTCTATCACTTCTTCTTCTTCTTCTTCTTCGCCTTAGCATCACCATTGTTGCCGTTCGACTGTCGTCTCGCTGTTGGGCGAAGTTCCTCGGCCTGGAAGGGCAAAGTCTTGGCATCAACTTCTCTTTTTTTTTTTTCTCTCTTCAACTTCGAAAAATAAAACATCGCCTTTTTTTGTCTTTTCGACTCTCAGCTAGCCATCGGCTGAGCCCCCCGTCAGCGCAGGCAGCTGTTTATATATAGCTCCTCTCCAGGTCTCTCTGTCTTCGGCAGCCTAGATCCTTCGAGCCTCTGTCTTCCACTCGTATCCTGGGATTCTTTCATGCATACATGATCGCATGATTCCCTGTGCACCGTGACCAGATAAGCTGCTGCCAGTCTATCAACCCACCTCAGCCGCCATGGCGTTGAACAGGGTCGGAGATGATAATCTCTATATTGGAGGGTTTGTCTATCCCTCTCGTTCGCCCAGATATACCCCTCAGGCCCAGCTGTTGCTTGTCTCTATGGCCATATCCCCGGCCCCTTGGACAACGCAAGCCAGCAGCAGGTGATGAGCCATCCGCCATGCATATTGCATATAGCTAATCAGAATATATTGTATTATCGTGTCTATGCTTCTAGATTAATGGCCCTGAACAATAAACTTGCACTTGAAAGGGAAAGCATTACCCATACGCTGACCGTATTGCGTATAAACGTAGACGAAGAACGGTTTAAACCCTTCAAGGAACACTTGCATATCCCAGTCGACGATGTCGATGATGAGGATCTCCTGCAGCATTTTCCGACCACAAACGCATTCATCCGGTCAGGGCTCGAGAGTGGAACTGGGGGCGTGCTCGTTCATTGGTATGTCTTTTTTTGGTTTCTTTCTCCCTTTTTACCTGTGTGCATGTTTACTTCTTTCTACTGAGTACTGCCTTTAGTTATAATTTTACATTCACGGTTTGGCTTGGCTAGCTAACGGCGCCTATCTAGTGCAATGGGCAAGTCCCGCTCGGCGACTGTGTGTATAGCGTACCTCCTCCATAAGGACCCTGGTGCGTTGACGCCCAGAGGGGCTTTGGACCTTATTCGTCGTACCCGGCCGCTTTGTGAGCCAAATGATGGGTTCATGGAGCAACTGGAGCTTTACCACCAAATGGGATGTCCAGATAATGTTGTTGATCATCCTGTCTATCAGCGTTGGCTCTATCAGCGAGCCGTGCAGGACAGTGTAGCTTGTGGAAAGGGTCCTGAGCTGGACGAGATTCATTTTGAAGATCAAGGGATAAGTAATAACTCTATCGGCGATTTTAAGGAGCCAGTGGATAGCACTGAGGTTAGATGCCGAAAATGCAGGTTCGTGGCTGAATGCTATTCAGTCCCTTACTACTTCAGCGAATAGTCGCCAACTAATGGGATAATCAGACGGCAACTCGCCACACTACCATTCATCATTCAGCATACCCCGGGAAACAAAAGCGTCTCATCCCAGACGCAACCCCTTGTCCCCATATCGTCATTGACTCCCACGTCATTACCGCCGTCAACATGCGCCCACATCTTCCTCCACCCACTCACTTGGATGCGCCCGTCACTTTTCCCGTCATCATCGGATCCAACGTCCTCTAACGTGCCCTTGGATCCAGACGCCAATCCGCCGCTCTCTGGGCGCCTCACCTGTCCATCTAAATCCTGTGGTGCGAATATAGGTAAATTCGCATGGGCCGGCATGCCTTGTAGCTGCGGAACATGGATCGTGCCGGCCATAGCTCTAGCGAGGGCACGGATTGATGTATTCGATGCGAGTACGAGGAAAGGCGGTGCGGCTGGAGTTGTGGGTGCTGGGATTCGAATGCCCCCTGCTATGATTAGAGCTCCTGTGGCTGACGCCAGGGCTGAAAGGGGAGATGATGAGAGTGGGAAGGGGCTTCTATGAATGTGAATGAAAATTGGTACTCGGAACACACTTGATGAATACCTTGAGATAGATAAACGACTAGATACCCTTTTGAAATATTATGGAAAATGAATGTCATACGCAGTACTCCATATGTCAAACTAGTAAAGTAGTCTTGTTAACATACTGGCTGAAACACGCCACCTGTCATGGATGTTAAATGGTTATGACAGATCTGTCTTTGGCACAGAAGGGAACGTTGAGGGATTCTGCAGACGTTGACGATCTCTCTTGGACTTCTCAATAGCCTTCAGTCTATCAACCCGCATTTGGTAGAAGTTCCTGCAGAGGCGGTCAGTATGTAACTATTGGCTATACATACGTCCAAGGGGCGTTTAACGTCACACATACTTGTGGAGTGAGTATATTCGAGGCATGTCATCTGTGCTAGCATCCAAAGGGCTAGCTGCATTCTGTATAGATTTGATCTATTATTCTGTGGGTTAGAAGTGGCTTTTACCGTGGGGTAGTTAAGGAGGAAAAGGAGCCTACAGACCTTGTCATCTCTCTCTTTCTCAGCTTTCTTACTTTCTTCTTCGTCGTCGGCCTTCTTCTTGTCATCTGTCTTCTCGCCATCCTTCTCCTTGTCCCTCTTCCTCCGCTGCTTTTCCTCGTACTGTTTCTTCACCTTCTCTATCTCCCGATCCATTTCTTCTTTTCTCTTCTTCGCTGCAACTTCCTCCTCGTCTATAAGAGGGGAGCAAAAACCCTTATCTTTTAGATGGATTAGGCAGACGTAAAAAAAGTCCTACTCTAGTCTTAACATATATTTCATTATTGAGGGCTTGTGTTCACAGACACCGGCCCGGCCTTAAATGTGCCGAGAGACATAAAAAGAAACTGACCTTACTGTCAGGTGTAACTAATACACTGGTCGATGGCTTGTAGCATATCAGGCATGATTTGGCACTGGTGTCCGCAACCCGGCGGAGGTGCCATCTGTTTTGTAAAAGCTGGGCCATCGTTGGGCTTATAACGAGAACATTATATAGAGTACACGGTACAGGTCTTCAGAACCATCGAATAGTGCCGGTATCATGTGCTCTAGAATGGTTATCGGGGTGTTGTTTACGCAGCTGCGTAGATTATAAGTCCAGCAGCCATGTTGTAGTGTGAAGGGTGAGGCTCATTGATGGCCGACCATGTGATCTGTCGGGCTCCCACGCTTGGGCTGGAAAGACGACACACTCCAGGGGGTTACTTAAATATCAATGCATACCAACACTGAAGATTCGTGGATGTTTGAAGAGTCGACAGCTCGTCATAACCGTTAGTTATACATGCATTCTATTAAATTCTAGCTAAGTTAGGACTGACGATTAACTAATAACGACGCCAATCCAAGACTGCGCAAAATGTAGATTAGTTACCCTCCCAAAGGATCTATCCTAGTCGTCAAATCACTCTGTCGCACCCTCTTTATAGGCAATAGCAACATTGTCCGGCGAGGGCAAACTAGCATTCATATTCTCCACATTCCTTCTCGCTTCCACCCAGATCATGAACTCATCATAGGTCTGTGGCCAAACTTCGTGTTGTCCCTCAACCAAGAAGGTGTAGTTGAAGGTTCCGGTGGGATTGCTGGTTCCATGGTCGATGTTCCTGGCGGTTGTGTCAACCCGAACTTGAACTCTGGTGAACTTTTGTCCGGTCGAGGCAGTCGAAGGTGAGTCTTGAGTATATGATACTACGGCATTGAGGTATGAAACGCAGCCAACTGGGACCGGGTTGTCAAAGGTACTGGGCTCAAGACATAGGAAAGTAGGTCTACTGCGCGAGAACGAGGCAGCGCAGCAGTAAGCTAGTTCGAACGTTTGCTTGAGAAGGTAGCCTCCGAAGATCATGAAGTTATGTCGGTTGCGATCATAAGGCTGCATGATCTGGGCGGCTGAGAGTCTTGTGTCCTTCATGTTCGTAGCAGATACGCCAGATAGTTCAGGAGGTATTTCACGTCCTAAAGCGCGTTAGGGATGACACTGATGTAGGGGCCGCAACTGCAACTAAATAATCTATCCATACCTGCTCTCTTCGTCCACATTGCATGGATAAGGTCACTCTCTTCGTCATTGGGAGTCTGAGTTTTCAGGCTTCTCTGTCTAAGGTCCTTTTTAGCATTATAATTATGCTCCCCCTTCTCGAACAGTCGACGCTCTTCAGCCGTTTCAACCAGAAGCGGTGCAACAGAGGCTGGTCTAATTCTATTTTAGCGATGATTACTCCAAACTTGGCAATAACAGGCGGAAACAACTCACTTCTTAGTCTTTGGATCCAAAGCCACCATGGTAAAGGCGCAAGTAATTAAAATATCTTCAGTCCTCACCACTTCACCTTCAGCCGGCGCTTTAGCAACCTGTAGAGATACTTCCATACTTGATCGGCCTGTAGAATAAGTAACTTGGCCACTCAGTTCTAGGTCACAAATCTCTTTCAATGGGTTCTCAATCGTGATCCTGTCAACTGCCGCAGTAACGAGAGCGACATCATCACCGGCATGTCGGTAACTGACAACGCCGGCAAGCGCATCCAAGTCCATCAGCAACGAGCCCAGTCTGCATATATTAGCTGTTGTTCCTTTGAAAATCATTCATTCCCATAGCATATATTTGATGAATTACCTGATCTGTCCAGTTGCGTTGACATACTCGTCCAGAAGCCACGGGTCTTTACCAAGAGGCAATATCTGATATCCCCGTCAGTTTAAGCAAGAAAAATACACAAAGGGAGTATACAAAATACTAACCGATCGATAGTAGCTGTCCTTCATTCTCTTCGGTGTCATGTTACTGGCCTGCACCGGTCCTCCCGTCCTGGCCTTATCAGAGGCACCGGTTGTCAGTCCCGCGCCCTTTTCCTCACGACTCTTAGTTAATGCCTCAATGTATGGCATTTTGACTCTGGCTTCCGTCCATGCTGGATGAAATGTCTGCCTGGGTATTGTGGAATGGAGCCCCCTTGACTGGATATCTGGACACGACGTTGCCTGAAAGCAGCTTCGCCGGATCCCCCAATTGAAACATGACGCGAGGCTCCTCCTCGAGACTGATGCTACCAACGAGGATACTGGATAGTAAGTGTGGGGAAGCATGGTTATTCTGCGGGATATCGAAGACTATCTGAATGTGTTTCCAATCTCGAGTTTACGAAGATGCATGGGATGTAGTCAGAGATTTGGCGAGGGCGCTAACTAGCCACTTAGTAGGTAACAACCCGAGTTGAGTAGCAAGGGACAAGCTCTTTAAATACGGCTGGGATGTGCAAACAGCGGTCTCGAGAAGTGGATACCAGCATTCGAAACAGGGATAGAAGATGGACAGACGAATAAAGAGGTGCTTTTATTGTACGATGAATTTACGGGATACAACATTATTTATTCCGTCACTGGACTCCAGGGTATATATGTGATGGCGGCTGCAAGAATTAAATCAGTATTTGACTTAAAAAATGAGCAGAGAAACGCCATGACAAGCACTCTAAGAACTAGACTAGATTTTGAAAGACAGTAACGAATGAAACGCTCAGTGCGCTGATAACACCGGGGAAACGTAAATGGTACACAAAAAGATAAACGACCAGGCAAACTATTCAGACTGTAGTCAAGCTCTCAAGAAAACTCCAAGAAACGCCGGTGGTATGCGATGGATGAGCGTATGACAGCGAGGGACAAAAGGCAATAGGCGGCAGACGCAGCCCAGGAACAGTGGCTTAGCCATTAATAAGCCAGAGGAAAGGGCGATAAGGGCTCGGTAGAGAAGTGCAGATGGCAATGGTAATTAAAAGAGCATAAGTCGTCGAAAGTGAAGATCATGCAGGAGTGGACGGCGTAGATGATAGTTTCAGCACGGCGGTACCGAGCTTCAACTCCAGCCACAAAGAGTGAGTGAGGAGCCAATGGCGAAGAAAACAGCTAGCGAGGGCCATGTTGGTATTAAAACACTTGATGAAGAATTGGGAGAGCTGGTTGCTCCATTGCTCGCCTCGCCAGTGGTAGTAGTTGAACCAGAACCAGACTCAGCCGGTAGTCCAGGGGAGCCGCCAAAAGGCACCTTGTTGGAGGTAGGATCTATATGTAGCATTAGAACAGATATAATTCCCTGACTTAGGTTAGTGTGGAGTAAGAACATACCTGGTGTAGGGGTGGAAGATGGTGGATTCTTAGCCCCTCCATATTTCCTTGCTGCTAGTCCGACTCGGCTCTTATCAAAGTCGAAAACAGAATAAACGTTCTTCAAAAAGACATCGCCAACAAGCCACTGCTTAGGCCCTAGTACCTGATGCCCCACGATAAGAGAGTTGCATGTTCCTTTCGTGGGTGTTTCATTCCCAACGTAGTCGTCAGGTTGAATGGTATACTCGACTCCGCCAATTGATAATTTGATATCAACCTTGGTAGAGCACGGGAGTGTGTAGAATCCCGAACCCTTATCCGCCTGGGGTATCATGGAGTGAATGAAGTCGGCATCAGCAGGAGGAAGTATAAGGAAGGATGTTCCAGTATCAATGATACCAGTTCTTCCCTTCAAGTTCAGGGACTTCCCACCCATAATCAAGTCATCCATTGCAATTTCCCATTGATAGCCGTTGGGGACGACATTTGAATATGTCAGCTCGCCGGAAAACTTGCTCTTGTCGATATCACCAAATGTAATCTGGCCATCTGTAGCACCCTCGGAGGCTCTTTGGAGATTAATACCAATGACATTGCTCTTGAGAAGTTTCTGCTGCATCAATAACTGTACGACCGTTGGGGTTTTCGCACTAGGATCCTGAGGCCCTATTCCTAGGATTCCGTCCATGGGGTAGTTCAAGAAATCATCAGAGGCTGTGGATGCAGATCCAAAAGGACTGACCAACTCGAAACCTGCAAAGGACATGGTATCATTGACAATGACACCAGAAACTTTACCAGTACCGTAAGTAACTCCCCATTTCTCGTCTGTAACCTTGATAGTCTTCGAGTCCTCTTTTCCAAACGTATTATGTCTTCCACAGGCTTTGCTAGTGCAATCTGATCCAAACACCCAAGTACCCGATGCGCCGGTATCAATTAACATCCACATCTTCTGGCCTTCCGATCCGACTTTGATCTCGGAAAAATACGAGAAATCGTAGCCATCGTTATTGATACCAAGTGTATTTGGCGCGGTTGGCGAGGATGCGATTTGAGCTGGGTAGTTATTATCTCGACGATACTAGAAAGATTCACCAGATATATTAGCAATTGACTCGACCGCTTAGATATTTTGAGCAGGGGTTACAAACATTGCTGGGGCCTCTCCTAATGTTTAGGGTTGTAAACCCAGTATGGGCATGTTTATACAGCCCGGGAAAGGTGAAGAAGCGTCTGCCAACGGAGCCGTGGGTCGATACAAGATCCTGAGCAAAACCAGGCAACTTGATGGGATAGAACGCCAAAGTTCCCGTGAACTGTAAGGTGACTGCTGACAAAAAACATAGCCATAGAAACTGCATGATCCTTCGGGAGGGGTGCTCGGGATAATTAAAATCAAGAGATCGCAGTTTTGGTTATCTCGTCATTGGCAAGAAATCTAACTATCGTAACGAATCCCAGGAGATTCCTGTTTCCTTCTTTTCCCTCCCCTCTTTGGTAAATCTCCGGAGGCCCAAGGTCTTGGGAGTCTCTAATAAACTTGCAATCTACAAAGCAGCGGCTCTGCGGATAGGGGCAAAAAAAAAGGGTGGGATTCGAGGTCCAAGAATTAGGCGTCAGGGGGATAAAGCTCTCGAAACAGCGGATGAGGGAGCCGATAATAGGGAGGCAAAAGAAGATCCTTTAAAACAATGCAACGACTGAAAACGAAAATCAAAGAACAGTGAAAGAGGAAAAACAAGGAGTGAATTGAGCCAGGATGAATGACGAAAGCCCGCCCACATCGAGCCGGTAGATGATGCATGTGCAGGAGTTGAAGTACTTTGCCCGTTTACATTTCGCGAGGAATAGGAGGCGAGAGGGCGCAGAATAGACAAACTTGGCTTGCGGGCCAGATCGACACAAGAAACGACCGCGGCAAGGCCTGGGGCGTTTTCGTTGGCTAGAAAGGAGTAGTGCGAGCGCATGCAGCAAGCAGGCGGAGTGAAAGCGTATGCAGGACACGCTCCCTCGCCCATAGGCCATGGCCAGGAAAACCCCTGGCCCCTGCAGGGCGCCAAAGCAAACATGGCACTTCCGCTTCCACAAGTTCTCTGTCTGGGGACAGTGTGAGACCTGGATGTTTGATCGCGGAGGACCAGACGGGACGCACGGTCTTCTCATTGGCGAATTGGCGAATGCTGGGGAATCTTTTCCAATATAACAAAAAAGAAAGCAGGCGAAGTTCGTTTTTCATGATACGCGCTGAGTCAGCATGATCCGGGGGCAACCAGGTTGATCTTGGTTAGGTATACACACACACACACGCGGCGTGTATGTATATACAGCGAGGATTGTCGGCAGGAGAGTGGTGACTCTTTTGACAGACTAGGTCGGGAGAACAGGCGACTTGCAAATCCCAAGTTTCCCGGCCAGGAGATATTCATTCCAAGGAAGAAAAAAAAAAAAAAAAGTACATATATACATACATGCAGGCGGTAAAACAGATAAGCAGTTTTGGGGGCTGAATGCAAGCAAACCAATGAATACAAGAAAGAGGACGATGAGATGGTCGTTCTCATCGTACAAGGGATGGATAAGATGCAGGCAGTTTGTTTGACAAGGAGCGACGCATTCAACCTTGTCGTGCGACCAATTAATTTATTTATCTTGAACGAGTATACTTTCCGTATAACAGATTGCAAGGCATTCTTGTATCCCTGCGGGTCCAGCGTGCTCGGCATTTGGTTGCTTTTCAGCGAACGTTGGTTGCTTCCTGGAATGGGAGTCTAGATGGCGCCAAGTGGAATCGAGGAGACAAGTCAGAATGACCGGGGGTGTTTGCTTGGTTCTTTGCCTTCGTAGGCTGTAGCCGCGCGATTTGAAACACCGGGATGTCCGTCCAAGAGAAGGATATCTTGCAGCTGAGAGATAGATCCGATTCCAGATGCTTATCGAACCACCCGAAACTGAACTGTGGTCTGCGCATACGAGACATTCAGCCCGTGATGCGAATCGGAGAGTGGGTTCCCACCTAGCAAGCCATAGCCATATGAGGAAGAGCCCGTCTTCTTTGCTTCGGTTCACATATGTCCCTCCACGCGTCATCAAATACTGTCTTCTTCTTACCCACATGGCTGTCGAGAAGCTTCAGGTCTCGAACAACCTCCATACTACCTGTGCCCAATGAGATAGTCTTGCCCATGATGATACACTCTGACACACCTTGGACGGTGTCACGTCTGCCCGCACCACCCGCATCAAAGAGATGATCCGCCGTCTTCTCAAAACTCGCCAGCTGAAGAACTGAGTCGCGAATCTTAGCCAGCCCAAAACGGGTAATTCCAAGCACCTCGCCTTTATATGTCATAACATCTGCAAGGAGTTGCATATGCCGAGGATCAATCGCCATGCCCGACATGACAGAGCTGATTTCGTCGATAATCGTCGTTCGCGCCGCCTCGATACCAAGAACGTCCCGCATCTCCATGACGTGGTTGGTGCGGGTACGGTGGCCCTCAATGCCGTCAGTCGTCATGCATGCCCGGAGGCCATATCCTTCAACCAAAAGAATGTTAGTGGCAACTTTTTCTCCGACACGAATCACTGCTCGGGTGCAGTCCGGATAGCCGAACACTTGGATGTTCGGCAGGATTCGCCTCAAATAGTTGATTCGAATGTATGGGTCTGAGCCGGTGATCTTTTGCTCAGAGACCGAAACGCCCGCCATTGAGGCACCTTCATCCACGTAGATGTGGATATGCGAGTTGAAGGACCGGAAAGTCAGGTCAGCGGCTTTGAACGCTTTGTGCTTCTTAATGGCAAGTAAGATCTGCCGTAGTGTCAACTCAAGCTGCAACTTTTTGATCGTTGAGAAGTCAACCTTGATGTTGATGAAAGAGGATGTCTGAGAGCGGTTTTCTTCGATGTAGTAGACAATATCCTTGAGGAACAGTTTCTCAACTCGGCCTTTGACGATCTCCGCAATACGCATGTCCGTCTTGTTCACAAGCTCGCAGGTGATAATCGGCGTACTGATCTCTTTCGATGCGTTGATAATTTCCTTGATACGCGGAACACCTTGAGTAATACTCATACCAGCAACACCAGCGAAATGGAAAGTTTTCAGTGTCATTTGTGTTCCAGGTTCTCCAATGGACTGTGCACCGATGGCTCCTATACTGTGGCCAGGCTCGACATGTGCACGCATATACTTATCCAAACACGAAGTGATGAAAGCCTTGAGCGTTCTAGCGGAAATTTTGCTAGTATGCGTAAACGCCATCTGCTCTTTGCCTTCTTCGTTATCGCTAGGTCTAAGTTGTGTAGCTTTTGCTGCAACATACTCTTCAATCGAACTTAAGAAGTCACGGTTGCTTTCCCACTGGTCGGTAGCGAAGTCGTTTTTAGCTTTATAGGAGAGTGTGTTTCCGAGTAGATCGTACCGAACCAATTTCTTGCGCTCTGGAGCGATGAGTTCTTCACATAGGGCCAATATTTCATCCGCAGATAGGCCCTTCTCATCTTTGTCGTATGTAGTACTCTCTGCATGTGTAAAGGTACGGTCGAAGTGAACGGGCTTGGCTGAAGCCTCCATGTTGACAGGATCCAACTGATCATCTCCATACTGAAACTGGATGATAAACGAAGAAGAATCTCGGACAGTATTGTCATACCGAGTAGATAGATCCTCGAGAGATTTCATAAGTCTTCGAGACATATAACCTGTTTCTGCAGTCTTCACGGCGGTATCAATCAAACCCTCACGGCCAGACATAGCGTGGAAAAGAAATTCGGTAGGAGTAAGTCCAGAAAAGAAACTGTTCCGCACAAAACCCTTTGCAAGAGCATGCTGGGAATGGCGAGCAAAATGTGGTAGGGTACGGTCTTGGAACCCTTTGGAGACACGAGCGTTTTCAATGGATTGTTGTCCGACGACAGCTACCATCTGAGACACGTTGATATTGGATCCCTTGGAGCCGCATGTTGCCATAATAAGGGGTGCGTTGTGCTTGCTTAGTTCTGAAATACAGTATTCACCAGCTTGCTGACGGACTTTGTTCAGGATACCGGTGATTTCGTTCTCTGCCGTTTGGCGGCTGTCCGATTTACCCATTTGAGGTTTCTCTTTACTAGCAGCTGTGATTAGATCATCACATTGCTGAAAAGCAGTGTTAATCAAGGTATCTTTTAGCCTGACTAGGCTTTCTCCTGGATATACGTCCGTGATACCAATTGAGAAGCCCTTATTTGTCAACCACCTGGCAGAGAGTTTCGACAACCTGTTCATGGCTTCTGCAGCGGCTGCGTACCCAAAATCTCTTTGGATGACGAAGAAGATATTATCCTTCTTTCCAGCTCCGATTGTTGATTTATCTGCAACACCACATAACATTTCTGAATTGCGGATACAGAGCCATCCGTCATTCTCGCATAGATCTCTCGGCTGGCCCTTGACGAGCTTGAGTTGACGACATGCCGCATCAAGGTTGACTTTGACGGGACAGTCTTTGTTTGGTCTCATGAGAACGCTGAACACTTGCTTGCCGGTCCAGAGCATTTGCGGCTTAATAGTTGCTGGTGGTGGGAGCTCGAATCGGGTGCTAGAGTCGAGCATGGATAGACATATCTGAGTAAATGTTTTTCTATCAAAAAAATTATCCTTACTGCTGAGCAGATAGGCAGCAGTAATGAAATCCTGAATAGCAGCAATAATTGGCTCTCCGTTCTTGGGTGTGGCCAAGTTGCTTTTGACTCCCATAAGTTCCATAGCTTCAGCCCTTGCTTCTTCAGTTTGGGGAACATGCAAGTTCATCTCATCACCATCGAAATCGGCGTTGTACGGGTTGCAAACACATTCATTTAACCGGAATGTCCTATGAGGTCGCACTTTGACGAAATGCGAAAGGATACTCAGTTTGTGAAGGGATGGCTGACGATTGAACAGAACAATATCCCCATCTTCCAAATGCCGCTCAACTATATCACCTTCCCGAAGCTGGTTTGCTATCATGTTCAGATTGCCATACTTTAGAAAGAGCCTGAATGAGTTGCCTTCTTTTATCAGATAGTTCGCCCCAGGCCAGGTTTTTGTGCCATTCCGTATACATTGGCGTAGCTTTTCTTTGTTGTATCTTGTTACTCGCTCTGGGTAGGTCATATTCATGGCAACCAGCTGTGGAACGGCAACTTCGTCAATGCGCAAATTAGGATCCGGTGAGATGACAGTTCGTCCGGAAAAATCAACACGTTTTCCCGACAAATTTCCTCTGAATCGCCCCTGCTTGCCCTTTAACCTTTGGCATAACCCTCGAATGGTCTTTTTTGAATCCGTGTTCTGTAAGCCTGGGATATCACTGTTAACGTACACTGCAATCTGAAGTTGCATGTAGTCCCAGCATTCAATGATGGTTTGGACAGGAGCTCCCTTATCCAGAGCCATTTTCAAATTTAGATTACTCTGGACGATGTCTCCCAGTTTTGCAGTCAGGTCGTCTTCCGTACTAGCTCCCTCTTGGCCGACGGATGGCCGAATAGGAACGGGGGGCGCGGGGATAAACTGCCAAAGGAAATATTCAGGCCGAGCTCCATCCACATTCAAACTAAGCAGTTCGCAATCTTCATTGGAAATCCGACGAAACAGCTTCAGCACCCGAAGAGGATTTAGGTCATCGAAAACACGTCTGTAATGCTTCTCGATATCCGGGTTGGACTTTTTCGCTTCCTCAAAGGATCGGTCAAAGGCAAGTTTGCTGGGTGGAGGTATTTTCTTAGCGGAGAGAGAAGCATTGAAAGCCCTGAACTTGTCGTGCACGATCTTCAAAGCTCCGGTACTCGCTTTCTTGACTGTTCCGTTGATTGCATTGCAGTAGAAGCATACCGGCGTCTTCCGGCACCTGACATTAATGCGCTTATTTATCTGCATGCGCCTTAAATTGTCCAACCCAGGTCGCCGTAGTTCTTTTAAATATGACCTTCTCTCGTCTTCTGGAAGCAGAATCTTGGAGCAATCCTATCCACACAATTGCAAACAGAATTAGCATATCCTTTAAGAAAAGGGAAAATACACGTCAATATGTTCCAGCATACTTTGCAAATATCCTGTAATATCTCGATAGTGCGCTTAAAATATCCGACGTGGAAAGCAGGGAGGACGAGTCGAACGTATCCGAAGTGCCCGTTACATTCCTGTAGATCACCACCGCAGGTTTCGCATGTGTCTGACTTGTTAGATATACCAAGGCGAGGGTCCATGGGACCATTTCGAGCAACCGCGCGATTATTATCGAGATCAAAAAGCTTTCTGTCTGAGATTTCAACGTGCGCTTGGCTGATGATGTCCTGATTTGAACTGTGCGAGCCATTCATTAGTTCATTTTCACGTAGAGAGTAAGTAGTATATATGCACTTACAGGACACCGAAATTGATTTCTTTAATAACCTTGGGTACCCGATCTATGACCTGGATCTTGCCCGGATCAACAGGCAGAGCATCTGTGGCCATCATCCTGAAGGCAACGTGCTAGGCCTAGCCTTTGCTTTCACAAACAAGCCAATGGCTTCAGGTCTCCGCTTGCTATCGTCCTCTGCATTCCATGAGTAAGTAAAGGGAGTACATCCGCTGTAATAACCAAGGTAAACAGCCACTGCTGCCGGCCGTTGCTGGTGTGATGTCCCTTCCGCCCCTCCTCGACTCATCGCGAGCTTCAAAACTTTTTTGATTATCACAGGCACGTGACTTTATCTGGCAGGTGGTCACGTGCCGTTATCTTATATCTCCAGTTGGCGACAGACGAAACGACAACCTCAATCTATCAAAAGCCGAAGAGGAAGAGGACGAGAAAGAGGGCGAGATGAACCAAAAAAAAAAAAAAAAAGAAAAGAAAGGAGGTACATCGTATAACTCGGTAGTCAGGCATCGAGCTAATAATGGCTGCATGCCACAGCCAACTAGTTGTCTGCAATACGCTTGCACTGGGGAAGCGAAACTATATCTGGTGTGATGTCCTGTATCTCATCAGACCACCTTCAGGCGACAGTTCAGCAGGAGGAGATGGAGATGGCTGCGTCAACACGGCATAACCTCGAGGGGTACCAGCTGTTTAATGCCCGTGCTGGTACCTTTGAAAGGTCCATAAGGTGTTAGGACACTCTATGTCTCCATTTAGCCAATCGGATTTGATCGTCATCTCTTCTTTGCCTGCAGAGTGATATGTTGATTGGCGAGAGGTTACCCCATTCCATATTACTCCGAGCTAGCAATCCATGCAAGCGTATAGCAAGGATGGTGGTGAAATGATGGTGTGTTGCTTGGATACTTCTCCTCATCCGCCTATTTCCTGTTCTTCCCTGCAGAGAGGGATGGACAGGCAAAGAGAGACAGAAAGCAGAGGGTATCCCAGAGACCTACGGACGGAGTAACGTCACGTCGTACTCAGGGGCCGGGGAAAAGGAAGAAGACAAAGCTCATGCCCCGCAAAGCACACGAGTTATTTGAGAAAGATGTTTTGTTTTTGTCTGTGCTCACGAGATACCAGTGTAAAATGTACACAGAGCCAGGCCAAAGAAAGTCGTTAATAGTAAAAAAAGTAGCTATGGTAAATGGGAACGGGTAAGAAATAGCGAATGAAAATGAGAAGATGGCCGCCTGGCAGCACTTAAGACAATTGGAACACGAAAAAAGGGAGTCATGCTCATCCCAAAAACAAAAACCGTGTAAACAGGAAAAAAATAAGTCGGTTATTGGGATATACTACTCTGACTCGTCCCCTTGATGTCTTCTAGCATGCCTCTCCATAGGTCTCTGACGGCTCCGCCAACAGTCTCTTGAGTGGAAGCACTAGCTCTGGCCCCATCTCGGGACCTGCTAACGGCCTCCGTGAGGTTGAAAGGGTTGAAGTCCAATGCATGGTTGTCTACAACTTCACTCATTGGGCTGGGTCCGTTGGAGCCCATGTCGCTGCTGACGGTGTATATCTGAGGCTTCATCACACTAGCGCTGGCTGGGGCCATCTCATAGTGAGTGAAGGAGTCTGGAGGGGTGGGGATGCGAGGCATCGACTGGATGGCGGAACCAGACTCCATGAAGGTCGGCATGTAGGCGAGGTCGACGGGGGAAGAGTCCTGGGGCGACCTGTTGGCCCGAGATGTGTTGAAGGGCCTGGACGAAGAAGACTGCTGCTGGCCAAAGGCGTGACGATCAATGCGCCTCATTGCAATGCTGAATGCACGAGACTGGAGAACATCGTGGTTTGAGAGGCGGTCAACAAGCTGGAAGGGATGTTAGCAGGACAACGGTCTATATTCTGCGGGACAAAGGAGCATGAGCAGGAGAAACGAGCTGAGCTGACCTCTGATTTACTTCCAGAGGCACCGAGATTCCTCTTCTGGCACTCTGCTCTGAGGTCTGCGAGGGTTCTGGAGTGGTAGAGAGTGCTGGCGTCTGGTCCGGTAGCGACCTGGGCCGAGTAGGCGCCGGTGATGTGGAGAGAGCGGCAAGGCTGCTGGGACAGCGACCTGAGGGCCTTGAGAGAAGTCGAACGGGGAGCAGCCATGGCAAGACCGGTGTTTTGATATCTAGTTTATGCGAAGTACAGTGAAGACTTGGTGACCAGGGCAACAATTGAACAGAGAGGCAGATGTCGAGGGGACGGAGTTTGGCCAACACGATCAGAGAGGAGGAACAGGGCGGATGTCAACTTATAGCTGCTGCTGGCTGGCTGGCTGGCTGGCTGGCTAGATGGCTGGCCGCTCTCCCAAGGTTCAAGGTGTACACAGCTTCGCGAGGTAAGGACACTCCGGCTGCTTCGTCGTAGGGGAAAAAGCAATATAGTTACTTATAGTTAAACAATATATACTAGAGCTGACAGGCTAAAAGGGGAGCGCAGTGGGAACAGCAGAAGCGGTGGCGAGTTTGTTCCTGGATGGATGAGGATGGCTAAGGCGTGGTGGAAGAGACCCTCCTTTATAGCTACGTGAGGACTCCGTACAGGCGCAGAGCCGACGCAGTTAGGGGCAGACAGCCGACGCAGGTCAGCGGCCAAGGGGGCAGATAGTGATGTTGTTGAGCGCTGTTGGTTGTTGGGGGAAGCTATGCTTCGGGCTAAGTATTAGTTATTTCTTATTATAAGGTACGCCTTCTCCACACGCCGGCAGGTCGGAGGGCTGGCCCAGCCACAGGCAGCTAGGGGCCGGCGGGTGGTGAGGGATGGGGACGGCGCAGTGAGGCGAGCGGAGGTCAGAAGGGCCAAAGGGACCGGGAGACCCTGGCAACCAGCGACTCCTCGAGTGGCCGGCGATGGATGGAGGACTGACTACCTGAGGTAACGAGCTATGTATCTACGAAGTCTCCGAGAGCGACGGAAGCGCCCGAGGTGCCGGCCAAAGGCGCATGACAGGTGTGTGGGGGGGTGGTTTGTTCCTCCTCCGACCTCGGCAGCAATTAATCCATTATTTTTCACCTGTCCTTATATATACTGGGTCTCGCAGTTGGTGGTAGCTCGTCCTGCCGGCTGCTTGTTGTGTACAGAGGAGATGGAGTACGGAAACCCGTGAAATATCATTTGATAGAAAGAAGGCGTATCCACCTCAACTACGCAAGAGGATAGGGAGAATACGAAGGGCATGGTAAGAGTGTATATATAGCAATGGAAGAAAGAAGGAAACGTGATACGTCATCCTCACAGTTTCAATGGGCGCTTGCTGCGTGAAACGGATCTTGCATACGGATGAGAAGCCGACTCCGGCACCAGATGGTCAATGTCAGCAGTGTTGATGTACTGAGGACCTGCTTGGTCGAGCGAAGTGATGCCGATGTTTCTCATGGCTCCCTCCAGCTCATCTCTCATGACTATGGATAGTTATGATTAGCCGGGGAAGCGGAAGATTTACCTACTGGTCAAAAGGTGGATGGAAGAAGAAGAAAAGGGGAACAGATAATACATACTGTCAATCAAGTGCTCAGCACCCTCCTGGCCGTAGTTTGATGCAAAGAGAAAGCTTCGTCCCATCCCGACGGCAGTTGCTCCTAGACAGATGGCCTTGAGGATATCTGTGCCTCGTCTGATTCCGGAGTCAATGTAAATCTCCATTCGGTCAAATACCTCGGGACATCTGCGGTGCAACTCGAGCAAGACAATGATCGAGGCCGGACTGGTGTCCAGGTTTCTACCACCGTGGTTGCTCAGCAAGATACCATCGATACCTGCTTCCATGGCCAACACGGCGTCGTCTGCAGACTGCACACCCTTCAGCAACAACGGGAGATGCGTGTGCTGTCGCGCCCACTTCACGTCCTCCCACGTCAGTCCCGGGTCAATAAAGCCGGCCATCACTCGCCCCAAACCACCGCCCTTCTTGTCGTTATTGCCCTTCGCCGGAACCATAGGCAAGATGAGGTTTTCATCTGCCTTGACCCGCTCATCGGCTTCTCGTTTACCGGGCCAGGCTGCGTCCACTGTGATGCAGATGGCCTTGACCTGTGGGTTGGCAGAACAATCATGCAGCTGAGCAGCAGATTTGGCCCGATCGCGGTTGACGTACAGCTGGAAGATAAACTGCGTATCGGGGGCTGCGTCGCTGATTTCCTTCAGGGAAAAAGATGCGTTATTCGAGATCCCCTGCATAATACCCCTTGACTGACATGCTCGTGCAATCCCCAATTCGCCGTCAGGGTGAATCAGCTTCACCATTGCGCTGGGTGCGACAAAGAGCGGCATGCTCACGCTACACCCCAGAATGCTGGATTTTGTGTTGACCTCTCGCACATTGCGCATCACTCGCGGACGAAACCAAATTCGGTCAAAGGATGACTTGTTTGCATCGCGAGTGATCAGATCGTTGGCCGCACTTGAGTAAAACGCCCATGTCTTTGCAGGGGCCGTCTTGGAGGCGACGAGCTGAAAGTCGTGTGCACTGATGAGGGTATGTAACCGCGGCTTTTCATTCTCTCCAGTAGGCCGATTAGCTGCCTGTGCAAGCCCCTTCGACCATTCAGCGTCAATAGTCGACTGGTCAAGAACCCCCTTTAGTTTATTAGTCGAAAGTCCCTTGCGGATGACACTAGGGGAGTGGACTGCCGAATAGGCCTGTGTGGCATCACGTCCAGCATATCTGAGAATAACTAATGAGCAATCAGTAACCGTTGTCTGCACATCCGGTGTAAAGTTACCATAAAGCAGAATTTTTATATCTGCATATAGTATGAAAATAAAATAAGTCACTAACTTGATGGACCACCAGGATGCTCCTGGAGGAAGTCGGTAATATCCCAGACCTGATTGTCTACAACAATCCAACAATCAGAGACTGTGTTGTGTTTGGCAATTGCTTGCGATGACAGCAGCTTGGGTGTAGACATTTTTTCTATCGAGCCGAGAGGTTGCCGAAATATCCGTTTAACCACCGTTAAAAATATAGCGCTCTCTCGTCTCTTTATGCAAAAGATGAAAAGACAGTATTTCTCTCTCGAGCAAACAGCCAATTGACCCACCACAAAATCAATTGACTCAGTCGTGACGATGACGAAAACAGACAGGCTGCTCTGGACAATGAGTCTCGGGATATGTAAAACAGCCAATGCAGGTTCAAAGTCGCTGTTCGACGAGGTTGAATCAGTTTATATAAAAACGCCGCAGGAATTATATCGTTAACTGATTTCGGCGCTTCCCCAGGACAGAAGACGGATCGTCAGCCAACCTTGCCTTACCGTGATATTCAAAGGTGTTTATATATTTGAACACAACATGGAGTTGGGACCGCTGTGTGCCGGGGGCAGCCCGTGGAGCTTGGAAATCATCGCGCCCCAGCCAGTCAGGAAAGGGATATATAGCTGCTGAAACAAAATAAGCTCGGTCGACAGGGTTGGCTGGCCATCTTCTCGCATCGCCAGTTAACTAGCCGGTGAGCTAGTAGTATTATTATTACACTTATAGTCCATTAGCCCAATGTTAATACTGGTGCTCCGTACTGTGGAGAGCATGCTTGTTGCTTCGTTTGCCCTGCTTTCTTTCAAGTTGCGGCGCTCCTTTTCTTGGTGGTGACCAGGAAATTACTGTGGAAAAGATATAAAGAGATGTCGAATCTCCAGTTTAGCATTTCGCTGTCTATATCTGGGGCGAAAATCGCCTATGCTTTGGTATGATATTGAAAAGTCGACTGGCCCGTCGAATATGAAACTGCTTTCAGGCCGAAAAATGATTGGTTCGCTGTGGCGACGCCCTTTTGACTTGAAGTGCTTCCCTGAGAACATGCATGTCAGGAAGACCCGATGAGCAGAGCAACTCGTTCCGTGATAGCATGGCTACCCGTATGAGCCCTGTAGCATCCACACAGCGACTAGCGTAACCATAGTCAACACTTATATCTCTAGAGAATTTCATGTAAGGTTGAATTGATGTCGTCGATATAAAGTACATCCAGTTAAGGAAGACGAGATTTAACTAACTACAGTTGGCACGTGATATGTGAAGTTTTAGGTGATCGGACTTCGCAGCCTTCAAGGAGTCACGGCTTTGGATAGAGACCGTCACCAGGCAGGCCAGTCTCCTTGCTGAAGCAGGACGCTCTCTATGTTTAAACGCAGCCTGGCGAAGGCTCTTCCTCAATCTATACCAACAGTCTCGAGATTTTGCTTTTCTGGCGGCAGTACGTTCAAATCCCTTGCCCTGTCGGACTGCCTGACAGTGACCATCCCATTAATGATATCATGCATGAGCAGCCCGATCTATCTCCTGTATCATCTGGGGGGGACGGCATAAGTTTAATAAACGACCATTCATACCTATAATAGACGTCCAATCAAACCGCCTTCGCCACTTGTCAGCGGTCACAGAAATGGGCGATTCAGCGAAAAAACGAAAATACATTGATGTACGCATACATGCATATACCCCTCTAAAGAGTGCTATTTCACATATTTTATACCCATTGATAACACTGTTTCAAAATTGGTCGAAATGCTAAATCGTTATTAACTGTCTGGAGAATTAGATCGGTATCAACCTTGGGGACCCTGTATTCAGGGGCAAGTACCACGGTAAAGATGTTCACGAGGATGATCTACAAGATACAATCGATCGAGCCGTTGAGGTTGGCTGCCGTAAGTTCATGATCACTGGCTCGGACTTGCATGAGTCTCGGCATGCCGTGGACCTAGCCCGGGAACACTGTATGCACCTACCCGTCTTTGTTACGTATACATCTACCTAAGCTTCTAGTTACTGAGCTGACAAACACTATGCAGCAGGACTATGCTATGCTACTGTTGGCGTACATCCGTGTTCCGCAAAACTCTTTGACTCCTACGCTGGAGGACCAGAGAAGTATCTGGCCGAGATCAAGGCCCTGGCATTGTCAGCCAAGGAGTCAGGCCATGCTGTTGCCTTTGGAGAGATTGGTCTAGACTACGATCGACTGTTCCTCTCCCCCAAGGATCAGCAGCTAAAGTATTTTGAGGCTCAGCTTGAAGTAGCTGTGGAGGTGCAGCTGCCTCTTTTCTTGCACTCGCGAGCAGCCAGCGAAGATTTTGAACGGCTGCTCTCTGCCCGGCTGCCACGGCTCCCCAAGGGAGGATTAGTGCATAGCTTCACTGGAACCATCGAGGAAATGCAACGACTTGTAGCTCTCGGGTTGGACCTCGGGGTTAACGGGTGTAGCTTGAAGACCGAGGAGAACCTGGAAGTGGTCAGAGCCATGCCCTTGGATAGGATACAGATCGAAACCGATGGGCCTTGGGTATTACACCCCCTCCTTTCTTTCTGCCTTCCGAGTGTTTGTTATTTACTAAATCAACTTTGCTCTGTCTAGTGTGAAATTCGGCCATCTCACGCGAGCTACAAGCATGTCAAGTCTACGCTGCCTAAATCTTGCAAGAAAGAGAAATGGCAGAAAGGTTGCATGGTGAAGGGAAGAAACGAGCCGGTTGCGATTGTTCGTGTGGCCGAAGTGATTGCTGCGGTGAAAGGGATAACGGTGGACGAAGTTTGTGAAGCGTAAGTTGCCAGCAACCCTGCCTGCCTTGCATCAAACTAAATCGTCGAATCTCGCTAACAAACGCTAACTTTGCTTCTAGTGCATGGAACAACTCGGTTCGCATGTTTGGACTTGGTGAAGTGGCCTGACTGCAGAATTAGAAAGCGATAGAATGTATAGACCATCTCTCCTTCGTCTTTTTTTATGTTGTGTAAGTCCATAGGACTAGTTTTATGTATATGTATGTCTGACCCGAGGGGGGCGTCGGCTATAAGACCCATGCTGCAGGATCTCACTCAACCATGCAGATCGGCGTTCTCCAGGACCAGCGATCTGCACCCGATCCATGAAGAACAGCGCTGTTGTTGTACACGTAAAAGACAGTTGTCGACACCTCCGTCCTCTTTGCTCTCATCCCGGCCAAACAAAGTGCCCTTCCCTCGCCTCCCGTCGCCTTTTTTGCCTGTCTTTTTGCCTGCCATGCTTGACTTCTGCTTCCTTTTTTTGCTGCTGCATAAGCAAAAGGCTTGGCAGGAGACACGTGGTCGGGCAGCCTATCGGAGCGGAACATCCACTTCCGCCAGATGACGTAATCGACTTTAATGCCTGCAAAGGCCAAAAAGAAAGAAGGTAAAAAAAAAGAAGCAGAGCAGAAGCAGGCATCTTCATCATCGATTCCTGCACTGGGTGACAGGAAAGTAAAGGGAGTCGGTAGTCATCGACAAGCGAACTGCAGCGGCAGTGGCGGATAAACCGCTACACCCGCCGTCCGCCTGGATCGTAGCATCTCGAACCCTGGGTTCCCTTTCTCCTGCGCTTCCCGCCTGTTTTAAAACGCCTTTTCGCCTTGCCCAAAAAATCCCGTTCACCATGGATCTTTCACCCAGTGCTTCTGACTGTCCCATCGGCGGATAAGCAGTGGGAAGTCTAAGAACAGACGGCCTTCGGGGCTGCTCCTTTGCTTCTCCCGATTGCTGTTCTTCTGGTCCGGCTTCATCCTAGCTCCTAAAAAATATCAACTATATCCATCTTGCCTGCTTCTGGACCGACCACCCTTGAAGACATCTCTGTACATTTCATCCCCCCCCCCCCAAAAAAAAAAAAAAAAAAAAAAAAAAAAAACGTGTTCTCTTCTGTGGAGCCGACTTCATTTTGTGAAGCCCATATACCCTCCCAGTACCAGGCGGTTCACTTGATTTTGTGTTTTAAGGGGGGTGCGTCCTTTGGTCTTAGTTTGCTGCCCTGCTGCCTCTTTTGCACGCATCTTACCTTCGGATAGCTAGCTTCATTCCAGATATCCCACGTAGGCTCTTTATTTTGGCACCGGTTTGGCCGCTGTAGTGGCGACCAGTCTCGTGAATGCCAAAGCATAAAGGAGAAGTCCTCCAACAGAAATATCACTCTTGGAGCTTCTGTCGTCGAGCCTGCTAAACAAGCCCTCCCCTTTTCGGCTTGGAGTCTCGTGACCGAGGAGGTCCCGTCCTCTCTCCCTCCCCTGGAAGAAACAAAAACACCCACAGCTCCTCTCTTCGCCCTCTCCCAACTTCTCCCCTCTATCAGCCAGCACGCCCTCTTCTACGTCTTAAAAGGATACAACGATCTTTCATCTTGCTTCAGCTTGTGTCCCTCTGTTTACCGTGCCTACTGTCTCAAGCTGGAAAGCAAAGAGTCGAACAACGCGCAGTATTGCTCGATATGGGTGATAAACCTGCGCTTAAGGCGAACGGTGTTGAAGATCCAGCGTTGACAGTGACATCCAAAGATAATGGCAAGGCAAAATCAGGTATTTCTCTCTCTCCTTGCCTCTTGTCACTTTTTTTTTTTGGGTGATGGAGATCCCGGTGGATGGTCCCATGTAGCCCATGAAAAATTGTTATCTGCACTTCAAGGACCAGAGAGCATATGTTGCTTGGCTGCGAAGTCCTGCCTCTGATTGTCTCTAACCGTTCTCTCTGTCGTTTCCAGAGCAAGAAGTTTATGGCTGCGGATTTGAAAGCGGACCCAGCCGTCCACCAACCCCTCATGGCATTGGTATGCCAAACAACTTCGCGGAAGTTGTCAAGGGCATTTACAGAAGTAGCTTTCCCATGCCCGTTCATCTCAGCAGTCTCGCACAGCTTAACTTGAAGACAATCGTGTAAGTAGTTCCACTTTGCCTGCTCCCGCGGAAAATAGGCGATTCTCTAAGCGTGGGGCATGCTGACCACTTGGATCTAGTACCCTTGTTGAAGAAGAGTGGTCCCCTGAATATTCGGCGTTTGTACGGGATAAGGGCATCACCTCTCGCATCATCCCTATCCTAGCAAACAAGCAGCCCAATGTTTTCACCCCCTACAGCACCATTGTGGAAGTCTTGACCATCCTCCTCGATACCAGAAACCATCCTGTTATGGTTCATTGTAATAAAGGAAAGGTGAGTTTCTTCTGACGTCTTTGTTTGATATTTCCTTTGGTACATGGCTTCGGTGACTTAACATGGGGTATCATGGAATATAGCATCGCACTGGATGCATAATGGCCTGTTTCCGCAAAGCCCAGGGATGGACCTCTGTGGCTGCCATTGCAGAATACATCTATCACTCAGCTCCCAAGACTCGAACTCTGGACCGTAATTATATCCAAGAATTTGATGAGGGTACGGTAGCAGATCTCGTCAAAAAGACCGGTGCTCAAAAGTGGCTTCCAACCTTCCCACCCATCAAATATACCTTTGATAGCGAGGATGAAGAAAATCCTCATATGAACGGCAACAGTGCGAAGAAGTCAGAACTTGCAACGAGTGCACCTCCAGTTTCATTCCATGGAGCAAACGGACTTCGACATACCAACAGCCTTTGAGACCGGGTTTTCCATCCTTTACTTTTCTTTCCTTGTCTTTGTAAGTCATGGCATCTGTCCTCGTATCTGACCCCTCCCAGTATCGCGTTTTGTTTCATACGAATGGAGTTCAAGTCGGAGCACCGGAGTCGGCATGTCTTGTACAGGTTTCCAAAAATAGAGGTATCGGTGGGCAGAAACCCAGGATCAAGCGGAAAAGGAGCATTTTCTTCGTGTTTCTTCTTATGGATCGGCGTTTGGACCTTTTCCTTATCCTCTTTCTTTATGAAGGTCTTCGTTAATTTCTTGCTTTCCTCCAACTCACCAGCTGGCTGACCTTACTCCTCTCACACCTGGCAAGCAAATATGATGTTAAGGTGTTCAATAGGCAGTCTTTTGGAGCAAAGCTCAAGATAATCTCCTGGCAGATACCCTTTCACCAACAGTGGAGAGATAAGTGGCCCGGTAAAAGTTGAATAATGCTGATATTAAAAAGGACTAAAAAGGAGGATTAGGAGGCAGTGTGTGTTTTTTTTTTTTTTTTTTTATTGATGTCTCTTCTTCTAACGTTTTTTATTTCCCTTTTTGTCCATTCCCCTTCACTGGACGACTAAGCGGGATCCTCCCCGCCGTTCATGGATCTTTATTTTACCCCTACTCCTTTTCTTGCTTCACACCTTCACAGCTTTGGTGGTTTGTACCCATATGTTGGCGGTCATGTTTCCCTTCTACTGATTATCTTCTTTACCTTTGTATGGTGGGGATAGGGCTCATACAGGGCATTACTGGGATATGGGATCAGAGGGGTAATGGGTGGGATCGGTGGGATGTTACTCAGTGCATTTATAAGGGGTTTCTGTTTCTATTGATGCTTTTACCAAATCTGCTTGCATGCACAGTTACAAGCCTAGCAGATATTTATGATAATGTTCTAGGTCACATCCTCCTTCATTTAACTGTAAAAACAGGCTACAGTAGTGACTAGAATTCTTGCATGAAGGAGGTAGATGACTTATAGCAATAGCATCTCAATATCGCTGCTATCTAATCTAGGAAGGGTATCTAACTCCTCACCGGTGTCAATGTCATCATTACAAGGGCTTCCCTGACTCGCTGATAAAGGCAAAATAATGGGAGATGAGGATTGAAGAATCTCCATTGTTGGGTCGTTTCCTGCCCTTGGGACCATTGGTACCCCCGTATTGCAGTCGGGCTCTTCTCCTGGCCGCTCAAGTATAGGATGTATATCTACTTCTGCCAGTAAGCACGGAGATGAGGACAAAACACCGTCTTGATCAAGCATCAGTCTGGCTATCTCCGGTGTAGTTATGAACCGGGAACCGTCATTATCGATAACAGATTCTGTCAGAGTCGGTGGATTGTTCCATTCGTCTTGTTCTTCAGAGTATGCTTCATCAGATAACAGAATATCATCTTCCTCTTCGTCTTCAAATATATGCCAATCGGAGTCAGGGCAGCCACTGATAGCAACAAGAGCATCCATTGGGTCGGCCTTTCGTAGGTTGTTTGTCGGACAACCCAATATTTCCTGCTGTTTTGATGCAGCGGTTGCAAAGAGATGACTTATTTTTGCTTTCTTGTTAGCGGGACAGAGGGAATTCTTTGTTTGAACCCATAGTATATATCGTAACATGTCCCTTATGTCTGATGATACCGGAACCGTACGAAATCCTGCTGTGCAGCTCTTTAATCTATAAATATCACATATCTTGGAAGTCGTTGATTCACATCCCCTGGAATCCATGCTCCTTATAATCGAGACCATTCCCTTGATTACCAGAGGCATGAAAGAAAGTCGTTGAAACATAGCCTAGAGAAAACGGAGTATGAATAATCCTTTCTTTGCTATTATTGGAAAAAACTAACCACTTACTATGTTGTATCCCGGACTGAAAATAACTGGAGACAACTCTGTCAGGCTAACTTGGTGCCCGTTTGACGGCATACTCTGTATGGACCCAGTATCGGGCGAGGCTATATTTAGGAGATTGACGAGCCCAGCGTTTAATAGGGAGATAATTGACCGTATAGGGCTGATATTGTGACTGCCAGAAACCGGGCTTTTATGTGTGGACGATCCGTAATTTGAATTGCCAGAGAAGCGCGTAGAGGACGATTCTTGACTGGAAAAGGGAGTGGAGTCATCCAATGATTCCCACCCGTCCGAGTCGGACAGCAACACGTTGAGAGGTCCATTGCAGTTGTCACCACCTTCTGGTAACAATATCGGAGAACTGGAGCCGTTCGAGAAGACAAGCTGAATGCTGATATCACGAACAAAGATTGTAGGTATCTCTGCGGGTGGTTGTATATGCGGGTTCCCGTCAAGCAATGCGCTAAGTGACGTTGGAATTTTATTTAGTTCACAGCTAGTAGCTTGATCCCTGGTTGGCCTAGCCTGTAGAGTTATATTGAGAGTGTTTGTTTCATTTAAGTGAAGTTTCCCATCCTGCGTAGCATCGAGGCCATAGACAGACCATACCTAAGCAGGTTAGGATGGGTTCAACATATACAGGTTGTAAAAAGCATACCGATGGCAGAGTTAATAGTTCTGAAATAGTCCGTAGTGTGCCTGGTATAGATACTTTGGTTGCCAGGGAGGTTTGTATTTTAACTGATATGTTAATTTGTATCGTGGAGTTGGAACCCCAGGAAGCCCAAACGTCTTGTCTTCGGAGTTTCTCTATAGATAGCTCTTCTAAACATGGTGAGTCATTGAGTTGTGCAATTTGAACGGAGCTGGATATATATAGCTGGATTTCATGATCTTTTTGCATATGGATGGTTGACCCTAGGTCAATGCTTTTGTAGAGCATGGTGCCATTCAAGTTGAGTATTATCTTGAAATCAATAGAGAACGATAGTTAGTAAATAGCCTGGTAAATGTTTTACTATGTGGAGGGATCAGAATGCTGATGGTATTTGATTGCATGTCGAAAGTTGGAAGCGAAGGAAGGATACATCTACATCCCAAAGTGGAAATATCGAACGTCTTCCTTTCGCGAGGCGCAAAAAGGCCTTCCATCACCATATATAATCAGCGGTTAGCGTCAGGCATAATACCATCAAAGTATTAGGATTTTCCAGCCAGCTATATATTTTTGTTTCTAGACCGTACTTTAACCCCTTTAGCGAGTTGCTGCGATACTTTGATATTCAAGATTTCTACCAGAGCAACTCATTATTATTAGGCAATGTTTGGGAGAAGTTCTTACCCAGGACGTATATAATTATAGGCAAAAAGTTAATCAAATTAAGAGTTAAAGAGATAAGAATATTAGAAATATTCGAGTTATTATCATTAAGCTGGCCAACTCTGCCTATCAGCAGGAAGACTTAACCCGGTTAACTAACTAGGAACACGCTTGTTGAGCAAAAAGAAAAGTACTACTCTCGAGAACCCCAAGTCGAACACCGCGCATTCAAATCCTGACATCTCGACATTTTGTGACTTCTTTTATGTCTTCAAAGAGGCCCTGTGTCTCAATGACAAGGCCGATGTTTCTATCACGGTCTCCACCAACATAAAGGCCGATGAACTTGGCTTCGTTGTTCATCACAAAGCTTCCCGAGTCCTCTGGGTCACCAAATGTGTCACACTTCCATGGAAGAATTACCGTTGCGGTTCCCTGGACATATTCTCGCTGGCCCTGAGCATTTATGACCCACCCCTGTAGGTCAGATAGCCTGATGCCATTTACGGTGCCGCCCGTGAAACCGGTCTTTCGCCCAACCTTAAACACACGATCACCCTCGTCCACTGAACTTGTTCCAGTCATGATAGGCTGCGGTGGAGTATAAACGCGATATTTGCTGCTAACCGTTCCATCTGGTGGGATCTAATGGTGAAGTTAGTTGGCGGGACTCGTTAAGAAACAAGTTTCGTGGTTGATTGGAGGATGTGGGAGTGACGTACCTCGTTGACTGTGATACGGTGTTTATCGACGTCAACTAAAGCCCAATCAAGAAGTTGTCTCTTCTTGTTAACCTTGAAACCAGAAGCAGCGGATACAGAGCCAAGATAACGTTTCTGTTGGTCAAAAGAAGTGGCAATCCGTAAAGTCTCTCCGATTTCACTTAGAGTAGCTTGTTGACGCTCGTATACAATCCTTTGAGACCTCGAAACCGATGGGTCACCAGAGAGGATGCGTTGACGTAGGCTGTCGGGGACATCACGTCGAACTTCATCGACTTCTTTTCGATAGTATCGGAGGGAGGACTCGTGGTCTTGAAGGGCTGGGTGATCTAACTGCAGGTTGTTACTATCTCCAGGCTTGATTCCTTCATTGATCCATCGTTCATAGGAAGGGTGGGACTCAGAGCCCGCAATAACACAATGAAAGTTAGTCATTCCAAATCTTTTCCATTGTCCAGAGATAGGATTCTGCAGGTCAATAAATCCGCCGAACGTCGATGCAGATGAGGTAGATCCTCGGGGGTCAAGGCTTCCTCCAGGTTTTGCTCTGACATCCCAGTCGCGACGACTTAAGACGGGATCGTCAAAAGATGACGCGTGCCAGATGTTACTGCGGCATATTTCAACGGCGACGTTATAGTGGCCACGACTGTCCAATAGCTTCACGATTGCGTCTCTTACCGCGGTCCAATCGTTGACAGACTCTTCAGTGACGGTAAGGGCGACAGTGATTGGTCCTTCAGGCTGATTCACACCTCTTCGACGGACAACACACAGAAGAGTCCAATCGGAGTTGGCAAGAATCTCGAGTACGACAGGCCGCAAAACACGCCAGGAGTCAACAAAGGGATCAGAGACAGACACCGGGTAGCTGATTAGTTGGGGATTAGCTCTGGTATCAATGATCTCGACGTTCAGTTGCATGAACCACTGGGACCGAAAGAGCTGTAACATTTCCTTGCATGCTCTGAACCAGGAGTCACTCGTCACTACATGCTTTCGAGCAGTGACTAGTGCAGTATCGTATTTTTCAGTGCTGCTAGTTGAAGATCGACGGAGAGGCCCTACTCCAATGATGTCGACATTATAGTTCTTAAGGATTGTTCGGACTGGAGCGTCGAGTTTGTCTTCCCACGCGACAAGGAGAGGATCATTCTGTGTTAGGTGGTGGTTGAAGGCAGGCAACCTCACCAAGTGAGGACCACCGGTGCGAAAATCCTCGTTGTAGACCTCTGAATCACCTATGGCAGAAGATGCTTCGCTTTCGGAAGAGCCTTCGGTTCTCCTCACTCGATTTAGTTGATAGGCAGCGTTGCTTCCAGAGGACGAGGAGGGTGATGGTGTGGGAAGCGCGCCTGCGTAGGTGACTTCTGCACTGACACGACGCTTGGAAAACCCATATGGGTTGCTTGGATGTGCCATTCTGAGCTGAGCAAAGGGAAGAAAAAAAAATAAAAAAATAACAACCGTATGTTTTCTTCAGGAGAAACGCAAAGCTCTAAACCAAAGTAGGATTGGAAGTCGATCTTGGTGGAATGGTGCGAAGGAGAAAAATAAGGCAAAAGATGCAGCCGAAGCAAGACATGTTGATGAAATGGTTTGAAGAAAAAAAAAAAAAGGAAGAAACGGAAAGTGAGCTGGGCGAGGGCCTTAAATAGGCATTTTTTTGATAGGACATGACGTCAGTGACTTGAAGTGAAAGCACGCCATATGAGGAAGTGAATGAAAACAAAGTGAAGTTGATGAGATATCACTTCAGCTGGCAGCTGATGAACAAACAGCCATTGTTAGTGACTTGGGTATGACCTATTTTCTGGGTCTTTCCCAACTAAGAGGCTACATTGCAGTAAGGATATCAGCCATGAGGGGAGAAGAGCTCATGAAGCGAGGTGTATAGTTATCTAGGATGGGTATATGGGTGACTGCAACACATGCCGCCTCGAGGTTTCGGGCACCAATGCAATTATATAGAAATCAGGAGATAAGTAAAAGAAGTTGTGAGACTTGAAGTAATTAAGTCGTGAGATTTGAGGTCTGTAGCGGAGTCGAGGCGGCTGTTCTCCATGGAAGTCCCCAGATAACTTACGTAATTAGAACACTTTCTCCAATCTCTATTGGTCAGAATATATTAACCATTGGCTAGTATTGCTCCCGTTGCCAGTTGGACAAGAGGGTATATAACATTTCTTATTGGCTTAGAAGAGTAGTGCCTGTTTTCTCCTGGCACTATTATCCAATCATCATCGCAGGAGTCGTGCTACTGCTAACTAAGCAGCCATGCGCCTCCTGCAGGGGGCTTCCCGATCCTCTTCTTCGAGCCTGGAGCGGTTTTGATATCGTGATGTCGCTCTTTTCTCACGCCCAAGGAGAATGATTCCCACATGTAGCTATGAACAGAGGAGACAAACTAGATGTTCGCACAGCTGAAGCATCAAAATACAGCGAGGAGGAAGGCCGCTCCCTTCTTTCCCATGGGTCTCACGAAGATGACGACTATTTAATTGTCGAGGAGCCTTCGTCCACCTCTGGTACGCCGTCGTCTCAGTCAGCCTCGACCCCCAAGATACCTCCGTCCCTCTCGACCTCCCCTACCGACCAGCCTCGAACAGGCCGAACGTCAAACCGCGTCAGGTTCGACATCCAAGACGATGGGGAAGAAGATACTAGCCAGACCTTTGAGAGTCGCCGTGATGTCGACTGGATTGCGAACCAAGACTACCTTGATGAAGAGACAGCTCAAGTACCAGGAGATCGCTCTCGTCAGGCAGTTCCGCTTCTTACGAACATAGAAGCTCCCAGCGTCACTGTCGCCACGTCAGACTTTATCCCTGAAGACCACCTTGAGAATGCTCGGCCCAGGAGTGGATTGGGAAGTGCCTTCATGAACATGGCAAACAGTATCATCGGAGCTGGGATAATTGGCCAACCATACGCTTTTCGTCAGGCTGGGTTGACCACAGGCATCATTTTACTTGTTATTCTGACTTGGACCGTCGATTGGACTATCCGTTTGATCGTGGTCAATTCCAAACTCAGTGGAGCAGACTCTTTTCAAAGCACTTTGGAATTCTGCTATGGAAGAACGGGTCTGATAGCAATATCTGTCGCACAGTGGGCATTTGCATTTGGCGGTATGATTGCATTCTGCATCATTGTCGGAGACACTATACCTCATGTTGTGATGGGAATAGCTCCATCTATCAGGGACATGCCGGTTCTGTGGTTGTTGACGGATAGACGTGCTGTTATAATCATCTTTGTTCTTGGAATATCCTACCCACTGTCACTGTACCGTGATATTGCTAAGGTATGCATATACCTTCTCTATACTCATGTTTGGTTGTTCTATAATTCTGACATTCTACATATAGCTGGCGAAAGCTTCGACTTTTGCCTTGGTCAGCATGTTAGTCATTTTGATAACCGTCATAATAGAAGGTATCCAGGTAGCTCCTGAGGCTAGAGGGGAAGTCAAAGGATCCCTCTTTGTCAATAGCGGCGTTGTTCCGGCTATTGGAGTGATCTCGTTTGGTAAGCCTAAATACGATAGTATTTATTGCTAGCTAGTGCGTTGCTAACTATGGAATAGCCTTTGTCTGCCGTATGTTCATATTGATGTATATTGATACATTGGTGATGTCACTAATTCCCTATTAGACCACAACAGTCTCTTGATATATGGTTCCTTGAGAAAGCCTACCATGGACAGATTCGCTCGTGTTACCCACTACTCGACCGCTATATCTATGGTTATGTGTCTAGTCATGGCGGTGGCCGGCTTCTTAACCTTTGGGTCAAAAACGAAGGGTAACATTCTTAATAACTTCCCTCCAGACAACGTGATTGTGAATATTGCAAGACTGTGAGTTGTCCTGGATCGGTCCTATCTTCGAACTTTAGCTAAACTGAATTCGATAGGTTCTTTGGGCTTAACATGCTGGCCACGTTACCCCTTGAGGCGTTCGTCTGCAGGTCTGTCATGACCACGTTCTACTTTCCAGAGGAGCCTTTCAACCTCAACCGCCATCTTATCTTCACTACCTCCCTGGTTGTAACATCTATGGTCATGGCTCTGATCACATGCGACTTGGGCGCTGTATTAGAACTTATCGGCGCAACAAGCGCTTGTGCCCTAGCATATATCCTTCCACCGCTCTGCTACATAAAACTGAGTAAGCAGAGCTGGGTGGCGAAGATCCCTGCCGTCCTTTGCATTGCGTTTGGTACTGTGGTTATGTGCATTAGCGTCCTTCAAACGGCAGCGAAAATGATCAAGCGTAAGTTTCTGTCCATCTCTTTAGGAACGATTCCCAAGCATCACTTTTTGCTAACATTATTCTATTATACAGATGAGGGAGGCGCAGTAACTTGTTGAAACTACTAACTGTTTTAATTGAGATTAGATGTGTTCTACTTCTATTCAACATTCTACCTTGTTATTACTAGATGCATTGATACATATTTTCATCCTGTCCCGAGCTTTGGCTAGGATGGACATTGATATCGAATCCAATGTCCGCGTCCATGCAGTCTTTATGGTGTGATTCCACATCGGGGCCCCTTTAATATACGATTTTCGGTTGTACAATCTATGGTTGGAGATCTAGCATCTGCAACCGATTAGGTTCTGTGTTTGTAATCAATGTTGTTTTCCTTTGCTTCTTTCCATTCTTTTTCATCCTGCGGCTATCCATATACCATCTGCTCTTTTCATTGTTTGCATGTCTCAGAAAGAGTTTTTTTATTATTGAATACGATTTCTCGTGATCTTTCTTCACTCCCTGATATATCTATACCTACCTTAACACACTATTATGCCATCTAGTGCTTGCTTTTGATATCAGCAGAAGAAGAGCTGGTTGTGGTTACACTGCTACTTTACCTGGTATATCTATAGCCATTCTCCCTTTCTCAACATCCAATACCAATCGGCTATAAGATCCTGGATAGCAGAAGGGGAAAGCAGTGGGAATTTATGTTGATTCTGTTGCACTTATATCCAAACCCCTTCTTCTAATACCCAGAAACATTATATCAAATGCCCCAAAGAAGACTACAGTCACTAATATCTAGTTAGAAATCTCCCAAAGGGCCCTTTCATCACTATACCTGCCATCCCTTCTATCCCTTTTCTCTTTTTTTCTCCTTATCGCATCGTTTGAGCGTGCGTCGTCTGTAGTGATCAGGATCTCTCACACAGACAATATCTCAACTTCTCACAACCTCAGCTCTTCTACTTAACCTTTTGTTTTGAAACTCCAGATGATCTTTCAGCCCTTCTGTAAAAATAACGCTTTTCTTCTCTCTGTTCTCCCTGGAAGCACAGTGGCTGACTAGCTGTAAGTTATACTCCTTCCTATATCCCCAATTACAGAGTTTGTGATGCTCCAAGGCCTCTGTGACATTCGTTGGCCCTCTGGTTTGAAGAAGATCTAGCTCAAACTTGCAGATATAGTCTTGAAAGGTGCTATAACTGGGTTTATACTGCTGCATACCAGTTGATATCAGTGCAGTGAATAAAGAAACTGGTTGAATCTCTAAGTATCAATGCTGACAGTCGAATATAGTTGTCTTTGCATTTGATAACCTCGCTACTTTGAACGTCTTTTGAGATCCTGTATCTCGGCCTACACACGGAGCCTGCCAGGTAAATTGAGAGAGGCCTATCATTTCCTCGAAAGGAGCGTCAATTTGTTCAATTATAGGCGCGTTTTGACGCGCCTGAGCCTGTAAAAGAATGGCGGAAGCATCGGTTACGGATGATGAACGCGCCAATCGCATGAAAGCTCTTCAAATGGTGTGTTTCTCTATGATGGTCCCCCATCTTCGACACTGAGCTATGTTTGACTTGAATTTGCGAAAATACAGGCCGATTTGGGTACTGCTCGCCGTGAACATATATCAACTGTTGACCGCCCAAACAAGCTTCATCGCATTGGTATTCAGCAAATCGAAGCTATTCGAGACTCTAATCGCAAAGGGACTGAGGCATACACCCTTGCTGAGACCAACAGAGAGAAACTAAACAGCTGGGCAAGTGAGTATGCGCTGCTTCATTTTCTTTTAGGTCTGTATCGATATTGACTGTATATAACAGCTTATCATGAAACGCTCGAGGAGAATATGGATGCGGAAAACCTTGATCCACTACTGGATGGACAAACACATAGACTGGCCCTCGAGGCTAAGATTAAAGGAACTAATTTGGACCATCCTGCTAGCTCAAGTAGAGGAAAGAGAGCCACTCGTGGGGCTCTGCACAGTGGTCGCGGAGGTGGTGCCGCCGGATCTCGTGGCCGTGGCGGCACAAGGTATGCATACGGTCTACACCTACGCCTCAGCACTACATAACTAACATAGCTTCCTTTAGCCATCAATCAAATACCCGGAGCGGAGACATAACAAAATCGGACCCAAGTCGTTTGAGCCCCACTGTATTCACACCAACTAAAAAGGCTCTTGCACCTCTTCCACAGAAGCCTTTGGATCCATCCAAAGACTGCAACAATCCTCCAGCTACCCGTGGTAGAGCAGACAGAAAGAGATATGGAAGCTCGAGAAACCTACCTCCCGTTACGAAAGCCAGGCGTCCCGTCTTTGCTGCTCCTCCGTAAGATTTGACAATCTATATATCTATTTAGCTCTCATCACTAATAGTACCTCTAGGAACATCAATTTCGAGTCACTCCTTGCAGATGGAGATGATTTCATGGCAGCTGTTGCTGGTGTCCAATTTGCTACAGTTGCTAAACCAGCACAGCCACCAGAAACTCCCAAAGTCCCCGAAGCTCCAACTAAGAGCCAAGATGTGTCTCCTGATCCACCTATGTCCCAGGAGCGTTCAGTTCCCTCTGATAACTTTCAAAAAGACGTGCCAGAGCCTCCTCTGCAACAACCTCAGTCAGAGGTAAAGGCGGTTGTGCCATCCGAGCCCAACGCTGAGGCTGCTGCCCCAGCAACAAACCTTAAGCCGGCTGCACCCTTGAGAATAGATGTATTTACAAATCCTTCCGAGATCCGTGATGGTCAGGGAGCTGACACTATACCACTGAAGACAGACCATGGATTCGGTTCTTACCTACCACAACCACAGCGGCACTCTACAGACGCAGAAAATCATGATGCTGACGACCTCTTCCTATGCACATCATCTGAAGCCACTGCTGCCGCTCAGATCGAGGAAGACAAAACCGAAGGAGTCAACATCAGCACAAGCCTTCTTGATATAAGTGATGGGCCTGAAGATACGATACCCCAGACCCAACCTGCCCCCCAATCTGCTCCCCAACGGGTCGAACCAAAGGATGAATCAAATGCTACCAAAGAAGAACTTGCAAAGCTTACGAAAATTCTTTCTAACCAGTCCTTACTTGACCCTGAAATCGTTGTCTATCTCCAAGAGAGAAGAGAACGCCTTGAAAAGGAGCTGGTGGAAAAGGAGCTAGCCAGAAACCCGGAAGTTGTCAAAACTGCTATCCACACTGCCGAGCCGAGCAACACGAAGTCTATCCAGTTTGGCGCATCAAACCTTGTCGCCTCAGTAGCTACACCAAATGCTCCAACTACTGCCAATCTTTCTGATATCACTAACCGCAATACTGGTGATGTGGTTAACCCAAATTCTAGGTAAATAAATTCTCAAACTAGACTAGTCTACGCATCACACTAACCCTCCGCAGTGAGAACATCAAAAATGTGCCAATGCCAGTTGAAGTAAAGAAGCCAGAGATTCGAAACAGCAGCAATAATACCTTTGACCATAATATTGTCTATGCAATTCCTGGAGCCTTTCCCTCCAAACCTCCAACAACATCTCCTCACGACGTTCCCCTGATCATCGGCGACCATCTTCTTCCTGGAAGGCCTATGAAGAAATGCGAAACGCCTCGGCCTAGTGCTCCAGTTTATGAACCAAAGCTGCACCACCTTCCTGGAACTTTGAGTGGCAATAGTAACCAGCCTTCTACATCAAACCAAGCCCATCAATTTCATGAGCCAATGATGTTCACATACCACGCAACTTCCGGTGGCACGTCTGTCGCAACATCTACTTCATTTTCTTATGCACCTCTGGGACCGTCGACTACAGGGAGCCAACCAGCCATCATTACTCACACTGCTCCTGTATCCTTCGTTTCTCCTACGGGGTCAGCTGTCCTCAATGCTCCCAAATCCCGTTTCAAGATGAGAGATACCCCTCAGTTTCCAATTAGCGCTGCTACGATGCAATATTACTCGGGGACCTTCCTAGAAGAACAGATGAAGCAACCAACCACCCCCATCCGCAAGACAAACGAAAATATCAATCCTGCAATGGGCTTTGCTTCTTCACAGCCCATAGAACCTGGCCAAAAGTCGGGCGACCACAGCCGAAACCAGTCTTTTTCCCTTTCCCCTGTTGCAAACACCTTTCGACCAGTTCTACAGAGCCGTAGCCCTATCCCAGCTGCGTTTGGTGCTCCTAACTCTGGCCGTTCTGCAACCAGCCATCACTCCAAGTTCTCATCCACTGCTTCTGAGACACCTCGTGAGCCAAAAAGTGTTTTTGTTGCTGAGATGGCAAAGCGTGGAGTGTCTGTTTCTGGAGCTCCAGTTAACAATCAGCCTGTTGAACGGAAGAAAAGTGGAATGGAGAGCTCCAAATATGCTCACTGAATACAACCCTCAAGACCCTAGCCCTATGGCCATTCGGTTAAAGGTAAGGACGAGGCTTACTTGCCATTATCTTTCAATTTTATCTTGTCACTTCTAGGGCTACTGATCCTGTCATCTAGCTCAATGATGCCTTGGATTGCATGCCTCGGATGTGTACAGCGGTCTCTTGTTGCTTTTCATACACATTTTAGCTTGATGTTCCGTGAGAAACTGCATAGGACTCCGGTTACCTTTCCATGACGATGCCGACTGGTCCCAACTCTAGACCTTCATTATCAGTTGCCTCAGTTGCCCGAGATTTACGAGAATTTCAACCGGAAAAAAAAAAAAAAAAAAAAAAAAAAGTAACTAATATTACCCTCTATTTGTATTTATTACTCTAGCCTACGGCGATGGATTGCCAGATAAAAATCTAGAGACATGACAGAGCCGCACAGCCTTTCCAAAGTTTGAAAATAAAGACTGTATGGTAATATTCATGCCATACATAGCCTGTTCAGGTAATAGGTATATACATAACCTGCTAAAAGGTGTGCCAACCGCTCTGCTAAGAAAAATAATAATGATAAAAGAATGAGAACAGAAAGGGCAGAATCCCAAATTATCCCCCAAAAAGAAACAAAGTGCCTGAACTCCGTAAGAAATACCGCCTATAACCGCTTCAAATTCGTAATGAGTCGCTCAAAATAAAGAGATAATGAGTGAAAGGATTAGGAATTAATCATAGGTTGTTCCTTACTGGCTCCGAATACAGTGAAGCATAATGCTACTGTTGACCCTGAAGGTTTTGTTTTGGAGCATTGGCATCCTCAACCCTCGTTCGTTTTGCGGCGTCTGCCTGATTCTTTGTCCGTTCGTTGTTCGGAACATTTGTGGTATCGACTAACGGCAGTCTTTTCCCATATTCGTTTTGCTGCTGCCCACCATTGATAGGGCTGTTGTGATTTCTCACTGGCGGTGGCATGTTGGAAGCGGTGCTAGCGTTCCCACTGTTCACTGCTCCCATGGATCGCCGTATTGGTGGTCGATATGATGAAGTCATAGGCGGCCTCCCTATTGGTCCATGACCACTGTTAGGTGTCGGCGCATTTGCCTTGGCGCCTGGTAAGGGCACCTTGCCAGCCTGTTGTTGTAAGGCCTGAAGAGATTTCCTGACAATAGGGGAAGAGCTAGTATGATCAATACCGGCAGTTTTGCGTATGGATGGGCTGTCAAATTGGGGGTCAAATACTGGTGCTGATTTTACAGCAGTATGGGGATCGTTTATTAGAGCTTCTGCAGCCCGAGCAGAGAAAAATCCAACTACATGGTCTTCTGATGCCTTGTCTTCACTGCTCTGCGCGCCGGAGGCCTTATTTCCATCATTATTTGGGGCAGGATCATGTTTTGGTCGTCCTTGGTCATTGGAATGTGGGAATGGTGGACCATTTGGTTGCATAGCTTGTCTCCCGCTGGGGTGTCTGGAGTCATTATTTTGATCTTGTGCAAATCTGCCCGGAACTGGAGTTTTCGGGCCGGTCATATTGCTCCTATTGATTCCATCGGCCTGTCCATTGTGTGAAGGAACAGTGCCATTAGCCGAAACCGAAGCTATGGGCTTTCTTGTATCAACTGTGGTCGCTGCTTTGGTTGCATTTGCAAAATTTCTTGCATCTGTTGGTGGGTGAGTAGCTGAGGGACCATTTTGTCCGGTTGATCGCCTTGAATAATCAGATTCCTCTATAGCTACTTCATCCGGATGTAACGAAGTGTGTTCCGCAAAATCGGCCTCATCAAATACATCGCCTTCCCAAAGTCAGCTTTAACTAAGGTAAAAAGAGTATCTGAGAACGATCTTACTTCCAAACTCGCCTTCAAACTCGTATGCGAGAGAGTCTTCTGCCGTGATATTCTCAATATCAGGAACCCGTGCAGGTAGATTTGACGGGCCATTGTTCTGATATTCTTGTTTGATAATCCTATTAGTAGGGGCTGCAGTTGGTACTTTGGGAGGCACAAAATCCACATGACGATGGAGGTTGTCAACATCAAACTTCACCTATATCAAAAGGATATTATTAGCGTAGGTAGCCTCGGGGCCTTACACCAATGGCACAACTCACTGGGGTAGCTTTAATTTTCACTACTTTGGAGAGGTACTCTTTGTCGTATATGCAATTTCCGAGTACATTTCCGAATGTCCTTAGAGTACGTTTCAGGGCGTCCGTGGTTCCTTCTTTCTTAGCTTTTTCAAACGCAGCAGCCTTCCCTTTGCAGTTTTCAATATGTCCATATCCTATATCCTGCCCAGATATGAGAATTAGTCCGTAACACTGGGGCGCGGGTATCATGGAAAACAAACCTCATGATACGTTCCATCTTTTAAAGTAACCCGCACGATCACGGATAGCCCTACTGAGACCTTACCGGTGGTAGGGTTCTCATCAGCCTATGACCAAGTCAGTACTCCTATCTATACAGGGGGAGGCGTTGGCTGAATAAATTCCAACTCACAAAATCCTGTGTTATATTTTGTATAGAGCTCGACCATCCATTGAACCCGAAGACTTCATTTGCAAGGTTGATACATTTATCTGCCGTGATATAATGTACTTTTCCTCCTCCAGAAGGCCTGGATGAGAGAAACTCTGGGCCCAGCTGCTTGTTTAGTCTCTCCCTCAGCGAGGCAACTTCGGTAGGTGTAAACTCTTCAACTCGACCGGTTCCTTTTAAATATGGATTCGCAGAGATTGCAGGATTGTCCCCAGGCCCAAGCCGATGTTGGTCTCCGATCCTGTAAGAGTTGGTCAGCGCGTCTATCGTAGCCTGCGATTAACTATGAAGAGAGTTCTAGAGCACTTACGCAGGCATCGTGACCAGAATCGTCTAGTATAACAAGCACCTCCAGATAGTACGATGATTCGAAGCTGGATAATGACTTTCGGCACCCCAAGCTGCATCTCACGACATCAATCAAACGCGCTGATGTTTGCCTGGACGCGTCTAAAAAGCTAATTACGTAATTTGATAAATTCGAGTTGGTCCAGTTTAGGTACGTCACGTGAAGATAACAACCTAATTATCCCCTTCCCCGCAAGAAAGATAACCCTGAGCCTCAATATCAACATTGGATGGGGAACCTACAAGCTGCCCAGGTAGCTCGTGAATGGTCAATTTGTTGCTTTGTAGCCACCAAGTTCGCGGGCGTGTCACAGTTATTGGGATACGGTGCCTTCGTAAGCTAGCCATCTCAAGCTGTCTAGTTATACTAAAACCGAATGAAACCACCATCAAACTAATGTCCCAGGATCCTCAGCCCACGATAAGGCTTCCACTTGGCACAAAACCCAGCTCTTTTAACGTAGCCCCAAAGTCTTCCTGATTGAAAACCTTCTTTGGAAACGTCTGTGTAAAGCTATTCACCTGATTCCCTTCCTGCTGTAGAGCGGCGGCAACCTCAAAGAGGGTGGTATCAACAGGGAAGGACTTGATGACATTCCCGGATGGTGTCATCAGTCGCAGTCTCGTCTCTGTATATGCTGAAGCTGGCTTTGAGGCCACTGGAGCTGCAGCTGGTGTAGGCTGTGCCTTTTGTTCCTCCAGAACACGACCTTCTCGTTCCGCTTTTTCTTTCTCTGCCTTCAATTTCCGAGCCTGCTTGTCTGCTTCGATCTTGGCCTTTATCCGTGCCTTTGCTTCAATTTCTTCTTGTTTCTCACGCTTCTTTTTAGCTGCTTCCTTCAACTGTTCTTTTCGTTGAAGTTCTTCCTTCATATCCTGAGTCTCCTTCGTGCTCTTACGGCGGATTTCCTGATAATTGAACCTGGGGGTCAGACTTTGAAACATGAATGCCAAAAAGAAAGAATTTATAAATCTAACCTCGTTTCTTTTTTGGTCCTTCTTATCCTGCTCAGACATTTTTTGCCTTTTTTCTGCCAGTCTTTGACGTAGCTCTTCTAGTTTAGCCTTCTTCTCTTCCTCCGTGAGCGGTGCGATCTCCTCCGTCGACTCTGAAAAGTCAACATGTTCTGTTTTAGAAGCGTGGAATTCGGCCTGGCCCTGGCTTCTGAACCGTTTCCCGCACTCATTACAGACCAAGCTCTTTGGTTCTTCTCCAGGTTTTAACTCTGGCGGTTCATCCGACGCTCCTGCTTCTGACTGTTTCTGGGCCGTTTCCTCTTGTATTTCTTCCAGCGACTTGTCTTGGTTGGCTTCTAGCCACTCGAGGGCCCCCTGTACTGAATAAAAAGACAATATGTCAGTATCAAGTATTTTTTTTTTAAACCAAAACCATCCAAGATCCTAAGGAACTCGAAGGCTGATGCTGTGAACATGGGTCGGCCTGACTTACAGCCGCCGGATTTAGACACTGCTATTTTGGCCCGCTCTGGGTCAAAGCCCATGTCGGCTAGAAGCTCCAGGTCCGAAGGCATCCTCAGCGATGTTGTGGCAGCAGCGAATGTAGAATGGAGGACAGGAGTTGATGTTCGGAAGCGAAACTCTTCTGATGATGGAAGCGCAAGCTGGTCAACTACCGGTTAGTTATCTGCTAGCTAGCTAGTTACCTGCTGCTGGCGTAGTTGTTGAACTGAGGAACAGCCCCACTAAAGATTTCCAAGCAGTTGCCTTTAAGCCTGACTAGTTATGATGATCACCCTGAAAGTAAAAGCAAGTAATAGGAAAACATCAATTTCTGGGGCCTTCTACGGAGTAGCTGCTAACTAACTAGTTGTTGGGCTCTACAAATATTTACTTCACTATCCAGAGCAGCTACACAAAGCAGACGCCTATGCAGAAGGGGCCACAAAAGACATCCGTATAGCCCATATATTCCTTATTTCCTCCATCGCTTCCTGGATCATCTCAGGGTTAAATAAAGTGCGATAGAGCCTCCCCAAACAGACCTATCGAAACCGGGGCTCCTCTTATTTAGCCCAGGTGACGAATATACAATCGGGTCAGCGCTGGGATGGAGCGGCCTTGCATAATTGCTGCAAATATCCTGCTGGCGATAGAACCAAGATCCAGCTCCCGTTGCATTGCTTAAGCAATCGGCAACAACGCAGTGGGTGTTCGCAACGTTCTGCAAATCGCGGATAAGGCTGTATATCAGACGCTAGTATTGTAGGAATCGTCCGACATGGCAGTGACAGGTTTCACCGGGACGTGGACTTCATCCAATAAATCGGTATAGACCGCAGACATAGCTTGTAGTTAGCCTGTTCCTTGGTCGCGTTGGTTGTCTGTAGTTATGAGAGGCAACCTGTTAGTTAGTGAGTTTAGTTATGGCAGGGCTACCATGGCCCAAACTCCAATCATGCATGTCGATGATATACACGGCCCCAGTCTCTTCCCATGAGTTCTAGCTTTGCTGCTTATAGCTTGAGGACCACCGCCACCGGTTGATGTGATGTCCGTGGCGGTCTTTATTCTTTGCTGGTGGTGTGTCACAAACAATAATGTCCAGCTGTCCCCCAGCCCTCTCCGCTCCACAGTTAGAGCCTATCACATGACTTTGTCTTACCTAAGCCACTCCCAGCGACATCTTGGGCTGTCTATCAACTTGCCAGCATCAAAAGATCCAACAAGGCCGACTATACCTGCATCACCCACTTCACCACCGCTCTCCAGCCCGTGTTTCCCACCAGAGATCAGGTATTCCACACTTGTTCTAGTTGTCTTCCCACAGCAGTCACCATGTCGGTCGAAATAGAACCCGGCGAGCTCGGCTTCAAGCGTATGTATTGTCCTTTGCAGACCTGGTACAGCCCGCGATTTGTGCCTAACGCCTGTAAAATATAGGCCCATTCACTAAAGAAGTCACTGAGATTCTCTACTTGCGGAATCCTAACAGTGATCCCGTTGCCTTCAAAGTATGTACTCTGCTGCTCCAAGGCTGGTCATTTTGACCGAGCTGCTTACGATTTGTCCAACAATATAGGTCAAAACTACTGCGCCCAAACAGTGAGCTGCACCCGTCATACTGGCATATATTTCACCCTAAGAGTGCTAATCGGATGACTTCAGTTACTGTGTTCGCCCTAATTCTGGCCGCATCGAGCCTGGGAAGCAAGTTGAAGTCCAGGGTACGCATCTCCGCAAATTTCCCAGCCCACCTCCCCCACGTCCTTGGTTGTGCGCAGTCATTAACCTGCGAATCGATAACAGTTCTTCTTCAGGCCATGAAAGAAGACCCTCCACTTGATGCCAAATGCCGCGATAAGTTTCTGGTCCAATCTGTTGCCGTCTCCGCCGATAAGGAGTTCTCGAATGTTGCCTCTATTGTGTGTACTGCACTCTCCCCAACCGAGTGGTTGAACATACTTGGAATTGTTAGAAACCTGGTCGCTTACAATATAGCAGTGGCAGGATGTTGAAAAGAAGTCCAAATCTCTTATTCAAGAGCGCAAAATCCGGGTCAACTTCCTACCAAGTGACGACTCGCATACCAATGGAGTGGTGCGTACCCCCGGGGTTAGCGATTGACTTCCGTCATTCCACTCTACTACTTTTTCTATAAGCATAGCTTCATTTACAACTTCGTGCGAAAATTATGCATACTGACTGTTCGATATTATAGGAGCCTGATTCCGAGCCACATGCCCAGTCTTCTCCCCATGCGCCTCAGTTTACCACCCCGGTTGTGCAGCGCACCGTTGGTAGTGGCCCCACACCTCCTAAATCCGAGGATATGAAGCATGAAAGCCCGCCCGAGCCATCATCTGAGCCGACCAACACTTTCGGCATGGCTACTTCCTCTACTCGCGTTGAGCCCTCTCAATCAAGTGACGACCTTTTGTCCTCCCAATTAGCGGAAGCAAGGCTGCAGATCAAACAACTACAACAGCAGATAGCCGATAACGAAGTGAGACAGAGAAAGAAGCCTGTCGAAGGTGGAGAACTTTCTACAAACCAATCTTCTCTCAAGCAAGCACAACCTCCTACTCAATTGGCTGCGGCGGGTGGTGTCCCTTTGCAAGCCGTGGCTGGTCTCTGTCTTCTCAGTTTCTTGCTAGCGTACATCTTCTTCTAGAACCATACCCACCCTCATTTCGAATGCTTCTCCCAACTCCTCCTGTTTCTTTCACACCTCTGACTGCCGTGCGTCACGATTGACAACCCCTGATTTCTCCGCCCCTGTTGCTTCCCCCTTTCCCAATCCCCCCTTCCACCACTAAGTTTTAAGTTCTGTCTTGTCGGAGTCATCACGTCTTTTTACCAGCGCCCTAATACATCTCAGACCGAAGAGGTTGGCCATGCACACACAAGCGTTCCCTTTCCCTATTTCGCTCCAGAGCTGCTTCCGCTCCCAACCGGTGTATCATGGGATCCAAGTATTTTCCTATGTCCATTTTCCTTCCCACCTGCTACTCACTGTTAACTGTCTATTTCCTACTGTCTGAACTTTTCCTTGCTTAGTATATTATGCTCTAACGGATCTTCTTTCTCTCCCTACTTCATTCTTGATCTCCTCTACTCCCCTTCTCATTAAGCCGGTTGAAAGTTCCGAGATTAGCCATCTTAACATTCATGGAAAAAGGTGATATTTTAACAACAGTAATTCTCTGTCAATGGGTTTCTTTTGAGTTATTTTCGGCATAGTGACGATAGCTAAAGAAATAAGGGCCTTTTTTATCGTGGGATTCTTTCTATTATGTCTATCTGTACCACCATAATGACCGTATGGCGTACTATTTGTACTAACTATCCTCCCATCAAGACCTTGATGTGTTATGAGGAGGGAGCATCAACCGAGCATGCAAGCGTCTGTCAACGTCTCCTGACACATTAGTCGAGTGACGAAGCCTTTGCACCTGTTTCAGGAGAGGCATCCAAACAAAGAGTATGAAGTGAGAAATAAGGGATAAAAGAAAAAGAGAAATAGAAAACAATATTAAGAAAAAAAAAAACAGAAGGAAAATTATGAGAAAAATGAGAAAGCCTCCCCAGAGATAAGCACCCAAGAAAATGTGATAAGAAAACAGATAGTATGAATGAGTATCGTGAGACCGTTAGAAGGCAAAGGAAATGTAGGATGGTGGAAACGGGTAACTAGAGTGTATTTGGAAGATGCGGTAAAAAGGAAAAGGAAGAAAAAGGGGCCATCAGTTATAGTTATCCGGAAAATAAAGTTATAGCAAGCCATTGCCACATGTATGAAGGCTGGGTGGGACGCGGAAAAAAGATGTATGTATCCACAGAGCAGATGAAAAAACTCGATCTAGTATTTAACAGATGGGTATCGTAATCGTTTCATTAAAAGGTTGCTCAAAACGTTGTCTGCTTTCACGACGCAAGGGGGGAGGCAAATGGTGGAAAGCAACGCCATTGGGAGGAATGGAAGGGCCTCAGTCCGTAAAAGGAGGGTGAGATGAATTGAGTAGGATTACCATGGCCCGACCTTCAACGGCAGGCCAGCTCCGTAAGTGCCTGACATGAGCTGTTGACGTATTGACGACATGTCGCCTTGAGAGCTGCCGGCGTTGGAATTGCACGGGTTGCCCACGTTGCCACCGATCCAGCCAAGGCTCTGGTTCAATTCATTCACGGCGTCCTGGAGTTTTCCTCCGGCGGTCTCGTTGTGCTTTGCAAGCTTTTGATCCCAGCCTCCGTACTGCAGTTGGATACCGCCTCCACGCTTTGCTGCCTCCCTGATTACTAGACACCATGCTTTGCTCATCTCTTCATACGCTGCATACTTCTCAAGATTGTGTTGTGGCGTCGTCCACCGCGGAAGTTGATGTATGATATCTGTAGCACCGTCCAGGTAACTTAGTGATGTTGACGGTTGCGATTCATTTGGCGGGAGAAAATGGGGTGTAAAGTCGTTCAGGGCTTCAAGGAGGTTGGTAAGATGCTGGCGGACTCGATTGTATGCGTAGTCGGAGGAAGGGTTCCCGCCCAGCGGGAAAGAGGACTGCAGCGTGGACTGGTAGTTGTTAAGGACTTCGAGGGCGGCGCTGACGCTGGGCCGAGGGGCAGTGTGCATGACCTCAGAGGCAATCTCTGGATGACGATCACAGAGCGACCTCAACACCGACCGCAGAGCATCTGTGTCGAGCGTCTCCATTAACCGAGGGAGAGACAGCGGCCGGCCTGAAACGTTCGGCCGTGGTCGTTTGAGGTGACGGGGAGCTAACGGCCGTGGATGGAGGGCAGGAGACCCTGAGGGCGAGGCAGACATGCGAGTATCGTCGCTCGGGGGGCTGTCATCTTCAGCCTTTCTCTTCCGGTTCACTGAGGCGTTGGTCGATGACACTGTAGTGAAGCAGTCAAGTCAGCCAGGCATACCAAACTCCATCATATTGCTTTCCTGTAGGTGCTGGGGGAGGAGGCGTGCGCTCGGAGTAAGTCCTACTGGAATATGATGCAGAGCGACAAGTAGTCTCGTAAAAGTGAGGAGGAACAGGCGGTGTGGCTACCAGGCTGTTCATGATCACCGAGGGCTGCTCGGCAAGGAGTGACTGCTAACGAGAGGTCGTGATGCAGCGGCTGGGTGAGTCTGCGGGAGTTGGCCCTTTGGTAGGAGACGTCGACAGCACAGGAAGGGAAGACAAGCGGAAGAGCGAGGATGGAGAAGAGCAAGTCAGGCGGTTGCGTTGAGTTGGCAGCGAGAAAAAAAAAGGCGAACCAGACTTAAAAGCGACGCTAAACTCACTAAGGGGAAGAGAAGGGCCCGAGCTTAGCTCCAGCGTGACCATACATTACACAAGGCAAAAATACACACAGAGAGATACATATACAGATACAGATACAGACTCATGCATCAGGAAGAGACCCAGAGAGGTATTGTTTGCTATTGCTGATGCAGGCGGCAGCTGTTACTTACTACTGCTGGCGCTCATGGGGGTGACGACGTTGGTGGTTCGGGTCTTCGGAGTAGGAGGCTCTTTGCTAAAGGACTGCTGTGTGGTAGCTATGGTTACGGCTGTTTATTTGTATTATTTATTCATGGGGAGCCACTGGCCGCTTACCGACTGCGTAGCAAGGCATACGGTGATAAGACAGGCTGCTTCTTGTGATTCAGAGGAAGAGAGCAGCCTCTTGACTTTCTTACTCTGCATGGATGGCTGGTTCGCCTTCCCTGAGGCGAAGTCATCCTCGGCCTAGCCAAACAAACGGCAGAGTCAATATATAAGTACGTCCGTCCCAGCCTTTAATAACCACTTGATGATGTGTTCTCGAGCATCAATGGATCTTCCGTAAGCACACTAGCTGTCCGTGATAGGCTTCAATTGCCTTGCGTGTCACGCACTTTCTCGGCAATCACAGCAACCTACTTCTAGTTGGGGTTTATATTTTCTTTGTCGAAGAGATAGAAATCCCTAGTTTTACGACAAGCCGTTATTATATGCACCTTTAATACTTCGGCTATAGGGCAAGTTCTGGGCCAGGGTATTGGTGTTCCAGCCAGGACTAATCTATCGCCACCAAGGACTGTTGTGCATTAGGGAGTCCTTGGGGTTCTATAAATGGCCTGAGAAACAAGATCGCTCTCTCATTATAGAAAGGCCGGGTCTCCAGATATTGTCGGCAACTATCTATGTAACGGAGCATACCATTGAATTATCGTATTTATCTCCATACATACTGTGTATAATCATGACAGAGTGCTTGATCTATATAGATACAGGTTCATCATTCGCTGTCTTTCCTCAAAAATTACTAAGTAAACATACGCATTGGGTAATTATCCTAATACTACACCTTACATCTCTTGCAATATTCTCGAAATTCCCTTCTCTTTCTCCTCCTTCCACAGCCAAACTTCAGCTCTCTCCATGTGTTGATTAAACTTTTTGTGATCCTTTTTACTCATATTACGTCATAACCTAAAAAATAAGCTTTTCACGGGGTTCTCAGCCCAAAAATTTATGACTAAGCAAAGTTATTTTTGTCACTTTTGCCTTTTTGCCCCTGAAGATGATTTTTAAAGGGAAAGCACAAGAGCAGAAAAGAAAAGAAAAATGTATCAAAGTAATATTAACAGGCAGCCATATATTGCCTCGCCCGTATAACGACATGTTTCATTTACTTTTGCTATAATACGTGGAATGCCGCACACCCAACGCCACACATGTATTAATCCGTGTACAGCCAGGAAAAGAATTCAGGTCGCAGTAAATGCAAAAAGTCAATAACTAGCAGCCAGCCAGTAACGATGTGGTAACAAACTATCATAGGTAGAGAGACTGTGCGGCAACAATGTCTCGTTTTATGAGTGTGAGGGCGGTTTCGAACTTGGTTTCCAGGTCGCTACTTCCCATCACTTTAGCCGCTTGTGCCATTTGTCGCATACACTCCTCAAGGCGCCGGAAAGCTCTGATCAAACTTCCCTCATAAACCTCGGTCATTTTGCTTCATGAGAAATAGCTAGTCAGCTGTCTGATTGAACTTGGCACGTTATGGGAGTTCCGGAACATGGAGAAGCTTACCAGATATCTGCAAAGGATTTACCCTTTGCCCACTCGAACATCACTTCCATAAGTTCCCATCGGAAGCTCTTCACATACTCGTCTTCATTCACAGGTAGTTTGGATTCCTGGGAAACTTTGGCAATGATTCTAGCCTGGGCTTGGATATCTCTGAGCGGTTTGGCGAGCTCCTCATTGGTAATAGCAGGAGTGTCCTTGGCATTTTCTTCGAAGACAAATACGCTTAGTGCTGCGGCGCATTGCTCAGGTGTGAGATTGTTGAAGAAACCGTTGAACAATAGCTCGCTGAGCATGAGTTCGTCACCACTGCTGATTTCACAAGCAACTCGAGCCTTGAGCTGTACGACTTCATCTTCATTGATGAACTGGAATCGGCGAAGTACTCGTTTGCGGCATTTCAACTCATCCATCTGAATTATTGACATGGCCTCGGTGATCTTCTTCTTCGTCTCCTTGATTTTCTTGACAAGCTCCACTTTCGCAGCATACTGGTCGTACAATTCTGGAAGCCGAGGAGAGTTGTGTAGTGGGTTAGATATTAGGCGTGACTCCAGAACCTCGATTTTCTAAGTTTCATTTTAGTACTGGGCGTTGCAATGAGAGAGTGTGGGAGGATTTCATACCCTTAGTAATCTCTTGAACTCATCATCCGTAATGTTCATATTTTCAATGGGGTCAAGGAGCGCCAAGCCATCGGGGAAGCGTTGCTGGATCTGCATAATCTGCTTCTTGACGGCCTTTCGGCTTTCTTCTGGTTTTAGGTTGCTGGGCATTTTGATTTTCACCATAGAAATTGAATGTATACAGTTGAGGAGGACGGGAACAACTTCCAGCTTCGAAGGCTCGCCCTTGTTAGCTGGTTTGACACCGGGTGGCAAGGGCTGAACACCTTTTGATTTTAGGAAAGAGTCCTCTGAAACTGGTAGTAAAACGTCTACTATATAGCTCTCACGAGGTTCGTACTCTTCACGCGGGGCGTTCTTTGGTGGTTTTCGCGCTTGGCAGTTGACTACCACTGACCATCCGAAATCATAGTCCTGATATTTAATGTGGATTAGACGTCCAGGTTTGAGAAACGAAACGCAATAATTGGGATGTGTTATCACAGCTCTCATATCAGAGTTGTAGGTATCAATTTTCTGTCGAAGGTCATAATATTCTCGTATTGTGCCTTCGTCTTCAATTGTCATCGCATCCCTAGAACTTTCGAGCTCGGCCAGTTCTGATGAAGTTCGTTAGCAAATCGTTAGATAAGATAAATTTAGGGTATAAAATATTCACCTTTTTCCAGACCAGAAACACTAGCTGTATTTTGGAACTGGTAGAAACACCGTTCAAGCATGAACTCAGGTGATATACCTTCCACACGAAGCAAATTGAGAATCATATTATAACCAAGATGGAAAGCTGAATTAAGCTTGTCCTGCTCTCCGCGAACAATATCCTTGGCAACAGGAGGGTCCATCTCTTCATCAACCATCATGATAACAAGACCACGGTCATCAAGGCCTCGACGACCTGCACGTCCGGACATTTGGACAAATTCCGAGGACGTTATCCATCTTGAGCTGACACCATCGAACTTGCGAACGCTTGTGAAAACAACGGTCTTTGCGGGCATGTTAAGACCAATAGAGAACGTTTCAGTCGCGAAGAGAACTTTTATTAGTCCTTCTTGGAAGAGAATTTCAATGGTTTCCTTGAGGATGGGCAGGAGACCTGAGTGATGGACACCAATACCGCGTCGGAGGAGGGGTAGGATATGTTGGATCTGGGGTAGATCCCTATCCTCTTCTGAGAGGATCTCAATGGCGCTGTTAAAAACCTTAGAGACCATCTCCTTTTCAGAGTTATCGTTGAATGCCAGTTTACTCATCTGTAGAGCAAAAGCCTCACACTCTCGTTTGCTGAAACTGAATACGATAACTGGATGGTAGTTTTTCATCATGATCATCTTGACGATTTTGTAGATATCAGATGGCCCATTCTTGTCTCCTCCTTTATTTGTCTTCTTGTCTTTCCCTTTCCCTTTCCTTTTAGCCATGGCATCCGCAGGGTCTGCTCCTTGCCTGTCTGCAATCGAGCTCATGGCCTTTTGGAAGTTCTCCTCACGGAACACACCTTTCTCATCAACAACAAGATGGATGCCCTCTGCTCCGGCAGGGAAAAGATAATGTTGAAGGGGGGTCGGACGGAAATCTGTATATACAACGTGGCATGGCTGGTTGTGCATCTTGGTAACCCACTCTGCAAACTGCATCGCATTCGGGATGGTAGCCGAAAGGAACACATATCTGACTTTGTCTGGCAGTAGGATAATGGTCTCCTCCCAAACGACACCTCGGGCTTAAGCAGACGTTAGTCATGTGCATTGTGCAAGAACGGTAGGCATGCTTACTCTTATCTCGCATGTAATGAATCTCGTCAAAAACAACCCAGGCGACCTCACGCATAATCTCGGAGCCTCGGTATAACATAGACCGCAAAATCTGCAGGAAAATTAGCTCCGCGTCCAACTGATTATTCACACTGTGATCCTACCTCAGTAGTCATGACAAGACAGGTAGCCGTGGGATTGATGGTGACATCACCGGTCATCAGTCCAACATCACCAAACTCAGCCGCAAATTCTCTGTATTTTTGGTTACTCAGAGCCTTGATTGGGCTCGTGTAGATCACCCTCTGGTTATTCTTCAAACACTGAGCAATAGCATATTCAGCAACCACGGTTTTTCCAGCACTAGTATGCGCAGAGACAAGGACACTCTCTTCCCGTTCAATAGACGCAATCGAGACTTGCTGAAAGGGGTCGAGGGTAAAAGGCCACACCCGCGCGGGCTTCTCCGGCGGCTTGTGCTGGGAGATGGGGATGTAGTCGTAGCCCGCAGGTAGGGCAACTTGATGTCGTACTTGATGGGAGAGCACCACAGCCTTCCCATCTTGCTGACCCTGAAATCCAGCAGACGCGGCAACTTCACGAGATTGTTCAGTTTCAAAGGTATCTGCCACCACCGGCTCTGGCTCCTGGTCAACCCGCAGGCGCTTTATGTCCGGCTGGTCATCCTGGACTTCTGCTTCTGCAGCATCACTCTTCTCCCCAGCGGGCTCGACCGGCTCTGGCGACTCCGTTCCGTTGGCTGTCGCTACATTTTCTGACTTGATGTCTCCGTTTGCTCGTCGCTTCTTGTTCCTGGCCTTTCTAGGTCTGGGGGGCTCGTTGGTGGCATCGTTCAAGCCCGGCTTGTCCTCGAACACGTCGAATAGGTCGTCCATTGCGTTAAGAGTCTAGCAGCTTCAGCGCCTATAAGCGTCTCTAGAGCTGCCTGAGCCTCTCTTTTGCACTGCCGCAGCGTCCCAATTCTTGCTTTTCTCTCCCTTGCTCTTCTGCCAGCTATCTGTTTCCAGGCGCATGTTCTACCCTCCCTCCATCATAAATTTTAAAGTTCCAATATATATTATATATATGGATAAAAAAAAAAAAAAAAAAAAAAGCTATCGGACTTAACTTACTCCGTTACCGAATTACCTCATCCTCACGTGATGATACCATACTTGCCTCTTTTTGGCGAAATCGTTCGATGCGTTTGAAGCTCGCCAGCATCTTTTATTCACATTCTCCGAAAACATCAAACGACACCAGCACCGCCGACAGTCAAAGTACGCAGCCAATTCGTGCTCAGGGACAGAGACACGCCAGCTGACGCCTTCTCCAGATGTTTGCCCGTTCTGCCATCCGCGCCAACACGGCCGCCTCCATCATTAGCCGTCGAGGCTTCCACTCAACTCGCACCCAGCTGGGCTCCGGCTTCCACTACCCAGAGGGCCCTCGCTCCAACATTCCATTCAACCCATTGACCAAGTTCTTCTTCCTCAGATACTGGGGCTTCATGAGTTAGCATTCCCATCTTCGCTCTCTGCAATGTCGCCTGCTCTTTGGTTAACCTATTGAAATAGTTACCGGGTTCACTCTCCCATTCGCCATTGCCGGTAAGTTCCAACGCATGCTCTTCGACAACACGTTTCAAACTGCTAATCACTGTACGTTATTCAGTCTGGCAAACGAAGAAGTCCCGTTAATCTCGATTCCCTCCTCGTCCTTCCACGCCGAGTCCTTGTTGCTATCCTAGAATCTCTCACAAATACCCCATCGCATCATGGGTGGCTCGGAATACCTGGTCAGCTTGTATAAAGATTAAATCAGAATTAAAATATTGTATTACTTCCGATATCTTTTGCTCTCTATATACGTTTATCTTATCTCTACATTTGCTCCTTGTTGGCTGCGTACTGGATAGTTGACTCTCGGCTCTGCTCGTTTGTAGTTTTGATGTCTTTCGAGATGCGATCATTGGCTGATCTTGATGGACACAAAAAAGTAAAAATTTCCTGGCAACCAAAACCCATACAAACCACCAACTAGAATATGAATATCAATATAGCCGACCGATAAGCATCTGCAGCATGATTACATGCTCTATATTAATTACTGCATGGTAAAGATTCGTCTCCGGTCACGATGCGCAACCTCAGGAATATTCGTTTTTCGGAAGTCCCGCTGCTCGGTGGGCTTCCGTTGGCCGCCACTGCGTGGGATGCCTCAACGGACTCGCTGATATGCGCATTTGGTCCGGCGGAGGATAACGCAGTGATCGAGCTGAAGAGAAAGCTGCAGCATGAAGATGCCAATCCCGAGGCGCTGCCTGGGGACATGTCCCTAATTGCATCCTGGGACGCGCCTTGCCCAAACCCGGACATGAAGTGTGATCGCATATTGTCCTTGCAGTACTTCCCCGACACCTTGATAATATGCTTGGTGCTTGAAGGAGGAGATATTATTGTCGTTCGTGAAGAGCCTCAGCCAGGAGAGGACAAGATTGAAATTGTTGGCAGCGTTGATGCCGGTATATCTGCTGCCGCTTGGTCTCCTGACGAGGAGCTGCTGGCCATCTCTACAAAGGCAAACACTCTACTCTACATGACCAGAGACTTTGAAGGCGCTGCGGATATTGCTTTAAGCCAGGAAGATCTCAAGATATCCCAACATGTCTCCGTGGGCTGGGGAAAGAAAGAGACTCAATTCCAGGGGAAACGAGCGAAAGCTCTTCGAGATCCAACAATGCCAGAGAAAGTTGACGAAGGAAAATTAAGCGAGTTTGATGACGGGAAAACCACTCTCAGCTGGAGAGGCGATGGTGCATATCTCGCTCTTAATAGCATTGAGACTGGCATTCGTCGAGTTATCCGTGTCTATTCTCGAGAAGGTGCATTGGATAGTGTGAGTGAGCCAGTAGACGGACTAGAGGGTGCTCTAAGCTGGCGGCCATCGGGCAATCTCATTGCAGGCATCCAACGGCTTGATGATAGGATCGATGTTGTCTTCTTTGAAAGAAACGGGCTGCGACATGGCCAGTTTACTCTTCGGTTATCAAAGGAGGAACGACTAAGCTGGGCATCCAACATCACTCTCGCCTGGAATGCTGATTCAAATGTGCTTGCAGTCCAGTTCAAAGATAGGATCCAGCTTTGGACAACAGGAAACTATCATTACTACCTCAAACAAGAAATTTCACTATCAATCGATGGGGCATCACCACTTTGCACGTTCCGCTGGCATCACGAGAAAGCGATGCGTTTCACCACAAGCTCGCCAAGTATGTATAGTTCAAGTATCCTCTCCTCTGTTTGGGTATCAAGAAAATTGCTAACATCGTTTGAAGCCTCGTTGATTGATACCGATTGGGTATTTGAGGTTGCGGCTGGTTCGACTATCATTCCTAATGACTTTGGTTCTACCGCTGTAATCGATGGATGTAGGTCAAATATACTAGTCTATCTCTAGAAGACAATTAATTAACCGATCTGTATAGGCACCTTAAAGTTGTCTCCGTTGAAGGTAGCAACAGTGCCTCCCCCGATGGCACTTTGCGAGCTTACCCATGACTCAAACATTATTGATGTGGCGTTTAGCAAGACGAGCGCAAAAATTGCTATCCTCAGCGCAGCTTCATTTACGATATACACTTGGAATCTCAAGTCCACCTCTCCCCTTGAAGCAACACTATACTCCTCACATGCCATTTCTCCGTCCAGGCGCCCTAGGCTAATCGCTTTTCTTGGTGAGGACGATATCTACGTAGTAACGCAAGATGAATTTGGCGGAGAAGTTGTTGAGTGGACAGGGTTACATTCGAATGCTTCCAAACCAGTCTTTCTTCCTGAGGAGGGAGTTCATATATCCTCTATTTTCCCCGATTCTGAGCAGGAGAAACTTTGGATTGCCCACATATCTCCGAGCAAACGAGTCAGAAGTCATAGCTTTGTTCGAAACAACGGAGCCGAGGACTCTTCCGTTATTACATGGCAAGATGGGCCCGCAACCGACACCAGCTGGGCCCGTGCTATCCAAGTTCCTAGCGGGGATGTGAGTAAATTATACCATCCAGAATGTTGAACATTTTAGCTAACTTGACGTAGGATATATTGTTCACGCTTTCTCGGTCCGGAGCTCTGTATGCCAATAAGCGATTGCTCACCAAGAGCGTTACATCTTTTCTCCTGACTTCTGCCCATCTGATCTATACAACTGCGCAGCATCTACTTAAATTTGTTCACATAACTAAAGTTGATGGTATAGCCAAATATCCTAACCCAGCCAAGCTATATATATATATATATATATCTAACGATTTGGTGCAGATCTTGAAATACCAGGGGATACCCCAGAAGAGGATGAGAGGTGCCGAAGCATTGAGCGTGGAGCCAAATTAATTACTGCCATGCCCTCTAAGCTCGGCCTTACCCTGCAGATGCCTCGAGGGAATATAGAAACAATCTACCCTCGAGCTTTTGTCCTGGCAGGTATCCGTGGCTACATTGAAAACAAGAAATACAAATCAGCCTACCTGGTTTGTAGAGCACAGATGGTGGATATGAACATCCTCTATGACTATATGCCCGAACAATTTTTGGATAATATACCGCTCTTCCTTGATCAAGTGAAGAGGGTCGAGTTCATCGACGAGTTTCTATCTCGCCTAAGGTAGGTTTATTATCCGTCTATGTCACTGCATGGCCCAATTTATCTAACCACATCTCATGATAGAAACGAAGATGTAACGAAGACAATTTACAAGGATACTCTTAAGCTTTCGCAGCCGACAGAAGCCTCTCGAGGCAACGCTCCCGGGTCAGATCAGGCGCCGGCTATCTCCTTCGGTAAAACTAAAGCTGAGAACAAAGTGAACAAGATCTGTGATGCGTTTATAGCCGTCCTTTCTTACCGAATTGATACCAATCTTCAAAATCTGGTCACCTCGCACGTTTGCAAGTCTCCCCCAGATCTTGATGCTGGGCTCAGCCTTGTCGCCAAATTACGCGGTACGTCCCAACCCCTTCATACTGAATTTCGTAGTATCTAGCTAACGCTGAAACAGAACGGAACGCAGAACAGGCAGAGGAAGCAGTAGAGCATATGTGCTTCCTTACAGATGCCCACCAACTTTTCAATTATGCACTAGGTCTATATGATCTTGAGCTTACGTTGATGGTGGCTCAACAAGCTCAACGAGTAAGTGAATACATAGTATGAAACCATAAAATGCTATACTAATTGTATTTCAGGACCCGAGAGAATACCTCCCATTCCTTCAGAAGTTACATGGTATTTCAGAGCTTCAACGCAAGTTTGAAATTGACAATCACCTTGGTCGTTTCAATAAAGCATTGAAGACTCTACATGCATTGGGCTCATATGATGATCTGAAATTGTACACAATCAAGCATGGCCTTTATAAAGATGCATTGGAGTTGTATAAGTACCAGCCAGAGCTTTTGCGGGATATGACCCAATTGCACGCAGACTACCTATACGACCAGTCAAACTACAAAGAAGCTGCTATTGGTGAGATTCCCTCCTTCTCTTGTCTCTAAATGAATGCTCATTCTAATTTTTTTCTACAGCTTACGAATCTCTTGGAATGTTCAAGCCTGCTTATGAATCGTACAAACTGGCACATATGTGGCGAGAATCACTTTACTGTGCAGCCTTAGTTCCGCTATCAGAAACCGATATGAATGAATTAGCCACATCCCTAGCCTCCACGCTCACAGACGAAAGTAAAGACTACGTCTCCGCTGCACGTATTCAATCGGACTACCTTCATGATATTCCTACCGCAGCACGACTGCTTTGCAAAGGTTCTCAGTTTGGCGACGCATGTCGGCTACTTGTCCTACACAACCATCAAGACCGAGTCTCCGAAATTGTTGACCATGGCCTTACAGAAGCAATGGGAACTATGACCGAACTTCTAGCAGACTGCAGAAGCCAACTACAAGCACAGGTGCCACGGATACAGGAATTGCGAGCTAAACGCGCTGCTGACCCTCTGGGCTTCTATGGTGGTGACCCAACTGGTGCTGGCGCTGGAGACGTTGATATCCCTGACAATATTTCTCTTGCGCCAACGGACGCAAGTACAATGGCAGGTAGGAGTTTGTTCACCCGATATACTGGGGGAAGCAGTACGTCACGGGCTAGTAGCCGGATGAGGAAGAGAGAAGAACGCAGGCGTGCAAAGGGGAAGAAAGGGACTGTTTACGAAGAGGAATACCTCGTAAATAGCGTGAGGCGGCTGATTGAGAAGGTGAACAGCTCAATTGAGGAAGTGGAAGCGTTGGTCCAAGGAATGCTGAGAAGGGGGATGCGCGAACGAGCAGCTGTAGTGGAGAAGAATCTTGATGAAGTTTTGAGTATGTGTAGGGATTGTCTGAGTGATGTCTTCGAGACCCCTGCAGAGGCCAGTTCGGATGCGCAGGATAAGGAAGATGAACCTCCTGCTGGTGCGATTTCAAGTGGGGAACGAGTTTATCTGGAGAGCATGGAAGCTCTCAGGGGCAAAGGGAGGGAACCCCCTGTGGTCAAGGCTTTTAAGAAGCTCTCTTTATTGGGTGGTTAAAAACAGGGGACCAAAATCAAATGGATGATGTGCAATGTATATACGGCTTCCGCCTCTTGTACGTTATAGCCTAACATGAGAAAACGAATATTTCGATATTTATTTCTTTTCTTATTAGAAAGATATACTCCATCAGTAAAGGTATAAGAAAAAAGAAAAAAATTGGAAACGCCTCACAATCAAGCAGCGATGGTCAATATCTCGCCAGACTCGCTGACAAGATGCTCCTTTTTACTAATTGGACCACCACCAACGCCAGTCAGGAACACTCTTCCTACACCCCTGGAAAGTAGCTCGGCCGCTCGAGGGTCGATGGATTGTTCGAGCAAGTTTGTGTTCTTGATGTCTGCCGATTCCCAGCCCTCGGTTGCGGATGTCAAGATAGACTTGAATGTTCCCAGGACGCAATCAGCATCTTTTTCTAGGTAGTATATGACGGCATTTGGGCCAGCATCAAAGGTATATGCACAGACTGAGCGTCCAGCTGCACGATTTATGTCATGGACAGCCCTGATCGCGGCACGAGACGTATCGTTCAAGTAGAAGGTTGGTGGCCAGGTATCCAAGTTTGTGGCATGGAAACCATTGCTGTCTCTCATTGTGATTTCTGCAAAGGTCTCGAAGTTGCGCTCCTGGATTGACTTCTCAATTGCAGTCATACGTTCCGGCACGATGGACTGAGCACGGCTGGGAAACAGGGTTGATGTAGCAACGGTCAACTGCATTCCTTCTGTGCTTGGTACTTCTTTCTGTGCACCACTGACCACCAGAATAAGGGCTCGCATCTCTGGCCAATGACTCTCGGGGGCAACTTGTTCGGCTATACTGTCACTGCCATCCTCCTTTTCGCCAGCTCTCCATGCAACGTACCCACCCATTAGCGAACGACAGGCAGAGCCGGATCCCTTGCGGGCTATTTTGCTCAATTCACTAGCCGACTGTGGTAACTGGTATAGATCCGCAACAGCGCGTACGAGAGCAGCAAATCCAGCAGCTGAGCTGGCCAGTCCAGCTGCCGTGGGGAAGTTGTTTTCAGACACAATGCGGAGTGGATAGGTAGAGAGCTTGGGTAGAGATGGGTCCGAGGATTCAATTTGTTGCCTGAGAGACCTTAGGTCTGCAAGACAGGCAAGAGTTCGCGGTGAGCCCTGGATGCTATGTGGTTTGTTGTTGAGGGTGAGGCTGTCGCCGTCTGCGGTGGGGTACTTTGAAGAGCATGATGCCGTGGTGTATGCGCGAAGAGAGCTCTGGGACAGTGTCACCGAGAGTGAGGAATTGGTAGGCAGATTGAGAGTGGCGTCTCTCTTTCCCCAGTATCTGTACAGGAAATTGAAGGTGGTTAGATATTGTCCATGAACGGTTTGCTTCTCTGCTTCACTCCCGCACCGGTCAGAGGCTCTGCTTACTTGATAACAGCAATATTGACCGGCGCAGTTGAGCTGGCACGGTAAACTCTCTGGTCATTAGCTGCAGCCATCTTCGGTCTCCTGGCCGTATGGATCAATCCTGTGTGCAAATTGGAAGAAGCCTGCGGGTAAAGTTGGGGTGGTAGTTACTTGGTTGGGTTTTGGGTCCTTTTTTTTTTTTTTTTTTTTTTGGCGGGGTTGGGATGAAGGCGTTCGGAGGGAGCAGACCGACTCCAAATATTCAACCAAACCTAGTGGTTGCTAATAACGCTACTATTGATTGACCTGCAGACGCCTTAACCAAGTGATTGAGCGAAGAGTGACTGTTACGTTGATTGGTCGATGGAGACCTCCAGTAAGTGACAGCTGTATTCATATGCTACGAATAATCCATTGACCTGAATGAAGGATTTGGATACTAGTAAGTCAACACCATCAAGCCTGCGAGGCAAAAGACACAGATTAGTATAAATATTCGAGGCATTTTTGATAATTCCTCTCTTAGAGTGCCGACATCGATGAATGGCTTGGCTTCGCCTGTTCTGCGGTCGAGATACCCGCCACCTTCTATGGCCTATGCGGATTCAAATTCACTCATAGAGTCTGGGTTTTCGGAGGAATCAGCATAGAGGTCCCATGAGGCTGAATATTTTAGCAAGACACCATGCTGTCTGATTATTGTCAACTGCGTCTCCCCGCCTTTGAGGCTGGAGTATCATGCGATTGAGCGTCCTTGTAGTTTTTTGTCGACGCCCTCGGAAAAGGCGACAAATCAGTGAGCAGCATGGAGGATTGGATTTTATATATGAGTCTTCCAGCATACCGTCATCTAAATCCCCAAATTTAACAGTAGGCCTTGCTGATCCGAAGCTTGATAGAAATATGTTGTGTGGATATTCGTCTATCTGCATGCTTTTAGAGTCGGGTTTAGGAAGTTTGGGGAATTAGCCAAAGAGACAAGCCGGCGTGAACGCACTGGGTGTTCTGGAAAACTAGATGCGCTTTGAGGACCGATTTCGTAAAAATGGCTGGTAGATTAGAGTTAGAGAATAGTTCCCCGTACGCGCAGTCACCACAGTCACCACATATCCAGTCCATCCATTCGAGACTATGCGCTTGTTCATGGATAGCGGCGAAGAGGACTAATCTTCCACATAGCCCTCCTCAATAATATCCATAGCTTAGTGAATATATCTGCATTCCTGTATTGCCGAGTGCTGGTGCACTCGTAGCGAGCGGTCTAACGCCCGGCCTTTTATTGCAACGCTGCTATGCCAGTAGAGAATTCAAATACATCAAGGTCTGCCGACTAGAGGATAGTTTGATATACAATTTATTGGCTTCGGGCTTTCCTGATCGCAAAAAGGTGGTATAATGGCAGCTTTGTAAAGTGATGGCCCTTTGAGAATCTCAAGGAGCTTGTAAAATGACTTTCGGCTAGTCAATGTATGGCTGATAAGTTTGCCATATAGCCAAAAAATTGCAAAAATTGCACTTGCGAGAGATCTTGTTACTTTTCCAATAAACCTGTAAACAAGCAGTAATATTTGATAGAGAGATGAGGCTGGAGACATAAACACCGGAAGGCTCAAGGTTTGTGAAGTTTAATATACAACCTTATGATTAAGCTAGAGCTTAAATTGACGACATGGACTATATATAATCCGTAAATTGAAGTTAGAGGTACCTGCCCGTAGGAACCTTTATTGGCATTCCAGTGGTTACCTAGGCACTTATCAAGAGAAGTTGGGCGCTTCTTTTTAACCTGCAGCTATCGGGAATGGAGTAGTTGCTTATCATCAATTACAATCCTCTGCACCTAGTTACGACTGATAACCCTTTTCCGCGATTAACCCAGCCATGGGCGCCAGCGTTAGCACACCAGTTCCACCTCCAGAGACCAAGTCGGCGCCTGACGGCTGTCCAGTTGACCACAAGACTCGAGAGATCTGGCTGGCTCAGAACAAAAACCCCCCACCGCACAATACTCCTTCTGAAACCCCTAATGAACGTCCAGCTAAGCTTCAAAGGGCTCTTTCTACGGACCGCGAAGTCAGTAGTATCCCACGCGCATTACCATCTAGCAAACCAGCTTCTGAACGATCACCTCCTACATCTCCATACGCGCAACAACCAGCAGTAACGGTTGCATCACACGGAATACCCTCAAATGCGGAATCTGAAACGGGCACCGATGGCAAAACCGGGAACTGGATATATCCGTCTGAACGGCAATTCTTTGATGCGTTGATGCGCAAAAATAACACTCCGTCGTCTACCAAGAATGCCACCGAACTCGCTACGTCTGTGGCATCGATAATACCAATACATAATGCTGTGAATGAAAGAGCTTGGGCGGAGATATTAGATTGGGAGTCAAAAGGGCCTGTGTCAGATCCTGGAAGCACAAAATGCGGCGGGCCAAAATTATACTCATTTCGGGGATTAGGTGCCGAGACTCAATATCTGAGCCCTCGTGCAAGATGGAATGGACTATTGGGTTATCAACTTCCTTTTGACCGGCACGATTGGGTTGTTGAGCGATGCGACGGCACAAGGTTAGAATATGTTATTGACTTCTACCAAGGAAAGTCCGATCGGAAGGGAGATGGAGGGAAGCTGAACTTCTTTCTCGATGTTCGGCCGAAATTAAATTCATGGGAAGGTTTAAGAATGAGAGCTAGCCGGTTCGTGGGCCTATAACTGGCTGCAGGATTTGCGATAATGATACTAAGGCAATGGCGCCTGAGATTGTAATATATGTGTAAGATATGTATATGTACGGAAGGGGAAAAGCAAAATATCTTAGATGATTCAACTCCCGTCACATCACGGCCAAAGCAAGTGGGGTATTAATATAGCTGATGAGCTCTAGATCCATAGCAGATTAGGAATGGTGACATATGAAATGTAAAACAAGTGGTAAATATAACGCATGCGCCGTAAACTCCTCAGCAAGCAGTATGGGGAAATGGTACAAATCGGAGACTTGACTAGCCGGTCTACCTTAGTATCGGGTTACTCAACCCAGTACAACGGCCAACACAATGATAATTAGGATGATAGCCATGATAACTAGCAGGCAGCACATCTTGTTTCGAGCATTCTTCTGATGCCTGCTCGCAGTCCGAAGTTCCCGCTCTGCTCCTCGCGTGTCGTCTCTTGTGTTGTACACGTTCTCACTGATTATGTCGATTTGTCCACCTTGTTCCCGAACAATGTGGCCAACATCTCGGAATAGTTCGTTGAGTTCCCCGACACTCTGTTCAATGTTCCGGATTTCAGCCTCGCGTTCGATGATGAGTGCTTCTTGGAAATCAACATCATCTTGCGAGGCGAGACGAGGCTGTTCTTGGAGTTGCTGTAAACCCTGGTTCTCCTCGCCTTCAGGGACGGTGTGCGCAGTAGACTCCTCTATAGCTGTTCGTGCGGCTGCAGTGGATGCGCGTTGTTTCTCGAGGGCGCGGCGCTGGACAGCTTGAAATTCGTCAAGAGTAGATTTGAATTTGGATGAAAGGTTGTCTTGGGTCCACTTTTGAGCGGGCTAGGAAGGCTATCATATCAGTAAAACAGAGCACAACATCGTAACTATCAAGTGCATTGCCGATTGCGCTTACAGTAACATCCTTCCATGCTTGTATCTTCTTGATCCCTTCTGCAGCCTCCCGGAACCCCTCCCTAGTTTCCTCTAGTAGGTTGTGTACTCGCTCTCTCGCACGGTCTGTATCACGCTTCGTCCCGAGAAGCGATATTTGGTTGGATAGCCGGGTGGTATTAGAGGTTAAAGTGAAGATCTTATTAGAAAGAAAGTCCGTCAAGCGTTGAAATTCCGGGTCGTCGTGATACTCAGAGTCCGCTTGGCGCCTGCCTGACGGCTGCGCTTCCAAGGACGATAGTCTATCGAACGACATCCCAGCTATTATGCGAACCTGAAGCGAAGTGAGAAGGCAAATGGGTAGGAGGAAAAGAAGCCGAGATGTGTGTTATAGAGATGGATGGAAGAGCGAGATGCGGCTTGTTGCTTGTTGGTTGAATGTTCCTTGAGATGGAGCAGAGAGCGTCATCATAGAGGCATGAGACGTGTGTCATGTGACAACTGGTAATTGGCTAGATTTCCCGCCGCTTAACCTTCCATTCTTGTTCCAGCCTCTATTTACCAATCGCGAGTATAAGCGCTGTCTTTACCGCTAAGCGCCACAACAGGCTATCAAGGGAGACATCGGAGCGTAGCTGGAGCAATGTATAGAAGTACATGCTGGCTGCTTGGAGTATTACCAGTCTTTATTAATAAGTACGGCTACATATTTTGACAATAACCGCCGTAGACCCAAAACGACCACGGGTGCCATTTACTCTTAGCGCTATCGTAACCCCTACCGGTAGGATTGCTGGGGTAATAATGCTGTTAATCAAGCCAATAAGTTGAGTTGCTGCAGTATGTAGTAATAACATGATTAAGCTCGCCAACCACTTGTATCTCTTCGACCTTATTCCTCCTACAATGCTGAAAGACAAAAAGTAGCATTGACTTACATAATCAGGTACTTTCTGCGCCATATGAGGCTGGCGCCGAGCTAAGTGGCTTTCCTTGTTGACTTTCATTTCGCGAGGAAAAAAAAAAAAAAAAAAAAAACAGCGAGGTCGTGATGAAGAGCAAACCACAGAGCTGTTGAAACCGAAACCCATTACCAATTTGAATTTATTCCTGGACTAAACCGACGGGTACAGAGTACTGCCTACGCTAGTTGCTCTATGTGGATGTTTCAGCTGGCTATATACCATTAGCCATCCAACTCCTCTTGTCTTCCAACATCGAGCTATGCGATAACCACCAAACTATCTCCTGCGAGAAGCTCTCCAACCGCCATGGCAGCGCCCGTCAAGTCAAGGCCGTATAGACGGATATTAACGTCTACACTTCATAGAAGATTTGTACACGCTTCAGCTTTTGTGCTCCTTGCGTGTTATGTGATTTCATTTTTCATTGGGGTTAAGTCATCGTGTAAGTGCCAATTTGGACGCGCATTGCCAGAACTAGAACATCCACTAACTCCTTCACCTCAAGTATTTTGGTCATGGTTTCCTCTCGGGCCCTGTGGAGTTCGAGCTCTTCTTCTTTTCGTTTCGGGGCTATGTGTGTTTATACTACGGGTCGGGCAGATGCACGTCGGTGTGCGTATCGCAACCTCTCATTTTCACAATCTCAGACTTGCTATCCTCTCTTTTAACTCCATACAAACCGTCGTCTGGTACCTGTTCTCAGCATGGTGGTTTAGTGAAGTTTATAAATGGTCTTCCTCGGCTGATGCTCAATTGAACTGGGTGAATCCCGGAAAGTAGGTGATGCAAACGGATGCATTAGCGTTGATTAAGGACTGAATCTAACACTTTGGGAAACCAGGTCATATGAACGATCACACCTGAACGAACGACCGATATATCTTCATTGTTTTTTCATTATGCTGGCTCTGGTCCAGTCATCAATGCATCTCTACTTTGACATGGATGAGGTCCCTGTTCCTGTTGCGAAGCGAAGTCCCTTAACGACAAGCCGGAGAACGCATCGACTGGCCCCTCTCTCTGTGCAGTTTAGCAACATTGCGCCAAATATTCTATTTGAATCGGCCATCATTGGCTCTACGACTGCAGTTATAGGTCCAATACTCTACATGCTCTTCTTCCGTCGGACCGCCTGGAGCTGGACGCTTTACTTTGCAAAGCTGTTTTGGAACTTTCCTCGATCAGCAGCTGATCCACCCGGTCTACTTCCACCGTCCAATATAATGTTCCACCTGCGGTCTGCAACATCAGGGTCTCTGCTTGTGATGCTATGGCAGATATCAAATTTCTTGTTCTCTGCATTCCTGGGTCAGGCGCCGTTGAAGAAGGGCAATCCACTCACACATGGTGTAGCAGACCCTAATGGAAGTCTCCTTAATGGACTTAAGTCAAAAAAGGAGACAGTGCTAGCCTTTGCCTTTTGGGAGCTTTGCCTTATCAGCCAAGAATTTCCAGACAGACGGAAGGAAATATTCAAAGATATTGATAGAAGCGGAGGCTCAGCGTGGAGTCAGATATTAAAGGCATCAGAGGACATTCTCAACGGAATTACATCTAGAATACAAGAATATCAAAACCCTCAGCCACAAGCTACAGGCGCTACCGATGGCCCAAAGGAGTCTGGGCCAAAAACACAGGAGATGGTACAAACTCTGCCTCGAATCACACAGCCATCCAAGAACGAGAATATTTTACTTGCATCACCCAAACCTAACACACGGTCGGAAAAATTTGAGGCTGCGTTTGGCCCCGTAGCTAAGTCTTACGGACAATCACAGGATTGGACGCCTGCAGCAAAGGCCAGAGCTCGTGCAGCTATCACTCACGCCTCCAATGCCCTGTTAAGTCCCGAGCAAAAGCGCACTATATCCAACTCGGCACAGGAATTAAAGCTCCTGACGAGTCCTCCGAGTGCAAGCGGTCCACCTAACCCCATAATACAACAGTTCATGAAGTCCCCAGTTGGATTACCTTTCAGGCAGTCATTCGCGAACCGCCTACGAGGGATTGCACTAGGCTCCCCGCATTCCAAACTTGCACCCATTATTGATGCCACGGAGTCTCTCAAATGCCTGCTTATAGCCAGTTTAGAGGAAGATCAGTTCGGCAAAGTCCAGACTGATGTTCCTTCTGTGGTTAAGCTGTTTACAAAAACGATCATGGCTCTAGAGTCACTGGTTGGTAAGGACGGGCTGAAGCCGCACTGGAGCGAAGTTGACTCAGAGAACTTGGATGGAGTGCAACATTCGCGATCAGTAGAGCAGGTTGAAATTGTGATTAATGCTCTTAAAAATGGGTTATCCGAACTATTGGCGGCGTTCAGCTTATATTTGAATGAGGTTGGTGTTGTAGGACAGGATTTGCAACTAGCAAGAGATGCGGCGAAGATAACTGATGTATAAATGAGAGCAATGCTAGATGTTATAATACTCTTTATTTAAATCATCGACAGGTTTGTGTTCTTTCATAAGAACCCTATTTACTGGTGTCATTTGTAGGCCGTCAGTGGAAGTTGCAATGCATAGTATTTTGTCAAGTAATACTTACTTCATTATATATTATACTAGTTTTGAAGGAATGTCATTTATTTACTAGCCATTTCTAACCGGAAACAATCAAAAGCAGTTCTCTCTGAGTGGTGTAACAAGGGGACAGCGGCCTATAATTAGGTTTATTTAGGCCGGTAGATGTGATTATATACATGACTGAACATTTGAAGTCATAATCGAATGAAACAAAGCTCATAATGCTGCATTCCCAGCAACACGCAATAGCCATCTTACATCATTTGCCCAGCCGCCTTCTTCGTCCGCGGGGATAATCTTCATGGTGGTTGAAAATTTCTCGGTGTCAGAACCGGGGTCATCATTTCTTTCCGTTCCTGAGTTAGATGCAGTTTCTAGCTGGTCTGTAGGGTTTAGCTCAGTTATTTCTTGTGTGTTGCTGTCAACATTGAGGTTTACTCTCTGTCCTCGCCGGTAGGAACCATGAATGACAGGTGGCTGGACTGATTCGTCTTCGGAGCCAAACACGGTCCATTCAACTAACCTATCTATCCATGAACCTAGGCCGAAGCCACGCTCCCGAGTGAGACGGTGCACCTCAATTTCGCTAATCTCTTCGTCTTCAGAATCATCCTCGCTTAAATCGGACTCATAGTATTCCTGAGATGCAAATGGAAGCGTGCTGTTTTGCCCAGTTTCATTATTATCGATATTGCCGTTTTCTGGTAAATGGGTCTGCAAAGCAGCTAATTCTTCCCGGATTGACTCATCTAGAAAATCAGGAACCAGCCCAGGAATGTCCCTTGATCGAGGGGTGACGATACCGGACTGATGAGAATGGCCTGTAGGGAAAGATGGTGTCATAGCAAGGTCAACTCGACTGGAGCGTTTGCTTGCTGCATGAGAATGTGACCCCCTGCTTGACTGGGCCAGAGGGGTCGACATTCCCGACCGGCGACCTTGAAAGTCCGATCTCCCACGACTATGGGTTTTCCGTCCATCTTCGTCATGTGAAACGAGACTTGTTGAACTTTCTCGTTTGACTAACCATGACTGGCCCTTTTCTTCACGAGTTGATGACGCCAGCGCCAATCCAGTCCGTAGTATCCATTCTCCATCTTGGATCCGGGGTGTAGATGTTCCGCTAGATCCCATCATTCCGCTTCGCGGATTGTAGCTCTTAGATCGTTTGTGATGGCGAAGTTGTTGATGATGTAGTGGCCCTGCAACATCGAGTGCATATAAACGTGATTCACTCAAAAGCATTCCTTGAGAGTCTTTCTTCTTTCTCGCAAGGTCCGTCTGGGAGACATTTCGCGATTGAGATAGAAGTGACGGTGTTGCAGGTACAGATACGCTGGAGAGATATGAGCTGGTCATAGTATGGGGCTGATATGTACTCTGCTCGGTGTCTATTCCCGCCCTATCTCGGTTGACAAAGGAAACGGGGTTTTCATCCTCGGCATCGAGAGGGAACCGGGAAGTTAATGGTGCCATGGAAATGTGTTGTAACGATGTGTGGGAGCGGCGGGAGCGAAATCCACACGATTCGGAGTCAGGTAATGACTATTTAGAGATGTTGGGTGTTAGATACTCTTATACCCTACAGCAAATGGGTATTACGAACCTCCATCGTGGTAGTTATAAAAGGGCCGTCTGTATGTAGAGCTCGGCCCAGGGGAATGGAAATACTCAACAACTGCTAGTAGGAACAAGTCTTGCCAAATTGTCAATAACCAAAGAGTCTTCCAAGTAGTTGAGTCCTTATCTAGTCACAGGATAAGTTGAACTTTTGATACAGGTTTTGGGCGTGGGGAGAAAGCACTAGGCGCTAATCCTAAAACGGATAAGCCCCCATACAGTGCACAGACCATTAAGCTTTATCGATAAGCACCCGACAGGAAGAGCACGTGAAGGTACCTCGCCCGACTATGTATAAGTTGCGGGTGAAAGAAAGAAGATGACATTGCAACATGAAGGAGGGCTTGATGAATAAAAGATATAACTAAAGAGAAAGCAAACGCTCTGACCCCGAATAATCACATTTTGAATATGCTCTGCCCTTTGAAGTGGCACTTTAGCACAGCAAGATCCAAAAGGTGAAGGTTCTAGTACAAAAGGGGTCGAGTAACACTCAGACAATTCGGCCCTTCTGCACTACGAAGGATTGAATAGCCGATATCGCAGCCCAGAGTCGGTTTTCAGCTTCTGGGAACACCAGAGATCGCTTTCCATAGAAAACCTCATCACTGACTTCCTCGGGGTGCCGAGGCAGACAGTGCATGAAACGCCAGCCCTCGTTAGCTCCTCCACGCCTTGCGAGCTCGCTGGTAACCTGGAAATTTTCAAACGCCTTCAAGCGCTGTAGTTTCTCTTCTTCTTGTCCCATTGATACCCACGTATCGGTTACAATCACATCTGCCTTCTTGACCGCTTCTTCGGGCGAATAGGTCTGCGTAAGGGAACCGGGAGTTCGGACACCTTCCCCTGCATGTTTGACTAGGTCAACAATATGAGTGGGCATCTCATAGCCTTTGGGAGTGGCAACAGCGACATCCACACCCATTTTAGTTGCTCCAATTGCGAGGTCAAACAGCACGTTGTTTGCGTCTCCAACCCATGCGATCTTCAACCCTTCCAGCCCCAGAGACGACGACGTACTCTGACCTGGAGTCAACTGGGGTGCAAAGGTTTCTTTGATTGTGATGAAGTCGGCTATGGTTTGCAGTGGATGGAAGGTGTCGCACAAAGCATTTATCACCGGAACGGCTGAGTGCTTGGCGAGATTGGCCACGTCGGAGTGTGGACCAACACGGGCAACAATACATGATACCATGGAGGAGAGAACTACTGAAGTATCGTAAAGAGACTCATTAACCCCTAATTGGATATCATCTTTTCCGAGAAACATCGGATGACCACCCATCCGTGTCACCGCCGCTTCGGTGGAAACTCTAGTTCGCGTGCTCCGCTTGTGGAAGACCATGGCAACTGTTTGGCCTGATAATACACCTCTGAGAGACTGCGGAATTGACCCGGATTTGATTGCCTGCTTATGGGACAGGCCATTTCGAACTAGAGCTGTGAACTCAGCTGGGGTAAGGTCTGCTATCGAGAGGAGGTGTCTGGGTGGTAGGGCCGAGGGAGCAGCGTATGTTCGAGACTGAAGCTTTGCAACGTTCCCAATGCCTCTTCTTCGAAGAATGGAATGCATCTTTATTTGATCTGTATATCTCCGAGTTCAATCTGACGGCCTTGATTGCTAACGTTGAAGTTATGGCTGTGACTGCAAGGGTACTTGAAGTCAATAAATTAGAGCAATATAGAGAGAAACGCCCGGTCAATCAGACTAAAGAAAGGACAGTCAAAAAGGTAAGCAAAATGTTTTGCCTTGCTCAGCTGTCCTCTCTCAATGTTTGTGCTACTCCAAAAGAGTCATCAAGCTTGAGAGAAAGAAACGCTTCAATATTGGGTTTCATTACATAATCGGAATAATACTGTGGAGCCCCGGTCACGCGCGCGCTAACGCAAGCGGGAAAACCGCAGGCGGCGCTTCTCGGCCCATTGGTCCTCATCGCTTGTCGTCATCGAACAGTTGAGAGAGACGACATGCAACCCTGGAGCGTTGAAAGCTATGGAGTGTTTGCTTCGATAAAACATACCTGAGACCGCTCTTAAGTCAGATAACAATGACCAACACTACGGTCAGCCCTCCACCAGGGGAATGGCAATCTCCACAGCTATCTAGCCGCCGGGAGGCTGTGGTAGACCACGATCACGACCCAGCTCTGTCGGAAACCACACCACTACTTGCACACAGACACGAAGGCCTACAGGAGGACGAAGATGATTTTATAGACTCGATATCTCGGCAGAAGAACCGTGGGCTGCGATGGCCTACGGTGATCGCACTCGTCGTTCTCTGTCTCTCAGTCATTGCCATTCTAATTCTGAGATTTGCCGCGCCATCAATGATGAAACAATATGCCCAAGAAGCCACAGTTTTCAAGCCAACCGGACTGTCCATCACAACTTTTACTCCCTCTGGTATAAAAACGAGGGTGCGTGGTACCGTTGTTTTGGACGCATCTCGTGTGAAAAACCCAACTGTCCGAGACCTTGGCAGATTTGGAACATGGATAGGGCACGAGGTCGAATCTGAAAAATCAGAGGTGGACATATATCTTCCAGAGTATGAAGATGCTCTGCTAGCCACTGTTTCTCTCCCTCCGATCAAAATTAATATTCGGAATGGATATCTTAATGAGATCGACTTTATCGCAGAGATTGCAACGGGTAATCCCGATGGAATCAAAGGGGCCGTCAGTGACTTGATTGAGGGCAATATTGCCCAATTGAGCCTTAAAGGAATGGCGAGGGTCCCGTTGAAATCTGGTCTTTTGTATCTGGGGTCACAATATATAACAGAGACTGTGGTGCTGCGAGGTCTGGTGGCCCTTCCCCCCTACCGCTTTTTGATATTCCCTCGTTCTCATTTTCATGCTTCCTTCAAGGACTCAAGGACATAAAAACCTGCCTGACCAAGTACTAATACTGCCTTTCAGATTTCTCTGTTCTCCCCGATTTCAATATCACAAACCTAGACATCCATGAGAGTTCGGGCCCTGGAAAATCGAAAGCCGTAGTTGCTGATGTGGCTGTTGCAATATCTAATCGGTATCCTATCCATTTGCAATTACCACCAGTCGAGTTCGACATATTCGTCCCTAGCTGCACCCCCGATGAAGCCTACATTATGGTGGCAAATGCCACAACCGATTCAGTGAATATTGAGCCAAGAAAACCTATAACCATATCTATACATGGCTTCGCCCCTAAGGTTCCGCGAAAGCTTATTAGCAGCTGCCCTGGGACTACAGCATCACCGCTTGATTTATTGATAAGTAAATATATTCGTGGGCTCGTTACCACAATCTACGTTCGAGGAGGATCGATGGTCTCCCCAACTGTCCCTCAGTGGTTACAGGAGCTGCTGAATAGTGTTACTGTTCCATTTCCGTTTACCAGCCCAGGATTTTCACGATTAATCAAACGCTTCTCGATGAAGAACGTTCATTTTTATCTCCCTGATCCAATTTCAAGGCCGAATACCCCAGAGTCTATGCCCAAGGTTTCAGCTTTGGTGCAGGCTGTCGTTGGTTTACCAAGCCATCTTAATGTTCCTGTGAATATTTCACGAGTTCGTACTAATGCTGATGTGTTCTATCATGATCACAAACTTGGCATTATCAACATCAAGCAGTGGCAGAATGCAAGAGTTCAGCGAGCTGTGGATGACGCGGATGGAAACCCAATAATGGTAGTAGAATTCGACATTCAAAAGGCACCCCTGCAGGTTACAGATGAGGATCTCTTATCCGAAGTCTTACAAAAAATGCTCTTCGAACGCCAAGGTATCCCCCTTCGAGTTGATGCCCATGTCGACGCAGAGCTGCAGTCAGCCCTTGGCGAGTTTATCGTCCGAGACATTCCTTCTGGTGGGAATATTATTGTTCAACGTGAGTCTAATTTACCACAATAAGAGGCACAGGAAAGATTTCTAGTACTAACAGCTCTAAAGCACCATACGGCTCCGGCTTTACTCTCAATGATATAAATCCTCATATGCAGTCTATCAAAATTATTGAAACCACGAAGAACAGTGTACTCTCTCGGATTACTGTGAATTTCACCAATCCAACCAATTATACTGCCCATATGCCCTACTTTGACATTAAGTTGGTTCACAATTCAAGTGATGTTGCGCATATCATCGGGCACAACCTACATATACACCCAGGGCAGAATACAAAAGTCGAGATTGATGCGCTGTGGAACCCCTTGGAATCCGGTGGTGAGGAGGGTGCCACAGCAGGACGGGACCTCGTGTCAAAATGTGTCTCGGGTAACGTCCATCGGATTTGAACCACTTTCTAAATAAAGAAGCTAACCTCTTTCTAGGGAAAAACACAACCGTTGCCCTCAAGACCTATACAAACACTATCCCATCACTTCCTCGACTTGGCGCAGCGTTGTCCAGGTTTGAGATCGAAGCTCCTCTCCCTAGGCTACGCCTTCCTGGTCAGGGTGATGGAAATAGCGGACCACTGATCAAAGATGCAACGGTATTATTTTCCCTTCTCCAGAGTTTTAACTCCTGATTCCATACTCTCCGCTGCGGGACTGTTTCCGTCACCGAGCCGGAGTTCGGGTTGTGCTGGTTTAGCATCATTCTTTCCCCCTCTATGCCGAACCGTATACCTTCCTGAATGCCATTTTTCCTTTTCCTTATTCTTGGATGGAAATTTCTCAGAAAGCAAATGTTTACTTGGCTCTCCTTCCGAGTAGTTACATCTTTTGACATCTACTGCCGACTTTACGATTATGTCGCCGCTGTCATCGAAGACTCTTTATGTCACACACATCAACGCTACATCGCTTTTTAACCACACCTCTCCTGTCGGTACAATTCAATATGATACACCTTTCGCAGTACCGCCAGGGTCATCTCTTTCGCCGAGACTTCCTGTCCACCCTGACCTGACCGGAGCAGGGTACCAAGCATTAAGGGATGCCCTGGGTGGATCCCTACAACTTGATTTATTGGCTGATATCGGAGTAAGACTGGGAGAGTTTAGGCAAACTGTCGATTACACGGGTCGGGGAATAGGTATAAATGTGGGTTGGTAACATGCTGTGGCCCTTTGTTTCTTCCTTTAATGCTTCCTTGCATGCTCTAGCAAGGAAATTTTTAAGGAGTTTTGTTGGCTTGGAACACGTTTTTGCTTAGGGTATTCTTTCTCCTTTTGATCTATTTATGTCTGATGAGGTTATTTTGGACTTTTGGTACATTATTTTACGTGCAGAGTGAGCTTAGTTGCTAGTCCTGACAGGATGCGAATAGAATTTTGGCTAGGGTCTCTGCGACTCATGAACGCATACGGCAAGAATATGCCACTCCTATCTTACTGTTGACTCGAGATTCCCTCCATGCATTTCCGCTTAGCTCTCTCATAGTCGGCATCATTCGGATAAGCTGATGGTCTGGCAAGGACGCCCTTCGGCCCGGGGATATTCGCCAAGCATCATCCTTGGCATCAGTCTCAGAAAACAGTACGAACTTGGGAGGATCCCTGGACTCTTGGATGCAACGCATCGAACTTTAACCGTTGCTTTCCACCGACTGCGTTTTATCAGATGACAAACGCAGGGTTCGATTTGTTCAAGCCACTGAGAGAGAAGTGCTGTCAAGTCCAAGAAATACAAGCAAGATGCACGATGCATGCTGCAGAAAACAAGCATGGCCTGGCATGCACTGCTATATTTACGACACAGCATCCAGGCCACGACATTATCGAAGTACGAAGTTCATACGGCCGTTTAAATTAGTCTCTGGGTTGGTTGGTGGTTGTTTGAGTGTGATGTTGGCATGTCTCCATCCACCTCCTTTCCACCCTCCGCATTCCATCCTCGAAGGAAAACATGGCTTCGAGATCTGGAGCAAAGGTTTATCGAGTCCACCACATACTATGGTTTAACCAGGTTGTTTTTTGGAAGGGCCCTTGACACTGCAATGTCCATCCAAACGGTCTTCAGTTCTCCATCCGGTATCCTGCATGTTCAGGGTACAAAAAATAGAACCCTGGATTGCTGAGCATGGTTCGATTTTCGAGCATTGACCGAAATGCAACCGAGCTTTGTGGGGGTTTGTTCATTGTGAATGAGTTACCTCTTCACTCCAGCATAGCTGAAAGCGAGAATGAGGACAACATCTGAGCATGCCCTCCCTTCGTATCCGCAAAAGTGTGGGAATATCAAGAAGCTTGACAACGAGGGACGAGGGAAATGAATGGCAATTTTGGATTAAGTACACCATAATTAACTACCATGATCAGGACCCCGCCAAGAGGAATCTTCATCGATAAATAACGATAATCAGTCGTCGATGAAATCCTTTCTCGTGAGCAAAAGGAACAATGCCATCGTATATCGCATTCTCAACATCACCCCAACAACTGGCTATCTACGGAATGACATCCTGCATGTCCACCCCGGTGGATGGGATGATATTGCTTTTCACATCTACATATTTCCCTTCAAGATGCTTGAAGACTTGCCACTACCAACTCACGCTGGGTGGATCGACACAGCGCAGGAGGTTTTGCTTCCGTTCCCTTCAACTCCGTTGAACATGTGCTCCATGCATGGAAAACATATCCCGGATGGAAGAGTCATGGTAATCCTTGATGATACACAGAAACAAGGGTAACATCATAGGAATCTTCCTTTTTCTTAAAATTTTCGGAAACGAGATAACTCATGCTCGTTACCTACTCGCGCTGAGTGTTTCTAACAAGAAAATTATTCTCAGTTGCCCGATAACTGCGTTTTGGAATACACATACGAGGTAGCGGTAATTCTCGACAGAAGGCAGTACATTCACCACATTTTGTTACGGCCTTGATTCTATCATGTCGTGGCGAAAAACCTTCCAATTGGAGAAATAGTGGGATGATACCCCTGGAACGTTCATGCATTGCCCTGCTTGAAAGCGTGGGAAATTCTAATTTTGGACCAGAATGCCCTAAAATAGAAACTTGTGTTATTTACGGCTACCTTCCATTGGTCGTGTGTTTCGAGATCATAGCCACCAGCTAACTTCCTATCCATCTCGTTCAAGAAATTCTGGGCAGCTTCTTGATCGACGTTATCCCAGCAGGCCTTCAACATTCTTGATATGAACAGGCATAACATGGATTGGGATGCTTCGGAGGCTAGATCACAACGAATGCATTGAGATGCCCGTTCATGGAGTACGGCCCGTAGGAATGCGCTAGGAAATTGATTTGTTGAGCAATAGGGTATCCGCTTTCCCATCAATGGAAATGCAACCTCCGTCTCACTCGCTTTTGCTCCCTACCCTGCAGTTCGAGTATGCAAGCTCAAGTCCGTCGTTTAGGCACCGTCTTACATTCCCCATCAGGAGCTCAGTCATCCTGCTTGTATGCCCTACAACCCGCCAGAGGTGAGGCCGATTGTGGCCTTCGGGGATGGATATGATATACCTGTATCCACTTTGGAACCATGGGAGATTGACAAAACATAAATATCATGAAGGCCCACCACCATTTCTCAATTAAAAGAGATCAAAATCACTAAATTCATATCGGATTACCCTTTGGCCCACTCTCGCGATGAGGCTAAATTATCTTCTTCATATTGGCTTCTTTGCCACATGTACCCTTTCCCTATCCGTTCCTCGTTGGAAAGACACCCTCCCCGGCCCCTCATTTAGTCCCCCGCCAAATGTTGATAGTAACAGCCGCGTTATTGAGTGCAAATACCCTTCAATGAAGGGCTGGGCAGCTGATAATGGCAGCAAAACTGGATGGTTAAAATGGGTTGGTAATGGACCAGCACCTGCTCCAGGAGCATTCAATATTACGACCGATTATGAAAATATATTCCCAGAGGGTGTGACAAGGAAGGTAAAATTCACAATCTATCTCCTTTTACTACCCGTGTATCTTCAACTATGCAATCTAATCTCCTGGCCTGGTAGTATAACTTGGTAGTGGATGAAGGTACTGTCAATCTTGACGGAGTGACTGCAAACCATGCGATGCTCTTTAATGGCCAGTACCCAGGCCCTTGGATTCGTCAGTATTCCTCTCAATTATTTTAGTCCGGAGCATTTATTAACATTGACTAGAAGCGTGTTGGGGCGACATCGTTGGTTAGTAACCTCAAGAATGATTCTGATCTCCTACAGCCTTACTAACTCAGATCAGAAATAACTGTTACCAATAAACTGAAATACAATGGAACTGCCCTCCACTGTCATGGCCTCCGAATGTTCGATAACCTTCTAATGGATGGTGTACCAGGCGTTACACAATGCCCTATTGCACCAGAGGACACTTTCACATACAGTTTTAGAGCTACACAGTACGGTTCAACGTGGTATCATAGCCACTATTCTCTACAGTACTCAGATGGCTTAGTTGGCCCTTTGACTATCCATGGTCCTTCAAGTGCAGAATATGATGCGTCCATTGACCCTCTCCTTTTGGGTGATCATCTTCATAGGAGTGCTTTCCAAGACTACTATAAAGTACAGACCAGGATACCCCCAGAAATGGACAGTCAACTTTTAAATGGAATTGGTATGGGATAATTCTAACTTCAACCTGAAGGTTTGATGCTGATAATAATCATAGGAAACTATAACAATGATACAACCCGGAAACCCTATAGCACACTTGTGAAAGCAGTGAGTAACTGTCTTGTTCGAAAACATTTCACCCTCAAAATCTAACAATGATTCTATAAAGGGCAAAAAGTATCTGATGAGGTTGATTAATACATCCACCGATACCACTTTCGTCTTCTCGATTGATAAGCACAATTTTACTGTCATAGGCGCCGATCTTGTTCCGTTGGAGCCGTATGATACTTCTCACATCCTCATTGGTATTGGTAAGTGACACTGCACTTTGCCTCAGAAGGAGTGAAAGGATAGGGAAGAAAAGGCATCTAACACGCTTAGGCCAACGTTATCATGTCATTCTAAACACCTTACCAGACGTGAAAGACGGGGATTCTTTCTGGATTCGCATGGTACCTGCGGGCGATGGATGCAGCAGATTCCGGAAAGATCATGTGCCTGACGAAAGGATGGGGGCGTTGTACTACGGGAAGAAGACCAATGTGCTGCCCAAATCTGAAGGTGGTGGATACGATATCAGTTGCCGTGATGAACCATATGAGCGACTGAAACCAATCCAGAAATGGACTGTACCAGATCCATTACTCGCACCAGACTTGATGACAAAGACGCAGAAAATCGGCATTGATATTTGGAACCCCCCCGGCCGTCCTGCTGATGCACCAAAGATTGCGAATTGGGGGGTTGGGCCCCAGCCGATGTGGCTTAACTACTCTAAACCCATCGTGAAGAACATGGACATCGAAGATTGGCCTGAAACTTGGACTGTTTACCCAGCAAACGACTATACACATGAGCAGTGGGTATACCTTGTCGTTACGGGGCAAGAAAAACAAGCAGAGCTTGCGAGAACACAGGCTCCAAATGCTCATCCAGTATGTCAATAATGGAAATCGTTTCATCACATAGGGTTATCAAACGCTAACATTATTAAAATAGCTACATTTCCATGGCCATGATTTCGCCCTTCTGCAGCAGTCTTATGAACCATTCAACAGCAAGAATCTGAATCTCAAGCTTGATAACCCACCTCGCCGCGATGTTGTTCTACTTCCCAGCAACGGCTTTGTTGTCATTGCCTTCAAAGCTGACAACCCTGGTTCCTGGCTTATGCACTGCCACATCGCATGGCATGCTTCTGCTGGCCTTGCTCTTCAAATCTTGGAAGATAAGAACGACGTTGTAAAGTATCTCAAATCCCACCCTGAAGATGTCAAGGAAATGCGCCGAGTGTGCGACAACTGGGATAAATGGTACGGCAACGCTGATAACCATTATCCCGCCGAATTCTTCCAGGAAGACTCTGGTATATAATGGCTCATTCCCCTTCTTTCTCTTTCCTCTATATTTTCTCTTCATTTGATAATATTGTGATTTTCTATATATCCCCTTGGTGTTATGTTAATTCTGTAGGCTACCTAGATGACTAGAACACAATCTATCTATTTTTATATTCGATCAATCATCTTATCGGTTTATCTATCTTGTGCTCTTTAAGAGGGAGTTTACGAATAAATGACTATATGCATTCAGAGCGCATAAAGGACAAAATAGTTCTGAAGGAAGCAAGCTATTCACTTGTAAAATACATGAAACATGCTGTAAACTCGTGATGGGCATAAAAAACCGAAATATTCTGGGCGTGTTGTTATCGAATCATTGAATACATCATTGAAGTGAAATAGGAGAAAGGAAATTACAAACCCAATTTCACCAGTTCAGTTATACACATATGTAGCGGGTAGTGGGCCAGTATATTCAAATCCAGCCACATCTGCCCTATAGCAAGATTTTGAAGGATCTTCAACACCGGGGACCGTTATATTGCTGAAAGGGGCAAATAGCTGGTAGTAGTCCTTGCGTAGCCGGGTGTTCGGGCATGCCCACCACCATGTTCCCGGTTGATTTGGCACGAAGACCCAGTCGTATGCGTAGTTCAGGTTAGCCATGTATGAGCCTGGCGGCATTGCAGGGTCAGATGGTGATGTATATCGCAGGGCACCGTCAGCGTCGAGATATATACGCTGGCCGCCATCAACTCCAACGCTCTATCCCAGCAATTAGAATCGGGAGATTGAAAAGATGGCCGTTCATTGGGGTCGGTATAGGGGAAGGGGGGTTTAATTATATGGGTATTTACCAAAGAATCCATCTTGCCTCCATTTAGAACTGTCTCTTTTATTTCAGAACAATTCTTATCAGGGCAGGAGGTTGACGGCTCGCCCCCTACCCAGAAGCGCGATTGGGACGCCTGGAGGTATTCTTCTCGAGAGGGATTCTTCTTCATAACTCTCATGGTGACAGCTTTAAAAGGCGCTTCCCAACCTGGGTCCCGCTTTTGTGTAGATTCATTAACTGGTACGGCCGCACTTAAGGCCAGGAAGCAAGGTAGAAGAAGTAATATTGTCTTCATAGTTAATATGCCCGAGGCCGGAGGTCAAGATTCTAACTACTTACTTGGGTATAAGATTGATTTTTCGAGGGCTTGATGCTCCATGGAGGCAGTTGTGGTGATATATATCCTCATCATCCATGCCATGTTGCAATACTGGATGGACCATGGGCTCTGAATTACTAAAAAATGGAATCAGGGAATGTCCTAGACCGAAGTCGTCATTTCATCTCGTGAGGAGTAGCTGGGACATGGTTGTTGGTTTGCCCCTGTCACTACCGAATGAACATGCGATACAACGGGCATGGGCAGTGACGATGAAGGCAGGGAATGAGGGAAACGGATCGAAGAAAACAGTGCCGACCACAGCACCTAGATTTCTTTGTTTTCCGCAAAGATATTGAACAGGAGGGCCATTTCTAGGCTATTGAACGAAGAATGCATCTTCTACGGAGTACATGATCTGAGATATCTGTCCTGCTTTGTTCCATAAAAAGGAAAAGAGGTCGACAAAGCCGCAGGGTCAAGCGACTCGAAAACATTCTTAGCCGGCCCCATCCCCCGCAGAAAGCAAGGCTCAGCAGAGTGCACCGAAAGGACGGAGCACGTAGCTCTTGTGTATATCCTGTTTAGCCCTGCAGCTGTTCCCAAGTCAGTGTTCTCCCTGCCTTGTACTCCGGTGGAACAGGCAGAGAGCCGCTATTAGTTAATTAACTAGCCAGAAGTTAAGGGGGCGAATCTTTTTCTGGCTCCTGTACAGCACTTTAAACAATATCTTAGAATCCGGGTCGAAAGCTGCTTCCCCTTCAGCTACTATCCTGGTGGAAAGAGTTCGTCGATGACGGCAAAGAGCAACCAACCAACTAGTTAACCAGCGAGTCGGCCGAATGTAGTTGACATCATAACCAGCCATGGGTGGTTCTCGTATGCCATGACCGGCATCCCTGGCAACCGGGGAAACTGATACCCAAAGCACAAGAACGAGTCAGCAAGGCCATGAGCCTGGCAGTGAACATTCGCCTTTCCTTTGGCGATTGTGATAACTAGGGATTACTCCTTAGAAGTTTGTCTTCCCCTCACGCGGAGCTCGATGTTTCGGTGATGGGTGCATGATTCCAGCCCGAAATCCATCGATACCTCCAGGAGAAGACCTTGCCCTGACATGACGTGCTTGGGTAGCAAGCTGGCATCAAGTATGCATATGCTGTGACAATCCCTCCCCTGGATGTGTTCCTCAGTCCAAGCGCACACTTCTAGAGACAGGGCCGAGCTCATTTCTTCCCCAGTTATTATTAATCGAGCCCGACGCGGGCTTATCCCAAGCTGTCCAGCATAGCCATATTTCGAATAAACTGACTGTTCGCTCCAAGAGTTGCAGCTAGGGGTGCTGCTCTGTGGAGCGGCCTGGATTTCCCTTGCTTGTTTATGCGAAATCCCGTCCTTTAACCATTTCTCTTCCACATATGAGCTCACGACCACCTCATATACCATTTTCAAATGGCTTGAACATAGTAGCGACCAGTATAATTAAAGGCAAGCGGAAGTGTACTGCTTAGCATCGGGCATACAGCTGGAAATGGTGGATCTAGTAGTGCTACTCTGTTCATGCACCATCCGCTCTCCCGTCCTGAGAAGAAGCTTTTACACAGCGAGACCGTCCGCATATTGGAAATGATCCTTTTCCATAAAACACAAATTTAAGAGGTGTACTGGTTTGCAGAAATGATGTTGCGAGAAGGGTTGTGGCCGAACAGGGTATGCTGGCGATCAGCGGGTGAAAGTTCCTCTCTCTCTGTCACACAAGTACATAGTACCCTTCCGTGAGTTATTTTATTCAATCCAGTTGCCAGTTTCTCACAAGATAATGCTCGGGTCACCAACAGGAGTAATGGCTAGCTAACACACAAGGGGTGTATGTAAAAGCATGTCAGCCTCCAGAGGTAGGTGCATACGAACTGACTGTGAGGATGCAAAGAACATCTCTGTTGCCTCTAAGGAGAAAGGCAATATGCTTCGGACCAGCCTGACCAGGGATATAGAATATTGCCAGCGTTGTCCTCAGTCGTTACCGGAGGGGTATTGAACATGACTGAAGGAAAGGCGCATATGCATGAAGAGGGGTCGAAGCAACAGCCAGTGAAAAGCTGCATGAATGAACGCACACGACGAGGAGATTCCCAAGTCAGCAAAGAAAAAGGACGTTATCAGCTGCTGGCAACAACCCCGGGCCCTCCTCAGGCATCAATCCAGACATCCAGCGCAATACAGCCTGATACTTCCGCCGTCCTTTGTCCAAGCTGGAGCCGGGAGTATGGAAGGGTATCTTGCAAGCTTGGCCTCTTCCCCCAGAGGCTGACCTGATCGTGCATATGCTGGATGCCGCATACGTGGGTCGAATCAGTGAGCAGTAAATTCGGCTGCAGCTGGCGATCTGAGCGAGCTAGCGAGTGGTGGTTAACTTGTAAGTTATCGACTTTCATGTCTGCCTGCTGCTTCAGCAACTTTCACACGTACTCCCTACAGCGGACACAAGGAGCTACCAGGTAAGCGCGAACTGCTCCTCCATCCTTCGCCTGCAGCGGTTGCACATCACATGTTGGAATAAGCACGATGGCTGCTCTCGTAATTAGCCTCAAACACGGTTGATGTCATTGTACATTTCGCCGCAAATTGGCAAGCCACATCATCCCAATTGTACGTTTTTCCACGCGAGAATACGAGTATATCGACCCCGCCAGTAAGTATGTCTCTGGTGTTGTCCAATTGATCGAGAAAACATAGCACCCGGAGCCCTCGAAAAAGAGGCTCAGAGGTGTGCTGACTCCTCAGCCTTGGGCGGATGCTTCCGGGAAGTCTTTGCTAAGTTTCATGAAGGCCTGTCGAGTGACCATTAGTTAACTGATATCTCATCAAACGATTAGTTAGTGTTGAAGCCTTTATGTGGTAATAGAAAACCACAAAAGCTGCATGGCATGTTGTACATACATAAACGAGAACCTATTCTTAGATTCATCAATCCGGCATGCTCTCTCTACGGAGTAGTTGCACCGCGTGTTTGGCATAGATACGCAGCATGCAAGTCACCAGACGGCTGCAAGCAGAATAACAACAGCTAGTTATGACTGACTATCGCAGCCAGTCGACAGGATATTGAAACCCCCTCTAGTCCCTGCTGTCCCGTCAATATGATACCACGGCCCAGGTAGCACCGGGGTATCTTGCATCTACCGCCTCACCGCATGGTGGCCGTCCCTTGGACTCACCGATATTGTGGTAGGCGTCCCCTGTTTAATATCTGTCGGAGTGGAGTGTTGAGGGTGCTCTCAGTGCCAGCTTGAGGACAGTTTGATACACACTTCGCCCAGTCGATTGGATGCTAGCTTAATATTGAATTATCAGATATAATTAGTTAGCCATGGACTGTATCTCCGGTCAGCGTATATCCCTTGAGATAACAAGGACACGGGGGACGGACTTACGTGTTTACAATGTCCACTAGAGCGGAATTGCAAGATATCAGAATAGGTATATGGAAGGAATGAAAAAGCAAAGAAAGGCGGCCGAGCAGTTCAACTAAATCCACTGCTCAACCGTCCCGGCAGGTCATGGAGACGCCCATCATGCTCGACTTCAACGCTCACGGTCAAGGCCGTTCTCCGCATCCTCCGCCTAAGGGAGAGCACAAGGTTGGCCCCTATCGAGTCAGCCTCCGCCCGGGCTGAGCGTATATACGCAGCATGTCTGTCTCTCTGCGTGTTATGCGTCTATGTATCCTGCATGTCACAACACGGCATCCCCGGCCAGCGATCCCTCGAAACGCATGATGCATGATATAAAAATAAGGATGCCGTTGAGTGGAGCAAATCTCTAACATCTGTTCGCCTCCGATGGCGAAGTGTTGTTACTAGTTAGTTAGTCGATGTAGTGAGATTTTTCGAAACCGGCTTTCTTTTGCTCCCTGACGCTATGCTATCGTTCCGTACGACCCATGACGTTTCTTGCTCCATCGTATCGTGTTTTTCTTTTATTTTCTGGTCCTTAGTCTTCTGTTTTGTTGTTGTTTGGACATTCGTTTGCTGTCATGGGCCCCCCTTTTCTACCCACTCACCCCTGTTTCGCTGGGTGGTGAGATCCGCCCTGTCCAGCATATGAACATATATATACGGAGGGAAACAGCTGTATATGGAGTACACGGGCAGGGATATATAAATCTATATCTCCCTCCCTCGGCCCACCGGACCTGGTCGTATTTTCGTTCCTTCTTCCGTTCTTCTTGTCTGAGGCGCTCATTTTGGGGAGAAATTGGATGCCGGTAAACTACCCACTTGAAGATATTTATCTCAAGGGAGAGATCGTCAAGGGCTAGCAAGTATGCCTTCACTCGGAGAATATAACAGCCATGTGTATTAGCTAGAGCTAACCTGGCCTCAGATCGTATAGGCCCTGATCCATGAGACAGACAGCCGGGATTCAACGTTGATATCTCTGGAGCAGAGCAACAGAGCCTGTGCAATAACCGGTCAGCCTGGCCAGCCAAATATTTCGCCATCTCAAGCCAAACCTAGGCCGCGAGAGAGCGCAAGATATCTCTGTATCCTACCAACCATGTGCAAGAAGCTGCTATACTATCGATGCGGTGCCATCGAAACCATCTTCTCTCGGGACTGCAACTGCTCGAGGAAGGTTGGAGAAGAGCATTCCCGTCTGCATTGTGGGATCTGCTCGGACTGCCAGCCTTGACAATAGAGACGGCCATTCAGTCGGGGGTGAAGACTGTTTGTGCCTCGCGTTGGGTTCTTCTACTGTATATGTTTTTTCATTTTTATTTTTGACGATTAACGACTTTTCATTTCTTGCTGTCTCTGAAAGGCCCTGAGAGTGACGGGCTTCCTCATACCCTCGAGCCGCAACATCCAATGGCTGCCCCTTTCCAGATTTCTTGCTCTGTGGTTCCCATTTATTACTTTCTGAGCCTCCTGCATTTATACACCATTGTCTCCTTTCCTTACTACTTGATATACCCATAGTGTGCCTCGCATGCAGTTTAGACTGCTCAATGTTTTCCATTTGCACTTATCATTGCTTCTCGGTCTAGAATTGTGCCTCGTATATTATATGAAACAATCCTTTAATGAACGTGAATTTATTGTGTTCTGCTTCATTATATGTCAATCGGTAGGCACAAGATTCATAAGAACTGGTTGTACGACATTCAAGCTCTCCTTGGCCAGGGAAGCCAGGAAACATGGGATAATTCAAAAGCTCACGCTAACCCGACCTTTTAGATCTGACTGGGAAGATTTAGAAGATACGACTGGTTGCGAGTTTCCAGTGACACTCTCGCCAATTAAAGAGGAAGTAAAAAAGAAACGCCGGTAGGTATAATATTACATAGACCTAAGACAGAACCAGGATGGTAAAATAAAAGCCTGAGCATAAGGTTGTGTGTTGTTTAACCGGGTGGTAGGGTGCTTGTATCAACAATGTCGGCAGCTTCTTTTTCGACCTCATCAGCAGGCGAGGTCAAAGGAGAACGAGGCAGGGCCATGAGACCAGTTCGAGTAGACTCGAGGATACCAAAAGGCGAGATAAGCTTAAGGAACGAGTTGATACGGCTGGGTTTCGCGGAGCTAATGATAGAAAGTTAGTCATCAGACCAGTTTCGCTTGTTCCGCCTACTACAATTGAATGGAGGGCTCAGCTTACAGCTCAACAATGCAGTTGTTGGTACTAATATCCAGCACCTTTCCTCCGAACTGATGTGTCAGATGAGTAATAGCCTCCAAGTGCTCATGCTTATGTCGAAGTGCCTCACTGGCGGCCAGTCTGTTTGGATGATAGTCGGCAATTTCAGACAGTGACCCGTCCACCTTGTGCATTTCTCGATGCTGAGCCTCTTCGGAGGACGGGTTATTGGTATCACTCTCGGGGGTAGACATTTCCTGGTGATGCTGAAGCAGCTCCTCAAAGACTTCGGGTCCCAGGATGCTGACCTTTGCCAACAGCAGCTCCCGCTGGACGAGGGCAGAGTCTGTGTAGTCTAGGACAGCCCAGACAGGGACAAGGTCGTCCAGCTGGCGGCGAGCCTGCTCAACAACACCGTCCAAGCCGCGCAACACGATGGTCATTCTCGACAGGTCCTCAACTTCGGTATTACATACAACAAGACTGTCGATGTTGAACCCTCGCGCCGCTAGGATCCCGGAAATGCGAGACAGCACGCCGGGTTCGTTCTGTACAAGGCAGTTGAGTACATGGCGCTTCGGAGGCTTGGTCGACGGAACAGGGGTCTCGTAAAGAATAGAGGACACTGCGGCAGGAGCAGACCATTGCGGCGATGTGTCAGAGACGGGCAGCGGAGGAGGGGAGCGCCTGTGAAGAGCCTTGTATGCGAGGGCAGACGTTGAGCTGGATGACAGTCTGATCTGCTGCTGCTGTGGGTGGTATCTCTGGTGATGATGATAGCTCTTTAAGTTCAGACGCTGGCATGGATTCTCGCCTGCAATCCATGCCCGCCGCAATTGGCCGCGACAGAGAGCTTTAGAGGCCATCGAGTTGTTGCTGGACAGATCAGCGAAATCCCACCCGTTCTCCAGGAGGAGCGAGAGACCCTTTTATCTCCTTCGCTTCGCCTTTTTCTGAGTCAGGCAGCTTGTGAGTAATAATAACGATATAATAATAATAGTTCGAATATCCATTTTATTTCTTTTCTTTTTTTATTTTGCCGAGAGTGATCATGTGATGATGACTAAGAGCCGAGATCGGAGAAAAGAAGCTTGGCCTTTTTAGGACTAGCGTTAACATCATGTGATACTGCACGTGATGTGTATGACTAATCTGATCGGTCGACCAAAGCCAAAAAAAAAAAAACATCCAAGCTTTGATCGCGAGAGATGGAATTGATGAGAGAGGAAAGGAAGAAGTCGTTTCGCAGGAGAGAAGAAGAGCCTCGCTTGCAACCTACTGGACCGTTTATACCTTTTGCCTAGCTCTGACCGTCGAAATAGCCAGAATGTCTGATAGCGACAGGCGAACTAAACGCTCTCGGTTTGACCAAACTGAGCCTGAACCAAAACGCCAGTCTCGATTTGATAGACGCTCGCGCTCCCCGTCTTCTCGAGCTTCAGAGCCTGTGCGGGATCGTAGCCCGATAAACCGTCGATCCAGCCCGGGTTCAGAGGATGCGAGCAAGCCTGCCACTCCCTCGGACCCGGCAGCCGCTGCTGGTGAGTTCCATCTGATATTGGCCCCGTTCGTTACATGAGATATATATGGTGTATTGGAAGCTGGATAACTAACCGTCATGATTGTGATTCGATAGCTGCCGCAGCCGCCAGAATAAAGGAGCAGATACAAGCAAGACAGGGTTATCAGCCATCCTCCACTCCGCCAGGACACTCGGTATGTTCAAGTGGTTGTACCTTTGCATCCCCTGTTTGGCTGATGATTGGCTTAGGTTTCTAGCCCTTCTACAAAGGCATCGTCCTCGGTCGCTCATATAAATGGTGAAGTTTACATGGCAGATGGCGATTACATCAAGGACATCGAAGTCAACGATCTCCGAAACAGATATACTATTACGAAAAGCACTACTCAAAAGATGGTAAATATCTCTACAATATATCCGCTGATATTCCCAGGCGCTTGTGTGGCTCAAGATATTATATTCCCCCGGGACTAACTCCAAGTATGGGGCGAGGCATTACCAGCTACTCGCTGGGGGATGTATTCTCACTTTCTATCATGATTGATCTTTGATCAGCACGTCGTTGCGTCAACTTTTGTGATGATGGATGAAGCTTACCCACAATTCTTCATAGCACCTAACTCCCGCTATATTGCATCTGCTGACCTCCGCTGCGTGATTTAGATTAAAGAAGAAACTGGCGCCGGTACGACAGTTCTCCTCCCACCCCGTTTTGCATTCTAGAAACAAACTTGTTGATTAAGAGAATATGCTCATTATTTTTTTAAAAAGATGTCACCACTAGAGGAAATTATCTTCCGGACAAAAGTATGGCAACCCCTTCGGTAAGTCCTCGATAGTATACCCCTTGTTTCCTCTTAACACTTTATATATGACCAAAAATCTAACTTTACTTTGTTAGAATCCGCCACTTTACTTGCATGTTACTAGCAGAACAAGAGAGGGCCTGGATAAAGCCATCAAAAAAATTGAAGAGCTCATGAAGCAGGAGCTCCCCGCTCTGGTTGATGAGCGGAGATTCCGCCGAAGGGAACCACCAGAGCGCGTTGAGAGAGATGAATTTGGTAGGGTAAGTTGGACACTATTGTAGCTAATATTACTCTCCCGACTCAAACGCTAACAATGGTATGTAGCCAAAATGGCCCGAAGAACGCATTCCAATTGACCTGGAACCCATCCCTGGCTTTAATTTGCGCGCGCAAGTTGTTGGCCAGGGAGGTCAATACGTTAAGCACATCCAGCAGAAAACTCACTGCCGTGTCCAGATCAAGGGCCGCGGATCGGGATTCAAGGAACACGGCACTAACCAAGAAAGCGATGAACCAATGTATTTGCATGTCGCGTAAGTTTTGCTAACGGTCTCTATTATCCCATTGTTCTTGTTCTGACATCTTCCTAGTGGACCAGACCCTAATGAAGTCCAAAACGCCAAAGCCTTGTGTGAGGATTTACTCAGCAATGTCAAGGAGCAATATGAGAAATTCAAAGAAAATCCACCACCACAACGAGGCTACCACGGTGGCGGAGGTTATGGTCATCGCGATCGCCATCAATATGGCATGGGCTATTCCTCTGGAGGCGGTCATCATGGCGGCGGAGGATATAACAATCATTCCTCCCCTCAAACACCATCGGGGATGAGCCCACAGTCTGGCCCTGGAGCAACGCCTACTCCATCTGCAGGTGGCACTCAGTCGGATTATAGCTCTCAGTATGCCCAATACTATGGCGGCCAAGACCCCTATGCTGCGTATGGAGGATATCAAAATTACGTTGCTTATTATCAATATTACCAACAGGCTGCACAACAGCAGCAGCAGCAGCAACAACAACAACAACAACAAGCTGGATCTACCGCACCTCCACCACCTCCTGAGTCCGCCGCCCCCCCGCCCCCTCCACCTCCACCTTCCTCAGAAACACCCCCTCCTCCACCACCGCCTCCTTCTGGCGGGTATAATTCAGTAAGTTTTGTTCAGCGATCTTGATTGATGCGAACTTACTCGCTAATGCTACCTTCTAGGTTCCGCCGCCACCAGGTCTCTAGCTACACTGTTCATTCTAGATAGGTATCAGGAATCTGCTGAAGTATAATAAAATTGATTATCGCACCTTTGGGACAATATGAAATGTCAGAATGCAAACAATGTTCCAATTTTCCATTTGGACAGCAGGCCACGTTTCGAAGCCAGCATTTGTTTTGCAGATATCTTTAAGCAAAAGGTTTAGTATTCAAATAAACATAATACCAATACCCAACTTTTCGTCACCTCGCAGCGGATGAGGTAATTTTTTGATACGGTAGATTTAATATATGTCCTGGTTCTTAGGAGAGTATATGTGTACTCAGTATGGAAGGGATACCTTGCGCCTTCCTCTATCAAACTTCTTTGAGTTCGCTACCCTGTAGCACATAGATTATAGAACTTATAAACGAAGTAAGCCTAAAAAGCAAGTCAGGAACTCAGGCGTATAAAATTGAGAAAGTGTACAATAGTATACCTAGATCCTGATATATTTTTACTTATTGACATTGACCGTCTTTAACCTGACTACTGTCGAGCCTGCCGCCCCACATTTCCAAGACTTGTTCCCTATAATACATTTTATATAGATCAGAGTGATGTGCCTTATGTGCAAGGTCATGTTCTAAGAGGACAGTTGCAAATAGCCGCCTCCTACGCAAAAAATAATGAAATAACTCCAAGTTACCATGGGAGCATATCGACCAGGTAGTTAGTCTCACGTCTGGCTAGGTACGATTCCATAAAATGCAATAGATTCATCTTGGTGTAGACGGCGTCTTCCCCTTCTTCATTCTCGCACAGCTGGTTGGCGCTTTTCAACTCGACCATTTTCCTCTTTGCCAAAACAACACCGCCCTCTTTGCAGTGGTCGCATGCATAGTCGCACACAGCAAGGCTCTTTGGTTTTGACTCAGATGATCCGGACGCAATTTGAGATAGTTGGGGTCTATCTCGAGCAAGTTCCAATTCAAGGTCATCTGAAAACTCTCGAATCATGGCATGTCTGCACCGATCTGTTGTTTCACAATATTTAACAACTTTTGCAAAACTTCTTAGAATAGCTTCTGTATTTTGAGCTTTTGCTTTTTCCCGGGCTTTAAGCTCGACAGCGGTGAGGTGTTCAAACGTCCTTTTACTTGTCAACCGGACTGTTTCATTCGCGAAGTCTCCCGTTTGGCGGATACGATCGATTATTCTGACACATTCAGACGGGTTGTAATAGACGAGAGAAATGGCCGCACAACCGTCTCTACCAGCACGCCCAGATTCTTGCACAAAGCTTTCGAAGGTACGCGGCGGAGTCCAGTGTACAACAAAGCGCACGTTAGGATTATCTATGCCCATTCCGAATGCGTTCGTAGCAACAATAATGTAGAAAGCCGGGGGTGTAGATTTCTGATTTCGTGTATCAGCTATCTTGGCTGGATGTTTAGGTGGTATTGCATTCTTATGAGGTGCCGCCCACATTGCTTGAATCCTCTCCCTTTCTGTAGGTGCAAGGCCGGCATGGTAAGAAACAGCTTTTATATTGAAATTCGAGTATGAGCTTAGAATGCTGGCGATAGCGCAGCACAGTGCTCTCAGCGGCACATATATGATCCCATACATTGGGGGAGGAACCGGAGAACTTGCACTCATTTCACCCTGTACGTCATTGGTTAGCCGTGATAACCTGGACAGACGACGATGATGTATTCCTTTTAGCCAGGATATCAGGTGGTCTATTTGGTTATCTTCAGGCACCGTTAAATCATAGGCGCATTCCGGGAGATATTTCACTTCATAGTGAATATTTGGTCTGGCCGATGATGTACTAAATTTCTTTAAAGTGCTTGTATCCAGTCCAAGAAGGGTAAATATGTCATGACGAACACGAGCTGTTGCAGTAGCTGTCAGAGCAGTCATGGGTACGATAGGGTCCTTTAGTTCGCGTCTGAACCAGGAAAGGGCCTTATATGCAGGTCGAAAGTCATGGCCCCATTCGCTAACACAATGAGCCTCATCAATTGCAACCCTTGTGAGCTCCCCTTGTTGATGTACCGTTGAAATACTTCGCCTGAATGTTTCAGTCTGACAAAATTCTGGAGTGACATATAAAAGGCGAGTCACTGGATGTCCTGACAGAATGTCCGCAAGGATCTCCTTGCGTTTGGATCCTGGGGTTGTAGAATTGATAGTTGCGACTGGTATTGCTCTTGCCTCAAGACTCGCAACTTGGTCCACCTAGGCAGCGTTAGAAGTGAGATATTTGCCTAGGATTATCCGAGGATCTTTATAATACAGCTTACCATCAACGATAAGAGCGGTGAAACCACAACAGTGACTTTAAATGACGCTTAGCTACCCTACCTAGACGAAAATCTGGAAGATGGGGGATTAGCTAACCTCCGTGAGCAACTACCGCTGGTAGTTGGAAACACAGGCTTTTGCCAAAAGACGTTGCGGCCTGAAGAAATACATCATGTCCTTCGATGGCAGCCTGGATAACCTCGCGTTGAAGGGGCCTGGTAGTAGGTCAGGACTGGTATTTATATAACATCATGAAGTACTATCTACTTACCTAAACGACTTTTTCCCGAAGACTCGACGGAGCGTGAAGTCAATATCAATAGGCTGGCGACTCATCCCGCTGCCATTGCATCTAAAGTTGCTGTAGCTCCGAGTTTGATATCCTGCCTGAGATAGTTTACATAAATGATCCCGCAAACTTTCTGATTATCGGTAATAAGATCGAGATTTCACGTGATATTAAATTATTGGAAGTATTGGTGGAGTTCTAATTATAAGCGCGCGGTTAATTTGAACCTGATAGGGCATAACGCGATAATATATACAATTCTCTGGGTGGTTGTTATCTAAGGAAACGGCTCATTAGGGGCTTATGGATAATATATACTATACAACATGGTATAATGAGGTATTGAGACAATATCTTCCTAAGAACCATAGTAAAATTTCATTCAGTGACATCGGGGCGGTACAAGTTCTCGTAGAACTGCCCGCACTGCATCAATATCTCTCTGCTTCAAATTTCCTTGCCATAATTGATCAATCTGCTCCCATACTCCAAGAACAGCAGACCTTCCACCGCAGGTAAAGAAGGCGCGGAGGCATGCAATGATGACCGTTCGCCCGAGATAGACGCTATTTTCGTATTTCCACTCGTCCTCGAGTTCTTCGCGAGCGTCATTAAACGTGCCGTAGAAGATTCTATTTGCTTCTTCCTTAAATTCCTCCTCGGCTTCTTCCATTTCCTCCGCCGTTGCTTGGGTTTCTTGTTCTTTGCCTTCAACGAAGGATGTTTCAGTCGACCAGGCAAATTTGGCCTTTCTGTTTACAGTGCGTGGTTTTGTCTGAATAGACGCATCATAATCACGCACGGCACGAAGAAAGGAGAGCCAGGCACGCTGTAGGCGAGGATACGTCCATCTGGTGTTCTTCTTTGAACCATGGATAGCAAACCCCTGAAATAACAGGATATAGACCATACCGTGAGAGGGAATTGACAGGGTGCCTTCCATCTCACTCAAAAGAGATAGAAAACGGCCTAAATCACCCGTAACATGTGCGTGGTAGGAAAGAAGTATGTGAAAAGTCTTTGCATCTGGTGTCAAAGGCATAGCAGCTTGAAGCGCCCGATGATGATCCGGAAGCTTGTCATGGAGATAAGATGTCATTCCAAGAACCCTCCCAAGCCGTTTACTGGCTTTACGGTATGCAGAGTAGTCTTGAGAGGGCAGCGGATACATGACAGCCTTCTCACTTGCATTCCTTTTGAGTTTCTCGTGGGCTTCCTTCATCCTTTCATACATGATTTCGGCAAGCTTAGCTTCCCCAGAGCGAATGAGTGACGCAATCACGCAATTCAAAACCACGGTGTCCACAACTTCACCGGCTTTGATAAAATCATCGTATGCTCGACGGACCCCTCGGGCGTTCCCCTTTAAGCCATTGAAAAATATTTGCGCAACCCTACCAAACCGGGAGAACTTGGCTTTTCGCTTCTTCATGTCCGCTATAATCCTTTCTGCTACGCGAAACTGCCCGGATTTTATGGCCAGGTCAAAGAGAATGTTGAAGGCAACGCTGGAGCTCGATATATTGCCTTCATGTTCCATTCTCCGCCATACGCCAATAGCAGCGTCAAGATCCTCCCGTTTCACAGTAGATGCAGATTTTCCTGCGAGATAAATCGCTGCAGTCCAGAGAGATGGAGACATTTCAAGGGAGGCATCACACATATCATCAACCAAAGTAAGGTAGTAGAAAACGCCCGTTCGACCCTTACGTTCAGGTTTCGCAAATCGATGTAATAGTTTACCCCTTGTCCTTGAGCTAAGGTAGGAAACTCCTGGTGAAGGAATCCGTCTGTAAGCTGCAAAAAGCTCTTGGTCACTGCAGTCCTCTTGGTTGAGAAGAGAGAGAAGGTGGGAAACCCCATTGGCGTCTAGGTCGTCATTCCCGGCTTGTTCGCATGGCCGAGATGGCACCAAGACTTCCCTCTGTGGGTTTGATAGCACAACCTTTAGACTTGTTGTTCCTTCAGCTTTCCCAAGAACACCCAGGTATAGCCCAAAAAGCAACTTTGACTCCTCAGTATTAGCGTGCTTTGCTCTATTGTAGGTTAAATTATCCACGTTAAACTCTCGCGGAAGGGTGCCCTTTGACTGTAGGCCGTGTTTAGGTCCCTTAACTATCACCGCAGGGTTCCTCTTGTCTGAGCGATAGTCACCTTCTCGTATATATTTCGGCCGTTTCCGCTTGTTATTTCGCTGCTCGTCTGTTTCTGGACGCGGCGTGTCATTGTATTCGCTTCTATGATCGGTTGATTCTGTACGTAAGGGGATGTTCAGGATAGTCTGTAGCCTGATGGCTGTCATAGGAAGAAACGGTCGGGGCATCCGGGTTGACGACGTGCTTCTGTATGGTGCATGCCTTTTGCAGAATCCCGCTGCAACCAGACACCTTATAAAACTTTCTGTGACAAGAATGCTGTTGGTCCATACAGGAAGAGTTGACAGCGGCCGCCGCATCATACCGGGGCGATTTACTTGCGAAACTCTCAAAATATTAGTTCGCAGGCGACTGCGACCCACGTTAATGATATTCTGGGCGCTTGCTGGCCCTTCCAAGCTTCTATACAGAGACATGAGATAGCTGACATGGTGTCATTGATTCCAAGTGCTGCGGGTAGGGGAGTTATGCGCAGGTATAGTCGAATATCAGATATTGTAGCGCCTGTTCTACCAATAGGAGAAGTAAAAAAATAGAATCAAGCGAAAAGAGAAGGAAAAACCAAGGGGTTCCAGCCGAAGACAAGGGAAATCAAAGGAAGATGTGAAAGATTGATTCAGCATTTGTATTTGAACGGCGTCAAATTTAATATTCAATTTTTGCTTACGCCGAAGAGGCCTGAACGCTGATTGGCCAAACGAGGCCTTTTGAGAGTTCCTCGCAAATTTCTCACCAGCAGGAGAACCAAATCGTTCCAGCGGATATCTATAGCTGCAGCGCTGGAGTTTCCCGGAGTCTTCCACTGTGTTTCATCTGTTCTGTCTACGTGAAAAGAGCGACTGCCTCTCAATTGTTTGCCTGTTGAGACTCTTCCTCAGCCATGGGAAAGCTCAACTTCACGGCTCTCCAGGTCCGGAGGACGGCCATTGCACAGCAAAGGGCCGGGAAAACCCCAAAACTACCATGCTGGATTGATATTATGGAGACAATCCCCCCATCGAGCGTGTTGGTGCGAAACCTACCACAACAGCATCCTCTTACCAGAGAGAGAATGAAGACGCTACCTGGAAAGACGGAGCCCCGGACCGTCATCGAAACTCGTCCTACCCGCCGTACAAAATCTAAGAAACCCAGTCGCATGTTCCAACCGGTAAAAATGGAGTTCGAGGAAGACCAGCTACGAAGAGAATTTTATCGTGACCACCCGTGGGAACTTGCGCGGCCGAGAGTGGTATTGGAGAGCGACGGAAAGGACCACATGCGGTATAACTGGGAAAGCCTGCAACAGAACAGGAAACGTGTGGATGGAGAAAGGTATTTATTTACCCTAAAGCTCTTCAGCTCTACGGGACAGTGTTTTCCATTGTCGACTAACACTATAAACTTGCAGTGTTGTTCAGAGACAGTTGCATCTTCTCAATACGGTACCGGACATCACCAAGGAGCAAGCCTACGATATTGCTCGCCGTGAATTTTACAAACTTCGACTCCAAGAGGACGTTGAAAGGAGAATTGCTCAAGAGGAGGCAAGAGCAACCGGTGCGTACTTTAGCTTAGACGCAAACACTATCGGAATGGAGCTCGAGAACCAAGAGTACGACCGCTGGAAGAAGTGGGCAGAGACTGAGATTGTGCTGCAACAGAGCAGCAGGGCAGCTTTCGCTGGCACAGAGATTACAGAGGCAGAGGCTGAATCATCTATGGCCAGCAATGACCTGAGTGCCCCAGAATCCAAGTTACTGGAATCTATCAAACCACTTTAATAGGTGATGGCTAGATTTATGATACGATAGACGGCGGCAGGAGACGGTTTTGTATATTATCACTGTTACTCTTTACCTTCAGCTCGTCATTCCTTTTCTTTCCAATACTTTTCCTTCACGAGTCAAGCCCCCGAAGCAACTGCCACATAACTCCCTACCCCTCCCGTATTCTCGAACTCGTCTGTAGTTTCAACTATATCTTCGCTCCACCGTCACCGTTATTGAAACCGCGTCCAGTTTCATTGCGCCGGATCTCTTCTCGTCGGGGAACTTCCCCACGTCATATAGTTCTCGACGCCCTCTAACAGACGCAGGGCAGCATCAGTTTCGTCTCACCAGCTCGCATAAAAAAAGACGGTTCTTCAGCGCGAGAAGGAAAAAGAAAAAGGGCGGCGGCCTCGTCGTTTACTGTTGAATCCAGGCTTGTTGTCTCCTGCTTCGTTTCTTCCACAGCGAGAAAAAAAAATATCACCTCGAACGCTGCTCATCCTCACGTGATGTGTACGTTTCATCTTGCGCCAGAGACACGACGACGGCGACGTTGATGACAAGCCACCAAACGAGCAGCCAAAGCAGTCCAGACGGCCTCGAGGGCGGTTTAAAAGGCCGCTTGTGCTGTGAATAGACGGTCTGGAGCCGGCCAGCATGACGAGAGACGTTGATCAAGCCCACCATCCGACTCCCTTTCTGGCGAATGGTCATACGAGCCTGGCCGTCTCCCACTACGCCCACCAGCGCCTCCGGATTCTCGCCCTTAAAAAGCTGGAGAGCGAACTTCTCGCGATCGGTCTCGTATACCTATACCCGCCTCTCCCTCCTGAATCCAAGAGTACCGCCGAATTCCCATTCTTGAGCTCATTTCGCGGAAATAGAGAGTGGCTACCCGGAGCACCGTGCAACACACTCAAAGAACGATACTGGAAGGCTACTTAAACGATGTTTCATTCTTGTTGGCTCTCAAGATTCCTGGTGGAATTCAATATAAATTGAATCGCTTTTTAAAATCCCTGGATACGATTTTTACATTCTCGTGAATTGCCAGTTGCTGGCCAACCGGGAATTCCCTCTCCTTCGTACCTTATCATATACAATGAGTCGAATGGATGACACAGTGCGGCCGCATCGGCCTCACAGGACAGATACATCAAACGAAATAAAGGAACCGTATGCCAGAACAGGTTCCCCGAATAATGGCAACTCCAGCCGTGACGAAGTCTCTACAAGACCTCATAAACCAGCGCCCTCAAAGCTCCTGGCCGAAGACCTGATAATAGAGCTTGCCCAGAGAGCCGTGGATAGCGGGATCCAGGACACAAAACGCTCATTAGCTGGAAGTGAGGCTGTAGAAGGTGTTGTTCGGCCAAAACTTACAATTGACCTGGGCCACGCGAACATTGCTCGTGTCCCAGAAGCGGTGGTCAATATCATAAAGGATGAGGTTGCCAGGTAAGACTATTTGTTCCGTTGAGAAATCGGGCCGTTACGGGATGGACTTTCTGTCTCTACCCGCTATGCTATGTTCCGGTTGCATAAGTAGCAGATTGTTAACAAAAGAAAAATACCTTTCAGGTTATCACTCTCGAATAATCACATTGACCGCATTCCAAGCCGTTTCTCAGAATGTATCCATCTTCGATACCTCAATATCCGAGCAAATAATTTTACAGAATTCCCGCGAGTGGTACGTCCGACAGTTTTCTTTACTTTTTCTTCTGCCACCTCCAAGTACTGACATTTCCTAGGTTTACAGTCTCACGTTCCTGGAAATCCTCGACCTAAGCCGGAACAAAATCACAAAATTGCCTGAGGAAGTCCGCAATTTGTCTTCATTGCGTGTTTTTTCTATAATGCAGAATTTCCTGGAAGACCTCCCCAGCCAACTTGCGGACATGAGTAAATTACAGGTTATCAAGGTTTCCGGAAACCCGCTTAATAGTTCCTTGAAAGCCGTTCTGGAACTCAGGGAAGCGGATGTCAACCATCTTGAGATGGCGGATAATGAAAAAGACAGTGCAATTACCACGGAACTAAAGAGATTTTTGAAAAGCAGACGAGCTGCGGCATCCCCTGAACCCGAATATCATGACCAAAAGTAAGTGTATATTCTTTCTGGTTGAGTTAACACCCATTGAGGTCCTTCTCTTAATAACAGATACACTCAGTGAAACAACGGAACCACCTAGACCACCAAAGAGAGGCAACCGCTTTCCAGTGATACCCAGGTCTAACGGAACAGACTCTACGTCTGGCTCCAGATCTCCCTCATTATCAAGACCACCACCGATACCCACAAGATCACACCACAGAATGGCATCCGGTCAAAGTGGACTCATCCATCGTTCAAACACTTTGGCAAGCGTCAGTGAACGCAACCGTAGCAACAGTGAAGGCTATATCGCTGGCTCAGGAACATCACGCAACAAGAGGATGGGACTGATCAGCAGGAAAAACACGGATCTTGGCACCCTCGACGAGATGCGCCCGTATCGTAACAGCCATCTACGTGGCCTAAGCCATGGCTCCCTTCTTCGATCCCAACGTGGGGGCATGCAGAATGATGGCAGCAACTCTTCGAGCCCGAGCAGTCCAATGGACCGGAGGCGCTTGAAAGACGGATTTGTTCACAGGCTTTCAAGCCTCCCCGAGCAGAGGGTAAAAACTACCACTAAAAACCCAGTGGTCAATTCTGCAAGGAGCGTGCTCTACGCACTTTATCAGATTCATCCTCACATCTCCTCTTTGATCAATGTTATCAAGGCAGAAGAGTACAGGCGAAGCAGCCTTGAAATAGTTTTTTATAATGCGACAACACACCTTGATCAATTGAACGAAGCATTACAAAACATTGGTGACGCAGATTTGCAGGACAAAGAGGTTGCCAAAAGAGTTACCGAATCCGTCAAGCAGGAGTGTGCAACTTGCATCACGGCCTATACTCACGTTGGGACCCAACTTCGTGCCAACGTTGCCAAAGCTGTGGCCTTGAGCGACCCGAAATATATTCGGACACTCCTCCTAATGATATACGGCAGTTTGATCGAGCTTCGTAATGCCTACGCTGTTTTCAACGTGAAACCGAAACCCCGACGATCCAAGATGGCCAAGAAACTATCCATCACGACCACAAACCAACCGATGAGCAAGTTTATACCCGAGCGGGAATCGGAACCATCTGTTACGCCGACAAGGGAGAGGCCTCCAACTTCTCGGCGGCTACGAAGCGAAACCACTGTGCATCTCCCACCCATTGCCCCGTTCCCTACCGCCTTGCCGCCATTCACTCCACATCCACACGGTCATCCATCTCACTCGACCCATCCAACGGCTCCGCCGCTCACCATTGGAGGTAGAAGCCGTTCAAGCAGTCGATCGAATGCATTTTTGCATTCGTCAGGTACCTCATCTATTGCAAACACTCCACGGTCAGGAGAATCCTTCAACTTGCTCCAGACCCCAGTGAACAACAGGATTAATCCTGTCACTGGCCTAGATGAAATTGAAGAAGATCGTATATTCGAGAAAATTTTTATTCAACTCTCGTCGGCATATAAGGCTACACTCCAAGCCGTTCCCTTGGCTGCGCAACAGTTTTCCCAGTGCCTCAAAGCCGCTGAAGAATCCAGGGCTCCCCAGCATCTTCGAAACCTGTGCCGAAAATTACTTGTTCGCTGTCGTTCGTGTGTAGATGTTGCTGATGCACTGGACAACCGACTGTCCAACATGAAACTCAAAGAGCCCGGCGGCAATCTACGAAACCAACGTGAATTCTGGCATCTTTGCAAAACATTCATCCAAACTTTTGTCGAGCTAGTTCTTGATATTCGAGAAGCCAAAACTTTCTGTCTACTTCCTTCCGAGATTGTTGCTACTCTTCGAATAGTACAGAAGACAATAAGGGAAGCTGGACGCTTGATCGATACCTCTCCTTGGTCGTATCTTGCCGAGCTTCATACCTCGAATCCCTCCAATGCTGTTTCACAACCCCAGCCTAATGGCCACCTTCATTATTCAAACTCTTCCACGTCAATTGCATCGCAATCCGGCCTGGTCAATGGATCTTCCCCGCAGTCAGCCACCGTTCCAGCTACACCTTTGAGCGCTGCACTTGGCCCGGCAGCACAAGCCACTGTCCCTTCAACGACTACCTCTTCAAACACTTCCAATACATCTGGTGATCGCATGTTTGCTGGAGATGTCTTCCAACGGGCCGACCTCCTGCTCTCCATGGCCCCTTCTGCGCCATTATTTTATCGCCGCTAGGATCTATACTCATAGATCTCAGGTTACTATATCACGATCTCCCTCAGAATGCGCCTTGATGTCCGCGCAGCCCCAAACAGCATTCGAAGCTCTATATCTCGTATAGAACTAACTTATAGTATTTCTATAGTTTTCTTTATCACTAACTGCATATTATTTCCCACGACGAACAAGCATTCTCAAACTGTCAGTCCTATTTTACTGTTCCGAGGTTATATTTGGGAATTTTTCATTTTTACTCTTTTTTTAGGGGGGGATAACGGTGTTGATAGCATGGTGAAACACAAAACGGATTGCAAGCGCTACTGATTATTTGCCATTTATTTTTGGCCTATCATTTAGGAGAAAAGGGGTGTCCCGGTGATATTGCACAGCGAGTTACGCGGTTGACATTTTCATGTTTTGCTATTTCTCTTTACGTGCTGTTTCTGACTTCTTTTCTTCTATATGTTTATGGATATGATGACGGATCATAATGTTTAAACTGATGATACTCTCCTTTCCTTACTACCCCCACCCTGTTTCTTGTTGCCATCTGGAAGGGAACCAGTCATGATTGATGGATAGCACTGAACGTGGGATCCACACACGCGAGGAAACGACAGCCAACAGCTTAGCACCGGTCAGGCGCTGTTGATGCCATGGCCAAATAAATATTATTGCCACATGTTCCCGGATCCAAACCTGCATCGCATACTGGGTATTAGTGGTCGAAGTAACCGTATTATTGATTGTGCATTAGTTCTCGTATATGCGAGAAGTAATATATTTGGAAGTTTGGATTGTTTGCTCTTGATGTAGCTGAGTTGTAGAATGGACGGAGCAATTAAAAAGCGCGATAAGTGCATACATCGGCCAGCTGCAGCCCCTTACTCCATTCTTACACCTTTGACAACATGGATTCCGAATAACTATATCCAATGCAATATGACTAGACTCGGGCCTTATATATTTCACCTTTTATTGGATATAGATGTCGGTGCCAACACGGCCTCTCAAAGACTACGGTGACTATCACGATCTACAACAGTTATCCTAGCGAACTACCGAGGTGCCCACTCATTGGGTTGCAGTCAATCCTACCAATCCTACAAAAATAATTATTCCCTAAAACCCATTCAAGTTCACTGCCTCAAAACAACTTCTTTTACATAGCTGATTACCTCCCTTGGGAGATCGGCGGGTAGAAAATGTCCTCCTTCAAAGAACAAATAATAGCTGAGCCCTCGTTCCTCATTCCACAATCCAACGGCCTTATCTTTCTGTCTACCAAATTCGAAATGGAGAGAATCCTGGAATCCTTGGGCTCCATTCCAAGTCATGTTTTGAATGGTGATTTCAGTACCAACATGGTTAATGAGCATATCTAAACGTCCCTGATAGATATGAACAGGCAATTTATGAGTTGTAAGAAGATCCGGAAGAATTTCGAAAGACGGAGGAACCGGTCGGTTTGCTGGTGCCATTAGGGTCTCGAGAATCTTGGGATTGCATGACTGGAAAGGTCGTAATGGGTCCGTTGGATGCATCAGGTTTAATGCGATTTGTACATCTGGTCGGCTGAAGTATACCTCGAGTGTAGAAGTGGGATTCATAAAATTGCAGCCATAATTGATATTATATATGCTGAAGCAGTTCTGAGAGCTCATGTAGTCTGCCATAGTTTCAAATACTGCGCAATGGCCATAACAAGTCGAGTTGAGTATGGACGATTTTATTTTTTCAGGGGTATCCGGGTGGATGTTGCATGACCCCAGGCTTTCGTCGACTACACCCTTTTGTAACATATTGCTTATCCCGGTGCTGTTCGCAGATCCAGATCTTCCAGGTAGATGAAAGGGGCCGCTAGGGGGGTAGACTTTTGCACGTTGACGAATTATGTCAAATCCACAAGCATGGTCACCAAACGAGATTGCGTTCATGATATCCGGTGGTATCCGCAGTTTTGACGCATACTCTTCAAGAAACCCTACCATCCCAAGGGAGGACATTCCAGTGTTAGGGCCGATAGTTCCATCACCAATGGCTATCGACACTAAGTTCACTGGTAGTTCATTTTTGCGTTTCACGATCTCGCTGGCAATATATGGGATATATATGCCTGCATAGGATTCACCCACAATGTGCACTTTTTTCGCGCGGAGTATATTATCAAATATTGCGTCAAATGACGCCAGCCAACTGTAAAGGTTTGATATCACTTCCTTGTTCGAGGTAACCGGAACTTTTTCAGATGCAAAACCAGTTCCCACAGGTTGGTCGATGTATAGTACATGGCCAAGTTTGGTCCATGAGTAAGGATTTCTCTCAGGCGTGGTGGAGTTACCCATGAATCTCAAAGGGCCGTTCTCAAGGAAGGCTCCAACGAGTGATGAACAGCCTGGGCCTCCATTCAACCATACTATGAATAGCAAAGAGTTTAGAGGTCGCCTGATCAGAACAGAAAAACATAGTCTTACTTATGAGATTATCATCGTAGGCTTTGTCTTCGGCTGAGAAGAGCCAAAAGAAGAGAGAGTTTCCCTCGGGGGTTCCAGGGATGTTAAGCCTGCCAGCCCAGTTCTTGGGTATTTCTGGAGCGTCTGGCAACTGTCTGGTTTCAAAGGCAGACTTTCCAGGTAAGGAGGTAGCGGTAGTATAACCCTTCGTAGATGGCGCAGCGCGTGCCAGTGAGATTATAGGCAATAAAATTGCTACATGCATGATTAGCCACATATTGTGTGGAAGTGATAACAAACCGTTGACAGATGGTGTAAATAGTAAGCTTTTTTTTAAAAAAAAAAAAAAAATAAATAAATAAATAAAAATAAATAAATAAATAAATAGATAAAAATGCGTAAGGAAAGGTCCGCTCCAGCAAGTGAAAAGGTAATTTTTATTAAAGAGCGATTGTAGATGGTATATGGATATCAGAATTATAAGCCATTACCAGGGTGCAAATTGTAAGAGAAAATGTAAGGATATTTATATAACTATATTTCAAATGTGTCCATTCCGCTAGATCGCCAATGAATCAACATAAGCGTGTAGTTGTGGGTAGTACTTCGCATTTCGATATTCGATCCTAGTGGAGCTGCGTTTGTTCAGTAAATTCCGCTTGGATTTCATCCGTTTCTCGTAGAAGAAAAGAAATGGAGGCAAATGAAAACTCTCAGTAACATTCATCTGCGGAGTACTCCGTATCTCGACGTAATTTCGAAGATTAATTTGTGTATTTGGATACACCAAATTCCACAGGCCCGTAAACAGGTGTATTAGGTACCGCGTTCACCCGTTGTCGTGAGAAAGTTGATGATTGACAAGGTTCCGTATCGTTCCACGGAACGAATCTTCAGGGGCAGGAGCTGCACGAATCGCATAGGTCTGTCCCCATGTTTCGCCATCAGAGGCAACATTAATATCGAACCTGATGAAAGACAAGCCGGCTGCAGGTAGTACAGACATGCTGCACAAAGGCGGAGTACAGTGGTCTGTCATGGCGCATCCGCTTTGTTTTCCACGGATTTATGGTCCCTATTGACCCCATCGAGGGACGACCCTGTCTAGGTGTATCGAGTAGTGATATCAATGCTGAGGGGAAACCCCCTAGCCGTAAGTCGACGGCGGATATACAACATTGCTGGCCGTGTTTGCAACGACTCCAGCCCACGACCGGTTAACCAACTAGCCAGCCAGCCACCGTTGGAGGCTACGAGCTAACTAGTTGAAAGTTAGGTAAGAGGGGAAAGGAAGAAACAGCACTGCTCCCCCGCTGGGGGCCATGAGTCGAAAGAAACGCCATCATCCCGTCTGCGCCCCGGCTGTCATAACTGCACCGTCGTTGTTTTCGCCCGCAGTTGATGAAGGCGACGGTTGAAGAAGCGCCGGCGACGCCCCAAACAAGGTTTGATTAACCCTAGGTTGCCCGATCGAGTTACCGCCTTCTTCTGCCATTCGTTAATATTAGAAACGTCAACTCGCGACTTCAACGTCTTCAATCTTCGTCTTCCTTCGACTCGCAGTACTCCCGTACGGAGTGTATATATATTTATATAATTACGAGGGACGCCGCGAAGCAGGACGATATGCGGGATAACGCCACACTAACATTAGTTATCTAAGTTGTTTGGCTGAAACGATGCGCTCGTCCAGCTATCCCGCGAAACCGGCATCGGTCACCGCTCTTTATGTTGAACCGCTATAGCCTGTGCTAGCTAACTAATCCTTGATTCATATGCTTTCCAGCGGTTTGAAAGTGAAGCGAAATAGCCCGTGGCATTCCTGCTTCTAAGCCCACGCTGTGATGGGTTCCCGAGTCTGGAGCTTACAGACTCCTCTAAGTCCCTGTTTGGGGACCCTGCCAGAGTGAACGGTTGCCCACCTTTGTGCGTTGTGTGGCTTGACAAGTAGCTGAAATGGGCGATTACCCCCCAGCACTTCCGTATGGATGCGCGCCCTGATACTGTCAGGCCTACATGTCTTGCATGCAGATGAGCGGCCAACTGCTCGGCTTTGGGGTACGATTACCCCCCAGATAGCCATGGACTACCCGAGAGTTGCAGATTCCCCAGGACGACAGCAGCAGAAGCCATCAGCCCCAAACCTTCTACCATTCCCTTGGACCTTGTTTTCACTTATTGATACAAGATCATGGGCAGTATCGTGAGGACCCCAAGGGACTTCTAGTGGGTTTTTATCACCCCCCTGGGCCAGACTACACCGGATCACAGAATTGTCACTGTGGTGACACCATAGGATAACAGTACTATCTGTGATACGGGCTCCAATCCTGACACGAAGGCTTTCCGTGAAGGAGCCCTGCCTCGTTACATCCAGGAATAGCCAGGGCAACCTTTTTCGCTCCAACATAATGTGATCTAGCTGAAACTGGCTCCCTCACGATGCATTTCGCATCCTCGCTTTTCTTGGAGACGCAAACAGAAGGCGGGAGGCGACTGGTTGCCCTCGTTTGCCAAAGTAAAATAAACAAAAGAAGGATTTTTAAATCCAAGGTGCATGCATGACTTGAAAATACCACTCATATTTCGGGCCCTCGCAAGCAGGAAGCGATTGGGAGAAGAGGCTGGAGAAAATGGAACTTCATTATCAGCTGTACTTTTCCAAGCGATCTCCGAAGCTGCCTGGCCATCAAATGCCTTGTGCTAGTCAGGCAGTGTGTAAGAAGAGGAATCCAGTGCGGATCAGCATGTCTGTGATATCACCTAGGCGGCAAACCGCATGATGCGGAAATCCATTTGAGGCTCGTTGCTGGGCATACCTCCCTCCTAGCTGGTGACAGGTGCTTCATATCCTTCTCTTGACTCAACTACCCTTCGTGGCTTGGATTCCGTCCATCTAATAATGGATCTGAATAGAACTCCAAGTGGCCTCACTCCCCTCTCACCAGGTCAGAGCTAACGTAATATTCAGAAATGAAAACAAGGCAACGAAGAGCCGCCGCTGCATCCAGACAGCAGCGAGAACAATTACGCATAAAAAACACAAAATGCCAGGCGAAGAAATCGATACTTTATCACTGTATGGAGCAAGATCCACCTCGTTGAAAAAAGTAGTTCCACCATCACGCAATTCGCCTGCAACCCTAACATGGGCTCAGGTAGCTCAATCATTTATTTCCCTGTTGATGGGAATTGCCTATCCTTTTCAACAATTCTACGCAGTGCCATTAGCTGGGAAAGAAAACCCTTTGTTAAATTTACGTGCATATCAGAGGCTGCAGCTGATTTGCTGGGGATTTCTCGTCATTTTTTTTTTTTTTTTTTTTTTTTGGCTCCAGCCAACCAGTCTAGTGCCTGTCGCCTCACTTTTTTGAATGCGAAGATCCCTTGTTAAACGGAAAGAAAGGGATATGGCGGAACCATGAATAAGCTCTAGGCAGCGTTTCGTTTTCAACTTTCGCCTCGTCCTATACAAAACTGCCAGCTCAATCGTGGGCAAAAAGATTAATGTCTTAAAACTCCTTTACTCTGTACTCCTGACCTCCTGCAGCAGCTCTACATGACCAAAGAGAGCCATCAAGGGCGCCAGCTTGCCAACTCCACACTGCTCAGCAATTCATCTTCGCACACAAATCCATTGCTGCCGTGAATCCCTTCCGACTTGAATCGTGGACTCATTGGTTCCTTGCCAGATTTCCTTCTCCTTTCTCTCGGCCCGCCGCCCAACCATACCTTCATACATACAATGCCCAAGTCTGCTTCGCTGTAAACTGCACTCGGTTCTTTTTGTTTCTTTTTTCTTCCCTACCTCTCTCCCCATTGAAAGCAAATTTCTCTTTGCTCGCCTGACTTCTCCTCTCACGTTGTCATTGCTCCCCCTCTGAAGAAGTGTCTTTTACGTCTTCTATTCCCTAGCTGATAGAGACGTCTCATTTTCGAAAACCCGATGAACGACGCACTCTAATTGCATCACTCATCGATACGGACATGAATAACAACACCATTTTCACTCTTCGAATGGTATTGACCCTAATAAATACTGCATCTTGACAAAAAAGAAAGGATTCATTTCTTTTTTACCTCTTCTCTCAACGAAAGCTATTCAAAAATCGGAGGGGTGAAGTTGGTTTTTGCGCGAGGGAAAGTGGTTCTATTGTTATCCATCTTTCTCAAACCTCTTCCTTTCTCCACTATCTCCCTGAACATTCTTTTTGAATCTTCCATCGCTTTTATCTTTTCTTTCTCCGGTTCTGTTTAATTGAGGAGGAAGGTGAAGGGTAAGGATGATGGATTCACCACATAAGGCAAACCCATCAAAGGCAAGGCCTCATGGGAAAGATGGTGAAGATTCGGGATACTGCCTATCCCACTCTACTTGGATGGATAATGATTCCCAAAATGTGCCCAAACAAGACTCGAGAGAGCAATCGAAAGCTTCTTCACACCACCATCACCACCGGCATAGTGGTGATTCTTCTATGAACAACCATGCAATCTCACAACACCCTTTGTCGCCACAATACAATGGTCTACGGTCCTCTCTTCCACCTCCATCTCCATCCCCGCCACCAAACCCTTTCCCATATCACCATCCTGAACTGCCCTATCCTTCTTTTGGGGAAGCTACTTCCCAGGGAAACCCGGCCGCTGAAGAAGCTAACGAAATCGAGCTTGAGAGAAACGTCGACAGCACAACTGCCGCCATGCTTGTCCAAATCCCCATGGACATGCAGCTTACATCACACCAAATCAAGATACTCCAAAAGGCGGAACGATTACCCCCAATACGTACAAGCACTCTCAGTGAGCTTGACTTGAACCACATCATGAGGAATATCAACTTGAGGATAGATGTCAACTTTGATCGTGAACTTCATTTTCAACCTATTGCAGGTGAGAAAGGCCACGAGAAGCGAAAGTTGGCGGAAGCTTATTGGGAGGCAATAGCACTGGAAATCTCTGTGCATAGCCATCATCCCACCAGCAGAAAGCAAAAGTCTGTCGATTCATGGGGACACAAGCGAACAACCAGCGACTCAGTGGGAGCTTTTGAGCCACGCTTACCGGCTATGCTTGAGACCTTAAAGGATGTCGTAAGCAGTCTAGTTCCGGAAAGAGATCAACAAAGCGTCATGCAAAATCTAGATGTTCCATTTCTTTTGCAACAAGTGCATAAAGGTGTACTGGATATGGTCAATCTTACGAAATGGCTTGCCACATTGTTGAAAACCCACTGCGCACCAATGAGAGATCCATGGGCTGATAGAATGGTCGCCGAGATTAGCGAAGGCTGTGAAACTGGTAATATATACAAAATGGTGGAGGGGCTCAGAACGATGTTTGGGACGCTAGAGTCTATGAAATTGGTATGTCCCCAAATTTTCCTCCACTGTATTTCCTGCAATACGTGCGAGAAGCTGAGTGAGCATCTTTCAGGATGTCGCGAATCATCAGATACGAGCATTCAGGGTGATTTTAATAGACGACACTGTCCGATTCCTACAAAGCGACTTGAAGAAAAGAATAGCAGCAAATGCTATAGACATTCAACGGGCAAGGAGATGGTATCTTAACCTTGGCCACCAACCGCTCTCCAAATCTCCATATTTACAACACGAACTAAGAGGAAGCTATGCTCCCATCACTCCCCTCTTCATCGGCCTTTTTTCTTTCCTGATGCCATTTGAACATCCAAAGAGACTTGAGGACATATTTGAATTTGAGGCCGATAGACTTTGGTTTATACGGGCTGATATACAGGACCTGATAGGGCTTAAAATATGTTCTCGCGTGTTTGAAATAGTTGCGAAAGAGCAGGGTCGGCATAGGCATAGTCCTTACTACCAGCAGGCAAAAGCTGCACTCCCATCTCGCATTTGCAGCATCCTCGACAACTGCTCTGATGGTATGTCTGCTGGATTCAATGCCCGCCATGTCAACACCAACTCTCCAACTACCAATCATAAATGGAAAAACAACATGGGCTTGGTCACGCTAGAGATTGCACAATGTATTTGTTCTCTGGAAGGTTACAGCAAGAGCAATACATTTCCCGACAGAAAGACTTTGGAGTACGTTGAGAAATGCCTCGACTCTTTCTTTTCGTCTCCAACTGGTCAATTTCGCGAATTCAACCTGTCGGTTCAGGGGGAACTTGAGGAGGCCACTTTTGGATATGTCAAAAGATACTTAACCATGACCCCCCTCGAGATATCCGAAGACCAACGCCCTAGAGAATACCCGGAGTCAACGAAATATGCCTACCCTCAGAGACTGCTACCAGATGTCGATGGCATAGCCAAACGTTTAGCTCATGTTGGGGTCCTACACTGGAGAGTATGGGCTCCAGTATTATACCTACGTGAGGGCCCTGGGATAGCATTTGCTCCTGGAAGCAATATCAGTACAATGTACGCGACGGAGTGACTTTCACCTAGATCTTGCGTTGATGATACCCTTCTTCTCTTCCGCTTGTTTCGATTGGTTTGATATACCCTCGATATCAATCAGCCATCTCTACAGACCCAAAGATATACCTGTTTCCTTTGTTCCCAGGTTTACTATAGACTTCCTTTGCTTGTTCATACTCTCTCAACTTCTTAATCATTCTGGGTAACGCGGTTCTGCCACGATATCATGTCGTTTCCTTTACTTTCCTTCGATTCTGCTCCTTGTTGTTTAGCCATTTGCCGTGGGAGCAAGGTGTGGGAGTTTCCATGTAGCCATTTCTTCCTTTTTCCTTCCTGTCTCGTTCTTCCCTTTGTTTTGTCTTTCCAGCGGCGGATTTCTCAGAATTCTAATTTGATAATTATGAGAGATATATGTATTATGAGGATATTGAAGGAAATGCAAGCTAAACAGTATATTCCCGATGGTAATACGTATATTCTAACGTTATCCATCGTGTGAGTTAAACACGAACTGTCCGTATATTAATTAGCTATGCTAGTAATTAGCTTTTTTAAGATCTTCAATAACTAAATCACCGAAGAATCAACCAGTACAAAATCACGGCCCGTTCTTCGATGAAACGAGTGATTCACGTAACAATACTCCCTCAGTCATAAAATATATGCCGCTCATGACAGCCGCCACATACCTCACTTAGCATCATTCTCTCAGGCTCCAGACCATGCCATCCATCATTTCCAAGTTGCACACCCTCAAAGTACGACAGCTGCAGAAGCTGGCACTGTCAATAGGAATATTATCATCTGGGACCAAATCAGACTTGGTCAATCGTCTATCTGAGACTTTACATACATACGACCATCAAGCGCGCGGCAAAAATGACAAGCTACAAACCCCAAACGGCCCAGGGCCGATGAGCATCTTGAGCATCGATATGGGAATTCGAAACTTGGCTTACGCACATCTGCTTGTTTTCCCTGCGGTCCAGGCAAGCGATGTAAGAACGATTGAGTCTGTATACCAGCCACTCTCTGCGGCAAAGATATCCCTGAATGCATGGGATCGACTTGCAATCTCTTCCTTTCCTACCCGTGATATCCATACGGACCCTTCGACAACTTCAATTTCAAAACTGGGTGGACTACGAAAAGCTATATTTCAACCATCTTCTAACTCGCAAGATGAAGAGGAGCAGCCTAAAAAGGAGTCCAAGGAGCATTTTGCACCGTACCTATATGCTTCCCATGCTTACACGCTTATCACCTCGCTTCTAGAAGCATACAAGCCGACACACGTCCTAATTGAACGGCAGCGATTCCGCTCTGGGGGTGGCAGTGCGGTCCAAGAGTGGACCATTCGCGTTGGCGTGTTTGAGGGCATGGTCTATGCCGTGCTACATACGTTGCAACAACAAAGGAAAGGGGAGTTTGACAGACTCATTGTACAGGGTGTTGACCCGCAGAGAGTGGTGAAATATTGGACTAATGGTGAAATGAAGGATACCACCGCAGATTCGAAGAAACGGGTGAGCTCAAAAGAAGGCAAAAGAGCCAAAATCGACCTAATTGGGAGATGTTTAACTCGGTGTGTTGATGTGGGCGATTTTGACAAAGGTTCAAAATATGAAATACCCTTAGAGCTTGGTCTAGTTGAAGGGAGTCAGGCAAGGGATATTGTTCAAGCGTATCTCAACAGGTGGAATGCCGGAGGCAGAACGGCAAAGAGATGTGGCATTCGAGCTAGCATGGAACAGAGTAGCGGGAGGGTCGAGAACATTGGAAAGCTTGACGACTTAGCGGACTCTCTTCTACAGGGCATTACATGGCTGGAATGGCAAAAGATGACTGAAAAGTTACTGTATAGCAACGCAGTTATTCCTGCCTAGATTTTGAAAAGGGATATCTTGTCTAGTCGTTAAAAAATAATAGAAAGTAAATAATCTAAGACATAATTTTGAAGAAGCTATAAAGGGTTTAGCATCAACCAAGAATCGAAGTGAATAAAATGTGAACAGGAAAGTGGCTTGCGTTGCTTGAGGCATGCAACCTAAAAGCTTCTTAAGAATTCTCCTAATTTCACCAAGCCATTATAACGTCAAATATTTAACAACATAACTTCCTAGTAAGCAAGACCGGTTGGAAAATGGTAGGCTGGAGAGCCGGTACCGTGGGGCATACCATGGCTAGGATGGCTGGGATGGGCTGGGTGGGTGGGCTTTAAAGAAGGGAATTGAGGGGTGGCTTGATCGGGCGACTTCACAGCTGGAGCGTGGTTACCAGCTTCCTGAGCCTTGGTTGGCTTTGGTTCCTAGTAGTCGGATGTTAGACTATGTATATTCAAAGTATTTTGCTGTTGCAATTGTCTATGTAGACTTACGGTGGTGACAGTCATGGTAACAGTGGCAGTTGCCTGAGTGACAGTAGCTGTGACAGTAGCTGTGAAGGGGGGAGGGCAAGGGCAAGGGCAAGTATTATCAGGACCTGGAGCGCCAGCTGGTGGCTGTGGAGCGTTGGTAGGAGCCTGGCCGGGATTGCCAGCTGGCTTCTCTGGAGCCTTCGTTTGAGCACTGCCGGGAGCGCCCTGGGAGGCGCTGGTGCAATTTTCGGTAACAGTAACCCATTCAGTCGAAGTGGATGTGCTGGTTGAAGTGGTGGTTCTGGTAGTGGGCGTGACACTTGATGGAGGGCCAACAGGAGTCTGAGGCTCATGTTAGTTTTTCGTGCTTTTAGAACGGATATGCCAATTTGAACTTACGGGGATAACGGTGCGAGTCTCATGGGTGATAGGAACGGAAGTTGTGTAAGTGTATGAGGTAACACTGTTGCCGGGTCCCAAGGTATAGGAGACTACAGAAGTAATCACAGTACAGCTTGGGTCATGAGGAGTAGGCTTTGGGTTTGATCCTGTGCCCGTTGGAACAGAAACGGAAGTCATTCCAGGTAAAGAGGTGTCAACTGGCTTTTTGGCAGGGGCCTCTCCCATAGTGCTGGTTGGGGTAGGATAGCCAGTGCCGAGAGGCACACTGACGCTGGAATCCTGGCGGTTGAAATGGCGGTATCTGTGGCGTCCATGGGAAGTGGCATCAGAGAAGGCAGCAAGAGCCACCGTAAGGGCGATGGTTGTCTTGGAAAAGAAATGCATGATTGCTGAGTGGAAGAATCGGAAGTCGCAAGTTGGTGATATAGATCGAAGCAGAGCCTGTAGAAACAATCAAACGAGGGACTTCGACGAAATCAATTCGTCTGAATGGCTCCTGTTAAAGAATGTCGCGCACTTCTCAGAGAGAGGCTGATGGAGCAAAAATGAGGGTATGGCTCTGCCAGAGATGAAAGGAGAGACTGAACGAGGAAAAAGACGACGTGGAAGAGCGGGTAAAAGGAATGGAGGGATGCGGCGAGCGTGGGCACCGACCCAAGTATATATAAAGGCGTATTTGAGTCAGGGGGATCCAAGACCAGGGTCCTTTTCTTTCTCCCGGCTTGGGTGGCCTTTTTCCCGCGCCATTCTCCGTAATTCTCAAATGACACCCCCTTGCTGGAACCCAGGCGAGGCAGTTCAGAATACACCGTCTTCTCGCTCTGCCTCCAGTCGTCTTATCTGGTTCGAGGGTGGTGTCCCGGCCGCCTCCACCCTTCATAATGCTCAGCCAATTAAGGGGCTGCGTTTCACGACTTCTATCTCGTTCCTTGCATGAAAGGGCCAAACACAAGCGGCCTCGAAGAATAAGAGAGAGGGCCAGACTGTGACGAGGAGGGTTACAACCAACCCTAAATTTCCTCGGCTTGCTTATCGCTGAAACAAACCTTGGGCGGGTACGAAGGATCTTCTTGTTGTCAGTGCTAATTTCCTCTTCATGTTCCTTGCAGCCACTCAAGGAGAGGCATTTCGCGCGCAGATGCTCCATGGGAAACCATATCATAGTGCAGTTGCAAAGCCAGCAAATCAAGGCCGCCACAGCCGCACTCCCATCACTTACACACCCTCTTGTGTGGTCAGATGCCGGGGGTGAGTTGGCCAGTTGCCAATGCAAGGGCCGAAACCATCAGCCACTCAGATGCTGGTGCTGTAGAGCGGGTTGGCTGTTATTAATTTGTCGTCACTCCACCCAGAGAGGGAAACGAAAAATGTCCAGGCTGCGGAGAAACGAGGCTTGCCCTGTCAAGGGGCCGTGGCACCAAGTTTTTTTTTTTTTTTTTTTTTTTTTTTTTTTTTTTTTTTTTTTTTTTTTTTTTTTTTTCGTCTTTTCTTCTCATCATGCAAGTCAACGCCAGCGTGACTTGCTTTCTGGCGCATATGTAGTAACAAATTATACTCCGTAAGTGCCCATTTCTGCTGCTTTTCCATTTCAATTGTTTTCTCCCTTTCCAATGTCATGACAACCGAAGAATGTTCTCCATATAGTTGGTGAGGTAAAACATGAAACGCACCGTCGAGCTTGACACATGTATAGCTCGTTACATATAGTACAACTCTTAGTATTTTTGCCGTCGGGAGTATGGAGTAGTCTGCCTCATGCTGAGCTGCATGGACGTTGCTTGGTAAATTATTCTCCCTTTCTTTTTCTCGTTTGGTAAAACCGTGGCCCAAAGCTTGCGACAAATATAAGAAGTCACCGAGCCGCCTGTTGGGTTTAAGATAATCGGGTAATGCAGCCGCAGCCCAACTCACCGACGAAATCCCATGGTCATGGCAAGATATAAAATATTCATGCTCATTTTGGGGAGTCAGGCAGCGGCGTGTGCAACACTCGCAGCGCGATTTCTTTTCTTTTTCTTTCTACTTTTTTTTTTCTGTTCCTGACTAGAATTTATGCCTTGTAAAAAGCATTGCTGTGGCTGGTTTGTTTTTCCCTCTGAAAGAAACCGCTGAACTTGGCGGTCACAGCCTCGCAACAGCGTCATTGTCAAGCGCCTGAAGTCCGTGTGTCAAGCCGTGATCTGTGGCGGGCATCATCGTCCTTGTAAGACTATATATTAGCCTGGCAATAAGAAGAATATCACAGTAAATACAGTACTAGACAACCGAATGTTGGATACCCATTATTATGATATTGGTGTGTTATTATAGTAGCCGGGAACCTGGCAGGCTTCATCCGCTTTCGTCACCTGCGTAGAATCTCCATTTTACTCCTTTTTGCTGCGCTTCGTAAGCTCCGCACTGCTTATTTTTATTATCGTCTGTCTTCTTGAAGGGAGACACTGCCGTTGACGTCGCCACCATACTCCGTACAACTTCGGCAGATAAACGCTGTGGTGGAACGACTGCTGGTGTTGCCCTGTCGATCGCATGGCTGACAGGATCCCGATCCCCTCCTTCTAGAGCCAAAGTCTTGTCGGCTCGACTCGATCGCTAACCCCCAGCATGTGCAACCAGTTCTCCGGTTCCTCCAGTTTCATCGGTCTGAAGATACGGGAGTCGTTTAACCATATTCGCAGCTGGTTCCTGTCTGGAGATGCAGCTAGCCGCAGCAGGCTTGCCATACATCGCGCGCTTTTAGTGCAGACTCAACAATAGCCATTGGCAGGACTTCCAAGGATCTCTCATTGTTCTCCGATAGGAGATATCGTGTCCATGATAGCGAAGTCTTGTCGATTCCAAGTCAGTTGGTCGCTGGTTGTCGTTGTTTTGTGCTGAGATACGAAGCGAAGTCCAGGAGACGTCAAAACGTCCTAAAGAGGAAAAGCTGACAACACAATCAATATATCGAACATCGCCTGCGCTTTAACAGATATCCATATTTCTTATAGCCGTCGACGCACCGGCAGCATCATAATTAACTTGACTGTTTCGACGTGTTGATGCACGGCTTCAGCCCGTGTTGCTTCCGTTGCACGCCAGCTCGCGCCCCTCGATAGGTCGGCATCTCAAACATGGCAGCGCAGCTCCCGCAGCTCGACTCCCTTCGCTCGCAGTACAGAAAGTCGCTGCAGTCATTCAATGCCTGCCTGGATGACTTTCGGCTCTTGGACATGGTACCTCCGGAGGGCGAGCTGAACGCGCAGCCGGGCAGTCTCTATGTCCTGGATTCTTCGTTTAACCCTCCAACCATCGCGCATACCCAGATGGTGACCGCTGCAGTAAAAGCAGCAAATGCAAAGGGAACCCCGCCGTCAAGACTGCTATTGCTATTAGCAATTCAAAACGCCGATAAGCAGCCAAAGCCAGCGTTATTCGAAGATCGTCTTGTTATGATGCGGCTAGCTGCCGAAGATGTCCAACAGACTCTAGCCCGGGATACTAGCCGAGACAAAGACGGGAGAATCTGTAACCTTGCGATTGATATCGGGGTTACGAAACACCCATTCTTTGTGGATAAAGCAGTGGCCATTGCAGGCGACGGTACTGTCTATCCAATGGGGGTTGAACAAGTCCATTTGACAGGTTATGATACACTATATCGAATTTTTGATCCGAAATACTACACTGCCGGGGACCTTAGCGTTCTGAGCCCCTTCTTTAGCCTACACAGGCTCCGGGTAACCATACGCCCTAGTGGCAGCTGGGGAAGTAGAGAGAAGCAACTATCCTTCCTCACTAACCTAGCCAAGGGTGCAACAGAGGACAAAGGAGCAAAGAGAGAATGGGCAAGCCGTATCGAGCTTGTTGAGAGCAATGCAGTTGACAGTGAGCCAATAAGCTCAACTACTGCGCGAAATGCAGCCAAAGATAGTCTGGAGCTGCTCTCCAAGCTCGTCACTCCGCGAGTTCTCGAGTATATCATGAGCAAACACCTTTATGCCACTGACGATTAATCACCTGTAAACTCCGTATCTCATATGCCCGTGAATCCCCACCGCATCTTACAAAGGAGGATGATATGTTATCCTACTATTACTTACATGCTAGCCAATCTCATAGTCACTAACCAAGATAAATCTACTCGCGATTTCGTTACTCTTCATCTTCTCGTGTCCCAAGAACATATGCCATTCCTCCGCCAACCAGATTCGCCAGACCAACGCCAATAGCAGCACCTCTCACCATGCCTCGAGCACTCCATTTCTTCCGAAACTCTTGCTTCCTCCTCCCAGCAAGTAATATGTATAAACCGGACCACGCGGCGCTCGCACCGGCAGCATCCTTCTTGAATCCGGCTAAGTTCATGTAGGACGTAAGCAACAGCACCGGCGGAAACATCATTGGCACAAATTGGAACGGACGGAAATGGAGCGCGGTCACAAAAGTTGCGAGCAATGTCGGCGGGAACGATGATTCTATGGCAATTTAATTTATCAGCGTGTCAGTGAGCTGCTTCACAGATCAGGCTCGCGGTTCAAGCTGTCTTGAACATGACAAGGTCTTCTCTGAGAGGATCGGCTGGAACCTAGTACCTCCCCATTCTCGAGCATACTGTGCCAGTGTTGGCTTTGGCTTTCCGGATGTTGTTGAAGTCTCGAGGTCTTTTGCCATTTTGTATCACCCGGCGATGTTTATAGTTGGAGTGACGAATATAGCAAGGGAACAGTGGTCACAGTTCGGGGCACTTTTCACAGGCGTCGAATGAATAACAGCCTAGCTCTCGCGGGCCCCAATTGTTCTCGTCAAACGTGAACCCGACCTTGGTATCCTGGCGAGCTGTCTTGAATGTTGTCGGCGCCTTTGATGTCTTCAAGGGAAATTTCTTGGGTTCGGTTTTTTGGGTGGCCGTGTAAGATCACGTGATGCGTCTTGGACGTCTTGCTGGCAAAGAAACGAAATATTATTATTCCTAAGAGAAGCCATCGCCAGCACCGTCGGAGTCCTCGCTCATTCGACAAGGCCGATAACCTGGGCTAGATTCCCTGTACACGCCTCTTACGCCCCTTAGGACTTGTTTTCGTGGCCTCCTTTATATAACTACGCCTCCCGCTTTTTTTTGGACAGCAAAGGCCTCTGCAGTGCAAGCTTCCTCGATTCGCCCGCCTACACAGGCTTTCGGTATCTAGCATCGATATACCAGTTGATATACGTCTTACCGCACCATAAGTATTGCAAGGAACCTGAGATTATGCCCTCTGCGACCGCAACTGGTGCCGACAGGCCCAGTGGTGCCCGTTCTCGCCAGCACAACCAAGGAAACCAAGATAGGAAATACACCCCAGAGCAAAAAGCAGCAGTATTAAGAGTACGGAAATGCTCTGCTACAGCGTTTTATGAGATTCTTGCAGTCGAGAAAACCGCAACAGATGGAGAGATTAAGAAGGCTTATCGGAAGCTCAGCTTGTTGACCCACCCAGACAAGAACGGCTACGAGGGCGCGGACGAAGCATTCAAGAGTATGTACGCTCTATAGAATTTTTTTTTCTATTCAAAGTCCATGCTCTAATAAGGGAGGAAACAATATGTAGTGGTATCGAGGGCATTCCAGATATTATCTGATGCAGACAAGAAAGCCAAATATGATAGATTTGGCGGAGATCCAGACAACAGATTCAACACCGGAGCGTCGACATCTTCCCCTTTCGGTGGATTTGGAGGCTTCCAACCACATCCCGGACGGCAATATGCTTATGAGGAGGAGATTTCTCCAGAGGAACTCTTTAATAGATTCTTCGGTGGAGCCGCAGGCGGAGGATTCGGACCGTTCGGTATAGTTTCCTAAGCTTCTAATGGACACTGTGACGATGATCGAACATTTATAACTAACAAATGCCGCAGGAGGTGGCATATTTGACGGTGGCCCCCAGTTTGTCTTTAACATGGGAGGCGGCCCCGGTTTTCGTGTACATCAATTCGGAGGGAACCGACCACGAAGACGCCCGAGAGATACGAATGACCCAGATCCCTCCCAGACGCCTCCAGGAGTTGCATCTCTCTCACAATTCCTCCCTCTTCTCCTACTATTTATCTTACCGTTCTTGTCAAACCTATTTAGCAGCACTTCACCTTCGACGCCATCTTTCAAACTCCACACCCCAGATCCACCACATACGCTCCAACGAATGACTCCGAAACTCAAACTCAAATACTTCCTCAACCCAACAGATATTGAAGACTACAGCCCGCGCAAACTTCACCAGTTAGATCAGAGAATTGAGGTTGACTACGTAGCCAACCTACGCCGTGAGTGCCAGAGTGAGATAAATTACCGCGATCGCCTGGTTCAAGACGCTCAAGGGTGGTTTTTCCCAGATGTTGAGAAGATGAGAGAGGCACAAGATCTAGAGCTCAAGAGTTGCGCAAAACTCAAGGCACTCAGTAGCTGATACTCTGGCCCTCAATCTCAACAGTATAGCTGACTTTTTTGATTCTTATATTCTTGATACGAATAGATAACTAATTATGTTTAAACGTACATCAGTTTCTACTTATTCCTCCCACTAGGTCCCCAGAATTTTCTTTTTATTTTAGCAATTCCGCAAAGGCATAGTTAATGCATTTACACACACACACACACACACACACGGAGAAAGAGAAGAGAGAGAGACGGAGTCACCGGCTGTAGAACATTTATTGGGAAGGGGTTGGTTACTTCGGATACTGGTAATTGGCCTTTCAGGCAACTACGCACATCATCATGTATGCATACACAGTTCATCTCATGGTGTAGCAACTCTTCAAGCAATTCTCAATTGGGTGATAGCAGAATATAAAAAGAGTAGAAAGTGAGTCTACTTAGATTTTTGTGCTGTCCCTGGGATTTCTAGATACACTAAATAGGTAGAAAGGGGAGAAAGGAAGAGAAAGGAAGACATGGATAGTTATTGAGTGCCGTTACTGAATGATGCAGCTTGGAAAAGAGGTAGGATTGTATTCCGGTGGATCTGGTTCCCATAAATCATCCTTAAGGCCTGATCGTAAAGTCACAAGGTATATCTCTGCCATCTGACGCCCAAATCACTGCACCAGGTCAAACCCAGGCTGAAACTCTCGTAGCCGCCGACATGCATTGGAGCATTTCATGTCTTCTCGATTGTTCTCTTGACTAGCCAGGCGTAGGATATCTTCGAAGTCGCAACGGCTCATTCGTTTGGAGGTGACTAGCTCTTTTACCACAATACGCGAATTGTTCGTCCAGTCTAGGTCAATATCACGCACTTGAAGGCCGCCATTCCTGGATATGTAGGCAATAATGGGGGGTGAGCTCGTCGACACGTCGTCGGGAGAATAGACGAAGCAAGTGTGGTGGTAGACATGGCCAGGCGGAGGAGAAGGCGGCCTTCTGGTGGCTTCATGAACAATACTGGCCCATGCCATAGCTGTTGCCGTATGTTTTGAGAAAGTATTATCCTCTAATGGTTGTAGAAGCGCAGGTTGCGAATTAGTTATTCTTTCCTTGCATTGGGATAAGGGTTTATTCCCGTATACCAGGAGTCGCTGCATGCAGTTAGTTAGACCACCCCTGGAATTTATAACGACCTAGACCAAGGCGAGAAGGATAAGTTTGAGAGTGAGTCCTCGGCGGTGCACTCTACAATACCGTATTTTCTAATTCCTATGTGACTAGTTATTGTAACCAGTCATATCTCTTTATGATTGGTAGGTTGCAGCCACTATTTATGGGCTATACAACTCCATAGTGGGCGTAGAGTTAGTTCTAAAGGGGCCTTATTCAAAAGTGAGACACTTCGACGCTTTCCCAGGACATACCATTTGCAACGAGCTTCCTTGTAAACGCCGCTATCAAATCGCTGCTGTAGCGAACGTGAATTGGTTGATGGCTGCCTGATGGGCGGTGGGAGGCATGGGCTTATCTAATCAGCAATATGACGATGGCTGACAAAAGACACAAGACAAGCTTCAAGTCGTGAAGAACCATCTCCTCAGGCTAACCGTCGAGTTCACGCCTGAAGCGCCATAGCAGGAAATAGGTCTTGGATGAGAAAGAAGGAGATAAAGGCCGTTTGCCTTCTAGAGCCAGCTAGAAGCTTGAAAATATGGACAATATGGACGCCGACCAGGTAACTAGCCGAAGCTCTCCCCTACATCACCATCCAATACCCCCAAATTCCCAAACGCATAGTCACGGAGACACCTGCTCACTCATTGCCGTAGATCCGCAATAAGCGGCTAGCTAAGCTTGCTTCCCAAGCTACCAACTCTTCATCGTCACCGAACGAAGAATCTCAGCCTCCCTCAAAGGCCACCTCACCTCCACCAGCCCCTCAGCAGCAACTCCCGCAGACAAGCTCTTCTGGCGGAACGAAGCCAGAGTCAGACCCTGATGCGAATAATTACATGGAAATGAAGCGTATCAGAATTACACAAGCAGGAAATCAAGGGTCAGCAGCCAAGAGCTTATCCAAGCGTCCAGAGACCATTGAAGAGTTCGAGAACCGGACAATATGCAACATATTTAGACTATCCCTGGATGAAAATAGACGCACGGATATACATGGCCAGAAGTTGACATACCTACGCGGAGTACGTCGGGATTTAGAAGAGGACAAGGCTCCTATACGGATGAGCGTCACGATTCTCGACCAAGCGTTGCTTGAAGCTGCTTCACAGACAGATAATCAAAAGCCTCTTTCATACTTACTGCCATGCTGGAAGAGGATATCCACCTTATTTAAGGGTTTTAGGAAGCCGGCAGTTGGTGATCCTAAATATGATATCATTCTAGAGGCCCGGAGGTTATGCATGGGCTACTGTATATTTGCAGCGACGATGCCAGAGATGTTCGGGTATGTTTCCGTTCCCTGTTGACTATGGTTTAAGTTATACTCGCGCTGACAACTTGAACAGAGTCGAATCACCTCCGTCTGCTCCCCTAAAACCACATCTCTTATTGGATCCAGATGACGATCAAGGGCTCAACCAGGAATTTGTTTTGGAGGCCCTCAAACGTATAGAGGAAGATGACTCAATTCTTCCTACTTTTGTCACAGCTGTTGAGGAAATGAGCCATGATCTCTCAATGATTACTCTAGACGATGATTATCACCCTTATATGATGGTGAGAATACTGCAAAATACATGGTTGTCAATATATATGTCTAATCTGTCGCCCTGACTCATAGGCCCTGAGGAATCTTGTGCGCTACCCAGCAATAGCTACCGCTATTACAGACTCTCCTAAGTTTAATCCAGCGACTTCGGCCCCTTACTTCGAGACTATGACTATACTTGGCCCTTGGTTTGCCCTCTCTCCTCTCCATCCTAACGTCACCCTCAAATATTTCTCCAGCCCGAAGACTCGTGACCAACTCTTTATCTTAAATGCTCAGAGATCCATGAGGATGACCCAGCAACTGGTACAAAGTGAATTACTTGACATCATCAACCAGTTGATCCGGGCTTCGAAATCCGCACGAGAACACGTATTGGACTGGTTTTCGGCGTCCTTAAACTTGAATCACAAGCGCAGAGCTCTCAATGTAGACCCTAAACAGGTCTCTTCTGATGGGTTTATGTTTAACATAACTACCTGTCTAGACCAGCTCTGTGAACCATTCATGGATGCTACTTTCACAAAGGTAAGATTTCTTAGGTTTTACAGGATTTGGATATCTAGAGATTTGCCTACTAACCTTAAATCTAGATTGACAGAATAGAGCTAGAATATGTCCAACGGAAACCACGAGTCCAAATGAGGGACGAAACAAAAATAAATGCTGATCAAGAAACCTCGGACGCATTCTACGACAAGATCGTAGACGGCTCATCAAATTTCATTACTGAAATATTTTTCTTGACAGTCGCCGCTCACCATTATGGTAGCGAATCATTGACAACAAAACTTAACGATCTTCATAGACACATTCGAGATATGCAATCTCAAATAGATCGGTTTGAGCTTGAGAGACCTCGATGGGCTTCTAACCATGTCCAGCTTAGGATGTTTGAGGAAGCACTTAAGAAGTATAAAGACCGGCTAGAGCTGGGTATGGCTCTCGAATATGCTCTCCAAGGTCTGCTTCTCGACGAACTTTGGCAGTCTAGGTCCATGCAATTCATGAGATATGTGATAGTCTGGTTACTACGCTTGATATCTAAGCGCGATTTCCCAAAAGAACAAGTTCAGCTCCCGCTACCAGAAGAACAATCAGAAGTGCTGAAGTTTCTGCCGGAGTATTTCCTTGACGACATAATCAGCAACTTCAAGTTCATACTGTTGAACATGCCCCAGGTCGTGACTTCAACACAGGGAGATGAGTTGGTAATTCTCTGTATCACGCTTCTACAGAGTTCCAACTATATTAAAAATCCTTTTATGAAATCGGGTTTGGTGACTATCTTATACTATGGTACATTGTCTCGACGAAGTGGGGGAAGAGGAATTTTCGTCGACATGTTCAACTCGATGCCATTCGCTCTGAGCCATCTACTCCACAGTTTGATGACATTTTACATTGAAGCGGAGTTCACTGGCACTCACACGCAGTTTAGTGATAAATTCAGCATCCGATATGAGATATTCCAGATTATCAAATGTATCTGGCCGAACCAAGTCTATAGAGACAAACTCTCCGTCGAAGCGAAGAAGAATCTGGACTTTTTTGTTCAATTCGTGAATCTTCTCCTGAACGATGTAACTTATATCCTCGACCTATCATTCACGTCGTTCATTAAGATCCATGACACTCAGGAGGAACTGAATCGAGAGGGAAGCTCAATGGAGGAGAGCGTTCGAAAAGAAAAAGAAGAGTTCCTGGACGGGGAAAAGCGTCGTGCGAAGTCAACTATGCAATTAACCAACGAAACGGTTGCTATGCTAAAGCTTTTTACCGAAGCGTTGGCCGACTCGTTTACCATGAAGGAGATTGTACAACGTCTGGCTGACATGATCAACTATAACCTTGATGCCATGGTTGGCCCGAAGAGCACAAACTTGCGTGTGGACAACCCTGCCGAATACGGCTTTAATCCTCGTAATATGTTGAACGACATCACAGATGTTTATCTGAATCTGATAGGCAAGGAAAGCTTTATTCTGGCTGTTGCTCGGGACGGTCGCTCGTATAAACCGGCGAACTTTGAGAAGGCGGCCGAAATTCTTCGAAAGTTCGCCCTTAAATCCCCCGAAGATCTGGCTAAATGGGATAAGCTCCAGGCCGCCGTCAAGAAAGCAAAGGAGGAAGATGAACAGGCAGAAGAGGATCTAGGAGAGATTCCAGATGAGTACTTAGGTAAGTATTCAAATTTAGCATCAAGGGTCACAGTCTGTTTACTAATATCTACTAGACCCTCTTATGTATACACTCATGGAGGACCCCGTTATTCTCCCAAGCTCCAAGGTATCAATCGATAGGTCGACTATCAGGTCCCATCTTCTAAGCGACCCCAACGATCCATTCAACCGAGCTCCTCTGAAAATCGAGGAGGTTGTTCCGGGTAAGCTATGCTGATCTTTACTTTGGCTAGTGGTTAAGGGTGCCTACTGACCCGCTCGCCCTTTAGATGTCAATCTCCGAGAAAAGATCGAAGCTTTCAAAGCGGAGAAACGGGCCGCGAGGTTGGCTGACAAAGTAGCGGAAAACAGTGACAAGATGGAGACTGGTGCTGGCTAGACCTGCGCTGTAAAATCGTTATAGAGGCAATTTATGGACTGATCATTTGGTTATGCTAGTTTTGCTCTTAGTGTCCATATCAATGGTATCTTTGCCTATTGGGTTTTCTCACCCTGCTACAGCGAGTTAGTACAACCAACACCTCCATAGCCATTCAGGTGCTCGCTGTGATAAATAAATAGTTAAGCTTGTAGTCAGGGGTAACTAGTTAACTAGAGACCCGCACAAGCTCCAAACTTAATTGAGCCTAAATTAGTAACATTTGTCATTCTCCCCCAACAACATCGCCAGTTTCAACCATCTCCAGCGCATTTGACCAGCACCCTTCGCGCGCCTCGAACACTCTTCCAAGATGGACGCGATATTGGAATCCGTTACGGAATGGGCCAAGTCCCTTCCGCCACGTGCAGATTTCTTCCCTGTCACCCAGCCAGCGTACGCAGTGCTGATAACCGTCTTTCAATACTTCCTCATTGTGAGCATCGCATGCCTCCAAACGCTCATAGTACAACCGCGCATTCCTTAATATACATTCTAACGCGCAATGTATCCATATATAGGCACCGATACTCCAGCTGTTAACACCATACTATCCCCAAGGCAAAACCTCGATATCGAAATCCTACTTCAACCTGCCCGGTCGATACACATGGTGCATAATGGAGAGCTTCGGAATGGCCAACTTCATCTATATAATCTCGACCTCTGAGCAAGGCAATGGTTTCTCTGGCTTATCAACATGGCATAAAGTGCTTGCCGTGCTATACGTTCTCCACTACGTCAACCGCGCATTGATCACGCCCCTCTTCCTCGCCCCAAGCATGTCGCCAATCCACATTGAAATCTTCTTCTTTGCCATCTTATTCCACTACCTGGCCTCGAGCACATTCGCCTCCTGGCTGCTCGGTTACAAGACCGTTTTGGCGACAGCAGGCACCCTCGAGGCACCAGGAGCAATGTATGACATTACGATCGCCACTTCGCCGGAGTTAACAGGCTATATGGTTTATGTCCCTTACATCGGTCTTACAATCTTCCTAGTCGGGATGTACGGCAACATTCAGTCGGAGAATACATTATTCGAGCTGCGCAAGGAGGAAGCGCATCGACGACAAAAGAAGCGGGACAACAGCGCTGCTGTCACCTCCAATGGCAAATCTATCTATGACAAAGTATACGTTCTGCCTCCAGCGGAGGGGTATTTCTCGTCGATCTTATTCCCTCATTACGCGCTGGAATGGATTGAATGGACTGGTTTTGTGATCATTGCGCTCTCGGTTACTACCCTCAACGTGGCGTCAGTTACGGCCGAATCTGCCGCTTCGACTGGTGTGGTGCAACTTGCGCCATTTTATGCGCCTGTCGCTAAGTTCTTTATGAGTACTTGCGGTTTACCGCTTCCGCTCCCCGTCTTGTTGATTTGCGTGAATATTATGACCACTACCGCAGTACGTGCTCGTTGGGGCAGAACTTGGTATATTGAGCGTTTTGGCGAGAAGGCAGTTGGAGGCAGGGGAGCGTTCGTTCCTTACTGCAAGTGGTTGTGATTAAGGGAGACTATTAAGGGTAATCTTGGGGACAGAACTTATCAAGTGGGAAAACTATGAAATTGAATAATTCTTATAGGGCGAAATGATAAAAGTTGTATTTTCCGTTATTCTAAGTGCGTGTTCCGTCCCTTCCTTGCTAGTACAAGACGAGGATTATTTGAAGTTGTTGAAATATTGCTTTTCATTGGTTCAATTGATAGGGGCCATCAAGAGGCTCCCAAGCTAACACGTAGTAGTGCGAGCAATCTCGTGGAGGTTCTCTATTAACATAACAGGGAAATATAAGGAAACAAACGAAACAAAGAAATCATTAGAGGGAAATGAGCTAAGATCTCATGAACTAAACGCCGATGTTGAGATCGTGGGTATTTTTCAATTCAAAGAGAAAAACCATTTCCATTCCACTACCAGCCTAAACCCGAATATCCGCTATGCATGTTGAAACACTGTGCCTTTTTGATCATTTGCGTTGAGTTATTTTTTGCTTTCAATTTTTTTTTTTTTTTCTATATTTTTTTTTATTGTTCTTCCGAACCAGCTCGTTCATCAAGCCTCTTTAGAGAGATTTACTTAGAGTATTTCTGGCGGAAGAACTTAGCGGCGTTGACCATGTTGACAAGGGCAGCCTTGGTCTCGGGCCACTTGCGGGTCTTCAAACCGCAGTCAGGGTCGATCCAGAGTTGATCTGGTCGGAGGTACTGAAGCATCTCTTCAATACGGGCCTTGATCTCCTCCTCGCCAGGCACACGGGGGGAGTGGATGTCGTAGACGCCAGGGCCGATGTGGCGGGGGTAAGCTTCGTCAACGAAGACCTTGAGGAGCTTAGCGTCACTCTTGCTGTTCTCGATACTGAGGACATCAGCGTCAAGGGCGGCAATGGCGTGGAAGAAGTCCTGGAATTCGGAATAGCAGAAGTGGGAGTGGATCTGGGTGCCATCCGCAACGCCGGAGGTGGCGAGGCGGAAGGACTCAACTGCCCATTTGAGGTAGGCATCACGGGCGGCTCCAGCACGGAGAGGGAGACCCTCACGGAGAGCGGGCTCGTCGACCTGGATGACGAAGATACCAGCAGCCTCAAGATCAATAACCTCGTCACGGAGAGCAAGGGCGAGCTGCTGAGCCTGGACAGACTGGTGGACATCATCACGGGGGAATGACCATCGAAGACAGGTGATGGGTCCAGTAAGCATACCCTTCATTGGCTTCTTGGAGATGGAAGCAGCATACTTGGATTCCTTGACGGTCATAGGAGCGGGACGAGAGATGTCACCAACGATGATTGGTGGGCGGACGCATCGAGAGCCATAACTCTGGACCCAGGCGTGGGTGGTGAAGACGTAACCAGTCAAACGCTCACCGAAGTACTGGACCATGTCGTTACGCTCTGGCTCACCATGGACGAAGACATCCAAGTCGAGTTCCTCCTGGATCTTGACAACGTCTTGGATCTCCTGCTCGATGAACTTCTCGTACTCCTCAGCAGTAATCTCACCCTTGGTGAACTTGTTTCGCTGAACACGAATTTGAGAAGTCTGGGGGAAAGAGCCAATGGTAGTGGTTGGGAACATGGGGAGGTTGAGTTCCTTCTGCTGGACAGCAATACGGGCAGGGAACTCTGACTTGCGCCTGTGCATATCATCAGTGACAGCAGCCTGTCTCTCCTTGACCTTGGGGTCGTTAGTGCGCTTGGAGGCGGCACGAGCCTGGATAGACTTGGCGTTGGCCTCGAGAGCCTCACGGACGGAAGCAGGGCCGTCAGTGACGGCCTTGGCGATGACAACCAGTTCACTGGCCTTCTCGACAGCGAAGCTGAACCAGTCGTGGACTTCGGCATCAAGGTTCTTCTCGCTCTCGAGAGTGTGGGGGGTGTGGAGGAGAGAACTGGAGGTAGCGACGATCACACGGTCCTTTCCGAGCTTCTGGATGGCGAGCTCGACGGTCTCGATGGCCCTCTTGAAGTTGGTCTTCCAGATGTTTCGGCCATCGACAACACCAGCAGAGAGGACCTGCTTGGGTCCAAGAGCACCGATGACGGTCTCAAGCTGCTCAGGGTTGCGGACAAGGTCGATGTGGATGGCGTGGAGGTTCTGGAGGTTGGCGAGAACGTCAATGTTGTGGACAATGTCACCGAAGTAGGTAGTGAAGACAAGCTTTGGGGCCTTGTCACCGAGAGCACCGAGCTTCTCGTAGGTAGGCTTGAAGGCAGCCTTGACGGCATCCCTGAGATCAAAGACCAAGACTGGCTCATCAATCTGGACAGACTCAGCACCAGCCTCCTTGAGCTGGTCCAAAAGCTCAGCGTAGAGGGGAACGAGCTTCTCAATGAGAGAGATAGGGTCAACTTTCTGGCCACGGTCAGCCTTGGCGAGAGCCAGGAAAGAGACGGGACCGAGGAGGACTGGGCGGGTGATAATGCCGGCCTCCTTGGCCTCCTTGAACTCAACAACGGGCTTAGGAGTAGCAGAGAGCTTGAACTCCTGGTTGTCCTGCAGAGTAGGCTTGACATAGTGGTAGTTTGAGTCGAACCATTTCACCATCTCCTGAAAATCATGTGTTAGCGAGGTACGACTCATTCCACGCATGGATGAAAGGAGGTGAAGTTGTGCGAATCAAAGCTGCACAGATGACACGTACAAGACTGGGGACATCGACAGCTGACTCCTTGTCCGTGGCGGGGGTCTGATGGCCACGGCCCATGGCGAAGTACTCGTCAATTGGGTCAAGGCCATACTTGGAGTATCTTTCTGGGATAGCCTAGGTACGCAGATTAGCCATTGACAGTTCTCTCTTCAGGCCAATTGGGGGCCAACGTAGCATAGACATACTCCAAAGAGCTGGATGTGGTCCAGGACCTGGTCGTAGAAGGCAAAGTCGTTGCTGGGGATGAGGTCGACGCCAGCATCCTTCTGGATTTTCCAGTGCTCGAGACGGAGTCTCTTGCCCTCGCTGAGAAGCTCATCGCGAGAGATCTTGCCGCCCCAGTAAGCCTCAGTGGCCTTCTTGAGCTCTCTGAGGCGACCCATACGAGGGAAGCCGAGAATGGAGCTGAGCCCGCCAGGTCAGCGAACATGTTACCACGACAGCCCACGCGGGGCAGGGCGGCAGCACAACTTACGATTGAACCATTTTCAAGTGCGTTGTGTCTCTTCACGAGGGTATCTTCTATGTGGTGACAGTCAATTGGGGGTGAAGAGAGCGAGCGGGCGACGGAGTGAGGTTGAAGAGGTGAGGTTGAAGAGATTGAGAAGTTGAGGGGAGTCGAGGAGGAGAAGAAAAAGGGCGGAGGAGGAGGAGGATGCATGATGGAGGGGCCACCGCCTTGCCTTTTGTGGAGGGGCAGAAAAAAAGAGCGAGAAACTCCGATTCGGAGGGTTTTTTCGCTTTTTTTCGTGGTCACGCCATGATGACTAAGCAGGGACGACGACAGCTACGATAACAACGACGACGGTG